TTTCAATTTTATTGATACGTCGCTTTTTATAAATAAAATAAAAAAATCCTTGTTTTTTTAACCTTTTTCATTTAAAAAAATTAAATTAAAAAAAAAAAAAAAAAAAAAAAAAAAAAAAAAAAAAAAAAAGTTTGAATACAAAAAGCTCGGTCCGGATTCGAATGTCCCAGAGGGGAGTCGAATCCAGACCTACGAAAACCCGAACACTTGTTAAGATTTTTCTGACCAAGCCACCCGGGCGCGTTGACCGCTAAGCCAGAGAGCTGCCTTAGACAATCCAGCGGCCGAGGTGCCTTGGCCGGAAAGACGACTTGCTACCACGATATATAAGGTACCGACCTACCTAGGTATGTTTGCCTCGGGACACCCACCTGCAGGACAGGACACGCGGGACTGGCGGTTGGTTGCCATGGTGAGTGAGTTGGTACCTACCTACCTGAGTCAGGTTTTGTCACAGCTGCCCACGTTTAAGCCGCTATTTTACCACCAGGGACAGACAATTTTACGCGTGTATGTAAGACTCCGCGTCGTGCGTGACAAGCTTCGATCGTCGCATTGCCTCTACCTACTTCCTAAGAAAAGTGAGTAGCGAACAGGCAACTACCTAACTATCAGCTCGACACCTCCACGCCCTTCGTCCTCCCCAACCCCTCCCTCGCGTAGTAATCCATCGGGTACACGCCTCCGCTCCGGCTCCAATCCTCCCTCTCGTCCAGCGCGACGAGCGCCTCGTACGGCGTCAGCAGCGGACGCGGGAACGCGTACCCCCAGTCGATGCTGAGCCGCGGGCACGCGACCTGCACCCAGCACTCGACGTCGGCCATCATGGCGAGCTTGCCGGGGAAGATCTCGCTCAGCAGCAGGTGGACGCGGGGGACCCCCTTCGCCGCCAGCTTCGCCTCGATCAGGCCCATCGTGTGCGGGTTCCCCTGGCGGCCCAGCGACCCCAGGATCAGGCCCCACTTCCTGGCCCCCTTCGCCGCCGCGATCGCCGCCCGCCGCAGCTCCTGCATCTCCGCGTGCCCGTACGTCTCCCGCGTCAGCTTCCGCGCGTACGGGTCGTACCGGTACGCCGGGATCGCCGGGTTGTGGATCATGATGCTCTCGAGGTGGAAGCGGCCGTCGCCGAGGTACAAGATGAGGTCGACGTCGTCCGAGTCCGGCAGCCGCGGGGACGTGCAGCCGAGGATCTCGCCCTTGGACAGGGGCGCGATCTGGGGGACCAGGACCCGGAAGCCGGCCTTCTCGAGGGCCGGCTTGACGCCGTGGATGGTGGCGTTGAACTGGATGGTGCCGACGACGGCGAGGGTCTTGGGGGCGGCGAAGTTGCGCTCCAGGGTGGCGAGGAGATGCGAGGCGTCGATGCTGATGTCGACGAAGACGTACAGCACCTTGATCTTGGTGACGTCGACGGGGATCAGGCAGCTGTGGGCGTAGTGCACGAGGAGGTCGCAGCCCAGGGCGCGCGCCGTGTAGTCGTCGATGCAGCACGCGCCGTACGTCACGTCGCCCATGATCAGGGTCTCGACGCCGGGGCAGAACTGCGTCAGGATGTCCGAGATGGTGGTGGCGAACAGGAGCAGGCCCTCGGGCATCTGCAGCGCCACCCGCCTCGCCCCCGAGGACCGGATGCGGTGGATGGTCTTGGGGATCTCGAACGAGTAGTTGGACGGCAGCAGCGCCATCGCCTCCTTGAGTTCGGGGTCATTTAGAATTTCGGGGGGCACTTGATTGAGTAATCTTGGCGCCCGCCTGGGTTGAGATACTAGGGAATCATTTTTAGAAAATTTCCCCTCGATAATATCTTTGAAGGCATGAGTTTTAGTTAGTTATTACCTTGAATAGCACCGCTGTCCTCAATGGACAGATCTCCGGATCCATTTTTGGAATTGCTTTCTGCGGCTTTTCTTCCTACATATCTCTTCCCTAAAAATCTCTTCTTCGGCTGTTTCCGAGCCGGTGGTGATGGCGGCGCCGCATGGGCCTCCTCGATATCTGCGGCGATGCCCAGATCGGCCTGAGCCCGATCTTCCTCCATGTTTTTTCTTTCTTTTTTTTTTCCTCACAAACTAGAATTTCCTTATGTCAAAAGTTTTCATCGTTGATGTAGGATGTAAATAAGTACGCAAATTTACGGTGAAATCTTTAACCATAGAGTAAAGCACTAATAAAAATATTGTTGATTAGGAATATATATTTCGGATGTGTCAAAGTGAAAAAGTCAGATTGGAGAAGTAGACCAAAGTTTCGGTAATTGAATATCAATATTTTATAGCTGCATTTACTCAATAACCCTATCCTATTTATCGATTTAAGCGTGCTTCAAGTTACGAAGTACCTAACCAAGGTACCTTCAAGTACCATCTTCAGCGTCGCCCCTTAATATTTATTATAGGAGGTGCACCTATTCCAGCTACAAAGCCAAAACACTGTTCAAAACAAGACGTCCAACTCCGCTTATTCCACAGTTTTCCCCAAAAACTCAACATGGTTATCAGTAATCGTATCGTTGAACGCGCTAACGTCGCGATAATACAACACCACCGTATTATCAGGCGTTCCATCCTCGCCGTCATCTTCACCATTTAGCGCTTCAAACGAGAAGATCTGGTGCGACTGCCCGACGCCCAAGCTGTAGCTATTATCCGCGGGTCTGTAGTACGTCGCCGACCCGTTCTTCAACGTCCTCAGCACCGAGCCCCGGAACCGCGACGCGCCGGGGGTGGTGTTGGCGGCAATGAACGCTTCGAGACCGTTGGGGAACACGGAGGCGCCCCGGACCTCGTGCGTCAGGCTCTGGTTCAGATCCGCGCGCAGCGTGAGGTTTCCCTCGGGCAGGTACGACGTCGTGCTGCTGCAGTATAGCGGGTAGCTGTAGCTCGTAGAGTACGAAATGTCCAAGCCTGCGCCCGTGGCGGCATCGGCGCCTGCGATCCCGAACGTGTTGACCGCGTCATTGCCGTGCGCGGACACGCCGCCGGTGTTCGAGTACGACAGGGACTGCGTCCACGTCACGGTGCCCTCGCCGTTCTGCGTCTTCACGTAGGAGCTGATGGACAGCGTGCGTGTCACGGCTAAAGTGTAATCCAAGGTCTCGTTGAAGCCCGTCGAGTTCTGCGTGATCCGTTGGGAGAAAGCAATGCTGGGATCGCTTACGTACGTAGAACCCAATTCTCCGGTTGTGATGGAGTCTTCGCCGTCAAGCCAGACGAAAATCTTGCCCGTGATATACCATTCACTGTTCGTGACTGGGGCGAGGGAGGCGCTTGATTTTCCATCGTCAACTAGACCAATGATCTGGATCGTGAAGGTGTGCTCTTTCCCATCCGAAAGGAGAGGTAGCCAGGGGGTGATGTCAATCTCATGCTCCCTAATATCAAATGCTTCTATTCCGACGATTGGACGGTGCAGCTGAGGGACGACGCCACCGGTGTAAATCACCGGGAACGGCCAGGAAACTCCGGCAAGCTGGTCATCAATTAAGACTTGAACTTCTCGCCAAGGGGAGTACCCGGGGTATGTGCCATAGTCGGGATCAAAGGTGTGAACAGCACTCTGCGGCACATTGCTCCACCAGAACTCCTCGTTGCCCTGGGCTTTAACGTCCACTGTAAACACGGCACGGTTCGCGTTCCGAGGGAAGCTAATCGTGTTAGTCGCATTCTGCTGCGGGTAGGTGAACTGGCTCGGCTGCCCCGCCGATCCCGTCCGCTCGGAAATGGGGATGATCAGATCGGCAGGTCCCCTGCTGTCATCACTTGCAGCCACGGGGCTCTTGAAGAACGTTGCCGAGAGGGTCGTGTTGAGGAGCCCCGTGTAGGTGTTGTCTACGATGTTCTCCAGATCGAAGATCACGGTTTGCGGCGTCTTCCAGAGGGACGTGAACGGGGTTAGGTCTTTCAGCCAGACCCAGCGGATGCCGTACGAAGTCGGTTCCGCGGTGGACGTTCTCCACACCTCCGTGTCTCCGAGATAGAAGACGCCCGTTCGATCGTACTGCCGGCCCCTCACGAGGACGGTGAAGTTTATGACTACATGATCGAATTCGAAGTCCGGAGGAGTGTAATTACCTTGGCGAAGTTAAAATTAAGAAAAGTTTACTTTAAGACAGAAGGGGGTATGTAAGCCTACCAACGTAGGGGGCACCGTAACTATTTGCGAAGGCGTGCTCGAACAAAACTACCGTGTGTCCAGGTACTTCGCCAATTGAAGCCGTATCGTCGTCTATCGGCACATGAACGCCGTCGCGAAACGTAGGCCCTTGGGGTGTTAACACCGGCTCAGCAACCTGGAAGCATTCCAAGGGAGAGCTCGCAGCAGCTGCGTGAGCAAGAGCAGCTGGTGGCGCATCCTGTCCTTCAGCAACAAGTTCGCGAAACCGAGCAAGAGGGCTACGCGCCGTTTTCGATCCCTTCGCAGCGTTACCTCGCGGCGGATATCTCGCATCGGGGTGCGCGAAAGATAACCCTGCGAGAAGGGAGATGAGCAGCAGCAGCGCCCATTTCGTATTCATGGCCAAGACACCGATGCTCGACATTTGGGTTCGTCAATTGCCCCGATTCAGAACATACGTAAGGTAGACGAGAGTAAGCCGTTACGGTCTAGAGAAACAGCAGAATATCGAACGAATTGACCCTCACGCACAACATTTTTTAATTTTATTTTTACATATATTAACTGGCGATACGACCCTTGCGCCAGGGAGATATATATATGCATTGCCGGAATACATACTATTAGTAGCGCAGTAGAACCCCGATTTGCAAGAAAACGCGCCGATAACGACTTTGCTGCACGGGTAAATCAGCCGAGAATAGAAGGTGATATGCCAAGATCGTACAGGGATGCGCCAGATTTCTCTTTATCTCTATTGATATCCCTTTCTTCCGTATCTCCAGTACCTAAATAAAAGTAAATGAATATGATAAATTCTATGTAAGCAGGTTATGTACCTTAGGTACCTATCCATAGGTAATGGCGCAAAATGGCCTCAAAGTCCTTATTTTTCTTTTTCCCGACAAGAGAGAATAAACGTCACCTGCCACCAACCTTGATGATGAAGGCTTTTATTTTCTATATCAATTGTTGTCTACTAAGCATCGACAGTTTATTTTGACGATGTTATTATTCTATACCTCCGGCACCTCTCAACTCCTTGGTTCAAAATTCGTTGCATCCCTGTTCAACGAAGTTGTTTATGATCAACTGCGTTGTAAATAACCTCGTCACCTACACTACCTTAGAGATTATTGTTCGCGTGCACGTAGCAATCTTACCTGAACATAAATATGCATATGCCTTGTATTCCCTTAGGTAGGTAGGTATTAAGGCATAAATATAATGTCGTCTCACCTATTTTTTGCAGGTTATTTCGGAGACATCGAAGTGGTCTTTTGTTCACCAGTTCTAAAGAAAAGGATAAAAACGTATTTACCGTATCAATATTTTAATCTTCATCTCCGTAGAGACCTGTTTCTTTATCAGCCAGAATGCCGGCCCGCTTCCAGTGCAAACCCTTAGTGGCACCCGAGGCTAGCGAGTCTCAGGCCCAACTTGATGCCCAGCCCAGCTGCCGACTCCTTGCTCAGAAGCCCGGTGGCCGCTTCACCTGGGCGCTCGGAGATGGCTATACATTAAAGGAACGAAGATACGAGCCAGGCTGTGAGGTAGAGGTTGCCAACATTAGCTTTATCATGGGAGGATTTGCAGGAAGGCTAGATACACCTCAGGTCCCCGAAGTGGAACTGTCCTGGAGGGATGGAGATAAATTCTTCATCGTACAGCGCCAAGTCGAAGGCGAATCGCTGGAGGATGCACTACCAACACTGGGGCCTGATGACATCGCTCGCATCGGCTATCAGGTAGGTCAATATCTTCTTCATCTCAAGATCTTTATTTCGCCAGTCATGGCGAAGCGTGATGGAAGGCCAGTCAACAACTTCCATTTATTAAAGCCTTTACCGGATTCATCATCTGGGTCCTATTCGGTCGGCACGTCGGATAGCGATCTCGCGTCTATGTTAGGTCTTTCTATTGCCGATCGGCTCGACAAACCAACGTTCGACGCATTTATGGCCAAGATGCCCTCCGGTCAGCCATTTACCTTTAGCCATTCTGACGTGCACGAGGGAAATATTATGGTCAAGGACGGTAACTTCTTAGGGCTGGTCGACTAGGAGTTGGCGGGTTCCTATCCATCGTGGTGGGAATACGTAAATAGCTGCCCGTTGTTGAGTTCCTACTTCCCGGCCAAAATCCAAGACCGCGAAGCGTTGGAATGGTTTCGCGTCTACCACGCTATCCGAGACGGGCCTGACGAGGAGGTCGATAGGAAGGCAATAGATTACCTCGAAGGAAGGGCTTGGGTAGAAGCCGTAGCACACCTAGAAGGAACACAGTTTACCTAACTACAAAGGTAGGCTTCGTTGTGACTAAATATCGTCCTCCTTCTAGTAGAGCGAGTTGATCTGGGTAATACCAGGCACTCTTAAAGAAAAAGAAAGAGAGAAAAAAGAAAGGAGCAGTGGATCAACTTGTGTAATAGAAAAAAATAAAAATAAATAAACCACTAACCCAAAAAATACTTACAGTAAGTACTAAGTCTTCCGCATACTGTTACGTTACTCTATAGGTTCTTTCCGTAATGACATGGAGTCTTCCATACTGAGAATTGGGGCAATCACCTACCTATTTCAATTGTTGTAAGTAGAACTGAGATCCTCGGCTCGTTTGTATATGTCGTGACTATCATCACTCGGACATTGAAATTCTTCCTTGTAGCGCTGGTGATTTTAAATGTCCTTCTTATTGAGAAAAGAAGTAATTTTCATAATTCTTTATGCCAAGGCATAATTGTTTCCCTCCAGCGCTTTGCCCTAGGTATTATGCACCGTGCGTTGTGGAATATGTCTATTACGATTATGGCCTGGCCCATAAAGTCGTCGGAGTATGTAATGGATCTCCCCGAGGAAGAAAGGCAAACTGTTGCTTGGGAAGTGGGTGTATGTAGGGTAAACCCAGTGGCGGACCCAAACGTCCTTGCTTCCGAGAACAAAGCCCACCGAACCTTAGATTGGCCATGGATGATAAAATCGGTCAGGCGTGGTAGCAAGATAATAGTTTACAAATCATACGACGGCGGTGACGGCTTTGTGCGAGTCTCAAATGGTTGAGTAACAGCGATGCTTGGGACCTTAAAAAGAAAATCATCGTCCGACTAAAGCACGATTCTCTGAGCATGATGCCCTTCGGATGGGCTGTCGCAATTAGGACCGAATATGTAGGAAGTTGGGTATCTCTGTTACCTTATGTAGGAGGACAGGAGGACCAGGCGGCAGCCAACAGTGCAGCCAGCTGGTAGGAAATGGGTATTGTACAGTGCTAACCGAATTACTGTTTGCGTTGGATCCCGTCTGGAGAGAGAGAGAGAGAGAGAGATCATTGAAACAGCCATTTAAGGGGGGCAGTCCACGGGTGTTGTATTGTACAATACCTACAATACAAGGACCTACAAGGACCTACAAGGACCTACAAGGACCTCTAAGGACTTACATTAGTAAGAGAGATGTGGGTCTTATAACAATCCGCTAAGTCCACTAACTTCTAGCAGCGTTTAGCATTGGAAGGCAGTTGTGGCAGTAGCGTAGATCCACTCTGGGGAAGCGGGGCAAGCGGTCATTTAGCGTCTGGGGAAAGGCCCCTGAGCCCACTTCGCTCTAGACGCTCTAAACGTCACACGTGAGAAGATACCCAGAGGTACTTATTATTATCGTATTAGTCCATAGTAAGGATTCAAACGAAGACGAAAAAAAAATAGGTAGTACTCATAAAAATTGAGGCTCTTATGGTTGAAGTCGAAATCTTCAAACGGCAGCGAATTAAACCTTACACATACCTATTGACGACTGACATCAATAGGTTGCCTTCCCTCCCTGATGTGTGTGTGTGTGTGTGTGTATGTGTGTGGCGTGGTATGGGAACAATACCCCAACTCCCACATCTCACACCTCCCCGGTTCGCAAATCACAATATCAATTTAATCTCAGCTCCTTCTTACAAGTACGAACGTAATGGACACATTATGGTACTCTTACATGGGTAGATGGGGTGGTAAGTAATCAAGGGCAGCGTCACTTCTACAGGGTCTGGCCTATGGCATGTCGACGTTGATGTACGCTTTATGTATTGTCCAACTTAATCCTGCAGTACATCGCATACGGCTATATGGTTGGCCCTTGAAAAGGTTGACGCAACGCCATGACCTGTTATTATTGGTTTACCCCGCTTCATCCTTACTGTCTTCTTTCTTTCCTACCTAAGACAGAGAGGACAAACACAAAAGTCAGGCCACGACGGGCTAAGTCTAAAGGGGGCAAGTATCAACTCGATCAACTTGCCTGCCTTTCTCCCTCCCCCCTTTAAAAACCAGCGGACTCCCTCGAGTTTCGAAAGTTTTAGGAGTTACACGGAGTTCTTTCTTGCCTACATCTTTGGAATAAGGAATTACCTTCGATCCAGGTGTATCGCAGGAAGAGTTCATACCTGTCTCTAAAGTACTACCTAAACGATTTAATCGAGAACAGAAACCATTATTATATAAACCTATTTACTCTATATACTCTATACATCAACCCGAGCCAAGCCATCCAAACCTAGACGTATTCAAATTGTCCTCATCATCGTCACCCATTACAAACTCATTACCAAAAAGAAAAAAAAACAATTTCCAACATGCCCGTCCGTATCCCCAGTGCCAACAGGACTGAGATCGCCACCTTCGGCATCGCTGGCGTTGCAGGCTTCGCTCCGTTCTACTTCATGCTCCCCGGCGCCGAGGAACGCCTAGCAAGCCAGACGGCCCGGTGGGCGCCCCGATGGGAACGCAACATCTCCTACTTCGCTCCTCCCGCGCAGAGGATCGCCCAGCGCATCGAGCCCCGCCTCGAGAAGACCGTCAAGAAGATCGACAACCGGCTACCGCTAGAAAGGGTGGCCCAGGGCGTCGACCGACGGATCAAGTACGGCATCAACAAGGTGCACAAAGAGTAAATACCTACCTAAAATAAATCTATATTGACGTACCTATGTTCTTTCTTTGTTGGGATGGAGTTACCTATAGGCTAGGATGATTTTGGAAGTTCTTGGGATGGGAAACAATGAATTACGAAATGGGAATTGGGTGGAATTCGGGTATACCCTTAAGCTTGCACTTCGTGTCGCTAGGGTGCAGAAGTAGGAGCACTTGTACTTGATGCTCTAACACAGACCATGCGCATGGATGAACCGTTCGCTATGAAGTAGTCTACAATAAACAAAAGTAAAACCAGATGCTGCCTCAATGCTCTTGTGACTGACTGCCTGTAGCCATCGTATCTCTTACAATCAGAATAATCCTGCGAAGACTGCTTGCTCTGCGCTCTTATTACTACATAGTAGCCTCCCAAGATACTTTATCTTAGGTACCCATGCATTGGATTGGCTTATACGTAACTTTTATAGGGCCATCCCTGAGACTCGCTCTGGTCTTCCGCCAACTTGACCCCGACACTACCATCAATTATTGTTATGAACAACACAAAACCGTGGAACTTCCGTAATTCTATCATCATAGCTCACGGACCACCAGCATCATTAAATTAAATCACGGTGTTGAACATGATAGAGAAACAAATTATAATCTACCTGGGTACCTAAGGTAGCTATTGAAATAGATACCGCATACACAGGCCTGTTTGTGGACCTTAATAGACCAATTTATAGTTCTGCAGGCTGGTCCTAACACTTCTTTCACTCCTCAAGGTGATTCCGCGGTAGGCCAATGATAACGACGTAAGAAACACCATAAGAAGTATACGCATTGCTCCGCGAAAATTACAAATTTATATTATATTACCACCGATGTAGATATAAACTTCCTGTACCAATCAATGTGGTGGTCATGTGGCGAGTTTGATAGCAGCTTCGAGCTTTAACTTCCTTGATGGACAGACGAGAACAGAGTCTCAATCAATCAGTAGAAGAAAAAGAGTCAGAAACTCGCAAGTCTAGGATAGGGCATGGGATAGGGAATAAATTAAGGGTTGCTTACCCATCGCTCGAATTCCCGGTCGTTGTCATGGAACCTCTTTAGTTTCTTATCCAGCTTTTCTAAGATGTGCAAGTCCGTGTGGTCTTCTATAGCTCTGGATGATGTTCCAATCTGCCCAACCATGAACTTTACACCTGAGCTTATATGGTTAGTACTTATAAGTAGCAGTTAGAAGCGGTAAGGATGTATGGACTGGGCAGAGATAATATGTAGGTACCCAAGGTAGGTAAACACACTTTTGCGAGGATAGTCGACTTCTTCCAACTTCTCGCCGCATTCCAAAATAGCATCGGCAAACGCGGAGCCTCCTTCAGCACTCGGGATACCGTCGGTAGTAATGAATATAAGCAGGGGCCGCTTGAAGCTCTTGTTTCGGATCTTATGGTAGATGAGTGGTTCGAGGATCTTAAATCGTAGATTCGTACCGATAGGAGTACTCCCTCCAGATTTCCACGACATAGGTTCGGTGATGTCCCCCACCCCCCGAAGGCTTCAGTAGGAGGAGCCACTAACGTCTTGGTTGATGAAACGCAGCGCAATACCTTCACCTTCGGGGAGGATTCGGGTGGTGATCATCGCGATTCTTCGGACTAGACGCTTCTGGCTATCCCCAACGTTTCTCATGTTTCATCGAGCTACTATCCTCTGAAACAAATATAATAGGTGAGTGCCGAGGCGTGAGAAGTATGAAAGCTTCTTCTGGAGCATAGGGCAACTTACCGCAGTAAATCACCTGTTGATGCAAGGATAACTTGATTGTGTTCGGTGAAAGATATGCCTTACTAACATCCGACCTATGATAACCACGTATATGTTAGGAATGGTTGAGATGGCTAATGAACGGGACCGAATTATACCGACATATGTTCTTGGATTGGCTACCTAGCGAGAAATTGATGTATCCAATCATCCTTACCGTGTAGTAAGTGCGCTCATAGCTGATTAACCAAGATACTACTACCTCGTTACGGTGTATACAGTATATAGGCCTCTCAACAGCTCTACGTGAGTTCAATAATGTACTAAAATTACGTTGAAACCGCTAGGCACTTCGTTTCTTGAATGCCATCATATCATAGAGACTTCAGCATCTCAAGATGCTTTTACCAATCCGCAAGGTTCGTCTTCATCACATCATAAGCACTGCTTGGCACGCTTCAGCCACATACGTCTCAGGATTCTTTGATTTTCCGAACCAGAAGTAAAAAGACCGCCCAGGCGATGTGATCTAGGTAATCTTCGGGATCTAACAATCCGGGGTACCTTAGTGCTTATATCTTGTGTGATACTTAACTGCTTGCGGTCATGACTCTCGAACGCTGCATTTAGGTTTACCAACAGGAGTATTCGTACTGACCAATCACAACGATGGAATAACTAACTCTGATACTGTATAAGGTAAGTAATATTCTGCAAATAGCATCAAACATGCAGGGCCCTGAACCGTTACAGACTATAGTGAGGACAGGAGGCTGAAAATCCTGCAGTACAAGTTGTTTCATAGGTAACATATCATAACTCTTAGGACAAAGATATATGCGATGAAGATATCTTGTGAGATCGGATAGTCCTACACATTCAAGTTGTAATTATATAATAGATACTAGGTAATCATTATTCAGATCGTTTGCGTTTTAATGACATGTAACCGTTGATCGTGTTTCTATTCTTCTTCTTCTATATACTACCCTGTATTATTTTTGGGGGGTAGTTGATCTATCCGGCCCCTTGCTAAGACATGCACAGGTTACTTTCGCTTGCCGTTTTAGGAGTAACGGTATTAGCATCTCCTCAAGCAACACCGTCAACAAAGGTGAACCCAACAGCATGTGGACGTATATCTTCTTCTGGTATGTATATATATTTTCAACGCGGAAGTTATCTATGAGATTCTAACGAGACCCTAGGCCTATCAACCTTCGGGGCGTCTTTTGCATATGAGTGTCTTCGCTCAGTCCCAAATCGGGTTCAACCAGCACAGCAACTCATTCAAAGTCTCAAGGCTTTCGTGGAATGGCAGTCTACTCTTGCTTGGCTGAAAGATCCCCCCAAGTCTTACGGGTTTCCTACTGTCGACGTACAGGGGAGTCTAGATAAGATACTGGATACAGCGACGCAAGGGGGCTACGAGAGCGAGTATGACTTCCAGGTTGCAATCGTACAAACGATAAACGCGGCTCACGATGGCCACTTCTTCTATACGCCCGATGTCTTTACGGCATTCACTTTTGAAAACAGATTAGCCCAAGACATCGTCTCTGTGTCGACCGACGGTATTTCTCTACCAAAGCTTTATCGATTGTGTAAGCCTACCCAACCTAAAAGCCATTAGTTTCGAAGACTCGTGGCGGCTACTCTTTACTCATCTATTAATATCGTCCAGCCGATTTAGAATCCGGCTCAGCAGTCCCAATCGCCGAGATCAACGGCCAGAATGCCACGAGCTTCATGATAGATCTAGGCGCGCAGTTCGGAAGCTTCCAGGACATCGATGCGCAGTGGAACAGCCTGTTCCCAACATACGCCAGTCCCAATGCGCAGAGTCCATGGGGGAGAAGCGAGATATACTTGGGACCTAGACTGACACTGACCTACGAGGACGGCAAGTCCGAATTCGGCGATACGACGGCGACGCTCAACCAAGGTGCGGAAAGCTTCGTCGGTATCATTACCGGAGACGATTACTACGACCGATTCTGCACCCCGAAGCAACCTTCCGGTTCGGAAAATAAAGCTTCGAAAGCGCCCTCAAAGCGTAAGCGAAACGTGAGTCCGCGCGCGCGAGCGACGTCTCCGGACCTAACTCTTATAGCAAATACCCCCGAGAACACCACGGCGGGATATTTCCTTGACGCAGATGGGTACGAGGATGTTGCAGTGCTGGCTATAACGTCTTTTGAAGAAGACGATGAGCAGTACTTAACCTCCTTTCAAAATGCGGTACAGGAGTTCCTCGCCCGATGCCAAAGTGCTAAGAAACAACGGCTGGTAATTGATCTAACGGCCAATGGCGGCGGTTTCATAGCAGCCGGATTCGAGCTCTTTGGACAGGTTTGTCACCTCACCTACCGATTCTCCTCTCAATTTGCAGCCGTCAGCTTTTGATACGTACCGTACCTACCTACCCAAGTACCTAAACTAACTCGATCGAAGCTCTTTCCCGGCGCCAACAAGTTCACCGCCAACAACATGCGTCTCTCGGACAGCCTAGTAGACATCTCCGAGATATTCGCGTCGTCTTCCGCGACGGACCAGAAGAACGCTCTGGAGTCATTCCCGGTGTTCTTCGACAACATCTCCCCGGCGGGCGTGGGCTCGCCTCAGGGGGTGAAATTCGAAACGGTGGACGACATCATGGCGCCGGTGACGCTCCACAACGACAGGTTCACGCAGTATATCGGGGAGCCGAACAACGTGCTTGATACGACCGGGTCATTATCAAACGGAAGCCAGGCCGAAGCGAGCCCGCCCCCCTTTAAGTCGGAGAACATCGTGCTGCTTACGGACGGGGCGTGCAGCTCGACGTGCACGACATTCTCGTACCTCATGCTCTTCCAAGAACGTGTAAAGACGGTGTCCGTGGGTGGACGACCGCAGAACGCGCAGATGCAATCTTTAGGCGGCGTCGAGGTAAACATCCCCCTTCCTTTACCCCGACCCCCCCGACTCCTTAAAGGAAGCCATAACGCACAAGTAAACATACACCCGGATTTATATATACTAAAAACCAACATAACAGGGCGGCCAAAGCCTCGGCATGGACGCCATATCCACAGCCGCCTTCGTAGCACTCAGCCTGGCGAAAAACCAGAGCTTAAGCCAAGCGCAACCAACCAAGCCCCAAGGCGGGGGGTCCCTCTCGCTCCTCAGCTCAGCGTACGCGCTCCGGCGCGCGGCGGACCCGAGCGCGGCGGGCGGGATCAACCTGAAGAACAACTTCGCGCCGTGGGACGCGGGGACCCCGCTGCAGTTCCTGCGCGAGCCGGCGGACTGCCGGTTCTTCTACACGCGGGCGATGCTGCTGCCGGCGTCCGGGCCCGGGCCCGCGTGGGCGCGCGCCGTCGACGCCGCGTGGACGGACCCGCAGCGGTTCTGCGTGCGCGGAAGCAGGACGGCCGCGGCGGATAGCGGGGCGCGGCCTGTGGACCCGGCGTTTGCGAAGGATGGGCAGGCGCAGACGGGAGGGGGTGGTGATGAGGATGGAAAAGATGGTGATGAAGATTCTGCTGGAGGAGCGCTCGAACGGAGTAGTGTCCGGATGGTGACGCTCCTCGCGGCTGTCTCGGCTGTGATGTTATGTTTATGATAAATCTGATGATGTGAGGGACGGATTAGAATAAACGGGAAAAGGGAAGGGTTTACGAAGGCTTAAATGGTGAGTTGGTTGCATCTGTTTTTATTTCGTCTTGGTGCACAAATATAGGGATTATACATAGACCAAGATGCGTACAAATATCAATATGTTTACGGGTGTAAGGGATGTTATTTACGATATTCCAGTTACTTTATACTGTTATGACTCTTAAGTAATATGAGATTCTTGCTAGAATGAGTATTAAGAGAGATATCATTTCCAATCGGATGTGATTGTTAGTATTCTTACCGTAAATGCCTTCATCCTCATACTTGTCACTGGGGAGAGGACTGACTGTAATGATACGAGCGAGACAGGCATTTGCAGCTACGCTAGGACCCTGAAAAATTGTGGTCTTAAGATTCGACGTATATAATTGATTTCGTCGCAGAGAGCCTCCTTACCGCAGGAACAGAATTAGGTTCAAGGGGATGAGCATGAAGAGTGAATTCCCAACTCAAAGTTGAATTGCAAAAAGCCTATTGTTCCTTAAGCTATCACTTGCTCATACTTAACCTTAGGTACCTACCTATTGAATGCTAGGCTCATACATAGAAAGGGACTGCCAAACATGCACCTTGATCTTCGCATGCTCGAGGACTTGGCTGTATTTACAAACTTGGACTTGATAAATATCTCGTTTAACTATCTCTAATAGTCAATAACAAAAGGGGCAATCATTTGTTCCTCAGTATCAGACCACCCCGGATCATCATGAAACGCAAAGGTGGGAAAAACTGTAAAATAAGCTATCAGGACAAAAATAAAAAGGTTAGGGCAATACAGTGTTGACCGTCCAAAGCTATGCGCGAATAACACCTGTGATGACTAAAAACAAGACAAGGAATTAAGGTGTACATCTTATCAACAGACTCTTAGCCTTATATATCATCGTGGGCTAGCTTCTTAGCGGGATTTGCCTTCTTCGTAGGTTCTTCCACCTTCGCCTCAACCTCCGCGTCGGTCTCTGCCTCTGTTTCCGCCTCCAAGTCATGTTCTTCCACTTCTTCCTCAATTTCCTCGAATTCCTCGGCTTCTTCGCCTTCTTCACCTTCCTCTTCCTCCTCTTCCTCTTCCACTTCTTCCTCCTCCTCCTCTTCTTCTTCCTCTTCCTCCTCTTCTTCCCCTCCGGCCGGTTCATCAGCCATCATGCCATTCATTCGTTCCCAAACCTCTCGTCGTATTCGCTCGTCCTTAGCCATCCTCGCTCGCTCAACTTCCTCAAATCCTCCACTCTTCTTCAACCTTCCCTCGGCGACAAATTTAGTCAATTCCTTCATCAGAGGGTTCTCTCGCCGGCTCTCCAATTCCTTCTGCCGTAGCTTTTCTGCACGTTCTATGGCCTGTAGCCTGTCTTCGTGATTCGGCTGCAGAGCTCTTACTTCGCCTAACACACCCTCCTTTGCAGCGGTTGGGTCGGCGCTGTTCCCGAGATTATGCAGGCCCTTTGAGAACTGTCGTGACGTTGGCGCACTTTCCTTCATCTGTTCCTTGGTAGCTTGCTCAACCAATGTGAAAGTCTCAGAAGCCTTTTCGATGTCATCTTGTAAGTCAATCATTAGGTCTTCCATGACCTTGAGCTCGTCACGACCCTGGCAGACTTCTTCCAATTCTTTCTCCCAAATCTTAGTCCAAATCGGCTTCTCTCGCCTCATATACTCTTGCACCTTCTTGAGCTCTTTGGTCAGGACTTGGATATCCTTAGATACGCCCTCTAGTTGACGTGGCAAGGGTCTCACGCCGCGATTAACGACGTCCTTGCGCAAGTCTTCAACCAGATCTTGAAGGTCATCCACTTTGGTAACGAGTCGGTCAGAGTCTGAATTGAGTTGTTTGCGACCTTTCATCACATAGGCATACCCAGAGTCACCTTCCTCGGGCACTGAAGCCTTGGCAGCCGCAACCTTGACATTAGCTGCTTTGCTTCGTAATGAAGACATAGAGCTCTGGATCTCGGTCTGGAAGTTCGAATACGTCTGTCGTAAGACGGCCAGATCCCGTCGTAGAGTCTGCAACTCCCTAAGTTGGCCATTATTGAGTTTGGCGCCTGCGCCAGCTCCGCCAAGCTTAACACCGTCCACGATGGCCGGCGGTGCTGCAGCCATACGAGCCATCTCCTTGGCCGTCTCCAATTGCCTATCTGACACTCTTTGCAAAGCAGATCCTTGGTCGGTAACGTTCTGCTTTATCTCATCTACTGCCTTTTTTAAGACCACAAAACCCTCATCAAAGTGTTTCTTGACCTCGTCAAGCGGCTCGACGTTTAGCGCAAGAACTGTACGGTCTTTGATATCGGATAAGTCTTCAAGCTCGTGCCGCACCCCGGAGATGGGGTCTTGAATATAGATCTCCGGAAGATCGCTTCCGTTTAGGGCAGTGTTCCAGGAAAACTTCTCGATGAATGCAAGCTGCAAGCGTCCAATCGACAAGCCTGTATAACCCTCCGGAAGTACAAACTTCTTCACCTTGGACTTGTATTGCAAAAACAAGGTAAGCTCTTTGTCCAAGGGAGGTGATTGCTCTTGTATGGATTGTTTGCGCTGCTTTTCCGGAGGGGTTTGGGGCCGCGCCTTGGGTTCTACATTTGTATCTATCCTTGGCTTTGGCTTCTCGGGCGAGGTCGGGGTCGGGGTCCCCACTACGGGAAAGGCATCGTCTAGAGGTCCGGATATAGTAGCAGAAGGTCTGTACCTCTCTTCTGGGGATTGAGCCGGCGGACTTTCCGATTGGGGGGGTGGTAGATCGGGTTTCGAGCCCTCCTCGGTAACCTTGCTGGGGATTCGAACCGGCGAAGACGCTTCATACGCATTTTTAGATTGGTTGGATGTGTTACGACTATGCCGTAAAGTTTCACGAACTTGGACTGCTCGCAATGATTCTCTTACTTCTCCACGTCCGCGATTCGGTATTGGGGTGTTCTGAGTAGGTAGCATAGGCACACCATTGGTTGGTGCTCCCAGATGTTTGGATATCTGATAGGCGGAATACCTTCGCGATGCTCTTCTTTCCAGATCCCCTCCTCTTTGCAAAGCAGCGAACGCGCTCTGCGTTTTTGGCGGCGGAGGGGGTGGTGGGAATGAGTCAATATCGAAATTACCCCCTGAGGGCCCTGTAGGTATTGTAGTCTCATCTCCGGGATATGGAGGAAGCACTGGTATGTTCTGCATAGTATTACTTGACAGAGATGATTGCTCGGAGTTGAAGGAAGCGTTGGACTGGTCTCGCGGTAGAGTTCGTCGATTGGGGGACTGACTAACCACCGGCGGTGGCGGGCCTTCGCTCTGCTGTTGCTGTGGTGGTGCCATCCTTTCGTTCTGTTGGGGGCTAGCGTACCCGTTCTCGATTCCCTCGTTTAGAAGGCTTGTAAGGCCAGTGTTATTACTTCCAGTGGTGCTGCTGCTCATGGTACGGCTAGCAATGCTAGCTGATTCAGGCGAAGTATTCCCGTCTTTATCTCGACTTTGCTTCTGACGCAATTTCTGCTGTTTTCTTTTAAGACCGTGTAGAAGATGTATGATGATGTCTCGTATCCGTGGCAGATACTTCTCAAGACTCTCCGTGTTGGCCTCCTGGCTCAGAGTAGCCTCTAATATGTGTCTTAAGTTTTCTGGGACGTTTCCTAGGTCGGATGTGTCTACATTGATTGCAGTAAATGCACGGCAGGCCATATTAAACTCATAACCCAATCTAACATAGACGTCGGATACTTGAGTATCGGTGGCTTGGCCGCGCGACCACTGCGTTAATGTCTCGAGTAGTTGCTTCGTCGCGACGAGTAGATGCGTAACACTCTTTTCTATTTGAGATAGTGGCATAGATGCCCCATTAGATTGCTATCGGTAGAACCATACCGTTAGCATATTAATCCGGAAATAGTAGACATGGGACGAAATAAATAGGACGGGTTGAAAGCAAACAAAAACGAGGCAGGATATTGAAAGATTACAATACACCACCACCCTCACCCCGCCTTGCCTTGCCTAGCAACCGATAACCACACCAGTTACCAGTTACGCATCCTTCTTAATGTTTGCTTGTTTTCTTCTTCTTTTAAACTTACATTACGTCTAGAGGAACTACTCCCAACGGATCTATTTGAAGCCGTTGAAGACCGCGGCTGCATACCGGCTGGTGACATCGGGCGCATAGGAGCATTGGGAATACCATCGGGTCCGGGTGACCGTCGCTGTAGCGATCTCTGAGAAGCAGAAGGGGCCTGCATCTTGAATTCCAATCCCAAAGCCTAATTCTTCTCAACTCCTCAATTCTTCTATATACCTTTTCCCTCTCTTTACTACTTATCGGTTTAGGATTAGGTCCCAATCGTCCACCCTACGGTTAAATTATCTCGAGGAAGCAAGCGCTGAATACTCTATCATTCGTCGTCAAAAGAAGTGAAATCGATGGTTGAAAAGCAAAGTGATGAAAAAAGCTATAGCGAGTTACACGAATGGAACAACGATGATCAAAATCGGCGTTTGCGGAAAAAATGGTTGCGATGGAAAGTTGTCAAGCAAGTCAATGTCCGAAGGTAAAGTTGTGGATGACTGATGCCCGCGTGAGGCGCGACGTCGAAAAGATCGAGGAGGCCCGACGAACACTAATCCTATTTCGGTTAAGTGTGCACGCAGGGGGCTAGGGTCAAACACGCAGACACGGCGATAATCAGGGCGGCTGGGCGGGATTAAGTTAAAGTTCCTAGGCGGGCGAGTGGGCCCGGGGGGAGATTTTGACCTTCTGGCCTTCTGGCCTTCTGGCCTTCTGGTCTTCTGGTCTTCTGGTCTTCTGGTCTTATGGTTTTCTTATGAATAAATTAGGTATGAATAAATTTAGTGTACGGTTTACGTACTTGTCATTTACTAGGTACCTCCGTACGTACTTCACTAATAAAGTCAATGTGCAAAGGATTGTAGGTATTACATATATCAATCTAAGTTTCTTTTTGTTCTCTTCTCTTCTTCTTTAGGTACCTACAAACAATGGCATCAGGCTTCATTGTTTATGAACACACGCCTGAATGACTACGGTAATGACTATGTTGTCTGGAAGTTAAGCATCAGGTTATTAGGGTATCAGTTCGTTGTCTAAGTGGCTGACTTAGGTACCTACCTACCTGTAGGTAATTGCCTGTCACCTTTAAACTATAGCATACATTCGAACGGATATGCAACTTGAACGGGTGCCTTAATTGTGGCATCTAGGTTAAGCATCTGATTATAGATATAAATACACCACTCTTTCTAAATAGAAGCATATAGAAGTGTAACACTGCGAGGATTCGTCACGCCCCGATGCCCTATATACTATAAAAAGGCGATATTCGGGAATAAACAATAATTGCTGTCCTCCGAGCAGCGAGCAGCGAATAGCGAAAGCCCCGCCTCGCCGATTAGCATGGCAAGATTCGTTCCGAATTAGCGACATTAATACCCGACACGTCAGCGCAGGCCTATTTAACGGTTGTGGGATTGACTCAATTATCATGCAATAATTCACTTGCGATGTGGCTTACTAGGTGACAAATTGTTATATATTGGTTAACGGTTCTTGACTTTAGCGAAAACTCATAACTTCAAAATCATTCTGTTATAGTTACATATCCTCCTTAACTTTGCGATGCCTCCTCTAAAAATCTCCATCATCGGGGCCGGTCCGGCCGGGTGTATGCTGGGCCGGATTTTATCCCTATCCAAAATCCCGTTCCAAATTTACGAAAGCGACGAGAGTCCGGACTATCGGTCTCAAGGCGGCACGTTAGACTTGCATCCCGGCACGGGCCTCGCCGCGATGAAAGATGCCATGCTATGGGACGAGTTCTTGAAGCACGGCCGGCTCGACGGCGACTATATGCTCATGACCGACAAGGATCTTCACCCCTTGATGCAGGTCGGCCCCAGCAACAAGCTCGGCGAGCGCCCGGAAATCGACCGCGCCGAGCTGCGCCGGATCTTGGCGGAATCGCTCCCGGAGGGGAGCATCAAATGGGGCCACCGGCTACGGCGCGTTGAAGAAGGGAATGTTTTGGTGTTTGATAATACTACGGTGGCCGATTCCGACCTCATCATCGGATGCGAAGGAGGCTGGAGCAAGGTGCAAAGTTACGTCGCGCCGGCGGTTAAGCCACGCTATACCGGGGTCGGGTACCACGGTCTCCAGATACCCGATGCGGCCAACACCGCGCCAGACGTCTATAAGCTTGTCAACCGCGGGAGCGTCTTTGTCGCGTCGAAAGGGAAGAGGATAAGCATACAGCAGCTCGGCACGGGTGCCCTCAGCGTCGGCTGGTGTTCGCGTCGTCCGGAAAACTGGATGGAAACTTGCGGATATGACCCCCATAACATCGAGCAGGTGAAAGAAGCGATTCTCAAGGACATGGAGGACTGGAATCCGTTGTTGCGCGAAGCGATCGGAAAGGTCGGAGAGGGCCTGTGCAATGCGAAGAATCTATACATGCTCCCGGTCGGCTGGCGCTGGGAACACCGCCGCGGCGCAACGTTTATCGGCGACGCGGCACATCTGATGACCCCGTTTGCTGGCGAGGGAGTAAACGCCGCGTTTGACGATGCGCGAAGGCTCGCAGCTGCGATCGTAAAGGCGATTCAAGCAGGTGGTGGGTTGGACGAGGTGGACAAAGCAGTGAAAGCGGCTGAGGAGGACATGTTTGAACGTATGAAAGTATACCAACGACAGACGGACGAAATCACAAAGCTATGGTTCTTTAGCGAGGAGGATATTAAGGACGTCATTCCCAAGGTGATGATAGAGCACGCTAAGGCGAAGACGCCGACAGTCTTACATCCTCTGGTCTGGGGACTTATCAATTCGTATTGGTTTGTTAAGAAGATGACTTTGGACTAGTTAGAAGCCACGCTGGTTCATTAGATATTTTAGATTGGAGTTCGGCGCACATAATTAGAATCTCTCTCACATAGTCACATAGTGACGTCTCTCGACTAAGATGATAGTAATAAGGGTGTTTGCATTGCGTTATCTTGCCATGACTCGGAACTTATCGCGTGCAACCCATTACACAAACCCGTAACCATCAGCCGCTCGCAGTGATCAAAAAAAGAGTATTGCGTGTTACCTATCATGGTATCTTGTGCGTTTTTCGTTTCAGGTGCAGAGATTGGCGAGGGTTAATCGTTAATAGGCGAGACATTATCTGCTACGGACTTCATCCGATTGAATCAGGTTCAACATCATATCGGGGTTGGGGGCTGAGTTTCGTAGATCTTCTTTCCTAGTTCCTTACCTCTCGGCTGGCGAACACAAATAGGCCTCTATTAATTATTTTGAGCGATGAGGTGAGACTACATGCATAGTAGGTGGCCAGATCGAGGAGATGACGCTCCCAATAATAGACTAGACGAACCTCTATCAGGTAACTGCCCGGTCAGTAACCTATAACAAACAAGTAGCATCTATCATGCTGGAACATATCAAACGAGGCGCAGATTCCACTCATAAAAATTTAAAAATTCATGATGTTTAGCCCCGGCATACAAACATATGTATCATAGCCCTAAGGTTACAATGGGTTACTGTCGGAGTTGTAACGACATCCGAGCCTCAAGAATCCTCCGGATGCTTTGCCCCTCACTTAGGTATTAACTCCGCGTTAATCGTTCTCGGGAAAGACCAATGACGAAGTCTGGTTATCGCGGGGCTAGCGTAATGATGGCAAAGAGGGCGAGTTTGTCCAAAATTTGGGGTCATCTAGCGTTGTCGACCTGACTGGGGTTCCCTTGGGAGGCTGTACCTAGCTACCCAATACCATGTAAAAAAAATTATAGCATCAAACTCCTACTATCAACCTGAACGTAAGCAAGTTGAACAGCAAGTGCCCGGTTACTTTACCTTAGGTAGATAGGTAGGTACCTCTCGTTTCGAATCGAATTATTTGCTTCGCTCGCCTCGTGGGTACCTAATTATTCACCTACGCCTTTTGCAGCCTTATGAACCCTATGCCCTAATCGGCTCTACCTGCCATGTCATCGGGAGGCTATGTAGAGGGGCATAGGACAAGTATCAAAAATACGCGTCCACGTGAGTAAGATGAATTTCACCTTGAGGCTTTTTATACCACGGCCTAATTGTGAACATGACATGTACCGAAAAAGTTTGATATAAGACAAGAAGAACCTAGGTGATGTATTTGCGAATGAAGTGCCGGTCGAGGGACATGCGATCAACGTCGATACGGGAATTAAGGGTCTTAATAGGCCCAATAAAGTTTACCTATAATATGTAGAAGTCCGGGGCCTCGAAAAGTCAGCCTCAGATAGAGGTAAGTTTAGCAATTGATTTTATTAGTCTCTCGGGCGCCGGCCGCTTGTCAATGCTAGTGTCATGTTCACTACTGAAACTATAGCTATTAGCTACGTGTAATAGTGATAGAGATTAGATAGCCCCACTTAAAGACGGACCAGAAGTAGGTAGCATCACGTAGGTTTATTCAGGTATACAATAGTAAAAGTATATACGGACATAATATGCTTTTTAGAATCCTGTCGACTTGGTGTAACTCGAGGTTCTTGGACCCCACGTATCCTTAGCGGCTTATTGCTTTAGGTAGGAGGGGCCGGAGGGGAAACTCGCAGGTACCTGTATATAATTACTCGATAGGTACCTTAAATACCTTCGATATTCCACATCTACTTATATCTTGCATCTCCTTTTTTCTAAAGTTGATTCTATTGGTTAAGAACAATACATTCAAGCCGTAAGGAAGCTGACCTTATCCATCTTGAAAGACATAAAATTTATTCAATTCTACAACCTGCACACAGTATGATAACACTGTCTCTATACTAACTTCCAGCATCGAGAACCTCCTATAAAAAGGTTCCTAAAATACCTCTAATAGGTAACATTCTAATTACCTAACAGAACTATACAGTGTGAAATTCACAACCGCATTTCGCCTATCTTTAAACTATTATCCTGCCACGATCGTACCTGCAAGTTGTGCCAGTCAGACCACCTTTCTAAACTTAACCAATCAAGGCGATTATATAGTTTTGCTGTTAGAAAAAAGACGCTCGGACCAGCTAAAGCCATCAGAAGGGAAGAAGTCGCAGTCTCGCACACCAGACCGAAAACTACTTCTACCTTCCACCAGCCAGCCCGGCCAGCCAGCTTGCCAGGTAGCTTAGGTACTCTGGAATCTGCACACTGCACACTGCACACTGCAGGGCATTCGGCACATAGCCAATCTGTTACAAGTACCTGTAATTCTTCAAGTCCCCACAGAAAACGCTATGTAACTCGTTGGCCTCGACACCTTAACCACCACAACCTCCACTTTCCCATTCAACTCCTTCTCCAACTTTTGACTAACCGTCGCTCTCTAGACCAGAGCAGCAGCAAGAAGCAACGTCCTCCGCGACGAGGTCATCTTACAGCACCGAGCTGGGGGTTGTCGAAGGGAGAATTAGTAGTTGGTCAATTAGCCCCGAGGTGAGACACAACCCGTTTCCTCTTCTTTCTAGCGGTATTGTACTTTTTATTTTATTTTATTTTTATTTTTTTGGCCCAGCCCAGCCCAGCCCAAGCCAAGCACAGCTGTACAATACCAAAATGGTATTACCCAGCACCAAGCACACCAAGCAGTCAAGTAGACCAACAAGCACCAGCACTCAGTTAACCCAGCACGAAAGCACTACCAAACCATATTAGTTATTTGAGTTAAGGTTGCATGGGGCATTCGTGGCCAGCTGCGTCCGCACTGCCCTTATTTTTTTGACGAGGCCGTGTGTTGCCCAGACTGCCATAGGAACACAGAACAGATCAGCATTGGATTAAAATGTGAGAAGAGCGAACGAGCCAGCGACTTTGACCACTTTTTTTTTTAATCGACCACTTCCAATCTTCCAATCTTTTCTGCAGTTGACCTTGTCAACAAAGCACCTTTTTTTTCTGCTTCGACACTCTAAACCGTTCACCTCTTTGTCTTATTTCGCAATCCTTCCCTCGTGGCAGCAAGCTGCTCGTAATTTTTTCCGCACATCGAAACAATTTCCCACCTTTGCGCTCTTTCTATTATCGTCTTGTTTCTAATGCGCTGACGTTCAGCCGTTTTTTTTATTTTATCTACAGTCAAACTGCTACCCTGCAGAAGGTCTGGATATCGGTCAGAAGCAGCTCTGTCACCATAACCACCTCGACACCTCCGAATCCTAACTAAGCACAGCTTGTCTTAGCAGAGCAAGCAAGCTTTATTTGATTCTTCTTTTTTAACTAAGTGAGTTAATTCATCCTTCTTGCGACGTCGAGCTGCTTGTCATACATCGGGCCTGGATTCGCGTCACCTCCACCTCCTTCCTTCAGATCCGCGCTAAGCTTCTCCCGAACCGCAACTTTCCCATTGGTACCTTTCCTCGCTTCACCTACAAATCCGCCAATTGCATCATCTATATCATACCACACCACACCCTCACACTTGCTATCCCTAGCTATTCCCAGCTCTCTTTTCCGTTGACTAACTATTTGGTGTAGGGTGGAAGGGTTAGGATTACCTTCGCCAAGTGTGTCGGATTCGAAATTATTTGCCGAAACTTGACCACTCCTATCTGTTCCCTGAGAATGGTGCAGCAGAAGAAAGGTTCGGGCGAGTCGACGAACGGAATCAGCAAGAGAGAATATCCGACTATGTCCTTCCAGAAGAAGGACCTGTCGGATACTAGAGTTATGGGGGGGAACTCGGGAAAAGGCGATGCCAAACACAATGGTATATACCCTACCAGTTGACTATGACAACGTATGACTCTAACTGCGGTGTAGGCTCGACTATCAATTCGCAGAACAGCTTTCGAACCGACAGTGCTATCTCCTCGTCTCGCCCCGGTCGTGAACGACCCTTGCAGCCCTGGGTTGGGCCAAGCAACTCGGATGGCCTCGACTTGAGCTTGGAAAAGCCTAGCGGCGACGCTCCGTGGGATCAGTTTGCTGCTAACGAGCGTCAGTTTGGTATCAAAACGACATACGATGAAAATATCTACACCACCGCGATTGATAAAAGCCACCCACAGTATAAGGAGAGGGTAGCTGCCGCAGAGAAAAAGGCGAGAGAGATCGAGCGGAGTACCGCCGCTACAGCCCATGTGGCCGAGGAGAGAGTTATGGATCATGTTGGCGGCGATGATGCAGGAGGCAACGAAGAGGAAAAGTAAGTCAGATCATGTCGTGCATTTCGGTAGACTCCGCCTAACTCGGAAATAGGTACAGCGGTGTCAAACGACAAGATTTCCCTCCTTTGCCTAGTAGCCGCGAGCCCAAGTATACACCCCCAGCTAGACGAGCACCAACTGCCGCGTCAACTGTGAAGGGTGCACCAGTCGACCCTGCTATCATATCGTCACAGCTGAAGGCACAGAAGAACCAACCCGCCCTTCCCAAGCAGGATGATAGCAAAGTCCGCCCGAGCCCTAAGGCTGAAATACCTTCGGTGTCTTCTGCTAAACCTGGAGAGCCTAAATTGGATAGTAAAAATGAGGCGCAACAGAAGCCCGTGGAAAACAAACCAGCAAACCAGAACGCCGCCCAGCTGCGACCGTCCGCTGCTACTAGCCGAACTATCTCGCCTCAGACGAAGGATGGCCAGGGCGTCGCGCCTAGTGCCGCTTTAACTGTCGAACGAGATGTTCTTAAAGAGTTCAAGACATTTGCTAACCTGCAGCGCATAAATGCTGAGAAGGCCCGAAGCAACAAGGCGAAGGCCGATAAAGAGGTGAAATTAATCGAGCTAAAGAAATTTGCCGATAATTTCAAGTTGCCAACACCTGTCCCTATGGATTTAATATCTATCATTGCTAAGGATCCGGCGAAGCAACGAGAGATCCAAGAGAAGGCCAAGCGGGATGCAGCTGAGGTCGCGAGAAGAAAGGCCGAGGAGGCTGCCGCAAAGGAGAAGAAGGGGACCACAGCTAAGGAAGCTCAGGCCCCCGCAACTGTTCAAGCGCCTCCCGATAGTAGAAACGGCCGTCCTTCCGCGAACCCCCCAACCGCAGCTCCGGCAGCAGTTCCGCGTCACCAGGGTAACAGCCGTCAGAGCTTTATCCCGCCCGCATATCCCTACCAAGGAAATCGCTCAGGTCCTCAGCATATGCAGCAATCCGGCCGCCAGGGTGGGTTGGCCGGGCGTCTTCGGTCTCTAGACGCGCAAAAAGCGCAAGGTCAGGATGTTAGGTTACCTCCGACTGGCCCTGCTAACCCGGCTGATCCTTCTTTCGGTCGTCGTATCGGTGGTCATATAGGTCAGAAGTTGAATCCGAACAGTCACGAGTTCCGACCTAATGCGTTTGCGCCTGCTTTTAACCCGAATGGGCACCCCAGCGCAGGCTCAAGCCCGCGTTCGGCTATTAATCATGCAACCGATGCACAAACCAATGCTGCCAATATTCATACTGCACTTGTGGTTGTAACTAAGAAGAGAAAGTTAGTCGATTCCAAGAAATGTGCTATATTGCCTTTCGTCAAGACCATTCAACCTCCGGAGAACAAAAACTGGAACGAAAATGATGGGCTTCGTCCCTCTTACGATACTCCGCCAACCTGGCGTTCTGCAACAGACGACGAAAAGCCGGATTCAACAATGCGCTTGACGTTTGATGAATATTTTGAACGGCAGCCGTTCAATACGCAACCTACTCCCAACCCTCCCCATCTACTACCGCAACTAGCCCATCAACATCAATTACCTCTACACATGCAGCACTTCGCACACCCTGCTGCACCACGGCACTCGCCTCATGTACCTCCGGTGCAAATACATGCTAATCACGGCCCTGTTCCTCACGCACCGTTCAATGGAGCAGACGATCATAGAATGATGCACTCGAACTCATCACAGTCCTACTCGTCTCCAAGAATGAGCCAGGTTCCGCTCGTATACCCACCTAACATGAATTCGGCAGGTCAAATGCCTTATAACCAACACATGATACCTTCTTTTATTGGCCCCGGAGCGCCACCGATGAACCAGTTCAATCGGAGCTTCTCTAATTCCCCACAATACGTCCCTCAGCAGCCGGGAGCAATGGGTGCCCCGATGATGATGCAGCCACAGTTCATGCCACAACCAATGGTAAACGGCCCTCCGCAGCTGCAACCTTACCCTGGTGCTGGCCATCTACAATTTATACCTCCCGGCGCAACTCCCCCTCAGCCAATGCCTGGTGTCAATGGTTATCCAAGCCCAGGAAGGCCTGCAGCCCCTCTAATGGTCCATCAAGGATCACAGCAAGGACAGCCCATCTATAATATGAGCCCTAGCGTGCAGTATCAGCAGCCGGCAACATTTGTACCACAGCAGCAAGGACAGAGTAAGTCACGATAGAGATGGCAACCGAACTAAGAGCAAGTTAGCTAATATACTAGGGGTAGTGAATTCCATGCGAGGATATAGTAACCCCGGCCCGGGACAACATCTCGGCACAAGCCCACAGCAGATGCATCAGTACGGGCCCCCGCACCGCAATGGAAGTAACAACTTCAAGAACTACCAAGGCCACAACCAACACCAAGGTCCTCAAGGTAGCCACGCAATCCCGTCAGGGCCCCAGGGACGATCTTCGGATGGTCCTGACGAAGCCAAGTGAAGGGAGCATTGGAAACTGCTCCCTAAAAACTTAACCAGCGCCGCGCTCCAGCGCATACCTGTTTCTTCATTCAACATGGCATCAGTATTAGCCACCTATGCTCGTCGATTCTATCATCTTTGCATGGACATATAGCGTTATCAGCATTGTGACCTCGATCCGGTTTTCATCTTCTTTTAGCCTGTCCAGTTGGGTGAAGGCCTAGTAGCAATAGTTTGTTACGAGGATCGGTCGCACGAGAGTCGCTGATTACACATATCCTACTGGATCTTAAAACCAATATGCACGTGCCAACATCTTCTATGGCGTGGCCCTTAGTTACCTTGGCCTCGTAGGATATGTCTTTCGAATGTTTATTTGCCTAAGCAACGACAGGCTTGGGAAGGCATCGACCAGGATGAGGAAGTGTTGGAGCAGGCGGTCGGTGATGGATGAGGCGAAGCAGCTCGAGCTTCTACAGGTCGAAAGGAAGAAGGAGTCAAGTAGCTTTTATCTTGCTGTAGCTTTGGCTTGATCGGAACGGTTGCTTCCTTACGCCAGCGTCGTAATCCGTTATGCTTACTGTCAATTATTAAAGAATAGCTTCAGCCAAGCATGAGGGGAGATGTTGTCTGTGGGATTGTCGGCTCAAGTGACCATAACTTGGTTCAAAGTTATTGGAAAGTCCTCGGGAATGCCAATGAGAGACAGCCATATCGTTGTATCGATCTCGCAGATAACAATAAAAAATAGTGTCTACACTACCTAAGCCTTACGTTGGTCTCGTGTTCACTGCCTACCTAGGTAGATACCTCTAGCATACCTTAGGTACGTGAGTAATGTAGTAAGGTCCTGTATTGATTAATAACTTATGTGGACATGTTGTGGTAATGCTTGCTGAGGCTAGGTACCTAGTTAGATGGAATCCACCTTAATGTACCAATTTCGTATCTCGATATTATACCGAACGCGTAGGTCAAAATTGGCCTTATATAGCGACAAGAGTATGGGAACATTGGTATCTCCTCCGAATACCAGCAGCATCAGCGTATATGAAGAGCAATATGTCGAACACGTACTATGTTATTGTGTAGTAGGTCTCTTGTCTGTGAGTGTGCTATGAGACGGATATGAGGTATATACCTAGAATCTTACCTTGACTCGTTGCCGTTCAGAGTATCTGACCTGCCTATAAGATTCAGTACAGCATTAAAGCAGATATTATTTCAGGTCCATGCATTTGAAACTTGGGAACGCAAAGCGATGATGAGCGCGTCAGAATATCCATCCATACATAGGATCTAACTAGCTAGATCTACTTTGATATTTACCGAGATAACATAGGATTTCTTGTCTGTGCAGTTGCTCGGCTTTACTTTCACTTTATTTCCAAGATATTCTGTAAATTATGGTTTCTATTTCTTTTCCTCATTGAAGCGTGTTAGTGATAAATGAAGCAGTTGAAACAGACAAGGCTGACGTGTTGACCTGCCGTATGCGGGAAGGTTTTGATCATCCTTCCTTCCTACCTCGGGGATTTTTTGTGTCTATTTAAAATAATACCAAACACCTAAATAAAAACGGCCTCGGCATTTTATAGGGTTGCGTCGCAGTTGGGATAACTACCTAGACCTACCTACATTACCATTATGACAAGGACAATATATGTGAGGGAGACGGGGAATGGAGATGACGGCTTCATGCGAACCCGGACGAGGTCGGGTAGCATTTCGGATGTTTCAGTGTTTCAACTTTTCAACCAATCAGATTGCGAGTCATGGGTTGCCTCAGTCGAGTGGGTTTGAGATCTTTAGTGCAGGGGTTAGGAGAAGTAGAAGAAGGGGAAAAAAAAGGAGGGGTTCGTCAACCAATTTGAATTTTGAACGTTTCAAAATCATGAGTACCTTAGGTAGGTACCTACGTATACGAGAAATAGTATTACGTTAGGTAAGTGCAAGCTAAATGAAGAAGCACAGAGGAAAGATGACTAACTCCCCCCCTTTTTTTTTCCCCTCTCTTCTCCTGTTGGGTGTCTTTTGGCCACTTGGGTCTGGGGATGAACTGACTGACTGCCCCTAGTATATGATAGGTATGCACCTAGGTACCTATGACCCATGTTTATCAGGCTATTCTTGTCATATGCCATATGCACGTAAAGTCTCCAACACCAGAAGGCGATCACTTACTAGGTATCTCTCTTTTTTCTTCTTCCTTGTCCGCGCGTGCGGTGATGTGATTGTCAAAAGATCTACGTAGTCTTAGGAACCAATGGGAGGCCTTTGCCCCTGACTTTTTTTTTCTCGTCATTGACATTCCCGGACTACATTACCCTATCAACGCCACAACCTTACTCGTGCTATTGCCGCCATCCGCCGTGAAAAAAAAAAAAAAAAAAAAAAAAAGCATGGATTGTGGCGATCAGGTCGGTAGCCGGCTCTACTGCGGTCGTCACATTAAGAACAAACAAACAAACAAACAGTTCATGAGTCGCTAACGCATTTTTCAATTGTCGAGTCCTCATGTGCCGAGGCTCATTACTCGTCGGGTCTCTGCACGCCACTTCTGATTTGCCCCTGAGAAGTGGCATTTAGAGACCGACGAGTACCCTACATACATAGACGAGTCCTCTCAAAGATAAAGTACCTAGGTACTATTTATTACCCACATTGTGGTTTCTATTTTAACTCCTCTACACATTATGTAATTCATATGTTGTTGCCGTTAAGGGTAGGTAATTGGTTTGGATTGGGTTTAGTCCAGTCGAAGGAATTCACATTACATAGTATCCATATGAGTGCGACAAAGGAAAACCCAGGGGTGGAGGGTGTGTTCCAGGGGATCAAAATGAAATGCTTAGATGTGGAAGGAGGGTCCAACTATGTACTAGACAATAAGCGTCATCTAACCCTTTAACCTAGCTGCTTAGCTGAAATAGGTAGATCAAGATGCTGTGCCTGGATCGAAGCTGACGACTGTGGCTAAGGAGGCTAGAATACCGAATACCGTACACAAAGTTTAAGTGGTGAAAAGTGAAAGGTGCTTTTGCAGCCACTGACTAGCTAGGTCAGGGTTAGATGTTTCACCAATTCAGGTACCAAATCTGGCTCATTGGTGTAGGTTAACTCACTAAACTTGACCCCACCCACCTATCCTCCACTTTTTTTTTTTTTACCGCTGCGGCGCATCTGGCAAAGCAGGTACGCATGTTAGGTACCTATTGCATTGCATTGTACGCACGCAGGCGCATGACTCCGATCTTAGCCACCACTCATCTTCACCCTTTCATCACCTCCCGTTACAATTACCATGCTTCATACTTTACCATACTTACCATACTTACATAGATTAATTATTATGCTTATTTTCCGTAATATCTAGCGTCATCCAAAAATCCTTCGATGGGGAAGCTTATTCCCTAGGTAGGCATGTGCAATGAAAGGGAATCAAGAAGTGTGTTTTGCATCGTTTGAAGATCTGCTCTCTTGCAGTATAATCCCGATGGAATGGCTGCTTGTAGGCCACCCATTCGATGGCCACCTACTCTATTTCTTTCAACGAATCTGTGGATCTGCCTCGTGAAGATCGATGCATAACCACTCCCCACTCCAGCGGCTGCCTGGCTTCCTGGCTTCCTCTCTTCCTAGGTGAATACCCCCCTTGTCGTGACTCGTTACGCCCCATCAGCTACGCCATGCGAGCCGTACAGACCAGATAGACGGACTGCAGTTCTTACTTCGTACTTGGTGCGCGCCTGTCGATTCCCGGCCTGCGCTACCTCATCCAGACAGGTTAGGCAGGCGGGTATGTGGATATGCGCGGGGCTTACCCATGTACATCCGGATTCACGATTCAGGGGTTCTTCCAACTAAGACATAGATGTCAGCCCGAACGAGGGCGGGAGACCCGGTCGAAGCCAGCCATCATGGGGAGTGCACCTTAGGGTCAGCACTACAGGGTCCCCGACTCTGTCTTGTCGAATCTGGATGTGACGTTGCCGCTTGCACGCAACCGCTACGCCTCCTAATATGGGTTCTAAGAGTTCGACAATAATATAAAAATGTTCGGCACCCTCGACATATCACAATTTCCTCTCACCACAATTCATCCGTTTCATCGGTGAAATACAAGATCTTTCTCGTCTCCCCCCCTACTCTCATTTTTTCTTACCACTAAATTTGTTCTGCTGGTCACTCAGGAATTCCCAGGCGGTTTCCTATTTTTCCATTACATCGGTTCATTGTTCTACGGTCACCTGGCACGGTAGTTCTCGGTCGATAAACAAAGCCCCAGAGGCAAATCTCAATCTCTCCCCATTCTTTGTTTACGAATATTTATCTTTAACCACCGAGATCCCTTGGCAACTTATCCTGCCAACGCTCTTTTCTAAACTTTGAACCAGATTTTGGAAATCTACCACGTGCCAACAGGCAAATCACACTCCTTTACTTTTCTCTTGACGAGAGAAGCCGAAACGAAAAAAGAAAAAAAGTACAATTACAAGAATAGCGAAGATGCAGATTGTATCCTTCCTCGTTGCCGCGCTGGCTGCCGGTACAGCCACGGCTCACATGAACATGAAGGACCCTCCCCCATTGGCGTACAAGGGTAACCCGAACGCTAAGGACCCGAATATCGACTACTCTATCACTTCTCCCCTCTCGGGCGCCTCCCAATTCCCTTGCAAGGGTTATCTCAAGTTGCTCGGTACCCCCGAGGGTGCTTCCGTCAAGACCTACGCCCCCGGTGGTCAGTACACCATGAGCGTCGAAGGAGGTGCCTACCACAACGGCGGTAGCTGTCAACTCTCCTTGTCCTACGACCAGGGCAAGACCTTCAAGGTTATCAAGTCCTTTATCGGTAACTGCCCTACCGCTTCAGGTGGCACCTTTGGGTTTGACGTCCCCGCCGATGCTCCCGAGGGCGATGAGGTCGTTTTCGCCTGGACCTGGGTCAACAATACTGGTAACCGTGAATTCTACATGTCTTGCGCTGTCGTCTCCATCAAGGCTGGCGGCGCCAAGCGGGAGCTCCCCGCGGCCAACATGAAGCGTGGCGTTGCCTTCTCCGACCGCCCTGATATGTTCGTTGCGAACCTTGGTGGCGAGTACTGCACTGCGGAAGGTGTCGACACTGTCTACCCCGAGCCTGGCCCAGATGTTGAGGACACGTCTACCAAGCCCGGTGCTGCTAAGATCTGTGCCACTGGTGCCGACGCTCCCATGGGTGATACCTCTGGCTCTGGCGGCTCTGGCTCCGCTCCTGCTCCCTCGGCTAGCTCTGCTTCCGCTCCTTCGGCTAGTTCTGCTCCCGCCCAGCAGCCTTCTTCTGCCGTGGAGCAGCCTACTCAGGCCGTGCCTTCACTGTACGTATCTTAAATATGTTAATCGTCGTTTTGATCGCCGAACTAACTTTCTCTAGTCCCGGCGGTGTTTTCGTAACTCAGCCACCCGCGAGCAATGGCGAGGCCACTCCTACCCCGGCTCCTACTCCTTCGACTCTATCTACTGCCATCATCCCGGGTACCAGTGCTGGTGCTTCTTCGGCTGCTCCGGCGCCTACTCCCTCATCCCCCGCTGGAAGCCCTGTTAACCCCGGCACCCCCACCAGCAGCGCTAAGACCCCGACCTCAACCGGTGGTGCCGGTGCCGGTGCCGGTGCTCAGTCTGGTGCTTGCTCCAACGAGGGTGCTTGGGCTTGCGCCGCCGATGGCTCTTCGTTCCAGCGATGCGCTGCCGGCCAATGGAGCCAGTCCATCCCCATGGCCTCGGGCACCAAGTGCACTCCCGGTGTCAGCGACAGCTTCCAGATGGGCCGTGCCCGACGAAGCCGTGTTCGCCGCGCCGCTAACATCTAAGTCGGATGGTTTAGCCAACATACAAATCCTTACTCTCAACGCTTAGGGGGGTAGGATCACTTCAGCTGTACATATTTAGCATCTTCCTTTTCTTTTCTTTTCGCACCTTCTTTTCTTCTCTTTTCGAGAAAGATGCTTGGTTTTTTTTCCCTTGGCTTTTGGATAGAATCATGTATACTAGGTCCCGGCTTAAAAAAAGGGACGGTGTTCCGGCTGCATGATTGACAAGGAATGGAGGCATAACAGCATTCGCTTGAGCAACGGGGTTGGATGCCAAGGGGAGACGAGACCTCCAAAGCACACCATCCTCGGATGCTAGATAAACTATAAATTTATAAGATCTTGATGACCATTAAACCTTTACCGCTTTTTTTTTAGTGAATTAAATTGACCTGGTGCTTTTGAGCTTGAAATAAGCGGTATCTTAAGCTATTTAAAAACCTAGTTGTCTTATTAGTCCTATTTACTAGGTTACCTACCTACCTACCTAACCTATACTTGAAGCGCGCGCAGTTCGAAGATTATATGCGTCTTTTGTGCGTATGTATTCCCCAAGCAGAAAGGAGAAATACGAGTGCCCAATGAAAGGAGAGACGAATCAGAACTCGGAGACTGTGGTGTTACTACGCCACGCCTACCCTATATGGATGCTTGGCATGTTGTGACACTGCCGTTTAATATAGGTGGGATTCAAGGTAGGTAGCCATTAACTTGGGTACCTGGTATGTATTATCTCGGGTGTCTGCCATTGTAAAGTCTGGCAGGGTTTTACGATAGGGAGAGTCTTGGGTTTTTTTTTGGGTTTTGTGTGTGTATGCGTGTAGGAAGATTAGCATAATCCCGTATGCGAGTCGTATTTTAGGTGTACCTATATTTTATATGTGGCTGTCACTTCAGTGGCTTAAAGAACATTTACCCCGTTAGGCATGTTTATTATTAGTATAAGTTCGACGCAGCACCCCCTAAGGGGGTACTGCGCTTTAATTAGGTAAATAGGTGGTCAGTCATTAAGGACTTTTCTGAAATGCTTCCGGATAGGTACCTACCTAAGGTAGGTAGGTGTGCTTCTTACCGATTTCGATAGTTATATTCTTTCAAATGTCCATATAATTTCAAAGGTGTTCATAACTTGGCCGCTTTTCCAAGAAGCCAGGGTCGGAATGACCTCTTATTGGGGTACGCTGGCTTAACGACTGGCCGTTCCCTTGATGAAAGCGCAGCACCCCCTTAAGAGGGGTACTGTCGTCGACTATATATACCTAGAAAGCACTAATGAGCTGAACTAGGGGAAGTAAAGGGGCTTACACGCTATTAGATAGACAGGCAGACTGCCGAGATATAATATAGGTTAGTAGACTCTATGAATCTGAATATACCAACACGCCAGGAGCGCGGTGATACAGTATCAGGCCCGTTTTATTACGATCAGGATTCACACCCGCAGAAAGCCACATTCTACGCCGCTGAGATGCTTCCGGCGATCAACTTGAATCTCTTATATAGCAGCGATGCTGTGTTACACCACGCATACCTATTTCTGATACCGACTGTCCACCGCAATGATAGCTCACTGTGCTCCTCGCGTTCATCCTTACTCGCTCAAGTCCACATAATCACCTACCTCCTACGGCTTTCATGGATGTCTGTTATTCAAAGTGGACAAACGCGCACTAAAGATCAACATAGTGGATTCGTGAAGCTTGGTCTCCCTTCAGCTTATTTACTTACCATCTCTAATTTCGGATACAGCATAAATCGTCCAGCGAGTTCCAGGTACGCATGACCGTTGGATTGTCCGGGAGGTACCTAACCCAATGTTAACGTTCTTGCCTACCTAAGGTACCCTTATAGACATAAACTTTGTATTCAAGATGTCAATAATTCCTAGCTCTTCGCCCTGGCCACTACCCACGTCATTTGTATGTAAGCCTGGGACTAGGTAATGGTCTGTTCTCGACGCCCCGCCCCCTGCACCACATTAACTCCTTCCATCGAGAAGAAAAATGACCAACGCTAGGGAAAGGGCCCGACGACATATGTACTGGCTATTCTGACAGCGATGCTCAAACTGGTACAGACGTGATCCTCTGTTACCCTGGTTACGCGGACGGGTGGGCGAGAACTGCATATTCTCCCGGCCTTTTCTGTCCCCGTGGCATGACCACGGCTGCGAGTGCGATCTCGCCTGATGGGGTCTGGTGCTGTCCCACGTACGTAGAGATATCTTTCCACAGCTTGAGTGCCTACGTAGCTGCACAATTTATTAACAGCACCCCCGATACATAGCGGCCTGACGTGGGCGGCGTCCCCCCCTTGGTGCAAGGGCAAAGTAGAGGCGAGCTACTTCGTATCGTCTCAATATGGGTGCGCTGTTGATAATTTGGCAGTCACATTTGGCGGCAGCGATGCGCATGCCAATTCCCAGAATTTCACCTTCGTTGCACACCTAGACCATGAAACAGGAGTCGGGATCGGATACTCCACAGTCACGCTTCAGGCAAGGGATATAGTGGTGACAGCACAGGCTAAGGGCATCTTCCTCGAGGGCCAAACCATGACTCCAACGACTACCGTGCCCAATAACAACAATGTCAACACAGAGGCTATATCACCACCCAGTGGCAGTAATGTCATCACGGAGAAGGTTATCTCGCGTAGCGTTTCTATCCCTGGAATAGTATGCGGCGTTCTTGGAGCCTGCATACTTCTGGGAGTAGTCTATGTTCTAGGGAGGCGGCGGCGGAGGCGGGGTCGCCAAGCAGCGCAAGGCGATGATGATTCGGCGGGTGCAAGCGGGGATTTCAGCGGGACCGTCGATGCGGAGGGATTATCTGACGGCTATCGAAAAGCAGAGCTGGACGCTTCGGCCCAGGCGACCCGCTCCGAGCTCGAGGGGCCGGTAGAACGCAACTACGGCGCGGGCATATACGTGCAGAAGCCCGAGCTGGAGGGCACGCGAGCGGAGAGACACGCCGAAGGGGCCGTGTACGTCAGGAACAAGGCCGAGCTGGAGGGGCGGTTGCGCGAGATCGCGGAGCTGGAAGCGATTCCGTGGTCTGCGCGGAGGAAGGCCCAGACATTGCCGCCGTCCCCTACGATTCCTGGCCTAAGTTGACGTAGCATATGACGAGACGAAAGCCTATAGCCATGTTTGACTTTAGGTAGGTAACTGGTTTCCCAATAACCAAGTTAAAAAGAAAGCTCGTATGGGTTAAGTCTCCGAGGTATTAATAACGAAGTTCGGGTCGGAGAATATACCCTCCTGTATTATCTACAACATATAAGACGTCGAGGTGTTCATGAGCATGTCTTATTCAGGCACTATCTATGATTAAAAATAATGTATTATCTACTACGAAGAAGAAAAAGAATATATAATATACGCCAAAAGTAGGCATATTTCACTCTGGATCTCGCATTCTGAACCAAACAGAGCAGACATTTTAAGATATAATCTATGAGTTTTAAACAGTATTATTCTACGACTTACATACCTCATCAGCTTAAGGTCTAAAAAACATGAAATCGATGAAATGATAAGGTACTTACTTAGATAGATTTAATGATAGTTGTGGTAAAACGGAGATAGTGAACCTCGTGAATAGGAGAGTCTTCGACACCTCTCAACTATACATAGTAGTTCTAGGTGTGTCTATAATGTATAAGTGGGTGGGTGAATGCAAAGGGCGGAAATCAAGTTCAATGACGGTCGTAGAGCTATAGCAATATCATTAAACAATGTGAAATGCCTAAATAAGGTATGACATTGCCTGTGGTGATATAATTCCCGGATAAATATATGTTTAAGTCTTATTGAGTCCTGATTTGTCTAATGTAGACTGAGTTGTGACTATACTGGTCTGACTTATACATAAGCAAGTTATCATAACTCATTCAATGTACCTGTTATTGATATGATAGTTATGCACTTCTTAGATCATTGTCTATCTGTTTCCTATTAGTTATTACTTAACTAACCACCTAAGGGTAAGCTATAAGCTCATGTACCTACCTGTTTACTAAGTCTACCTAAGGTAGGAGGTAGTTTATAGTGTACAACCTTCACCCACGGGATATGAGAATGAAATAATATTAACCGCTAAACCCAATTGGTAGCTTTGGCTTGACAACGGATCCACCGACGTTTAACCCGAATTTGACAAGGACCGCAGCCCCTTGTCACAGGTTCGAATTCAGGAGAGAGAGAAAGAGGGAAGTATCTTTTTTTTATGGTCTGCAGGTTGCGGCGCGATCCTTTCTTTTCACCTTCAACAACTACAACAACCAACCTCCATCATACTTTCAAATTAAGAAACTTGCAGTCATTCCTTACGCTGCGGTCTCGTCACTCATTTCAAATACCCACCCCAATAGTCACTCATTAATCTATTAGACAATATTTGCGATAGCATATATTCTCTCTATTTCCCCGATCGATTCGGTCTCATCACCTCGGCGCGTGCCATTTAGAACCCGTGTTTCAGCCAATCCGTTTCAATTCTTCTCGAGCGATTTCGATACCATCTCCGTCAATATGCGTGCTTTCTTCGCTATCTTCGCCGCCGTTCTGGCTTTCGTCCAGGTTGCTGCTGCTATTCCCCCTGCCTGTCTGTTGGCTGCCCTTGGGTACGTTGGTTCCGGTTCGATCCAAGCTGCGCTGCTTAGCTAGGAAGAGCAACGCAATAAATATTGGGACTAATTTTTATTGCAAATTCTTGTAGTGTTCAGGAAAACCCGGCCGATTTGAAGGCGGTCTGCGGTGACCTCCAGCATGCCATCCAGGGCAACTTGACGAGCAACTGCCACAAGGACGTCCTCTCCGAGGCCTACAATGTCTACTCCTCCAAGTGCCTGGAGCAGGGCGTGACCGTCGCTAAGCTCCCCACCTCCTCGACTTCTTCCGCTCACTCCAGCACCGGTACTAGCACCGCTTCCGCTACTGGCTCCGGCTCCGTGTCTGCTTCTGCTACTCCCACCGGCGACTCGACTGCCGACAACTCTGGATCCGGCAGCACCACCACCCCCACGTGAGTATCTCGCAATACATTTTTTTTTCTCTTCGTACGGTTTACTAATGACTTTCGATCAGCGAATCCAGCAGCTCCGCTGTCCCTACTGGAAATGCCGGCATGGCCACGGAGCCCAAGCCTTTCCTCTTCGCTGCCGCCGCGCTTTTCGCCACGGGATTGACTAGCGTTATCTTTTTGTAAAAGAAAGAGGGAAAAAAAAACGATATTCTAAAGAAGTAGTACCTAGCGATGAGGAAGTGAATAGAGATCTAGATACGTTGCGTCTAAAAAGGGCGGTTGGTTTTTGAATCGTGTCTCAAGCGCATCTTATACCCCTTCCCAAATTCCCAACGGGCCCCCAGATTAAACTAAGTTAGACTCGCATGTGTTTGGGTAGCAGACAGAGAAGCTCCTCCCGAAAAAAGGGGGGGTCAGTTATCAATATTCATCTATCCGTCTGGCCTTGATTTTCAACAGAAAATATAGATGGAAATACATATACACATATACTTGTACTATACTATTGATTGTTTATTATTATTATTATTGTTTATTTTTTTATGATTCGTCGAGCAACGTGCTATCTTCCAGCTGGTCTAAGAGCTTCGCTTCCAGGAGCCTCATGACCGCATCCTCCCTGAGGAGGGTCGCTTTGTTCTCCTCCCACTTCAGCCACGTCACGCCCTGCAGGAGACAATCCGTCAGGTCGTCGAGCTTCTGCGACCCGGTGCCGCGGATCAGATCCCCCACGTCGGGCGTCGTCGACGACGATTTCCTCTTCCCCTTCCCCGTGCGCGAGAGCTTCGAGCGGACCCACGCGACGGCGTTCTCCATGTCCCCGTTCGCCGGCTGGATGATCTCGCTCTTCCCCGTTTCCGCTAACCACCCCGTAAGAACGCCGATCTTCAGCTTCTTGCTGTTCTGCGACGACTTGGCTGATTTGGTCGTCTTTCGCGTCTTCCCTTTGACTGCTTCTGCCACTGCTTCATCTTCCTCCTCCACCTCCACCTCTTCTTCTTTTTCTTCTTTTTCTTCTTTCGCAGCCCGACTGCTTCTCTTTTTCTTCGGAGCTTCCTCGCTCACGGCCAGCCCCGGGGGAGGCGGCCAGAACCGCGTGACCCTATTCGGCGCCATGGGAACCATCTCGCCGTCCCAGTGGCCGAGCTCCTTGAGCGTGCGGAACGTCGCGTGCAGCATGGCCTCGAGCGTGTTGACGCGGAGCGTCCACTCCTGGACCGCGGCCGCGCCGTGGCTCCGCCACCGCTGCCGCTCGATGAGCACGTGCGTCGGCTTCAGGGGCAGCAGGTCGTGCCTCACGAGGCGGTCCGTCGCGACCGCCAACGATGCCGGACTATACCTATCCGGGTCCTCGACGCCGTCCTCCAGCGGGGGCAGGAGCTCCCGCCGCTGCCACCGGTGGAGACGGACGGGCGGCGGGCGGCGGAGGTCGTCGACCGTCAGAGTCCTGGGCGACAATGGCTTTGACGGCGCGGCGAGAGAAATGAGGCTGAATCCCAGGTTGCGGATTCCCAAGTCGATGCTCAGAACGAGGCGCGAGTCCTTGGTGGCGGGCCGCTTGGGTTTGGCGGCTTGGCTCAGGGCTACGAGGCGCTCGACGAGATCGCTTTTCCTGCCGGTGGTTTTGTCGCCGCATAGCGAGGCGAGCTGTTTCAGGTGCACGGCTTTGAACTTGGGCAGGAGGGCTTCTAGCTTTGACGACATGGTGGGTGGTGGTGACGATGTCAATGGTAGCGACGTGTATATCCCACACGCATAGCGCACCTAGGTATGTAACCAAGCAAGCCTTGCCGACTCCCTATAATCTCACCTTCTCATCAACATCAACTCCGACGCCATGAGGAGGGGATAAGAGTATGATATGATAAGTGAATCTAGTTAACGATGGTCTTCTTCTTTGAACCGTCTAAAAATACCAATAAGCTTCTCTGAATATGAATTACCGATCCAATACCTGAAAACTCATATACTTCATAAAAAAAAAAAATAAAAAAAAAGATAGTATGCCACGCTAATACATACTATGTGGTAGTAGTTCGTCAAGTTTTTGCTCGTGGTACTTGCGTACCTATAACTGGGGTTTGCATTTAGACAATCACGTGACTGTTGTATATACATGTATACTTATAGGTAACCAGTAGAACAAGCAAGTTCTGGTTTATTCTCAGCTCCAGTCACTTGCCTCCTTAACGGCGGAAAGGGTTCTATACGATGTTAGAATGTGATGAGTAAAGTATATGGATTACAAATAGGTAAGCGAACTTAAGGTTTGAATTGGCATTTCAAGGAGGTACCTATTGACAATTTAGGCACTGGCTAAGAATATTATTGGTTAACTACCCGTTTCAATGTTTTCCAGGGTCTTTCGTTTGCTCGAGTAAGAATAGTTTGCATATCTTGCTCACATGACACTTGCTATTTGGAATACCGACTGTAGTTCAATACACTAGATACTAGGTACCCATGTTCTATTTATCTCTCAAATACTTACTAAAGGTCTAGATGTAATTAAATGGAATTAAGTCGTAAACTACCTTAGGTACCTAGGTACCTAGGTACCTTATAAGAATTTTGGTAGAAATGTAAGGTAATAGAATACTATGTAGGAAGGGTCTTGTTATAATAGTGCAGGGTTATGTTACGTACGTATTGTATTGTACCTAGCCATAAAGGAGCTAAATCGCTACCTAACATGCTCAAGGATTTATTTGTCAAAAGACCCTGGCAAGGTACCTAGGTAGCGCGGGAACGGCGTACTTAAAAATAGGTACAGGTGCTTACTGATCACCGGTCTAGTTCCGACAAGGTGTTTGATGATTCATCCGCACGTAAAAGCCGCTGTAACTTGCTGTAAGTTGCCTATCTGATTGGAAATTCGCCGTTACAAATTCATCCAGCCCTACGGGTGTCTTATCTGATCCCGCAGCTTGCCGCTGTAACGTAGAACAGATAGATCCCTCAATATTTTTTTTTGGTAACCGTTTTCACTCATTCCGCAAGGTCTACCATATAAGACGTCATATTTTCCTCTCCACCCCGCCATTCCTTTCGTTTTTCTTTTTCCTTTTTCTTCCCCTCCCGTTGGAGTAAAGCAGGTCAATGCAAGCCGTTGGGTTATTTAGTCGCATATCGGCTGCCGCTGCTGCTAGTACTATCGTGACTTTGAAATATCCGTCTGCTTTTACTTCTAGATCCAGGACGGCGACCTCGCGAATAGCTTCACTCTCTAGACACTTCTCCTACACCCTGCGCATCATGGCTCCCATATCGAAGGAGACTGACCTTCTGGTCATTGGTGGTGGAAGTGGGGGTCTTGGTTGCGCACGCATGGCCAGCGGCAAGTTTGGTGCCAAAGCCATGATCGTCGAAGCCGGGCGCCTCGGTGGTACCTGTGTAAACGTCGGGTACTGTAACCCCTCCTCTATACTACCTCCTATCCTATTAAGTGAAATATAAAAAGAAGAAAAAAAAAGGAAAAAAGCTAATACAGTATTTATTCTAGTTGCGTACCTAAAAAAGTCACCTTCAATGCCGCCGCCCTCGCCGAGGCCATCCACGACGCCAGAGCCTACGGCTTCTCGGTCCAAGAAACCAAGCCGTTCGACTTCACCACGTTCAAGCACAAGCGGGACGCCTACGTCGAGCGGCTGAACGGCATCTATGAACGGAACCTGGCCAAAGACAATGTGGAGTACGTGCACGGGTGGGCGAGGCTGCTGAATCGGAACGAGGTCGAGATCACGCTGGACGACGGTTCCAAGACCACCGTCCGCGCCAACAAGATCCTCGTCGCCGTCGGCGGCCAGCCCATCAAGCCCTCGCCCGGCGAGATCCCCGGCGCCGAGCACGGCATCGACAGCGACGGCTTCTTCGACATCGAAGTCCTGCCCAAGAAGGTCGCCCTCGTCGGCGCCGGCTACATCGCCGTCGAGTTCGCCGGCATGCTCAACGCCTTCGGCACCGAGACCCACCTGTTCATCCGCGCCAACACCTTCTTGCGCCACTTCGACCCCATGATCCAGGAGAGCCTCACCGCCGAGTACGAGCGCATCGGCGTGCACCTGCACAAGGAGTCCAGCCAGAGCAAGGTCGAGAAGGACCCGAGCACGGGCAAGCTGACGCTGCACTACAAGGACAGCAACGGCGAGGGCAAGCTCGAGGACATCGACCACCTGATCTGGGCCATCGGCCGCACTCCCATGACCAAGAACATCGGCCTCGAGGAGGCGGGCGTCAAGCTCGACGAGAGGGGGTACGTCGTCACCGACGAGTATCAGAACACGACCGTGGACAACATCTACGCGCTCGGCGACGTGTCGGGGCGGGTGGAACTAACCCCGGTGGCCATCGCCGCGGGCCGACGTCTCGCGGAGCGGCTGTATGGCGGGGAGCAGTTCAAGGCGGCGCGGATCGACTACGACAACGTGCCGTCGGTGGTGTTCGCGCACCCGGAGGTAGGCAGCATCGGGCTGACGGAGCCGGAAGCGGTGGAACGATACGGGCGGGACAACCTGAAGGTCTACCAGACGAGCTTCACGGCCATGTACTACGCCATGATGGAGCCCCAGGACAAGGCGCCCACCAAGTACAAGGTGATCTGCGCGGGGCCCGAGGAGAAGGTCGTCGGCCTGCACATCATGGGCCTCGGCTCCGGCGAGATGCTGCAGGGCTTCGGCGTCGCCGTCAAGATGGGCGCCACCAAGAAGGACCTCGACGCGTGCATCCCCATCCACCCCACCAGCGCCGAGGAGCTGGTTACTTTGAAGTAAACAGATACCTACCTACTTACCTACCTACCTAACCTTGTACAGAGGAAAAGAAGAAGAAGAAAAATCGAAAAGGAATAGCTAGCTCAAGGAATGAGAAGGAAATGGGTCTTGATACCCGGTAGATATATAGATATATATATAGATAGATGTAACCAAACCAATGAATGAATGTATGATATAGAATTAAGCTAGCTCAATAGACGCTCTCCAAGCCCAGCAAGAAATGGATATCAAGTTAAATCACCTACCTATGGTATGTATGTTTCTCCAAGACCTCAATCGTACCTAGGTAGGACAAATGCTACGTGACCCAACCAACTATCGTAAGCTGAAGTGTAAAAAAGGGGGGAGAACATCCTCTGCTGCTGATTACTGCCTTCTCCGGCAAGTCGATAAGTCGAGGATTTAGTTACTCCAGGTGTACTTCGTACGTAGGTACCTACCTACATATGACTGCATTAGCTTCTTACGACATCAGCCATAACATTGGCATTTCATTTTTATGTGTTGGTGTCAGCACTCTCTCTACGCCTCTCTCACCTTTTTTACCTTCCCCCCTTTATGGACTGGGTTTGGAAATTTTTTTTTTTTTTTAAAAAAAAAGGAGGATCACGTATGACAGAGCGAGTTGACTAGTAGCACTCGACTTGTCGTGATACGTTCTTTCAGGTCCAAAGGGGCACGGGTAATTATTCAAAGCACTAGCTATTGTTCCCAGCTATGGGAGCTGCCGAACAGTACGGATTACACTTGCAGCTAGGCCAACTCAGTTTTCGTGACTTTTCAATAACCTCAACAATCATAACAAGCACTAGAGAGATCACACACAAGAGACAAATAAGCGTGGCACATGTAACCGGATTTTAGATTGGTATTCAGACATTATAATTGGACACATCGTCACATTATTGGGTAACGCCGGTTGCTCGAATCAGCCGAGCTTTTCCGGGATAAAAGATCATTCATAACCACCGGCCAGTGTCCCTGGTCCTCCCTAACGCCAAGTACCGTGTATTACTCCTTGCTCTTTGTGTCTTTGATACCGTGCCTTTATACAACAGATTTAAACCAATACCTCATTCTCGTGGGGGATTCAGCATGTGTATCCCACTATATGTTCATGCGCGGGGTTACTAAGTAACCCAAATAGGGGCTCGCGCTCTACAGCTGCTCGTATACTGTACGGCAGCATAGCGAGTATATTATCGGTATGAAACGGCTCGCCGTGACTAGAATGCGGGCTTGTTTCCACCGTTAAGCCGATAAGAAGTTAGAGGACCGCCCCCGTTGGGGGGGCTCAACATATTTGATAAGCCTTGGCGGTCCTCCTGTGAGGACGTAGTGGAAGAGAATGACGAGTTGAGAGACGTAGAAGTACTATTCATTGTCGCAGAACGAGACATTGCTAATGCTCCCATGGATGATAATAACGCATCGGCACGTTCGAAAACATTCCCGTTAAACACGTTGGAGAGAGATGCACTTTGGGGGGTTGATGGTACAGTTGCTTGTACGGCCGGTCCAAGAGCAGCGCTCTGAGGTGTCATGGGCATCTGTATTTGGCCCACTCCGGAGCTAGATGAATAGTGATTGGGTGAATAGTGGGTAGGCCCATCGTTGATGTTATTACTATGCCGGAGGAGATATGCCCACGGGGAACTCATGATAAGTTGATTGGTCTCTTTAATGCTGATTTGAATAGGCCGTAGTCTCGTCCTAATATCTAACGGAAACGTTATTTGATCCATGGACGCCTTTAGTCTGCTCCCAAATTCGGCCCAAGAATCAATAAAACTTTTGTAGAGGCTCCAGAAGAGGGGGTCTGTCCTGACACCAGGCTCTTTTAGTTTGATAAGAGATAAACGGTCCTTCAACCGCTCGGTATCTGCAATTGAAATCGAACATTTAGCGACGAGACCCTTCCAGCAGCGCACTATGCGTTCCGGAGCTCGTTGGTTTTCGGCATTGCGCCTATATGCGAGAAACTGCTGGTTGATGCCAGGGAGAATGCGCATGGCAAGATCTGACGACTTTTGTAACGACAAAAAGATCCTCTCAAACAATCGCTCGTCTGCGGTAAAGTCGGGGTATCGCATATCCCCATTTGAAGATGCGAATGAATCACCGGATCGCGGCGTGGCCGATGTAATTTGTGCCATCCGACCCGTGCCGTTTATGTAGGGGATTGATACGTCTGTTGCCACCCGCAGATTGGCATGATTATGGCCCAAAGCTCTAGGCCGTGGTTGGTTACTTATGTTGGGTCGGTCGATTGTGGGTGTCATAGAATTGTCTTGAGGATGAACCCTGATCGTATCTTCGATTCTTGCTTGTTGATATCCCTGACTCGTCACCGGCGGATTTGTGGCGGCCGAGATCTCGTTAGCGGTAATACGAAGCTCCATAATGCTGTGATATAGTAACATCATCATCGTGCGGATATAGCGGGGGTCTCCGTTATCGACAATAGTGTTCATATTGTTCAAGAGGAGCGAACAAATATGGCTGTACGCATTAATTAGTGTTAAAACGGCCCTCTGGACATTCTCGTTTTCACGCGGTGTACTAGGGCCATTTTCTGTGGCAAATTCGTGTTTCTGGATCTCTTGTTCCAACTGCTCAATGTGGAAATTAGTGTTATAGAAGACAATCTCGAGGCTTGACCTCTTGGTTGTCCCATCATTCGTGAGCCTGGTAAAAAGTTGTATCGTTGGGTGAATCTGAAAGATGGCATAGAGAATGCCTTTCGCAGATTCGATGATAGGATCAAAAATCTTTGATTCTCGTCTTTGCTCCGGTAAGACGGATAGGCGTCTCACATAGTTTGGTCGGTGAAGCAGCGGTTCTGCTGGGCTATTTGGGTTAATTGCAGAGGTGCCGTTGGGATTCAAGTGACCTGTCATTGATGAACCATGACTTAGCCCTCGGTAGTGGCTGAATCTGTTATTCGCCTGGCCTTCCTCCAGCGTCCCGAGCTCGGTCGGTTTTTTAGATACGATGCCCATGCGCCTATTTCGGTCTGACGGCCTCTCTGCTCTCGGTGTTTGTAACAATGTCTCGCTGTTCGACCTGAGCCTCTCGTTGGGATTGCCGATGGTCAAAGGCATAACACCAGGCCTGCGGATAGCCGTATTCTGCTGGGAGAGGCCTCGAGCATGTGATCGAGAAGGTATAGGTGGCGGTCGAAGTACGGCTGGGGATCTCATATCTGACACATCACTACCATTCACCCGAATGGGGAATCGGCCGCTGACTACTCTCCTAATGGGCATTCGAGGTGTTTCTATTCCGTCACTGAGTTCGTCTCCTCCGTTCTCACCCTCTTTATCTCTTGCATTCATGCTCTGCGCCTTTTGCTTCAGAAACTTCTTGATATGTGCTGTGACGGCGAGTTCCGTAATTTCGCTCTTCTCTAGGAAACCCTCGCTCGGAGGGCTGCTAGCCTGGACCTGTAGTACCTCCTTTGGCGGAAACTTGATATCGTTTCCAGCTAGTCTCAGCATTTGCAATGAGACCATGTCAGCTAAACACAGCGGAAGCTCCTCTATCCGATTCATTTGTATGGCCAGCACCTTAAGCGAGGCCAACTTTGAAAGTTCGGGTGGCAGAATCCGAATTTTGTTCTTTCCCATATCCAAAATCTCGAGTGACTTGATATCGCAAAGCTAACACATGTGTAAGACAAATATTCAAATATCAAATAGCTAGGAAAGGGATATAATTACCGATAGAGGAAATTCCCTAATCTGGTTAGCCCTGAGGTTAAGATATCGCAAATGTGTACATTCTGAAAATCTGGCTGGTAGAGTCGATAACTTGTTATGAGAGAGGGCCAAACTATTGTAAGATCAGACACGTCAGTATGCTATTATTATAATACCCAGTCATGGGGTCGAGACTAACCGTTCCAATTCGTTTTTTATTATATCCACTACTTCATCTGGCAATGCCTGAATATTTCTTCTGCTCAGATCGATAGTAACACCTGGTTTAAGTTCGGTACTGACACCGCTCGCCTCGGCAGCCTGCGTCTCATTTTCTTGCAAGGCACTATTCATTGCTTCTCTGGCGAGGGCAATGACCTGGCCGGCGGAGAGGGGGCCCTTCGTGGATAACATCGAGCTGGAGCTACTGCTGGCAGACGTGTTGGATTGGTCTGGGATTGGGGGAGGGGGAGGCAATGCGGTCGTAGGAGGACCTCGTCTCATTCCTGGTGGTATGCTCGTGGGTAAACTTCGTGAGCTCGATTGTGGATGCAAGACAGTGGCAGCCATGCCGCCTAAAGCAACATCCATAGCAGAGCAGACTTAAATGTTGGAAGCTCAGAGTATGCCTAGAATTGGGTAGTGTGATATCGATCGGGTAAAATCGCAGTATCGGGTACGACAAGGTATGTTTCCCAATATGTCTGTCTGTTAGGATTGAGACGGTGAAGCGACTAGAGGAATCGAGATCATCGTTAGGCAATAGGAAGTTGATTTTGGAAGACTCAATTCGGAAGATGAAACAAGATGGGAAAGCGGAACTTAACAACCTAGAGTTGAGTCTGGTTTTAAGTATAGAAGTGACAGATTCATGGGATTGGATTGGTTTGGATGTGAGAAGACGTGAGGAGATGTGACAAGATGCGTGCGAGAAGAGAAGAGAGACAGAGCTGTGAGAAAGTGAAAAGTGAAAAAGAAACGTTTCGACAAGAACTGTGTGTAGTTGCTTGTGTAGTTGCTTGTTGAAGTGTTTAGAGTTGAAACAAGTCTAGTCGAAAGGGTGAAGCACGATGTCGTCGAAGAGTGCAGAAATTCGTATGCAGGCCCCCTGGTTCCTGGAGCTCTTTCAGGTGGTCATTAGGGGGGGCCAAGCGATGTGCGGTGCGGCGCAACGCAGGCCAGACACAAGGGATCGGGTCTTGGCTGCTTGGGCACCAGTTGGAAGGAAGGGGTCTCTTTGTCCACTAGCGACGCTTAGAATAAGGGGATGTGACAGCGCCACGGTGGGTGTGAAGTCATAAATGATCATAAAAATGATACTAGAAAGTTAACAGATAGGAAGAACGGTAGGGGGCGTATGAGATACCTAAAAAGGGAAGTTGGTGTAAACGAATAAGAATGAAGTGGGGAAGGAGCTTGGGTTTTCCCCTGCTCGCGTCTTTTAGTCCCGTTTACTTGTGAGAGTGAGAGACTCGAGACGAGACTACCAACCGCCGATTTTTCTATTTTCTATTTTCTAATTTTTTTCCCCTCGCATAGTCAGGTGTGATGACTAGGTATTACAGCAAGGTAAGAAGGATCACCAAAATAGATTTTCTGTACTGATTATATATACTGATTACACATCTTAAAATCTCCCATTCTGTTTTTATTAAGAATCAGTTCGTCAGGTTGAAAAGTCGAAATATTTTAAGTGCCTAACGCACACAAAAACAGTATATTTATTGCATAATGTGATTGGTCGTACCTTACAGCTGTGGCGTTACCTTAGGTACATGTAGTGACCTAAGTGAGAATGAATGTGCCACTCATTCACTATCTTATGCTAAATGCTGATTGGGACCCGTTGTTTTAAGTAGCTCCCAAGAGACGGGTGGGGACCGACGCGATTTAGGCAAGTCTAGAAAGTTTGGAAGTCGCGACTGGGACAAACGCCACTTCAAGTACCCACATAATAAGTAAAGATAGAAAAGTAAGCCAGTCTCTACTTCCTCCTTGAGGAAAGCATTTAAAAGATGCTTAGGTTGGATAGTTAGTTCCAAACAAGCGTTGATCATCTATCAGCCTGCACAATTGCAGATACCTATTTCTAACTACTAGCTGACTACCCAGGTAACTATCTAAACTTACCTAAACTCAAGTTGGAATCTGGTTTAAAACCAAGGCACTTTCAACCGTCTCAGGTCTCAGCAAAACAACCAAGTTACCAATTACAGTATATCAGCAAGTATCTATTCGTGTGCTTTAGGTACCAGCCCTACGTCCGAATATGCGGATGAATGGATCTTGCTTATGTCCATGTAGTGCCTAGGTTGTAGTGCCTACCTAAGGTATGCTCCAGTCTCTCCAGCTGCATGCAGAATGGCTGTTGTTGCTATTGCTACTTAAGAGTTGCTACTTAAGAGTATTCCTCATTAGGAAAGGCAAAAAGGCAAATAAGGATTCATACGACTCTATCGTAACCCTGGGATACCCGAGAGACCCGAGTCGGCATTCAACTTGGCCCATACCTATACTCCCACCTAGGTCCTAGCTAGTGAGTTGCCAGACTTGAAAATGCCTACCCTAGCTAGATCCAACTCGTTTATATTCCCGGATCTGGACTTTACATTGCGCCGTCAATTCAACAAAACTAGCTTTCGTCCATTCCAACGCGAGATCATACAAGCTGCGCTGGATGGTAACGATGTCTTCGTCCAAGCAGCGACGTCCTTCGGGAAAAGTTTATGTTTTCAGCTTCCCGCTGTAGTAGACCAAGGCAGTGAGTTGTTAGCTTCTTACTAATGTTCTTTCTTATTGTTTCGCCTTATTTTCCATTACTGTCGGCGTTTTGCTTACACTGAAACCTAGTTACTATCGTCGTATCGCCGCTGCTGAGTCTTATGATGAATCAGGTGGAAGCCCTTCGAGCTGCCGGAATTAACGCTAGCTCATTAAACAGTAACACGCCTCCGATAGAGAAAGATCGCATTATGAATGATCTCAAGACCGGTCACCCCCGGACTCGGCTACTCTATGTAACTCCTGAGCTCTGCGCTCAAGACCGTTTTCGGGACAGGTTAAAAGTAGTTCACCAACAACGAGAACTTGCACGTATTGCTATTGACGAGGCGCATTGTATCTCGGAATGGGGCCATGACTTCCGTAGGGATTTCAAGAGACTAGCATGGTTTCGAGAATCATTTCCGGACGTACCTATTATGTGCCTGACAGCAACAGCTAACATCCAGGTACGCAATGATGTGCTCACTACTCTTAGATTAGATATGAATCCGGAGAGGGTGAAGACATTCACAATGACTGCCCACCGACCAAATCTCCACTTTGAGATTCGATTTACGCGTGATGAAGACGATCAGCGCTTAGACGACTTCCTCGGGTGGATCCGCGGTGTATACCAACGCAGAGCCCAAGATCCACGGAAAAGTGAGCTTGCCGCTATCGGCGAGCGAGCTGAAAATGTTCCTGGCATTATCTACACTATTTCACGAGATGAGTGCGAGAATCTTGCCTCGCAGCTTAGAGAGGAGGGCATTGGTGCCCAACCGTTTCACGCAAAATTGACCAAAGAAACCAAGGAACGTGTTCTTGCTAAATGGGTATCTAACGAACCCGGATATGACATAATTGTAGCTACAACCGCGTTCGGCATGGGCATTGACAAGAACAATGTCCGGTTTGTCGTTCATTGGAGGCTGCCTAAATCCTTCGAGGGGTACTATCAAGAAGCCGGGCGAGCTGGGCGTGACGGAAACGCGGCATACTGCTTTCTCTATTATAGCCGCGAAGATAGGAACCGAGTTAGCAGCCTAATTGTGCGAGATCGCAATTCGGCATCGAATTCCAATTTTCAGGCACGCGCCAAAAGCCTACAGGCTCTAGCGGAATACTGCGAGAGCACGAATGCCTGCCGCCATAAGCTGATTTGCAAATATTTCGGAGAAGATCAGACTCCGACATGTGATTATGCGTGCGACTGGCATAAAGACAGCGTCGATCTTCAGCGGCGGTTCCTCAGGGGACTGGCAAGTGAGGAGTGGGTCAGTACGCAGAGAGAAGAAGGGGCCTATGATGTAGATTGGGATGAATGATACGTATAAAGAAGCTTTACTGGTGGAAAAGGTCCGATTCGTGGTACAGCCGCTACGTTGGGCGCTTGAATAGAAGCAAATCAATCGGCATACCGCATACCTTAGGTACCTGGTACTGAAGCTGTTAGTACTACCTAGGGGACCTTACGCATGCCATGTTGCAATTCCTCCAATTCCTCCAATTCCTCCAATCGGCTCGATCGAGACCCCGCATGTTTCAACATCAGCCCGCAGCTTTGAAGCAAAGCTTCCTCCTCATCCAATTATACCAAGATTCAATTATTCGGTACGAACTCTCTAAAGAGTTCAATTCTTTCACTTTACTTCCTATTCATAAAGTTGAATATCCAACGGGTGCTATTTCATAATGTCGGCCCCGAGTTCGTCAGTGCATCCTCCGCATCCCAGCCCCCCTTCGGTACTCGGAGCCCCGGTCAAAGTATCGTCAACTCCGACCTCAAACAATGCAGCTGGGTCATCCAATGTCGTGAGCGCACCGCTCCTAGCGCCAGCTTCTCATTCTACTACCTCACGCCCGCGGCAATCTAACTCAGCCTCGGCGTCTCGGAGCACTGCGACACCTCCTACGACCATGACCGCAGCTACGTCCTCCGCCACCGGAGCTCAGCCCCGCGTTACCATGGAATCAAATCCATCTCTACCATCCCGCACCACCCAACTGCACATCAATGAAGCACGCGCTGCCCTTGTAGCCTCCATGTCTAACATGCTTGACTCTGAACTGCAATCGCGCGCCTCGTTGCTGCATTCGAACGCTGCGGCGCTAGCCAAGCAAGAAAAGGATGTGATAAAAGGGACCGAGGCGCTGCGGAAAGAAAATGACAAGCTCGAGAAACTGGCACGTGACACGGAGCGCAAAATTAAAGAGCTAGGCAACGTGCAGAACTGGGCTGAGGTATTGGAGAGGGATTTTCTAATCCTGGAGGAGACTGCGCGCCTAGTGAGAAACGGCAGTGGGAGCGATGATAGTTGCAGCGAGTGTAGCAGGAGTAGCTGGTCGGGGAGCTACAGCGGAGATGACAGTAGGGCGGGGAGTCGCCGGGGAAGTGTAACAGGCGATGCTGATGTCAATGGTAAGAAACCTGGAGAGCCTGGATTGAATGGCAATACAGCTACAGAAAGCGGTTCTAGAAGCGGTGCCTTTGCTAGAAGGGGAGATGTAAATGTCACCGTGGACCGAGAAGTCGCTGCGAGTATTAGTGAAGCCATGGCTACGGCTCTACATGAGTCTCTAGATACTCTGTCGTTAGACCCGGTCCTGTCTGACACGCACGAGGGTCCGGTTAAAGGTAAGGAGCCAGTCGCCGAGGATAGTAGGACGGAAGTTGAGATTTCGTCTGGTGTACCCGAAGCTAGACCTAGTGAGACATCATTATCATCTAGTAAGACAGTATCAGGGAATCGAGAGGAAGACGGAGTTACGGATAGGAACTCCAATGCTTCTACCATCTATTAATATTTTCTTTTTTAGGAAAATTAAATTATGGGCATGAGACCGGGGTTTAATGGGATTCCTACCTAATGATTGGGAAATATCATAGATGGATTGTGGTTACTTGAAGAAATACATAGGAGGTATGTATACCATCCAATGAACCGAAGAGACTTGAAAGGATATAAGTTGGACTTCTTGTTTACAAGTCAAAATGTTCATTCCACAGATAGTCGAGACCATTGACATCTAATATTATATGTATTACGTATATAAGGTACCGAATCTAATCTAAGTTGGCTTCAATTAAATGAAGCGCAAGTTCCTCATCTCCAGATATCGTTTCATATCATGCCCGTGTCCCTTTTTTTTTTTTTATCTCTAAGAGTACCTTAGTAGATAAAGTACGTACATTTACCCAGATACATTAGGTAAGTTTAAATATACCCCGACCCATCATTATATTCGTACTTTAGTAGTAAAAGGGGGGAAGGGGGGCTCGCTCCCTCGAAGCTTTAATATAAGAGAAAAAGGAGTGGGGGTTTATAGGAGGCCCGGGAGGATGACGCTGCGCTTCTTCTTGTACTTGTCGCCGAACTGCTTGCGGTAGGCCTTCTCCTTGCCCCAGGCCCAGGTGTACATGAAGTAGGAGCCGACGGCGATGAAGACGGCGAGGGAGGGGCTGCGGGCGACGAGGATGACGCCGAGCCAGGCGACGATCTCGAACATGTAGTTGGGGCAGGTGACGAGGCCGAAGCCGTGGCCGCGGGGGATCTTCCTCGCGGTCTCGCCCGGCTTGCGGAGGTGCGCCAGGTAATAATGGACGTCGAAGTTGCCGATCTCGCCCACTAAAAAAAGCGCGATGCCGAGCAAGGTGAGCGGAGACGACAGGGAGGAGGAGAGGGTGTCCCGGGACAGGGCGGCGGGGGAAAAGGGCGCGTAGATCTCGAGGGCGCCGAGGAGCCCGGCGAAGGCCCAGTAGAAGAAGGAGTTGCGGAAGACGTAGGCGAAGGGCATCGTGTTGGCGGAGAACTTGTGCAGGAACAGGGTCTCGAGCTCCCGCTTGACGAAGTGCGCCATAATCATGTAGAAGGCGGCCTGCTGCGCGAAGGAGAGCGAGGGGTGCGTCCGGATGCCGTAGGGGAGGTGGTTCTTGAGGAGGGGATACACGGCCGGATACAGCTTGTGGCGCAGGCTGAGGAAGAGAGGGTGGAAGAGTAGCGGTCCGAGGTACTCGATCACGTAGACCAGTCGCCAGCCGATCTGGGGGCCTATTTGACTTGGTCAGCGATACATAATTCTATATGATGTAATATAACAAACATACCAAGGTCCTTAACGAGCAGTTCTCCACGCTTCACGACCTCGGGTTGCTCGCGCAGCAGAGCTTTCCTGTCCTTGAGAGTCTTCTTGGAGACGGGGTCGAAGATGCCGATGCGGTTGAAGTCCGAGACCTTAGCGGCGCGGGCAACGGCCTTCTTTGCGTCCTCTACCGTAGCACCTTCGGGGAGCTCAACGGAGGGGGGAAGTCCCTTCAGGCCCTTCCGGGACCGATTGGTCACTTTTAGCGACAAGTCTCCCATATTTCAGGCAGAGAGACAGAAAAAAAAATATCGAGCTCTTTTTTTTTTTTTTTTTTTGTCTTTTTATAAAAACGGCGGATTGGGTTTAGCCCTGGTGAGGAAGAAGAAGAAAACGTGTACTATTTAGACTTTTTTTTTGTGGGAAATTTGTTGAGTGGCTGGAGTAGTTCCATGAGCTACGTTGACGTCTTCCGCCGTAATTGCTTTCTTTTTTTTTTTTTTTTTTTTTTAATCTTCTTTTGCTTTTGTAAGCTGTAAGGGTAGAAGTGCTAGATAAGAAGAGTATTGGTAACTAGATGCGATAAGAGCTACTTGCCGAGGTCCGGTAAAAGATGGGATGCTCTAAAATATTATTATAGGTACCTACTTCGTAATGTACCTTGGTAATTAATGAATTATGATTATGAAAGTACCTAAATGCTCCAGGTTCCGAAATATTAATAACCGGGATAATGGAAGTGACGTATCAACATTAGATTATATATGCAGTTATCAGCTACCACAGCAGTTCAGCCACCTAGGCCACAGACTTTAAATCCGTACGGCAACAAGATATATATGTATTTATCCGTCATCGCCCCTCCAACTTCCAGTCATAAGACATCGATACATCTTTTATCAGAGCTCCGGCTTCCCGCAGTTGACCTTTTTGAGTTTATTTATTTTAGGTATTTACTTACTAAAAAAAACAAAAAAAAAACCTTGGACCAATGCCCTTAGGTTTCAATGCTGTCGAGGTCCGTGGGACTTAGCCTTCCCATCATCATCCCTATGAAAACATATCACTGCATTCGAATATGCCACCGCCCAACACTCCGGAGGAAGGGCTAGTAGCTACTACTACCACTGCTACAACCACCACCACCACTAACACCGATACCAACATCAACACCAATACCGCAACCCTCGCTCTTCGACCCTTGATGAGTGGTGAAAACCCCGCCGCGCTCGACCTCCGAGCCCTGGAGTACGAGGACAGCGTAGACGAGAACCTCATCTGCCCCATCTGCCGGGTGCCCTTCGTCTCCCCCGTCATCACCGACTGCGACCACGTCTTCTGCCAGCGGTGCATCGTGCAGGCCCACGCCCTGAACCCCGTCTGCCCCGTCGACCGGCTGCCGCTGAAGCTCGCGTCCGAGACGCGGCCCGCGCCCAAGATCGTCCACAACCAGCTCGACAGCCTGCCCGTGCGCTGCCCCAACTCGTCCCGCGGCTGCGCCCTCGTCGTCGCCCGCGCCCTCGTCGAGAACCACGTCGCCCGCTACTGCGACAAGTCCCTCGTCCCCTGCCCCCACCCCTCCTGCCCCCGCTCCGTCCTCCGCCGGGACCTCGCTCAGGGCTGCCTCCACTACGACGTCGAGTGCGAGTACTGCGCCCGCGTCATCCAGAAAGCCGATCTCGACGCCCACCTGGACACCGAGTGCCCGAACCGCAAGGCCGAGTGCGAGCTGTGCGCTGCCGAGTACGTCCGCCACAGGTGGGAGGAGCACGCGCGGGAGTGTCCCGAGGCCGAGACCAGCTGCAGGTTCGCCCCGTTCGGCTGCGAGCAGCTCGTCAAGCGCCGCCGGCTGGACGAGCACGCCGTGCGGTGCGCGTACCGCGTCGTCGGCCCCGTGGGGGAGCAGCTGGCCGAGCTCCGGGCCGAGCTTAACGCCCTGCAGGAGAGGGATCGGTTGAAAGACCGGCGGATCAAGTTCCTCGAGAACCGAGGGTTCCCGCTGCCCACGCCCACCTCGCCGGAGCCCATCTCGGACATGAACCTGCCGCCCGAGGGCAGTTCGACGCACGAGGACAGTGCGCCGTACGAGTCCCGGGACCAGTACTTCCTGTCCCTGTTCGAGGCCATGGAGTCCAAGGTCGAGCGCCTGTCCTCGGCGCTCAACGAGGTCGAGGGCCGGCACTCGGTGATGCTGTTCAACGAGAGCTCGCAGATCAAGGACCAGCTGACCGAGATCCGGAGCACCATGGGCGTGCTCGGCATGCACGTCCGGTGGCTCATGAACTTCCGGCTGCAGGAGAGGGGTCGGGCCGGGACGTCCGCTCCGGCCATGTCGGGCCCCCTTTCGGGGGGTAACCACGAGAACATCATCGACGATAACATATCCCGCCGCATGATTGTTAACTTGCGAGAACATCCGCCTCGGTTATAGGCGAACATTTTTTTTGGTTCTCATCTGAGCATTTGATATACGATAAGTAAACATTAAGGCGTTGCTCTATTTCTGCGGGATGATTATGGGGCTGTGTGTGTTTCCCGTTTAAGCATGAAATAATGATATTTGGGACTTTACGGCGTTGATGGTGATGCAGCAATAATGGAATGGAATTCGTTATGTATGATCAATTCTAAATTGCTGGGGCTTGCGCAAATTGTACGAAGAACAGAACGTGCTATCAAAAGGACAATCATACGTCTGTCTGTCTTATCATCCCGCTTCCTTCAAGTTCCCATCTACCCATGATGTCCGCACCAGCATTGCTCTTCTATCGGGGCATCATAACAACAGATATGTTGTTGGCGAATCCAAGCATCACGACGACGGCGCTTACCATCTCTTATGGGGAACTCGTTTTCCCTCTGTAACGTCTTCCGCTTCTCCAGAGACCACAAAAAAAAATTAGCACTATTAGTACCTAGTTATCCCCAGGGAAAGCGAAGAGGTCTCACGCCTAGTACAAGACTCCTTATCAGAAGGAAGCCGACGATCAGGGGTCCGAAGGTAGCAGCAACGAAGAGCAGGAGCGCAGCGATGTCGTAGAGACACAAGCCGAGCGAAACAGCGACGTTGAGCAGGCGGGACAGGAGCGACTGGGATCCGACGAGGAGGATGTCGGAGATGGCGCGAGAGAGGGATATTACGACGGCCCCGGAGATGCGAAGAATGGCCTTGACGAGCTCGGTGCATACTATGGTGGCGAATAACAGGGCCAGTGTGGCGGGGATGAGGATCGGGGAAGACATGCTGTCGGCGTCGAAAGAGTGTTAGAGAGGGGAGGGTTTGTCCTCGTTGCTTTTGGACTCCGGTGGTTGGTTAACTCTCGCCTTGAACTGTGGTGTAGTACCTTGATTAGGGGGGAAAGGCGAGTAAATAAATGTATTGGATTTGGTATGTAGTATGAAGACACGTATGATTATTATTATTCGTTATCTTCGAAATTTCTCCGTACTCAACAGCTCCGACATCTTGCTTCATTGAATTAGACTTACTTCATCTAGCAGTGAGTGAATCATCATTGATGCAAGGTATCTCAAGACAACAACCAAACGCCCCCTTTTAGCAAACATGACGGATAGTAAATTGGTAGGGTACTACATATCGACCCAACGAGGTGACATCCATTTTCAACGTGTGTATGATCTAGTATCGGTACCAGATCCGCTTGTTTGCAATTATTTACAGTGATTCAAGTGATTCATGATGCGCGAATCGCCCCAGACCTCCAGGTCTCGCAATTGAATCCTCAGCAAGAGAAACACAAAACGCGATAGGGATAGCAGGCGGGTACCTACCTAAGTAGATATCTTCTATTTGCCGCCCATCATCAATGGCGCTATAATCATAGAGAAGCCTATCGGGGAAAATCATCACAATCTACCCACCGGTACCAATTCCCAATCTGCCCTCCAGTGAAGATCATGTGCGGGCTTATCTAAAACTGGCCAATTTAGCTTGCCACAAACCGATGCGACATATTCAGGGTGATCTTCGTCGAATAGAGGCCGAAGAAGCGGTCCAAATCGGGTCTGCAGCTCTCGGCGGTGATGCTCTTGGGTGAGAGCACCTAATTCCAGGATATAGTCTATAACCTGTTGCAAGACATGGGCTTGATCTGGGAACCAAATCGAGACCAATGCTCTTAAGTTGATGGTATGGCCGTGATTCTCGATTATTTCCACAGTTAGTGGGGATGCCACAAGTATGTATTGCTCTGCTGTCGCTAATCGTGTTGTTTCAACTTCGTTTCCAGGCGGTAGTGCCGGGCTTTCCGACTTGAAGTATACCTTCACATAAGACAGACGTTGATCAATGCTTTTCTTATATATAGTCTTGCTCGTCACGAGAGCAAATCTTGGGTTCGCACCATAATAGAGCATCAATGCGATGATAGCCAAACTTACCCTCCTTCCACAGCCCGTGATACAACAGACCGCAAGTAGCTCATGAAACTCAGGCCCCGACGTAGTTCCTAACTTAGAGTCGGGAGAAGCGTCTCGGTGGAAGAGAGTCTGAAGTATTCTAAAGGTATCGGGCGTTAAGCTTTTTTTCGAAAGGTTGTTCTGTCCAAAACTAAACAAGCACGAGGAAACACATAAGGCTTTCAACTTAGAGTCGGGATTTTCTTCCAAGGGGAAACTCTCGAAGGCTTCAAGTATTGTGCAAAAGATGAATACGAGATCTCCCGGAGCGCAACTAATGATTCTCGGCGCGAGAAGGTTGAATCGGATTGCGCACTCACGCGTCTCTAAGCTTATCACCGTGCGGTGGATCCTACTTAGCAATTGACTAAACTCTGAAAAAGCCCAGTGTCGGCCAAGGTCGATCTGCTGGCGGATAAGCCACAGAATATCGTTTCTGAAAGTAGGGTGGTAAGGGTAACGAGAGAATTCGTCCATGAACCAGTTCCAGAGAGGATACCTTTCAGTAAAAGAGACTTTAGGAGAATAATAGGAGGTAGGGAGACGGATAAGCTTCAGCTGGCCCAGGTATGTCTGGCAAAGTGCATCGAAAGGGTCGAATCTCGGTAATTCGATGTCGACTATCCGCTTAAAATATTGGCTTTCTAGGAATTCCGTGATTGACCTATGTATAAAGCGAACGGAGCCCCCTAACATGTTCGGATACGTAGTGTGAGCGTAAGGTTCGCGTAGCTCAAGAAGCCCTTTACACAAGCCATATATCCGTCTTTCGGCTCTTTTTAGTCTCTCTTTGCGTTCCGATGTCGTGGCCGGCCTGACCGGCCAGTCTATCGCAAAGTTCTGGTCCTCCAAATACTCTTCTAGTAACGAATATTGTATTAGGCAAACGTGTTTTTTGTGCCTAATGGTAAATTGAGCCAGCGAGAGCATGCTATAAGCCAGTCTTCGGTTGTTTTTTGGGATAGAATCTAAGAGTTGCTGGAGCACTATAATGAGACGGTCAATATGTGTCACGACGGTAATGATTAGGAAAATCATGTTTCGTAGAGTATATTAGGTACTCACTAGGCTCAAGGTCAGTTGGAAGAGCTTCAACAATCCTTATCAGGTCTTGTATCCGGTCGCCATTGGCAATTCCATTTTCTATATGTCGAAGCACAAGCGACACCCATAGAAAGACGCCGTCTGATCCTTCTACAATATTGTTTATCAAGTTGGTGGTCTCATACGCACTCCGCGAATCGTCATCGCCATCATTGCTCGTCAGAACACCAAAATCCATCTCGCGGAGCCGACCCCCAACGAATCGTTGAATATCAAACCATGTGAGCTCGTGAAGTCGAATCCTAGGGTAGTCCTTGAAAATATCTTGAAACAGCGGCCATTCTCGGCTTGAAATGCAGAGCTTTACATTTTGGATTCGATGAGTCCATTTGAGTAATTGCCGGGCTAAATCTGCATGATGCCCCTCAAACTCGTCAAGCCCATCTAAGAAAAGAACGAATTTATACTGGTCATAAGTCTGGCTTTCTATAAGCCTTTCAAAGGCCGATCGAGATTCAAGGTGTTCAATGTGGAGGCTTTCTCTTTGCATTGATGTTTCCCACTGCTCTGGGAACACAAACTGGATAAGTTCAGGGCATTCTGATAGGAGGCAATGCAACAACCCCTGAATCAGACCGTTGATATTTTTCTGCAGATTATATCCTGGTTTCCAAAAAAAGAATTTACCAAGGACAAGCCTCTTTCCGTTTGCCCAGTTTCCCAGATGATCCTGTGTTTTGCGATGTTGAACAAGGTATTTCATGAGGGTTGATTTCCCAGAACCTGGCTTGTCTAAGATATGAAATACTCCTGTGCCGTCCTTGAGCCAAGTGGTAAAAGTATCCCGAGCTTTAGCCATGACCTGCCATGTTGATCCAGGTATTTCTTCCGCCCTAGATATCGCAAGTGACGAATGCGGTAAATTTGGCAGGTATCTGTGTGTAATTTCCATGGATATTTCACTTTCTGCTATGGACACCGCGTTGTGTATGTCCCAAACAAAACTTGAATCATCACTTGATTCCTCTCCCGTACTTGGTTCCACTTCTAGAGATGACTGGGACTTCAGAATCGAATTAGTATCGTAATCTACAGAGTTGCGGATGTCGTCGCCTGTAAATTCCCAATCGATAGAATCATCGGTTCCTGGTCTATCATCGACACTATCTTCAAAGATCCAGTCAAATGTCTTCGCATGGGCTTTTTCGATATCTTCAAATCTTTCGTTCATTGATTGGAATCGTAGTGCGTCCAGAACTCGAGACTGGCGCACTTTGGAGATGGCCTCGTCACTCAGCTGGACCAAGGACCGAATTTGATTCAACGCGGCGGTAGTAAGGAAAGAGACATTGCCACCTTGCCGCAGAGATTCGACGTTTCTTGCAAGAGACTGCAACTCATTATTACTAGCTTGGCCGCATTTGTTTACTTGGATAAGTTTTCTTTGTAAATCAGCACTATGTTATATCAGTCAGAAATGTTCATAACGTTTATCAAAAGCTTCTTACTTCATGGAGCTTAGGAGCTCTAAGCCTAGCTGCTGTTTACATCGATCTAACCTCTTTTCCAATTCGGATTTCTGGTCGCTCTTCCACCAGTTGCGCGCAGCAGCTTTGAGCGCATGTCTCTTGGACCTCGGGTTATTAGTCTTCAGTTTGTCGAGCAACGTTGCGAGTTCCACCGACACGCCTTCGCATTCTATAGCAACGCCGCGAAGACGGCTGTTCTGCTGCGAAGAAGAGCCTACGGACCCGGCCCCTTTCAACTCGTCAGTGAGTTGTCGGAGACGCTGCGTCATAGAAGACAAGTATTCATTATCTACGCTGGTGCCTGACTTCGACTTGTATATGTTCTTGGCCGTGGAAATCAATCCGATCCCAAAATCTACGAAAGTGATGATGTTGCCTGCAAGCCCAATTGCCGCAAATGGATCCATGATGCCAACTATCGCAGAGTAATGGATGAGAGAAGAAATGATTGCTATTGAAGGCTCTGCCTAAACTGGAATGGAAAGTCAGGTTGAGACCGAGAGCCTGAACATTTCCGGGGTTATCAAGCACAGCCTTGGAGCCTGCCTTGGAGCCTGCTTCGCGGTCACATGTCCTATGCATAGATTTGCATAGATATGCAGTCCTACCATAATCAGCCACTATTTCATAAAAGCTAAGTCTTGATTTTCGTAGTGTTACACACGATCGCTTTTGGATGTTGATATAATAAGAAGGCACACTAGGTACATACCTGTTTTAATACGTGTAGGTACGTGGTGTGTAACTACCTACCTTCGTTGTGCACGCCTCTTTCGCTAACAGTCATAGTCCGGGCACAAAACCTTCAGCTTGAACATCCCAACCCTCAGGAAAGTGTGCCCGAGGCTCACCGTCCCACCCCCCCGCCATCATAGCCATAGCCAACAGGAACGAACTCGATCCCGGGAAATAGGGGGTCGGCACCCGCGATGATCCAACAGGATATCCCGCATCGTCGAATTTGAAAAGGGGGTGGAGGAGATAGGCCACTGCTTGGTCGACATCCCCGAGGCGCAGCGAGTTCACTGCGGCGAGATAAGTAAGTCCAGATCAGGGGCTTAGCTTAGCTTAGGTAGGTATGTAGGACAACTTACTAGCGAGCATCGGAAAGTCCCAGCCCCAGCAGTCTTTCAAGTCCCAGAGGTCTCGGATCTTATCTGCCGTGTTTTTGACGACCGTCATGTTGAGCGGCGGTCCGCTAGTCGGCGGGGGAAGAAGACCGAAGATCCCCGACATTGCCGGGTGATCTTGGACGGTGGTGCCGCTCCACATGTTAGGGATGCCTTCGTACACGGCAAATGCGCCGTCCGCGGTAGGTAACGGTGGTAGACCATTCCGTATATCAACCCATTTCTGAGGAACCGTTTGGTTCTGCCTCTCTTTCCACCTGATGGCTACATCCAAGCCGAACCGCCAGTAAGCCAGCTCGAACGTAGGGTTGATCGTCGCGTTGGGATTAGTATTCTCTGATACCGGATACATAGGCGGTCCTAGATCGTAGACGGCAGTTGACTCGTTGAAGAAGGCATACGACGCCATGAAGTCGGCGGTAGAAGTAAGGATCTTATCCCAGGACTTGAGTGTCGTCTCGTTAGGGAAAGACCTGTACTCGATCTCGGCGAAGTACATTGGGTGAGGCTGCTGCCAGATAAGCAGCGAGTTGATTTCTCCAGGGGCTGATCGTCCGGTAGGGTCGGTCATCTTACCCCAGCGAGCACCCTGGTAGTGTTGATATTTCGCTCGCTCGATCGACGATGCTAAGTATTCTGAATACGTTTTTGGAACGCTACGCCACAATAATGGAAATTGATTCCAGCGGGCGAATGGGAGTAGGTGCCATAGCATCATCTCAAGCTTTTCGAAGTGTTAACCCTGGACGTATCGAACCTAGGCTGCTATCCACATAGCCTACAATGGCTCACAAGACTTACATGAAACTTACCATACCATCCAGTATTTACCAGGCCTAGAGCCGTCAATATGAAAGTGATATAGCTTGCCTTAGAGTAGACATGAACACATATAATAGCTAATTAGGATTCGCTTACCAGATTCTATTTAAACGTCAGCTACAGCAATGATCAGGTTTGGGCCACTTACCCTGTGGTGGATATGAGGAAGCCGAGTTGACGGCCGTAAGATATTGAGATAGTATCGTTCTCCGCTGTAACTCTGTAGCATTAGGAGACTCGACCCCGGTTAAATCAACAAAAGCACCAGAGTTCCAGAAAGATTCCCACCACGCTCTAGATGCGGACGTAACGTCGCTGAAAGACGGGGTATGCGTACTCAGGGCCGGTGAAAAGCTCACCGATACCTCGATCCTCTTGGTTTCCTTTGTTGGCCGTAATACGTAACGGTGAGTCCCCTCAATCGGTCCTGATATTTCAGCAGCGGGACTCCACGCAATCGAGACGTAGTACGCAGTGTCATCAATATCATGCCGGATAATTGCCGCATTTTGTCCGCGCTGTAGCGTGGTGGTGTGCTTGTCGGTAGCATTAAAGACACCAACAAAAGGGGCCTCATATCTGTTCCGTATCGGGAAAGGAAAATCAAAGAATAGACCTAGAGACTCGGTAGAGAAGTGTTCCGACTCTATGGAGATACTAACCGTGTCTGAATTCGTATCTGCCCATGTCTCAACCCTGACGGGAGTCTTCTTGTAGGTGAAAGAAGATGAGATTTTGCCCGTCCAAAGGTCAAGTATCTGAGACTTGTCTTCCAGTAGTTCCTCAGTAACATCATCTCGATCGAACCAGAACCCAATTATCCCCAAGTTAATACGTTGGGGGTTTTGGATTAACCAGTTAGATATTTCGCTTTGTGCTGGGTTGGGCTGGTTATAATTGATTAGTTGACCGTGGGTATACCAGTCCATGCCCGTGAAGTCTTGGCGATGTTAGATCTAGGTTAATACTTCGAAGTTCACCTGGGACTTACCATCTATCGAGGTTTGGCCGCTGGTAGTTGGAAGACTGAAATTATGCCAACCCCAAGTAGACATCGTGGCGAAGGGGTTGAAGGTCTGAAGACCGGTGACGTCTGCTCCAAACGCGAAGTTGCCGTTTCCAACTTGCAACGGAGTGATACTAGAGCTAGCATTGCGACGAGGATTAAACGATTGAACTACTTTACGCCTGTCAATCTCGCAAGTAGCTGGAATACCCTGGAGGGCTACCAGCAAGACTGTAAAGATTTGCCTTAACATCGTTGGAATGCACGACGAGAACAATATCTATGTAGACTAATCGATGATCATAGATTATCATAGGGAGATGAATGTATATATATACCTACCTACCTAAGGTATATATATACATCAAAATATGCTCACCGTGCTATCCTGTCGCTCATAAGCATAGTACACAAATAGCATTATACCGAGGCTTAACCAAGAGTTCTACTATAACCGTTGGTGGAGACTCAAATTTCCCGGATTGCGTCTAAAACCTGGAGAAGCATGAGGGATTCCCATTTGCGGAGTCTAGCTTAACTACTAGTTCTCACGGTCTTTTCGGGGAGTTGATAGGCCGATTAGTTACAGGCTGTCGTATTCGTGAATGAGAAAACGGATGGGGAAGTGTTAAGAAGATTTTGACCTATACTATTTGGGGGACGATGTTGCAATATTACAATAGGGGGTTGAAAGTCTCGGTATTAATGGAAAAGCAAGTAACGTAAAAAGAGGAAATTCAAACAATGAAGGGACGTAGGAGACACATGTTTTTTTTTTTTTTTTATTCTTTTCCATGTCGAAAGGCATAACCCGAAGAAATTATGAGAAGTTACTTGCTGCAATTGCAACGGAATTTAAGCTTAAAAGATGAAGTCAGAAGAGGAAAGGAAGCAAATACCCGGGAAGGCGGACAGCGGCAGGGGGAACCCCTGCGTCAGATCAATGTGGAGTTTGGACAAGCTGATGGAAGTTCCCGCCGGCAATTCCTTGGTCCGTGCGCGACATAGCAACGAAGCACCTGCAAAACATGCCCTATTCGATTTAGTTACCAATACAACATATTAATCATACAAATACAATACAATCAATACAATCAATACAATCAATACAATCAATACAATCAATACAATCAATACAATCAATACACACTAATTCGCCGTGAAATATATCATCCCCGTCGTCGGACACAAAGTGAACGAATACTTGTTACGAACCGCGACACACACACAAATTAGGTACATACATACATTTACCCAACATCATCAAGATCTGCCGGCGCCCTTTCTTATCACAACTCGCAAATCATCGCGTTACGCCGAAGCACCTGGAGGAACTCTGCGCTTGTAAAACTACTACTACAACTACAGAGGTAAAGTAAAACCAACCACCTACCCCCCTTTGCATTTGTTTACCAGGTCTCTCCCCTCTCGTATCAGAAAAACAAAAACAAAACAAAACAAGCCCTGCTAACATAAGATGCGTAATGGCGCAGTCAATAGAACGACCAAGCCCGAACTCCTCCCTCCCCCCCCCCTGCGAAATATCGGGGTCAAGATGACTTCCTTCGTCACCACCGTGTAAGCCACGCCTTTATGTACCTACCTTACATATATATAATATATATATACCACCGTTCTGTTCCCGCTGACCAGAAGGGACCCATGAATACAGAAACCAGCGCGCGCGCAACCAATTCCGCGCCCGCGGCGGCAAGGGCGGCAACACGAGCTACCAGCTGCGGCAATACGCGGAAGCGACGCTGGGCGGCGGCAGCCTGCGCAAAGTGGTCAAGCTGCCCGAGGGCGAGGACGAGAACGAGTGGCTGGCGGTGAACATGGTGGACTTCTACAACCAGGTGAACCTGCTGTACGGCGCCATCACCGAGTTCTGCTCGCCGCAGTCGTGCCCCGAGATGAAGGCGACCGACGAGTTCGAGTACCTGTGGCAGGACGGCGAGACCTACAAGCGGCCGACCAAGATGGCCGCGCCCGACTACATCGAGCAGCTGATGTCGTGGGTGCAGGCGTCCATCGACAACGAGTCCGTGCTGCCCTCCCGCATCGGCGTGCCCTTCCCCAAGTCCTTCCCCTCCCTGGTCCGCCAGATCTTCAAGCGCATGTACCGCGTCTACGCCCACATCTACTGCCACCACTACCCCGTCATCCGCGAGCTCGGCCTCGAGCCCCACCTCAACACCTCCTTCAAGCAGTACGTCCTCTTCATCGACGAGCACAACCTCGCCACCGGCAAGGACTTCTGGGGCCCCCTCGGCGACCTCGTCGAGAGCATGCTGCGTAGTGATTGATTGATCGATCGATCGAATCAATTAATTAGGTAGATACCTACCTAACCTACCTGACCTACCTAAATCAGGGGTTGATCCGGAGGTTGAGAATAAGAACAAGAAAGAGAAGGAGAAGAAGAAGAGGCGTTTCTAGGAGGTAATGACTTGATGTGTAGATGGCTTCGGTGATGAATTGGCCTGCGCGAAAGTAGAATTCAGGGATGTCTGCATCTTTTCTTTTCTTTTCTCTTTTTCTTTCTGAAGGCTTGGCGTTTAGGGGGGAAGCATCATCAGACTACCACGTTGTTTTGCAAAGGATAGAGATCAAGGGTAATTTGCTGCTTGCAGCGCAGGTTGTGCGATACCATCACATGGAATGACTTTTACCAACTCGGTCGTCGCACTTGTACACTATTGGCTGGAAGGCCGTACCGGAGTTACGCGTGGCAGGGATGGATACGATCGGAGGATCATTTCATTTTGATTCTCTCGTGGCATGGATAAAGTGCATTTTATTGATTTACACATGCTAAAATTGTCCTGTGTGCCTGTTGTGTGCCACCTTGGCAGTAGTGTGTGCTATTCCAGTAATAGACCCCAGGATTTGTTGTGAGATTTGCCCGCGAAATATGTTACCTAGCTGTCCCCCCCTTTCCGGTTGACATGCTCATCCAGGGCGTGAAGTGTGTCAAATAGCACTTACCAACGCCATATCAACTATGTTTTTATCGTACCTGAAGATCGTACAATAGCCGATTAACCCACAGCCACGAATACTTAGTCAACATCCTTCATGGCGTTGATTCGCTTTTTGAAAAATTCAAACGCTGAAAAGAACACAGCGTTGACAGCCGCGGACCGGCCCATAGATACACCAAGTCCGCGATACATATCGCGCCTGAAAAACTGGATCTTCGGGATGGGTACTTTTTGACCTTTAGAGTACATTAACGCATTTCTCTGGTAGATGCTCTTAACGGAATCGATGGGATCTAGAAATATGTCAGCTTGCATTTTATACATACAACTGAGGTCAAGCAAGGGGTACGGACAGATCAAAGCCCACGATACTATGCCGCAGAGAGCCCCGGCAACAAGCACGGCAATTGGATTCTTATGAGCATCCTTTCCGCTGAATGTTGTTAACAGCTGTTTGCTGCTTTCATATGTGGCAAAATAGATTCCCGTTCCAAGGGTATCTCTCACTGCACCTGTGATTAGCAACTGCGGAAACGATTTGGTTTCTCGTGGAGGCCATCTTACGCAAGTGCAGATTTAGTCCGGTATACATTCCACTAAAGCCTCTATGCTTGACTATATTCGCAAGAGTTTTAAAAGTTCCTTTGTTATGATAACTGAGGGCGATAGCTTGTCGCTGCGGATCTGCATTCTTCTGCTTCGCCATGAGAACGGACACTTGGGCGCTGAGTTTAGTTAACTCGAAAGGACCTGGATTTGTGTCGGTCAGTTTTAGTTCGAGTCGCGCCTCTAGAGGTTATCGGATCATCTCACATGCAATAAAAGTAATGCCAGAGCCAGCTGTGGCCCCAGCAGCCCCGAAGCAAGCAATAGTACCTAGATTCGGGTATGCGCCATTCTTATTGACATGTTCGAGTGGACAGAAGCCGAGGTGCTTCTTCATCCAGTCGGAATAAACGTATTTGGAGCGTTGGTAGATGGAGAAAGAAATAGTTCGTACAAGAGTAACACTGGCTAAGGGAGCAGTTACACCTACACATTGTAGCGTGGCGTTAGCTGTATCGTCGTCGGCTCAAGGAGCACCACAAGCTTCGTGATGCGTCCAGCTTCTAGTCAACATACCTCGAAAGAAACCTCGAATCCCCTCCGACTTGTACGTAACGCGTATACAATCCACCGCACCTGCATAAGGGTAGGTCTGCATACGGGTTTTTACACTATCGAGAGGGAAAGCAGTGACGGTAGACATAACACTAGCAGTGCTCGCAGCCGTCTCGGTTCGATAACGTTTTATCCACCTCCGGGATTTCTCACTTCCACCGCTGAGCTGAAACATGGTCCGAGTCGGGATCGTGGAGCTGGTGACATCTTGGAACTTAGAGTCAGCTGGCATGGCTTACTTATTTAGCAGCAGAAGCTGTATTGCGGGGGAAGCTTCAGACAATGGCCTCGTAATGAGGACCAGAGTCATCGGCGTGGTCGCGATACAATAGCGTCTCCTGCTAACAAGAAATATGCCATCAAGATCCCGAACTACGAGGACTCGATGGTTTTTTTTTTTTACCTGGGGATGCGGGGTCGAAAGGAGTCGATCGCAGTGGGAAAGAAAAAGAGAAGAAGAAGAGGAAGAGGAAGAAGAGATTGTATGATTTTAAAGTTGCGGTCGGTCAGTCTAAAAGACAAATGTTAAAAGTAAAGTAGAAGTAATTGGTTGTTGTATTGTAATTTCATCTACGCACAACACGACGACAATGCGTATAGAGGTAGAGCTGATTGCCGTCTACGTACTGCAAACGGGCCAATTGAGCTTGAGGGAGCTAAGATTTGTCCAAAGTCAGCTTTTCTGCGGGGTTTGCGCAAGCACACAGAAGATGACATTGGACCCCGGAAGTTTACGTAGGTAGTTGTAGATTGTGTGGTTGGAATTGAGAAGCAGGGCGGGAACAAGAAGTTTGATATGGAGGCTGTCGGGGCGGCATGGGTCCTTTTTGGGAGGGAGGGGGATAGGGCCTTGGGGACGGTACTTAGGGGGGTAAGGGGGGGTTACTATGTACCTCTTTCCATTGACAACTCTATTATGGCATATGCATCATGGTGCAGGTTATGATGAGGGACAACTACGGAGGATATGTGGGTACATAGCTGGGATATTAAAACAAGCTAGTCCAATAAGAGAACATCTTAAAAAAGGAGGGGAAGGGAAATCGACTGAGGATGGACAGTGGTTTGAATGGAAGTCATCAGTTTAGAAGAATACTTCCTTGTGCTGCTTGTGGACTATTAATGCTGTCTACGTAATCTGACAATGTAAAGTGCTGGGGCTACCTAACCTAGGAGGTGATATTGCTACATGCACAAATAAATGTGCATATATAATATTGTATTGTATAATACAACCAGCCCATATATAGTGTAGCTACCTCCTATCCACAACCTTGTAAATGTGTGTGTAAATGTGTAACATGCACCGCCCAATCGTATCACTCTTCTTCATGTGCGCAACCCCTTTGTCTTGACCGTACGAATTCAGTTGATCGGTCACTATGACCCTGACTGCCTTTTACCCCAACACGCTTCTTTCTCTTGCTAGGTCGCCATTTTATGCAAGTCCGAAATAGCTGATAGATGGTTGGTCGACGAATCGGGAAGGTTGGGGTAGATCAGCTTGAGGGACTCGATGAATGCGAAAATTCTAAGCAAGGCCCTTATCCTCTGCTGAGATAGCAGAGTTCGCTATTTAACCAGTGCCGTTTGTCTTTCCAGGCCAATTGTCTCAGGCTTAGAAAGCCATTGTCTACAAAATTTCAGCAATTCCGTGGCTCGTCTCGTCTCGTCGCCTTTTTATTATATCCGCATGATGATGATGATAGGAACGTGACTCAGACCCTTAAAATCGGAGCACTTAAGCTTCTGCATGCTACCCTTAAAAGGTTGCTTCTAGATTAACTACAATCCACGTTTTCGTGCAGGCCGGATGCTCTTCGTGAGGGGAATACCGAATGCGCCTTGTCTATTTTTCGATTGGCGGAGGTCTTGTGTCCAATTTGGAGTTAAGTACGAGTGTCAGAGCGTCGCCGGCTCGCTGAACCTGAATATCTGCCGATAATCTTGGATAAAGTATTGGAAGTATTAGAATCGAGCATGTCGGTGCATTACCTTATGTAGGTAGAGGTAGATATGCACAGGCTATACATGGAACCTAACCTAAAGACTCTAAAGACCATATGACGATACTGGGAAGTGTATAGGACTTGAATGTCGTCCTATCGCAAGCATAGCCCCAAGGACTTGTTGAGCATAGCAACGGTCATGTCATATTGCCTATAGGCCGTCTTGTGTATATACTTCTCCAAGTCTGTTTGTTTCCTAGGGGCTAGTTAGCAATCGAAGCAATGAAAGCCAGAGTTATGACTTTACCTAGGCGCTTGGATTGAATGCTCGACAGTTTTCCAGGCAACCCGAGTGACGTTGGTTCGGTGCCACGCCACTACCAGGAGATTCTTGAGGATATTATGCTCGAGCCCCCGAGCCCTAGCGGCAGCCTCGAGAAAGCGCAGCGTTCTGGTTGTGCTTCGAGGATCGAATTTGGCATTTTTATCACGGAACGCTGCTCTAAGTTGATCTCGAGCTACGAAGCGAGCTGGTTTTGAGAATTTCACAGCATGAAGGAGCTGACGGTATAGGTGACGATACGCATGGATGATCCTGATATCAGTCATTGCTGCGGTCCTCCGGAATAAACTTTGATATGAGCAACGGTTTCAAAGTCTACGCCCCTAGATGACAAGATTATTTATTTGATTGTAGGGGTTTTTTGATACTTTAGTTGTTGCTGCACGATCGCGCATGTCCCTGTGGTCCCCGAAAAAAAAAATTAATACAGGTACACCTACCTAAGGCATAGATGCGCTATGCCGGGACATCGCAACAGCCGCTGCTAGGGCCGGGTTACTAACATTTAGTACCTACACTACCTATTGTATTTTAAATGCTGACATGTACCTAGGTACCTAGTGTAAAGTCCAACCATATTAACGCCAGTCGGTAGCCCCCACTTCGTAACTTCCATGTATATACTCGCCCGGATCATACTATAAGCTACATAATGTGTACTAGTTCAATAGACGCGATAGTGCGGTAATCTGGATGTACCTACTAGGTAAGACAACGCCAAATCGATTCAATGCTATGTTTCGATCGGATCAACGATCCACTTTGATGTCACCGTCTTCCCAAAATAATCCAATCGACACGAACGCCGTCCTGTTGCCTCGCCCCCCCCCCGCCCCCCCAAAAAAGGCGGTTCGTTCCAAACATCTGGAGGGGATACCTTATTATTCATAGGATTCTCTTGCATCTTTTTTTTGTGCTCATTTGCTGTCTCTATTCTATAACTTGTAGTTGTTGTCTTGTTCTTTTATTCTTACCTTGGTGAAGTTAACAATGGTTAGTTCTCGTAACTAAGCATTCACTTCTATCCCCTTCTCCTTTTTCTGATGGCGTCGCTCGTTACCGACTTTCTTGTCAACCCGGTCATACGACAAGCAAGACGGTTCTCACGATCATCAGGTAACCTTACCACTTCTGACCCCGTCCCGTCTCCCGAAACAGCTAGCAAGCACAAAGAATGCCAAGACGAGGTTACATCGGAGACGGAGGAAGATTCATACTTGGACGACGAAGTAGATGAGAGCATACCGTCCTCTCCCTCGTCACGGAGCTCCGTTCACCCAAATCCACACAATGAAGTAGCTGACCTGGATGAGAATATCTCCCAGTTCGACGCCACAAACCGTACCCTCGCTCGCAATCCTGATACCGATCTCCAAGACCATGACATTCCAAACCTCAACGCGCATGCCAGTTCCCTGTCTATAGGTGGTTCGACTATGGCGACAAATCCGCTATTACCACCGGCGGACCTAGCTGCGGGAATAGAACGGCGGAAGTCCTTACCGGAGGATGATGGGATGAGCTCGTTGAGAAAACGTATATTTGCCATCCAAGCACAGGATGTGGAGCCAGCCGAGAAAGCCCGTCTAATGCACCAGCTGCTGATGGAAGGTTATACGAAATCAACAAAGGTAGTCCTGACGGAACGACCTTTAACGCCTTCCAGCCCCACAACTTCAGAACAGCGACGTTCCCAAGGTCCCCTAGAGTCCTTCAAATTTTGGCAACATGCTTCGGATGAACCGGAGCCACTGGAAGAATTTGATTTGACAGCCGAGGACCTTCAGCCTACATTTGCACCACCAAAGGAAATACCAGACGAAACTGGTGAATATGTGGAAGATCCTGAAGACGATCGACCTCTTGGTTGTGAGCATTATAGGCGAAATGTTAAACTACAATGCTCCACGTGTAATCGGTGGTACACGTGTCGTTTCTGCCACGATAAGGTAGAGGACCATAATCTGATCAGAAAGGAGACTAGAAACATGCTGTGTATGTATTGCGGTACTGCCCAAAGAGCTAGCGATGTTTGTATATCCTGCGGTGTATCGGCTGCGCGCTATTATTGCAATATATGCAAATTGTGGAATGACGACCCGGACAAGCCCGTCTATCACTGCAATGACTGTGGTATCTGCAGGATCGGAAGGGGTCTTGGCAAGGACTTCTTCCATTGTAAGGTGAGAAAAAAAAACTATTCTGAGTTTACATTATTTTGTGCTGATCGGCCGAACCAGACTTGCTCTACATGCATCGGCATAGGCCAGGAAACAGACCACAAGTGCATCGAGAGATCCACCGACTGCGACTGTCCCATCTGCGGTGACTACATGTTCACTTCCCCTAAAGCTATATGCTTCATGAAGTGCGGACATAGTATCCACCGGCAATGCCTGGACCAACATATGAAAGTCGCCTACAAATGCCCGATATGCAACAAGAGCTTAACGAACATGGAGCTGCGGTTTCGGAATCTCGATATCGCGATCCAAACCCAACCCATGCCAGCCGAGTTTCAGGATACCCGAGCGTTAATTTTATGCAACGATTGTTCTACCAAGAGCACGGTCAAATATCATTGGCTTGGGCTGAAGTGCGGCCTCTGCGCCTCGTATAATACAGCACAACTTCGGATACTTGGTATGGTCGACGACGCAATCGAAACCGATCTGCTCGGGCGGGAAATAGAGTTTTCCGAACTGACGGCTTTGCGAGGAATTGCGGAAGGAGTGGATGGTGGCGCCCGGGCCCGCGACATAAGGAGGCGTCATTCGTCTACCGTCGCGCGGTCTACCATAAACCAGTCCATCATGGAGTCGGATTATCCCGACAGACAAGCGCGCTCCGTGTCCCCGCCTGGTTGGAACACCACTTCGGGATATTTCATCACGGAAGCAGACGACGAGGACAGGGAGGATATATTAGGATTTTGGAGCCGGCTCCCTCGTAGCATAACCTCCGACGATGACGAGGACGATGCGAATTATTCCGAAGAGGAGTCTATATCATCCTCGGAAGACGAAGAGGACGAGGATGAAGGAGATGAGGATGAGGAAATAGACGATTTTGAACTGCTTGGCCACCGCTAATAAAGCGGTAGCGGGTAACAGATTAAGGGGGACGTTATATTGATTGATTGTATTGGGGCGGTTTTAGGATTGAACACACATACTTACACACACTCATACATTGGGAAACGGCGTTTTAGGGGTGGTACGAAGCATTGGAGCCAATGATAAAGATTACATGCCTACATACAGCGCTGGAGAGTTATTTTTTATTTTTTATTTTTTTGGAAAGCGGAGGGGGAGGGGAGGGGCAAAATAAGCTAGAGCATCCGGCATACAATAAGAACACCGGTTTGAGGCATGCAGATTGGCATATATATAGGTGTAGAGGAAAGAGTGGTTATTATGTCTTCACCCATTCCCGGTGCCCGCGAACTTTGGGGAGAATGTTTTACGATTAAGGTACCTACCTTAGGAGGTAGGTATATATATACCTTTTATATGTATGAGTTGCGAATGAACCACTTAACCAAGATTTAGGAGTAAGATGTAAATAAAATAATATATCTTGATGAATTTTGCAAGTACAGCTGATGCATGAATACAAACAAGAACTCCCAACTCCGTGTCTCCAGGTATATCAGGTATGCGAGTTGCTTGCTGAAAGAGCGTGACTAGCTCGTAGAGTACCTAGCAGTACCTAGCAGTGCTCATCTCATAGTAGTAATGGTAGATTGAACCGCATATCTATCTCATCGACCAGTACTCTGAGCGAATTCCGCCTTCTGCGCCTCTCTACGCAGGAACTGGACGACGTTCTGGGGACATGGTATATCAATCACTGGTTAGTTTTTTCTCGGGGTTTTTTTTAGAAAGGGGAAGAAGGAAGGCTCTCGGACGTACCGCGAGGGCCTCTGGGTTCACGCCATTCTCGATCATGGAGATGCAGATGGACAGCGTGCGGCGGTCGAGGTGGCAGTTCTAAGACTCGCTCGCTGATTAGTATTGGGCTGGAATGGGGGAAGGGGGCTTTGGTACGGCTTCAGGGGGGATAGGAATAGAAGGCTGGGAATGGAATCGACTTACTAGGATGGTGGATATCTCGTGCAGGATGTCGACGGCTTGCTGCGCGGCTTGTTGTTTCTCGTTGTCGTCTCGGACGGCTGGTGGCATTGTGTATAAAGCTCTTTTTTGAATGAGAAGAGAGCTTTGTTATGTTTAGAAGAAAGAAAAAAAAGCTAACGTTTACGAAGAGTATCAAGTTTCTGAGAATTGTTTAAGTTGTATGTAAGTAATGCCCATAGCAGTGTAGGTTGTGACAGACGCGTGGGGTCGCGCAGTTGGAATTTAATTGGCGGTTTGTTTGTTTGCAGCTGGTCGCAACTGGCTTTCGGCCTTTTTCTAGGCCTTTTTCATGACTGCAGTAACACACAACCCCTAAAGTTCTTATAGGGGATGGATTAAGATAAGTTTTTATAGGCAAACGTTCATTAAGCATTATTCATAAAGTACTCTTCTAATTAAAGAGAGTAAAGAAGGCATCTCCTTCGTACCTAGAGCCGGTCATAATATCCAAATATATCACGATCCCACAGTAATAATAATACCGACTCCAGACGCCACCATCATCATCAGTAATAAAACCACAACGTAGAAAATGAACTTAGGTACCCCTCATGATTGCATAGCCTCGACGAACAACTCCCTCATGCCCTTCAACAGCACGGCCAAATCCCTCGTCTCGTTAACCCTCTCGAGCACGCGATCGACCTTCTCGCGCTCGAGCTTGGGCCTGCAGTGGCGAACGTCGTAGTCGCGGGACGAGGTGCTCAGCTCGAACCAGGCCTCGCGGTCCCAGTCCTTCTCGTCGACGTGCGTGTACACGAAGCGCAGGCGGTCCGTCTGCCCGGCGCCCTCGATCTTGAGGCACAGGTTCTGCATCCAGAAGTCGAGCTCGGGCACGTTGAAGCGCGACTGCGACTCCATGTACTGCGCGTGCGCCCGCTGCGCCGCCAGCCGCGCCTCGATCTCCCGTTGCGTCTCCGCGATCTGCTGCTGCAGCGCGTCCCGCGCGCTCTTGTTCCGGTCCCGCTGCTCCGTCAGCGACGCGATCGCCGCTTGCATCTCCCGCGTCTCCGCTGCTTCTTTCGATATCATCTGCTGGTGCGTGTTGGTCTTGTGCTGCAGGATTTCCATGTCCTTCTTCTTCATGCGCTGGTCCTCTGTTTTGTAGCGATATTAGTTAGTATACGTATACTCATAGTATGTTAGTTATGAGGGGTAGGGTGTGAGTGTTGGCGTTGGCGTTGATGGCCTACCTTGTAATTCGGCAACGTTCATTCGAAACTGATTGCGCTCCTCGAGAACGCGCTTCCTCCCTTGCTCGATAAAAGCATCGAATCTCGCGCTGAACTTGGCCATGCGATCGCGCAGCTCGTCGAACCCGAAATTGATGCTCGGCAGAGAGTCTGCCATAGAGGGGGCCGTCGCCGACAACGTTTGCCGACCGCTTAGGCTAGATGATAAAGATAAGGTTGGTTCGAATGCGGATGCCATTTTCGAGTATTCGATCTCGTAATTCGATCGTATAGTTGGTTTCGACTGGTAAGTGACGTTGCGACGATTTGGTGGTTTGTGATTAACTGTGGGTGCTTATCGAATGCCCGGGCATTTCACAAATTCAAGTTCACAAATGCAAGGCGACCCTGTTAAATGTTTATGTTCGTTGCCGAGCGGCGCTAGACTCGGCAGGCTAACCCCACTTAAAGGTACCGTGTTAGGTACTTTATCAACGGGTACCTACCACTTATTACCTAAGGTATCAACTCAACTTTTTTATCAAAAGGCTACTACTAAAAGTAAGATAAATACCTAGATTTAAACCTTTACATACTTCTCATAAAAGTCGACGTCATGAAATTATATATATTATAACTTATAGGTATCCTCCATATCTTCAACGGGCAGTTCTTCAGGTTTCTAGAAGCATGAGTTACTTGTAACCCATAGCGTTAACTAATAACGCGCGATAAGATACTTGGTAACTAGTGCATACCAGGTACCTAAGACGCGCTTTTCGAGGTCCAACTATTTCCCATTTCAGCATTTCCACTTGTCATCCTTTTGCTAGTAAATTTTTATTTTTATTCTTAACATCGACCTCGTCTTTTTAAATCAATTCTTAGTGAATCTTGGGCGCATTCTTCTACCAAGGATTTTTGGATTACATTCTCGTTTCTTTGGCTCTCCAAGCCAATCGCTATGTACGGCAAGCAACGATTAAAATCTGAAAAGAAATCTATCGAGCCTGGCTCTCCGAATGACTGACCGTCAAGTCACTGAATCATCTATTGGACTCGCAGGACGCCTTTCATATATACCCTATAGACTAGGCAAGGCGGAAGATTGCGGATGGCAATCCACGAGGAACTTTACTCAGAATAGTAAGTTCCTACCATTTTATCCTTGTTGCAAAATGTCTAACATCTTTTGAAGCATCTGTATTCAAAGAAGTCGGTCCCTATAAGACATGGTTTCCAGCTTCTAGTCCTGCTGATGTGCCATCTCTGGCTTCGTCAGCTACCACGTCATGGCAGACAAGCCAGAAGCAGCAAAAATGGTTATTGAAAGCCCACCCTGAAGCCCATTTGGGAAATGAATGCATTCATGACGAATTACTGTCGTCACATTCATCAGACCGATTTCAGGAGGGTGAACAACGGGATTCGTCTCTCTTTGCCGTCGGCGAGCTAACCGATACAAGCAATCCGAAGAAAATCTCCGGCGCGCCGTTAATAGCGGTTGTTACTGGCGAAGCAAAAGATATCCTTCGCCTAGCCAAGCCAAGTACGGAAAAGTGGCAATGGGGTGATGATGACAGCATTTCACTACGAACTTCGGATATGACGGAGACAGATGAGTCTATTCTTTACCGAGAGGAAGAACTTACCGGGCCCATTCGCCGTCTGAAGGCTGTCGTCGACCCGAAAAGGTACGATCCGACGCGCTGGATCGTCGTCCAAAGGGACTCCGGTACTCGAATATTTCGACCTGAGTACCGCAGGACGCCGACGATATCCAATTACACCAACGTGGAAACACATTCTCGTATTGCCGCAAATCCATCATTCTCCCTCTCAAAAAGCCAGACTGGAGGGAGTCCACATTCAGATACGTCCTTCAACCCCGGTGTTAGGTCAAAGCCGCCTCAGTTTGGACTCATCGACGAATGTGGATTTTGGAGTATCTGGGATGTCGTTCATATTAGAGTCAAAACTAGAAAACCGCGCGTGAGCCTTAGCAAATGTGGCCATATCGAGAAAGGTGTTTTGAGTCATTTGCCCTCTGGAGGTGCAGGGACGGCGCAATGGCACAAGATATTGTGGGTTGGCTACCTAGGGAGCTTGGAAGAATCGCAGGCCTTCGATTTTGAGGACGACGATGATGTTCCTGAAGTCCAAGGATCTTTCCCACAGCTTGCACGATCTTCAACGTTGCTTTTATGCAATTCGAAGTTGCTTAGGCTGCTAGATCTCACAAATAATACCTTTCTCCCTGATCTACCACTTTTGGCGGAAAGAGGTCGAGATTCCATTCTGGACGTGCATACAAATCCACAAGATGCTCAATATATTTTCGTTCTGACTACATCGAAGTTATTGGTGGTTAGAATATACTCAACCCAAGGGCAGGATTGGGGTGAGGTACGAAAAAACGCTGCTATTGTACTCTCAGTCTCTCACTTCAGAGATAACTTCGACCAAGGCTCCAAGCTTGCGGTTACTCCAGGTACTACCTCGTCTAGATATATCACTTCCCTGGTTTCCATATACTCTCGAAACAACACTCAGATTGACTTCTATTGTATGAATATGCTGAAAAAGAACCCTTCTAGGGTCTCCTATCATCGCGAGACAGTTTCCTTGGATGCCATTCATCGCCCATCCCCAGGGATGGCTCCCCAGAGTATATGTCTTCATCCCGCGCCAATCATTTTGAAACCTCTGACCACGCCGAGTGCGTTTGCGCAGAGCCTTGTCCGACAAGAGATTAGGTTTTACCAATTTTTCTCTATGAGGAGAGACACAAGTCTCGTCGTTACCCTCTGCGCGTCTGCATCCACGTTTCCAATTAGCCAGGTACAGCCTCCAAACTACAAAATATCTCAAATTCAAAACTCGTCCAAAGAGAGGAGAAAATTATTGAAATACATGACGTCCCATTTCGTTGTACCAGACGATATCGGGGTGCATAGTCATGAAGACAGAAACCTCCGGGACATCAACAAAAGATTTCGTCCGTGGCCGGCCATACGAAGGCCCCTTGGAATGTTTTACGAGTACGTCTGTACGGCTTTTACTCGCCGGGTTAATGGAAATGAAGAACAATCGTCTGGGGAAGCCCCTGGCTCTAATCCGTTCGACTACGTTCGTTTTGTTGTCGAGCGTGCTATTAGGGATGGAACTATGTCTGCCACTACTCTGTAAGCTTTCTCCATTTTTCTCCCTTTTCGATATTTTCATTGTTTTCAAATCTGATTAGAAGTAGTTTCGGAACGATGGAAGACTTTGCATTGCCGACCGATTTGAGCCACGCGGCTGCCGAATGGGACTTCGAAATAGAACAGCTCGGGCATATTGACCCTGATATGACATTGGTAGCATTGAAGCGGCCCTTCAACCAGGTTACCGAGCCAGCAAATTCGCTATACGAACTCTTTTCTGCCTTTCTCAACTTGGCAGCCAGCTCTGGTCTAAGTCAAGAGAACCAAAGCCCGATTCAAGAAGCGAGGTTCGCTGTATTTCGGCAGATGGCATGCGATGTTTACTTGTCACTCTTTGGGTTAGTTCATCGCCAAATAGAGTCGAGGCAAAGTCAGCGATCCCTCACGGAGGAACTAGAGAGCATGGCCATCGAAAGCCAGTCAGGAAGCCGAATGGGGAGTGTATCGAGATCACAGTCCGAGGTGCCTACGTCAGAACCAGATACGCCGAGAATAGAAAGCCAGGGAGAAGATCCAGCCATGGCCCTTTTGAGGTCGTATACGGGTACGGGCAAATATGTACCAGCGAAGCGTACAATGCTTCTGGACAAATGGGAAGTCGGAGCGAATCCTGATACATATGTGTTTGATCTCGAGAGAGATAAAGAGGTGACTCCCGGGATGCAGAAGAGAATAAAGCAGCTAGCTCGTGAGAATCGGAAAAGACGCAGGGCAGAAACGCTTCTTCAGATGCACAAGGATAAAGAACCAACTCTGCCAGCTACCCAACCGGCGCCAGATTCTCGCTTCTTCAACCAGCATAGCCAGTCGGTCGCATTTTCTTCGCAGACCCAGGCTTTGATGTCGGACCCGTTGCAGACTATGTCTCAGCCAATACCGGGTGTTTTCGGTCGAAGAGAAGAGCGGCCGAAGAAAAAGGTGAAGAAGCGGAAAGGAGGGTTCTGATGTGTCGAAGCTACCTGATATAGAAGTCATAAGGCTACAATAAACGTATCAGAAATATGTGTTTCAAAATGTCTAGAAGACGAATCTGTGCTACTTTAGTGTCAGCTATATGTTAGTATGTTTACTGAGAGCTGCATGTTATACGTTTTAAGGTCAAGTCGTTATGATATGTGGTACAGTTCATGTGAAATTAACTACATACGATTAGGACTGGAGAAAAGGGGTTATCAAATAGGTACCTTAGATATGGTTGCCTATATGTATTAACAAAATAAGCATAAGAAACTGGCAGTTTCGGATTCAAAGCGTGATATAAACTTTGCATCTTCAGATATTGGCCATACACAGTACATTTTAGACTATAATATAATGCACTAGATACCTAATTCGCCGCTTCTACCCGCGTTTACCAATTACGTGAAATGCAATTACCCGATGTATAACTATCCACGACCAAGTCGCCACAACCATTAGGTACCTAGGTACTTTCCCCACTCTCTTTCACATCAAACAGTGACCAGAAACACTCGAACTTATTCCCAAGAGAATAAAAGTAATCTCAGTAAAGAAGACTCGAGAATTAAATATAACCAATTAATACTATAAAAAAAAAACGCCGAGCATGTCAGCCTGTCGTGACGAGCACGACCACGGGCACGGTGGACACGACCATCATGACCACGATCACGATCACGACCACTCGGACGACATAACGCCCGCGCTGCAGCACAGCTTGTACCAGCACATCGTGTTCGACCAGATCACGACGCTGAACGAGGCGGAGTCCGGCTCGGGCCGGGAAATCGTCAAGAAGACGTGGGCGGAGAGCGGGGAGGTGGTCCCGGAGCTCAGGAGCGACGCCGACGAGCAGGTCATTATAAATGTGCCGTGAGTACCTGCCTAACCTAATTTATTTATTCATTTCATTTCATTTGTTTCGTTTGTCTTTGTCTTGATGGACTTCAAATAGTTGTATTGTATTATATTGTGTTCTATTTTATTTCATCTCTCATCTCATCTCACCTCCTCTCCTCTCCTCTCATCTCATCCCCACTCACACGCCATCAGCTTCACGGGCCAAGTCAAACTACACTCGATCCTGCTGCGCGCGCCCCCAGACTCCAGCGCCCCGCGCACGCTGAAGCTCTTCGCGAACCGGGCGGACGTGGACTTCGACGCCGCGGCGGACCTGGCGCCGACGCAGACGCTCGAGCTGGCGCAGGCCCGCGGCGTGCAGGAGCTGCCCGTGCGCCGGGCCCTGTTCGGCAACGTCCGGCGGCTGGCGTTGTTTTTCGAGGATAACTTTAGCAGCAGAGTTGGCGGTGATGATGACTCGGAAGAGGAGGAGGAGGAGGAAGAGAGGGAAGGGGAGAGTACCAGGATCACGTATTTGGGCTTCAAAGGCGATTGGATGCCCGTCGGCAGAGCGCCTGCGAATATCCTCTACGAGGCGGCGCCGAATCCGAGCGATCACCCGCTCAGGGGGACGGCGGCGCAGAGGCAGCAGCAGTTTGGGGGCGGGTTTGGGAGGGGCCAGTGAAAGGGATGAATGGGGTTTTGGGAAGGGAGAAGGGAGGAGGGAGAAATGTGGAAATGGAAAAACGGTACGGGAATCATGGTCTATGAACTTTCCTATTTTATCAGGAGAAAAGGGGGTATAAGCACTTCTATTTCTTTATGGGCAAAGGCTAGGTTAGGTTAGGTGGTTAAGAAAAGGAAAGGGGGCCGATCAGTCGGTAGGCAAGGCAAGGCAAGGCAAGGAAAGGAAAGGCAGGGCACTCAGTGCTGAAGGAGCATTATATCCCCGCGATATCTACGTTACTGGTGTATCGTTACAAAGTTTTATACATAGGTATTACTTCTGTACTGCGGTCCATTCGTTCTGTTACATAAAGTCTTCCTCCCAGTTCTCGTCCCTATTCTGGTTGCTCGAAGCCTCCATATTCTCCTCCGTGAACAGTTCGTCGTAAGCGTGGTCCTTCTGCCACTTCTTCTCCTGCCTCTCCTTCAATATTCTAGCCTCTTCCTTCCTCTGTAGACGTTTCATTAACCCCAACATTATATTTATAATGGAGTAGTTAGATTAAACGAAAAAGATATGTCTTACCCGTTGTTGCTGTGCCGCTTGATCTCGCTTCCTCAGCTCTCTGCGATGGTCTTCTCTCTCCTGCTGCAGATCGGGCTGCTTCTCCACCTTGGTCTTGTTCAGGCGGTTGATGATGGCGTTCTCCCGCTGGGCGACGAGGACCTTCTTGACCTTGCGGGGGTCTTTAAAGCTCACCTGGCCGACGGCCATGCTGCCATCCTTCTTAAGGTTGGACCAGGGCGTATAGATAACGGTGATGTTGTCCTTCTTGTTGCCCTCGATGGAGTTGGCCTTAGTGAGCTGCGCGAGATCCGTGACCAGGTCTTGCGGTATATTCTCCCACGAGTCGCCCTCATTGAGTCTTAGGTAGATGTGCGCGCTGGAGAGCTTGTCTACGTGAAACTGTTCGTAACAAACCCCTATTGCATGAGATTCGGGACACTTTCCAAAGTTTTGTGTGTTTTAAAAAAAAACATGGTTTTAGGAATTGTTTTTTCATACCCTAGAGAGAGTGTGTGAATACATAAATATGAATACCCATTTTATTTATTTTATTTATTTCAATATGAGTCGCAAATGACATGAAATGAAGTGCTGGCGACGACGTTACTTACCAGACGTCTTCTTCCCAACCGTACTTGATCAACTCCTCATCTTTCCGTTACGAAGGTTGTCAGTACGTAGTTGGCATGCTCATGAATGAGTCTGACTTAGACCGGGGGGATGTTGAAGATAAACCCACTCTCGAATTTGTCCTTGCCGACGTAGACGAAGGCCGGAGGGTCGACAACCGTGGATGTAAAGTAGTAAACCATATCGGCGGGCTGATGTATAGGATAAAAAGTATCCAAAATAAAATTGTCTTGAAAGGGGTTAAAATAAAAATATGAAAATGTAAAATGTAGGTGATGTAGGTGCCCTTTTTTTCAGCAGGCGCAAAAGATCCAGGCTTTCTTTCTCCATCGCGGGCGCCTGCAGAGATATCTCTACCTACCTAAATGTACCTAGGTACCTACGTACCCCCATCTTCCACTTAGTTAGGTACCTACCTAGTCATATACCATAGATTTCCCGAAAAAGTTCGGATCCACTCCATATTTTTCAACGTCCAGACCAAACCTTCAACCAGCCAGCCGTCCTGTCATATCTCGAAATTGCCCCATTCCAAAATTCCCAAACCTACGAATAACCCGAAACCCGAATTGGGACGGAATTGGGTCCTGAGCTCTCTAAGCTCCCCCCCCAACCCCCCCCCGCGACGATGGCATCCCGACTGCCGGCCCGCTGGGCTGCCGGCCTGTCTAAGAGCTGCTTGCAACTAGGCGGCATCAGCAGCACCACCCTCACCACCGCCACCACCAGAGTCCTCATCACCGAAAACCATACCCTCCTCCCGCGGACGGCGAAGCGCGGCGTCAAGTACGGCTGGTCGACGCTCAACAGGCGGACGCGGCCGACCCGCTTCAACCAGCAGAGCGCGGGGCTTCCCGCGCCCACGACGGGCCCCGCGGCCGCCCTCGAGCGCAAGAAGATGTCGACACCCCTGCGGCCGGGCATCCTGGCCACGAAAGTCGGCGTGTCGGCCATGTACGACGCGAACGGGCGCCGCACCCCCTGCACCATCCTGCAGATGGACCAGGTCCAGGTCGTCGCCGTCAAGACCCGCGCCAAGAACGGCTACTGGGCCGTCCAGATCGGCTGCGGCCAGAAGGAGCCCAACAACGTCACCGCCCCTCTGCTCGGCTACTTCGAGGCGAAAGGGATCGCGCCCAAGCGCGAACTCGCCGAGTTCCACGTGCGCGGGGAGGAGGGCTTGCTGCCCGTCGGCGTGCAGCTGCAGCCGGACTGGTTCAAGGTGGGCCAGTTCGTCGACGCGCGGAGCAAAAGCCGGGGCATGGGGTTCGCGGGCGGCATGAAGCGGCACGGGTTCGCGGGCCAGGAGGCGAGCCACGGTAACTCCAAGAACCACCGGACGATCGGTACCTCGGGCCCCAGCCAGGGCGGCGGTTCGCGCGTGCACCCGGGCAAGAAGATGCCGGGGCGCATGGGCGGGGAGCGGGTGACGATCCAGAACCTGCGGGTGCTCAAGGTCGACAACGAGACGGGCATCGTCGTGGTGAACGGCCACGTCGCCGGCCCCAAGGGCTGCCTCGTCAAGCTGGCCGACGCCGTCAAGAAGGACCCCCCCGCCGAGACCTTCATCGCCAAGGCCAAGAGGATACTGCTCGAGCGGAATCTCGGCCACGAGCAGCACCTGGAGGCGGCGCGGCAGAGACATCTGGAATTAAAGGAGATGAGGAAGGCGGGTAGCATAGGTAACGCTGCGGCTGTGGCGACCTTGTAGAATAAATAGATGAATATATACTACATCTGTACCATGTACTACGATGATGATGTACACGAATCTCGGACCCCTAATTAAGGGTATGTATGATTTTATGAAGTCGTCCACTCTACTCTACCGACTTCCAATACCTTCTCCTCCCTCCCTCACTTAAGCTGCTGCCTAAACCCCCTCGTAGCCACCTCGCGCTCCTCCTCGTCCATGGGGAACGCGGGCGCAGCCCTAAAGGGGTCCTCGCCCTCGAGCAAGTCGATCTTCCTGCCGTCGGGGGTCTCGAGGCTCCACTCGGTGGTCTCGAAGACGCCCTTGGGGGTGGGGCGGAAGCTGGCGAAGCGCATGACGGCGTCGGAGCGGGTGCCCTTGACGGGGAAGCGGATGTCGATGCGGCCGCGCAGCTGGTTCATCTCGCCGGCGATCCAGGGGATCTGGTGCTTGAAGTAGATCTCGTCGCCGAGCAGCTCGCGGGCGCGCGGGTTCGTGCGCAGCGCGTACATCGTCGACGCGACGATCGGGCTCGACAGCTTCTGGTAGTTGAAGATGGCCACGCTTGAGGCCGCGATGAGCGCGAGGAATATGGGGAGTGTGCGCCCCCACCGGAAGGTGTTGATGTCTGTGGGAGAAGGGTTGGTTTGTTAGTAACGCACACATACACACACACACACACACACATATATATATATATATATAATATGATGCTATAAGCATATTCGCAGAAAAGGGAAACGCACTTGGGAGTTCTCTGTCGGGCCGTCTTTCCATCAGAGGTCCATCGCCGGGTTTAGGTGCTGCAACCAGCGTCCTTCTTTGTATTTGATTCCTCGCAGAGCTGTATTGATTCCGTAGTATCGTGGTCGCCCTCCGGCGCATTATTAACCTAGACCACATTTTTGTCGTCGATTGATTTACTCAGGTACCCACCCAGTATTCCCAAGATCTTTCGCTCCGCTCCGCTCTTAGAAAATGTCGAACTCGAAAGATGGTAGAGCTTCAATGTTGCAACTTTACCTAATGCATGCAATGCATCCCACCTTGAAATCATACTACGTCGGTACGTACCCTTCGTTCCTGGGGATTCAAAGGTGGGGCGGAGAATTAAGCCACGCCGAAGTACGTATTCCGTACATTGAATGTACCTGATCGTTCAAGCCACTTTTCCTTATCTAATCGAATTCTATTAAACGAAGCCAAGGCTACATACCTAGGTACCTAGGTAGATAACAGACCCACCCCAGCTTAGGGCAGCCATCAAAATTTTGTATCCCACCAAACATTTTTCCCGTTGAAATTTCGCACTTCCTAGGAAACCTCTGTGAACACTTTTGTCAAATCCAACCACCAACAACCAATTCTTTTTTTTTCGCCCATCGCCCAACGCCCAACCGACAAAATGGTCAAGGTCAACTCCGGTATGTCCTTTATACACACACGTCTCGAATGATTTATATTGTCAATTTGAAAGATAGGATGGAACGCTAATGGATCTTTTAAAGGTGTCGCCAGCTCGCGACGAAAGTCGAGAAAGGCGCACTTCGGTGCGTCTTCCGGCGAGCGCCGTGTCATCATGAGCGCTCCCCTGAGCAAGGAGCTGCGTGAGAAGTACAACGTAAGCAAATCGACCTTTTCCCCGCGTGCAATTCGTTCGTTCTAACACGAATTCTTCTCCCCTACTACAGGTCCGCAGCATCCCCGTCCGAAAGGACGACGAGGTCACCATCGTCCGGGGCACCAACAAGGGCCGCGAGGGCAAGGTCACCGCCGTCTACCGCCTCAAGTACGCGCTCCACATCGAGCGCGTCACCCGCGAGAAGGTCTCGGGCCAGAGCGTGCCCATCCCCATCCATCCCAGCAAGGTCGTCATCACCAAGCTCAAGCTCGACAAGGACCGCGAGAACATCCTCGAGCGCATCAAGGTCGGCCGCGAGCTCCGCACCAAGGGCAAGGCCGCCGCCAAATAAGCGCGCGCTTCTCGTTAGCTGCCTCTGCCTCTGCCTCTCACCATCCGGCCCACCTTTTCCAAATAACAACTCGGCCTTGCGCCTACGCCGGCCAGAAAGGGGGCGGATTAGATTAATCCTGTTTGGCACGAAAGTGTCCAAGTATCCTACGACTCGAACGGGAGGAAACATTTACGGAATATTGGCGTCTTGCGAAAGGGTAACAAAAAAGGCATGGCTTTTTTTTTCCTCTTCTTCCTTTGGCTTTCTCCGAGGAGGGGGGAAAAGAATAATCGGCGGGACTTGATTTGCATGGGAAGCTCGACGATCAACAAAAAAAGCATCTAGATGCGGTGGTGGGCGCTAATACCCTTTACCAGAAATGAAAAAAACATTTACATGCACATAATGGCCATTTCACAATTCATCTTGTGAAATGTTCCATGGGAGGTTCTTCCCGAAGTCTTGCTCTTTCCCTCAATCTAGGTTAGGTACCTAACCTAGCCTAACCTAGGCAATGCTTCTTCTTGACTTGCCGCGCTGTTATGCCGTATGAATACCGCACTTCCGGCCCAACTAACTTCTAGGTTAACCGTCTCTCACGTCTCCAATTAAGAGACTTCCTCGAATTCAAGGGAGGGTATAGAAGTGGATATCATAAAATCCATTCAGATATACAGATATCCCTCCTAAAGGTGAGTAGCTAGCTTCTCGTAAGAATACCTACTAGTTACATACATTTAAGTATGATAGATTCCCCCTAATTCCAATTCTACGTCTACGTCTACGTAAGCAAAATAATACCGCCAGGATATCTCCGCGTCAACTTCAACCCTTTAGTTTTCGAGGTATACGACTGGCGAAGAGAAAAGCAAGCGCGAGGGACATAACAATGAATCACCCCCTTTTGTCGCCCCTTCGCCTGCAGACTGTCAACCAGTAGATATGAAAATATCCGTGAGGTTGGGAGTTTGATGGTGAAGTACATATATATTATTTGTATACACCTTTTTTTTAGAAAAAAAAAAAGAAATCATCTGAATTACACCTATCAGTCCACGAATTATCATATAGTGAAGTGAATAAGAACAAAAAACACTTATTATTATTATTATAATACAACGGATGGTCCTCAATTATGTGCCCTGAGGCAAGAAGTTACTATCGATCCTAATAAAAGTATGTCGAAGCGACGAGAATAAAGCCATAACGAAATCTGCAATGCCATAACCTTCATTTGCTCTTTGGCCCGAACTATTTCAGTTCCGTCACTATTACGCGATGCTATCACCCGTATCCGCCTCGTTGAAAAAAGAAAACGAAATTATGCCGAACAGAATTATTACTTATGCGAAAGAAAGAAAAAAAGCTCAGCCACTTAAAAGCAATATAACACATATTTTGCCTTTGCTTTGCTTATCACGATGTTGTCCTTGTTATCTCAATAGAGACGAAGAAGTATCGTTGCAATCTTGACCATGCGAAAGGATCATACGGGATGACCATACAAGTGTCCGTAACCTCCAAATGGTGACGGGAAAAGAAATAGAAGATATTCGGTCGACTGAAATCGTAAACGATAGCCTATGGTCGACTTCTCAAAGAAATGAATCTAATCATACTGGCATGGGTGTAACAACATGTTGTTTATAGAGCTGCTGCTTCATTTCTCGTCATGTCAAAAGCATAGAGAAGACTGGCGAGTGTGACGATGTTTTGTTTCTCCCGACAGTGTGCAGTTAAAAGCCTTAGCTTCACCACTCTGAGCCAACGACCCCACGTCGCTCGGCATCACGAAGCATGCGCTCTTGGACATCTTTCAATGGATCGTAGTCTGCCGAACGCGTCTCATTGGGCGGACAGTTCTCTCCAACTTTGTCTGCGGATCGTTGAGTGTCATATTCAATAGACTTGTCTCCAGCTTCCGGCGAAGCGCGGGTTGCCGTGTTGCTTGTGTTGGAAATAGCAGGCCCAAGAGAGGCGGCGGCATGCCCGTGATACTGAGGTAAGTATCCTGTAGCTGTGGTCGACGAGACTGTGCTAGGAACCACAGTTCCACTGGTCGATCCTCTCTTCAGCATGGTTTGCCAGAGATCATTTCCGGACTTATTGCTAAAAAAAAAGTCAGTCGTAATTCCACGCTTAGACGTCCGCACTCATACCTAGATCTTTCAACAGTTCGTCGAGCTATCGTATCTTGCTTCTTGTCGACTAAATGGCCCTCATATGGCCCGCCCGGAGACGAAATCTTGGCGTTGTCGAGCTTATTAGAGAGACCTTCGATGTTATTTCCACCTTGTAGTCCTACAGAAACGGAATTCTTCTTGGGCGCTCCTCCTCGACCAGCATCATCAGGAGCAACAATAGGAATGGCTTTGCTGATTTTCTGAGTCCCGTGGGTGGGACGGAATGGATCGACTTCCAAAGCCTGAGTCCGGAAACCAAAGTCAATGTCCGGTCGGCCGGTTGGTATCGCTGGGCGAAGTGTGGCTTGGGAAGCCTCGCCCTCTCGGGTTACCTTTACTGGTGAAGGGGGATAGAAGTCTTTCCCGTCAAACTTTGGTAAGCCGAACCCTACATTCGGAACGTGGCCCCAGTAGTTACTTCGAGCTCGCTTCTCCTGGGCGGTTAACTCTCGCGAGTAGACGTAGTCCGCTCCGTGACCACCATGTGCATTTACTCCTCGAGGTAAAGTTCCAACTAGATACGGACGAGGGTGACCATTCGGAACAAAGCCCGCCGACGATGGCTGGGGATTCACAGCAGGGGCGTGGTTTGCTGAGTTCGGGTTCGTAGAGTAGGCACTGTTCCAATTTCCGTTCTGGTCATACGGAACCACACCAGCGGGCGACCACCCGCCCGTTCCATGAGTACCAGAGAAGCCAGTATGCTGTCCAAGGCTCGCCCCTTCGGACTGAACTGCAAAGGAGTGTGGCACTCCGCCAAAAGTAGGCGTAGGAGCGACGCCAGTGTAAGATCCCGCATTCTTCATCGAGTCAGGCACGGCAAGACCCTTCCTCATCTTTTCTTGGATGAGTGCTTCTAGAGCAGGGTCTAAGTTTAGCGGTGAGGTGCTGCCTTTGTTGGAGTTAATTCCGGTCGCCCTCGGGTTTCTGTGGCTACTATGTCTCGAGCTATTTCGCTCTGAAGATTGGAACTGTAAAAGGCTACGACCTTGATCACCGATGCCGATGGAACTGTTCTGGGATGTGTTTGCTCCTCGACGGCTTCTGACACTGGAATTTCCTGTGGGAGTCTTCCAAATTACTCCTTGTTGAGTCGAACTTGAGGAAACAGGTGGAAGCTGAGGATAGTAGGAAGCTTCGAAATTTGCCTGCATCTTATAGTTGTGCTCGAACTGGCGCACACTTTCTCTCACTTTGGCCGCTTGCTCTTCCGTCCATTTCTCGTCGATCTGGTGCTTATTATATTGGAGCTGGTCTTCATAGTACTTAAGAGACCCTTTCAACGAGTCAAGCTGACGCTTTGTGATCTCACTGGGTCTGATGGACGTGATGTGAGGTGTAGATCCCTGAACGGGAGTAGAAGTTTGCTGTACTGTTCGAGCACCTGCACTAACAGCGTGGGGAACGTTGAAATGAGGAGAGGGAATTGCGGCAGGACTAAACATTGATGCCGTGGGAGAAGGTTGGCCTATAGAGCCATACGCGGCCATATGAGCCCCAGCAGATCCCACATGTCCGACCACACCCGGTGGGTAACACGGGCTTGGAAGCATCATCGGCATAGGCACCTGACTCTGCATCAATCCATAAGGCGGTGGGTAGATCACGTTGCCATTATGATAGAACGGTCGGCTCTGTTCGAACTGATCTCTAGGAGTGATCTTGATAGGAGCGGGCCTTGGCTTCTTATCACTGGCACCGTCTTGTGTTTTGACTTCTTTGGTAGCATCGTCGATATCCTGCTGACTTTGAAGTGGAGTGGGCTGCTTACCACCTGAGTGTGCAAAGGGAAGAGTGGGCATACCATAGGCCATTGGGATTCCGTGAGGAACAGGATACAGAGGCATGGGCAGACCCATATGCTGGAAGTATCCAGGGGGTATAGGCACCTGCAGAGGGAGCTGAGCTTGGGGAAACTGGCCGGTAGAGACGTTGGTAACGTCGGGCTTCTCGACTTTAGCAACATCTGCCGAGCCCAATCCGTTGGTAGCTGGACGTTCCTTGTCCCATTTGGCTGTTGGTGAGACGGAGCCGCGTGTGTTGGGTACGATTCTTCCTCCAGCTGTTACCCGAACGTGAGTAGGAGAGACGACAGCTTTGAAGAATCTTTGAAAGCCTTCACTCTGTTGTGCCACAAGTCCCGCAGGAGCTGAGAGTGGTTCTTTCGAGGAAATTTCAGATCCGGTGCGGCCTTTGTATTGCCACTGGGTTCGACCATTCTTCTTGCCATGGAAGATGATCTCGTCACTCTCCGTGGAGGAGGACATGTCCTCCTTGGATCTCTTCGTGGATCTAACTTGAGCAGGCATTTTGGTCGTTAGGTCTTTAAAAATCTCAGCTGAGTTTGTTAGCGCAAAGGCTACAATCAGTTGTTAGTGAGTCGGGTCGTGGTAAAGTGATGAAAAAATCAAGATAAAATAATAAAGTATTAGGATAAGGATACAGAAGGGGATACAGAGGAGGACACAAATTATTTAACACTTGAAGGGAATAAAAAAAAAGATGTTTGGTGGGGGGAAAAGAAAAAGTGAAATTGAAAAGAAGATGCAGGAAGAAAAATAGGGGAAAGGGTTGGGAGGGTGATCAGGCAGAAATTAAAGAAAAGCGGATTCACTCACCAACTTCCCGGTTGATATAGAGCTTGTCCAATCCGTCTCTATAAAAAGTCTTTTTGAGCTGGAGCAGCTCATTAACAGTATACTTTCGAGATTCCATCGGAAGGTCGAGGTAGCCGAAAACAAAGTAGGTCTTGGTCAGCTCGCCGCAATAGTATCGGAACAGTGTTGGAAAAGTAGACGCTTTATCCCGTGTGGGTTTCTTCGAGGAGATTATGGAGATGAGCTCTAGAGCCACAGATAACTGCGGAGGGATTCTGTTGGAGTCAGCAATCCTCTGGGCCTCAAGTTGGGAAAGGATGAATTCAGATAAATTCAAAAGAGATGTGGCAGGATATGGTAAAGCGTGATTGACGTGAGAGCTGATAACTATATGGCGGACATCTCTGCTGCAGCTGAACCTGAATTTAATACTGGTGACAGTGGCTCCTGGGATTGGGATGCTATGTTCCTGAGCACATCTAAGCTCTCTGTCGAACTGTGCCCTATTTGGATAGCAACGGCGTCCAGACATCTTGTATGAAAAGCCCAAATGGACCAGTCAATACTTTTTGACAAATGGAAAGTAATATGACGGGTAAGATGGGAAACGGCGCTGCAAAAATGTGGCAGCTTATAAGGGGAAACAAACCGTTGTTGTGCGCAGCGCGGAGTGCAACGGGCTGTAGAGAGTTGGGAGAGAAGAAAAAGGGACGATAATTGAGCGTGTGCGAATGGGTGAAGATGCTAAAAGGATTCGGCGTATTTGTTTGTGGGATTTCAGGAAGAAAAGCTCAAAAGCCCTAAACGCGCCGACACGTCTGGTTATTTTTGTCCACGTGTATTTTTTTTTTTATTTTTTTTTTGTGCGTGTTGTATCTTAGGAGACTGGGAGATGTGATTCAGGTTGTCCTGCGGCGTTGCCTAGAATACTGCCAGGTGGTGTAAAAAAAAAAAAAAACGGCAGTACGGTTGATAATCAACTGATAGGAAACAGTACTTACAACCCAAAAAAAGGTACAATTGAGCGAAAGACGTGAGCAATCAGCAATAGTTAGGACATACAAGATCTTTTGAGGCAGATCTGTAAAGGCTATGCTGGTGTTGGAGCATCAATGGAGAGAGGTAGACAAAGTCGAGTTGTTAGATGATTCGGATGGAGGAATCGTAACATAAGAGAGTATGACTTAAGAAATACCCCCTATTATTAAGATTTATAATGCAGAAAGAGTCAGACGGGCTGCACTTTACCTATATTCGTACATTTTAGTCCATTACTTACAGACGTATCCCAGGAGGAAAGGGGTACAAGAGGGTATATATGTACCCAGGGTAGGAACATTCAACGAAAGGGTACCACCCCCCCCCTATTTATACATGCCTCATGTATACTTACGTCAGTCCTCAAACAGGCCAGTAACTTCCATCAGCGAACATCCTACTACTACTCAATTAATACCTGCTCGTGCTCATAATTCAGATACAAATGCTCAGATGCTTTATATTAGATATGCATGTATGCATACCTGATACACTTGTGCTTGTCTTTGAGTATAGTGTACCTTCCTGACATGTAACTCAGTTAAGGTCTGCTTCCATGGCAGAACGGTCCGTCCATACGTGTCTGAATTCAATATAATGGCATGTGGGCTATGGGACGAGCATGTTCCAGGTGCTGAATGTGGGTATAATTCAGCACGAATAACGGACGCTATTCACATTTTTAAGCAATGCCCTCATCTTTGTTTTCCTTATAGAAACCTCTAGCAACCTCTAGCATATGATGGTAGCTATTTGATTTTCTATATCAAGCTTTGCATCAATAATCATAAACTAGTGTCAGCTATCACAATAAAGGGGCAAAAGGGAAGTCTAGTTGGGATTTTCATATCACTTTAAAACTTTTCAATGATTTTTTTTTTTTTGGTGGAAAACACTAAGTCATATAGTTGGGCATAGAATGAAAATAAAGATATAAATGTCGATACCATTATTTTCAGGATCCATTCCCCCAATTCCCCTCAAAGAAACCCAGAACTTTCCAGAGGAGGTGAAATATTGACTGTGGATGTTGAAAGTAAAGCCAAACAGACCTCACGTCCATAATTACGATGAAATAGTCATACAAAAAGTAATGTAAGTTGTTGGGATATATGCTAGATTATACTGATAACCACATAGGAATTTAAGCCGGAGCGTGTAAACGGGTGCTAATAAATAGCGAGTTGAGTTCGATAAAGAGACCATAACGCCCTTTCCTAAATACAAATACACATAAACCCCGAGCTTTAGATGATAATAATGCTATTCATGACGTCAAAACCCCCGGACGGATAAGCTGTACGAAGCTTGACAGCTAGGTATCCGCCAAGACGTGTTCATAAGTCTTGATCTTAGGATACACCAGTATTAAGAGCTCCATACATAGCTGATGCCACCAGGCTGTGATATTTAGAGATATATCAGGCCGCCACGAACCTATACCCACGCCAGCGTACGTACAGGATCCCGTGAAGGTCGACTATAAAATCATTAGAAGACGTGCATACAAAAAAAAGATGACTAAGAAATTTACGTAGCGTTGAGTGTCTTACCCACGCCGCATTCAATACAACTAGACTTCAAGGAACCCTATTTTTATTCGTCCCTTGGGGTAATATGAATGCTTGTTACGTGGTTGTAGATTGTCGATCATCGGGGTTGGGCGGATTCGGCGTCGGAGGTTCCGGTCGCGGAGGCGGCTCGGGCTTGTGGTTTAGACAATACGATGCCTCCTTTCCGTTGGCCGCCACCGGTTCAAGCTTGCGTTGGCCTGTGCTCGAGTAGAAATACATCGTGCTTTGTGATATTGGATAAAGTGTCTCAGAATAAGATAATTTGTTATTTAAACTTTGATAAAGGACGGGAGTGACAGTGGTAACGCTATATATCCAGATTTTGATTGGCAAGCCTCCTGGAGAAAATATAAGCTTAAAGATGGAAAGGAAAGCAGGTCTTTAAAAAGCTCCGTAGCCACGTCTTGGAGCCTATCCTCTTCAGAACAACCCCCACTCCAACCTCCGGGCCGACATAGCTCTAGGTCCTTGATAATTATTGGGTAGGCCTACGATGTCGAAGTGTCACGCCTTCGCTTCCAGCATGTAGTCAACAAATGCGCGTTAGATCCCCTATGAGAAACTTTGCCGACCCACACACGTGGTGATAGATCGACAGTGAATCCTCCTCACGGTTTGGCTCGGTTAGGTGATGGTGTATTCATCTCAAGAACAGCTTCAAAAACTACTGGTGGATGATGCCCCAGCGCATAGGCTCCCGAGCATAACCGCGTAAGCCGCTTTCTTCGGTGTTCCTGTTCATGATAAAAAGCTGATGGGCAGGGATTTCAAACGACTGGTGCAACCTCGTAGTTTCTAAACCAAGGTCACTATGATCACAGCTCATTAGGGAAATCGTGACAATGCACGCATGTTCCTACACCGCTGACCTGATTGCAACCATCCTATAATAGAGGTCCGGTGACGTTTAGAGGGTTACGGTATATGTAGAACAAAAGGCTGATATCAGCGAATCGTGACTCAAGAATCCACCTGATGCAAATGCGTCCATGGGGATTTTCGGCGACAGCCTACACCACTCAAGTCAGCGGCTAGCTTAGATTGGTTGGAAATGGGTTGTCTGGAAAGTCTCGGAGAAGCACAGCCGTGTCCTAGAAGAGTGAGCAGGAAAAAAAAGCCCCAGGGTCTGGGCGCAGCAACAACTTGGATGGGCGGGCAATATCGATGCCTGCTACATCGGCCACGGCCACGATGAGCTGACTGGAAGGACATTTAGCCCAGAGTAGTCTGGACTAGGTATGCCGGTGCCAAGTGGTGTATGTTTCAGAATAACAATTTGACCAGGCCCTCGCGAGATCGCCAGGGCCAATGCGCATCGCGTGGGCTACAGGACATCCCGGCATGGCATCGCGGGAGGTCTCTCTAGGCTCTGCACGCCAGGCGGGTAGTCTAATATCGAGTCAGCCGCATTCCGGGGATTTGGCTGTCAGAATTGGACGACGCGACTTTTCTTCTAGAAGACTTCTTCAGGTAAACTTATATATATATTTATATAAAGCTCCTAGTGCTCCTCATTCAACTCGTCGACAGCTACCTGCTCTGCCATATTGGTATTCATCCGGATGTAGCACGACATGACGCACCCGTTTTCCTTTTCCAAAGGGGAGAATTCACCTCATCCCCCCATCCCAATTAAATCGGCTGTGGAAAGGAGAAGTGAACAAGTACCGGTTGTATGTAAGAGGTAATCTTGTAGGTATGATAAAAGGACCATCACGAGTTCATACCTGTAATCCGTACAGTACAATTAAATATGGGTACCTAGGTATATAATGTGGGTATTTGCATGGGGGTTACGCCGTCACGGGTATTTCGGTTAACCTTTCTTCAGGTACCCACTATTTAGATCTACCTACCTTAGGTTAGGTAGCGTATCGGTTTTAGACAAAATGACGCTCTTGAATTTACATTTTAGCTCACCTCGGCGGGGGATCACCCCACACCTAACAATGTACATGATGACCTCGGGACGCTCTATCGCAAAAGATAACTGGAAGTACCGTTCATAATATTTTACGGTAATTGTACCTGCTGAGATCTATTCCCCTGTAGACCTAGGACCATATCGAGCTAGACTCAGGTATTCTTGCAGGATTCGTTGCCCACTTCTGGCAATATACCTACCTAGGTAGGTATCATCTGTGATGGATTTTCAGATATCAGATATCACCACAGCATTTTCTACAATCAAGTCAACCAATCCCACAACCTCCCCATCTCTTATTGCATTTAAGTCCTACGCTAAGATTCGCTAAAATATTATGTACGTAACCGAAAGCGTAGGGCTGCGTTACGGATACTTATCTACCTACCTAGGTACCTAGGTAAGTACTATGTAATTGCACAACTTCGGGGAAGATATACCTAAGTAATCCTATGGAAGTTAGAACAATTTCTATAATCCCTTGCATGCCTCGGTTTTTACGCTTCACTAACCTAACATAACCGAACCCCGGGGGGTTTTCAGCGCTAAAGTAGAATCCATCAGGTAATATAGAATTAGAAGTGACGCCGCAGCCGATAGAGAAAATGGGCATCTCATCATCTCCCGGTCCTCTATCGAATCCTTTACTTACATCTCAAATATCTTACAAACTATACTACCTCGCTTCGAATTCTCTTCCCAAAAAGAAAACCAAAGAAGAAAAAGGAGTTATTGCTCCTTTCGGCTTTCGGAGATAAAAACACGTCAAATCAAATCATCATCAATCAGTCGCAACGCAACGCAACGCAACACAACACAACAATGGCACCGCTGACTCCGCACTGGGACCAGCCCTCGCACCCCGACATCCAGGAGGTGATCATCAACCCGCACGAGTTCTCGTCGAAGAGCCTGTCCAAGATCTCCCTGCCCCCATTTGGGCTGTACGCGAAGCTGGAGTTCCCCCCGTGCACCTTGGCCGCGTCCCCGAGCTACGCCACCGTCCAGTGCGGCCGGGACGCCCACCTCGACCTCAACAGCGACCTGCTGTACATCAACCACTCGTGCGAGCCCTCCCTCATCTTCGACACCGCCAACATGAACGTCCGAGCCGGCCCCAACGGCCTCAGCCCCGGTGAAGAACTGACCGTCCGTCACACTTGCCATATTCCCCCTTTTCCCTCTTCCTTCCTCTCCTCCTCCTCTTACTCCTAATCCAAGAGAAAAAAAAAGAAAAAAAAGAAAAATCACCCGGTAAGCCCGTCCCCACCTCCCCCCGCAAGAAGCTCACAATCTCCTCTTCCGCCAATTAGTTCTTCTACCCGTCCACGGAGTGGTCCATGGCCCAGCCCTTCGACTGCCTGTGCGGCGCGCCCTCCTGCCGCGGCCGCATCGCCGGCGCCAAGGACATGTCCGAGGCCCAGCTCGCCGGCCTCTGGCTGAACGGCCACATCCTCGAGCTCCTCGAGGAGCGGGAGCGGGAGCGAGAAGGAAATGACCTCCGCGATATGGGTACCCGCAACAAGGAACCCGCCCCTGAAAACGGCACCAGTAGTAGTAGTACTTTAACCGCTGGTGGTGGTCTGACGGAAATCCCTCCCCCCGAGGACCTCACCGCCCAGGCGCTGAGAAACGCCTTGGCCCACGCGGAAAAGGTCGTCGAGGCCGCTAGCGCCGCTCTGCAGTCGTATCTTGCCTCGGCGGCGGAAGCGGCCGCGTTGTCGACGAGTACTGATGGGAGGGGGGAGAGGGGTCCAGCGGGTGCCGGAACCGTAGCCGCCTTGGCCTCCGGATTAACCAGACGCGGCATCACGTCACGGGAATTGAGCGGCGAGATGGGCGGAGATACCATCGCAGTCTCGGGCTCGTAAGGGAGAGAGGACAACATAATGTTCCCCTGGTTGTTTTCTCTTTGCTTAGTAGTTCGGTTGTTTCTTTTTTCTTTCGAATTCAACATTCTCTCTCGCCTTCGAGTCGGCTTTCAACAGCCTGGCCTGGTTTGAAAAAAAGGGTACCTAGCTCACCCAAAGCCCTAAGTTAGTTAGAATCCAGGGCATAACACTCTTTATATAATATCTACTATCTTGATTAGATTAGGTAGAATACACCTGCGTTAACTAGGTAGCAGGACCTCAACGCAAATCTACCGAAGTTCTAGTCTAACAGGCCCGCAACGCGTAAACTCCATGCTTACCTGTCGTACGTATCTGGCCACGGCCAATTACACTCGAGCCTAATTATACACACCCATTACCACCCGTACATATCGTCAATGCTTCGTATTTACTTTAGGTAGTAATCAGTCTTCTTCGTTCTTTTCGTCTCCCCAGCGAAGCCAACTAGATCCTCGCCCTCTAGATTCGCTTCCCACGCCTTCAGCGTACTTGCTCTCTTCCTCCTCCCACTTCAGCCTCTCCACCCTGGCACGTGCCAGGAATGCCTTAGCGAATCGCCAGGCCTCTGTATCTGCCAGGTTCCAGGCCTCAATAGCACTCCGTATACGTTCATCCTCTTTTTCCTTGCTCTTGATTACTTCCCGCGCCCTATTTAGGAGGCTTGGCTCACGCAAGAGGTCGTCATCGGAAGGAATTGGTCCATCCGCCGGGTCGTGTTGGGGTTTTGGGCGACGTTCCGGGCCTGGAACCGGGGTCTCCGACTTCCCGTCATCAGTCGTGTTACTCGGAATTTCAAACCCGAACCACCAGTCCAGATCATCCGGGACTGACTCCTTCTCGGCTGTCAGCCAGAGGGAGTGGGATGCTGCATATTCGCCAGCCACGGCATCCTTGAATGTCAGCACGCGCATCGACCCAGAAATGCCCGTGCCTAGAAGCTCTTGAAAGATTAGATAGAGCCATTCGTCACGTCTTGTAATCTCTCGCCTGATGTAGGCGATATCCAAATTATTTCGTAGCGTGTCCAACGTACGCAATGTGTACGGGTGCGGGACTGTTCCTATAGTATACAAATCCGTATTGTTCTTATAGCGCGCCGGAGTGAAGACCTTCATAGGGTGAGATGATACACAGGGCGAGCACTTTGGAATATTCGGTGGACACGATGCCGGCATTGGACTGTCACTACAGATCGCAAGCCTAGTTGCTAGGTCCAAGGCAGGCTCAATCATGTGGGTAGTGTGAGTTGGCATGGGCTTGAGGACTGCAATGCCGCTGCTGAAAATGTCCTGCCAAGTATTATGTAGGTGAAAGTTAATAAGGGTGTTTAAGCGCTTCATGCCCTTGTCACGGTCTGCTGCGACTTCTTCCGCTATCTTCGGATAGGTCTTCTCGATAGTCTTGGTATCGTAGAACGCTAGTGAATCATGAGACGGATCGACGCGGAAAGTTTCACTGGAAACTGCAGAGATTATGTCCTTGGCGGATTTGGTCTTGGGGTCTCGGAGCGCTTGAACAATGGCATCGGCAATTTGGACTTTGGGACCAGCGAATAGAGCATTATCAATACCCTCCCACCTCGTCAAGCCTGGGTATTCTCCTCTCCGTAGAAACGAGAGCAACGGGTCTTCGTAGGCAGCCATGGGGAGTAATAAGTAATGCGCGAGAAGCCCACCGCCCATATTTTCCCACGCAAGCCAGCGCATCATATCTTTCTTGAAACTAGGTTCCACATCCAATCTCTGAAGCTCGTCATAGAGCGGATTATTCATAGCCTCTGCCGCACTTAGGATAATAGGCTTAAATCCCTTGACCCACCAAGCGCGCCTCCACGTCAACAGCAGCGCACTATCTGCCTCCTTCGTAGGTTCGTCCCGCTGAACAGTGGTGTCATAGTAACAGTAAATAGGAGCTCTTTCCTTCAAAGGCGGGAGGAGAGACCGGTTCTCGTCCAGCGTAATAGAAGACGAAAAGGGATTCCTCCAGTTCCAGTTTGAATACCACGAGCTTTCCCCATAAGTCGAGTTCTTCTGTTCGGGAGGCTTGTGAGAAGCTGGCCGGAAAGGGTTCAATATGCTTGACGAGAATTTATCCTTATATTTCGGTATAGAGAACTTATGATCGGCCATTGATTTTGACAAGCTAGGCCCAGTCGGTATCGAGTTAGGTAGCGTGAAAAGGAGAGTGAACAGGGCGAATAGACCGAGGAGGACGAGAAGGAACGAGATTCGTCGCGGGCCTATTCGTAGCCCCAGGGCCGAGCCGAGCCCCCTCATGGTTGGCTAAAGCTGCAATACGAGATGTTTACCGGCTGAAAGAATATTGATACTGAATCAAGAGAAAGTTAAACCGTTATAAAATATAGAATTGAGTATAAACTGCGCGACTTGTACTTGAAAATGGGCTAAGGAGGCAGCAGCGCGTGCCTGCATTAGACTAATAAATTTTAAACCGAAGGAATGGAAAAGAAAATTAGAAAAATTGCACTCAAAACTATTAAACTGAAGTTATTTCATGACTTCTTGACTTCCTTACGCATCAATTCGCGATCCTTTCTCGCGTCCGGACATCCCCTAAGACGACGAAGGAGAGAATGTTGAAAGACTTCAGGAAAGTTTAAAAGTGAAACGGAAATGGTCGAGTTAGTTAGCGTTATGCAACCTGCACAGATCGTTCAAGGGTTTCCACATTGGTGGGGGGAAAGAAAGCAGGAACCAACAACCACCATGGATGTGTGGCTGGTGATTTCGTGGCTGGTGGCTACGGCTAGACGTCGACTTGAAGGTTACAACATCAAGTCCCTGAACCACGCCGACACGCAGGTCCTCACATCGATCGATACAAAGCAAGGGGACATAGCGGCTGATCTTAGGGGCTATATATTAGAATCTGATTTGAAGAATGTATATGACTACACTGCATGTGGCTCGGCATTCGAGCCTCAAATACCTCACTATATGTAGATAACGGGTGGACCCTCGTCTGTTATACGAATCCAAAGCGTATCAAGACATCCCATCCTATCACCATTACCAGTCCTACTGCTAGTAACTATAGGTTACATACAACTCTGGTTTTACTCTTAGAATGGATCCTAGAGCAGGAAAGCTGGGTCCTTGAGGAGATTCGAGTGAAACATAGCTAAAATGCCAAATGTTAACTGGCGTGTAAAGAAGACAGCGGAATGCACGCTGTACTCAACGCAGCGGCCATGGCGAACTTAGGTATCCCGGAAACCCGACCATTGGATCGCAACGTGTGCAGGACGATTCGTATGAAATACTTCATTACCGCCCTGAATGAGATGCAACAAGCCGTTTCCAAAGCTGCCGATAAGCGCTCCACGGTGGTTTAAGATTTGGATGTCGCTTAAATATGGAATATATGGTCCACGGGTTATTCAAGTATAATATATCGCTAGGTTTACGTTGGGCTTATCGTAGTAGTGTTCAATATAATCTCGAATGATTTCTTGCAGAAAGGGGCATGATAACCGTAGGTACCTAGGTACATGTTACGGGGCACGCATGGACTTGGGAGGCTTTCTAGCTCAAGTCACGTGGAATTTTGACTGCCCACAACACTGAAGCGAACTTTAGAAAATTTAATTGTTTCGGCCCCTCCACCTTCACACATCAATTACAACTGCAAACGCCAACATCACAAATCAGTCAAAATGGCCCCCGCAGCGTCCGGTGCGAAGAAGCAGAAGAAGAAGTGGTCGAAGTAAGTATCGCATATAACGAATTGTGTTTAGAATGACAATTTTGGCTAACGTTCGCATCACAGGGGCAAAGGCAAGTACTACGCAATTTCGCGATGAGCGTCTTCCGAGTCTGAGAAGACATTACACCACCTGTCGCGCGACGGTCTCTCTCGAAATATTGCTGGACTAACCTCTTGTTTTTCATAATTTAGTCAAGGACAAGGCTCAGCACGCCGTCCTGCTCGACAAGACCACCTCTGAGAAGCTCTACAAGGACGTTCAATCGTACCGTCTCGTCACAGTCGCCACCCTCGTCGATAGGCTAAAGATCAACGGCTCGCTGGCACGAAAATGCCTGAAGGATCTTGAGGAGAAGGGCCAGATCAAGCCCATTGTTACCCACAGCAAGATGAAGATCTACAGTATGTGTCTTATCCCCTGCACAAACCCGAAAAGAAAAAGAGAGAAAACGAGAGAAAAAGAGAAATGCGATAGCTGACACTCCGTTTCTAGCCCGAGCTGTCGGTGCCTCGGACTAAAACCCATCACTCTCACGATACCATGATTGAAAGATGATATTCGGTCGACAGTCGACGATAGAGTTCGGCGGGCCAGATGGATCGCGGATACGGCTTTGATGGATTCAGGCATTTGATCCTCGGCGTAGCATTGGGATGGTTATGGTTCAGAATTTCGCTTGCAGTTGCATTCAGATAGGGACCGAATGAGAAACCCCGATGAATCTGCGTACATAATTCGTTCGCCTTGCGCGTATGTGCTATCTTGGAAGCTATGCTATAAATATTCCTTGCTCTTCATGAGTATACCTAGTAGGTACGGTGGGACTTCCTAGTCCACGATAATACCCGCATCTTGATTTCTAAGGAAGACGTGGTTCATTATAGGAACCGTAAACTCAGCAACTTCCCATGGATAAGGTAAGTCCATTAGACGAACAACTAACACTAAAATCCACCAGGAAACAAATTGAGGAAGTCATGGATTCCAGAGAAGCTTCCAGTACGTTTCTAAAAGCATAAACATATATCAATAGGCGCACACCAATCTATACACCAAACTAGTTACAGACGTAGGACATCTTTTTCTAGATGGTGGCATAAGGTATGTATAAGAGATAGGTAGGTATCCAGTACTTAGGCGGCATGTACTGGACCCAACTGCGAAATAAGAGTGTTTGGACTAGGCCAGTATAGGTTGTTCACTATCACAAAACCTATCAAGCCCTCATAACGTATCCAATAGGAATATAGGAGTGAGTGTCATATTCCACTCTAGCCAGAAGCGTTTCGCCTTCTTTAGTTGGTCTGTACGTAATCCGGTTTCTATAAAGATGGCGACGTACACGGTACAAGGGCACGTAGGTAGATAAATTCCCGAATCTCGCCCAATAGGAAATCGTATCTCGATGAATTAGGTAGCTACAACACATCTAGGCAATCCCGATTTGCAGCATGGATACTTTCTACTAAGTGTACCGTGTACCGTGTACAATACCTACTATGTGCGCGCACATATAGTTCCAGCAGGCCGACCTAACCCAAGGCACGACCGCCACTTTTCGAGCATTTGAGCCGTAAACCTGACTCGGGGAACGGGATAAAAAGATTCAAGGAGAGAGAGACCCCTGGACGCTGGATGCATGTACGCATGTAGATGTGGATGTGGATGAACAACAACCTTCGCTTTTTTTTTTTTTTTTTTTTTTTTTTTTTTTTTTTTTTTTTGACCCTCTCTCTTCCCTTTTCTTTTTACCGACACTCGGGATTTAATTTGCCAGAAATTCTTAAAAATTCTAGATGAGATCTGCACGGTACACGCTAGCAAAACATACACGGGTATTTTATATCATTTAGATTTTCGTTGTAGAACTTGTATAAAAAAAGACTCTTTGTTAGATATCACAAATCAAAACATAAAGATGTCAATAGGACAGATTTACTAATTCCCAACTTATCAACTAAAAAGATAAGCGGTTGAAAGGGTAAGCGGAAACTACCTAGGTTAGATAGGTTACTAATAAAATAGCTCGCATCCGATCTCTAGTAATTGGAAGTGAGACTCCACGTTCAGGTGATACATAGTAGGTTAGGTACTTGGAGGATCCTTTTGGCCTGAATTTGGCCGTCCCGAAATCGTCCGGCAGAGTGTTAGCGGGCTGGCGGGTAAGGTACCTCTCTAACCAGTTTATGGCAGGCGCCTTCCTTAGATTAGGTCGGTAGGTATTGTACAATACCTCCTACAATACATACAGTAGGTAGCCGCCAGGACTGGTGCCCAAACAACCAAAGTGTACCTGGACATTTAGTGGTTACTTCAGGTGACTGCAGGTTACTACAGTGAGTTTTTAGCATACTAGATCCATAATTGCACGTGACACGCACACTTGGTCTCGGGGCAACCGCCAGTTTAGAAAGTGAGGGAAGGGTCTCAGTGCAGTTTTAGCGGCGGGTCCGGGAAGAGTCGCTAGAAAAAGCTGTTCCCTTTGGCAGTTACCCGCAGCAATTTTTTTTTCCTTCCCCCCAAAATATTTTCTGCAGACCCAGTCGCAGTAGAAATATTTCGCTCGACGCCCTCCGTCTTTCACACTCCTCTCCATTTCTTCCCTCGTTCTCTTCTAATCTCCACTCACTTCGTCTTCTCTTTTCAAAGATCAGGAAGTCTTTGAACAGCCGACAAGATGTCTGATCAACAACAGCAGAAGGTTTTGGGCATGCCGGTAAGTTTTTTTTTTTTTTTTTTCCTTTATAATTCCATCATCATCAAATCCCTCGCTTGTGCGTTGAGCACTGGCCTTTTCCCCCTCCACCGTCGTCTAGCCATTGATACCCCTCGCGCATACCATCGACGGCTTCAATTGCTTTCTCCAAGACAGTTGAAGCCTGTTTTCGAGCAATTTCGAAGGTGGCCCGCTCCTTAGAAGGATGGTATCTACCCCAAATGGCCGGGATGAAAAATGCTCAGACTTCCATATACACACATACACATACTTATTACCTACACTATTTACCTCAACAATGAACTTAAACTAACTGATATCGCAGCCCTTCGTGGCGGACTTCTTGAGTACGTTATACCGCACTTAAATCAGAATCCGACCGGATTTCGTGCTGATACATCGATATCCGATGCGGCGTGACACTGGTCGCTATGCGCTATAATTGTTTACTAACTGGCTAATTAGTGGGTGGTGTTTCCGCCGCCGTCTCGAAGACTGCCGCCGCTCCCATCGAGCGTGTCAAGCTTCTTATCCAGAACCAGGTATGTTGATACGTAGATCACATTCAGCCGCAAAATCAAAAAAGCCCCATTGGAGTTATGCACCTCTGGCTCCACAATACGTATATGTGTCTTCACATGTCTATGTGGCAGCATATAGGGCTGGAAATCCTTGATGGGAATGACAAGGCTAATGTATCTAAATCAAACAGGATGAGATGTTGAAGACCGGCCGTCTGGACCGAAAGTACAACGGTATCATTGACTGCTTCCGACGAACCACCGCCGAGGAGGGTGTCCTGTCCCTATGGCGTGGTAACACTGCCAACGTTATCCGATACTTCCCTACTCAGGCCTTGAACTTCGCTTTCCGTGACAAGTTCAAGAAGATGTTCGGCTTCAAGAAGGAGCGTGACGGATACGCCTGGTGGATGGTTGGTAACTTGGCGTCCGGTGGTGTAAGTTTTATTCCGCTCTATCTCCAAAATTATTCTGACGCATACTGATATCTATATGTTAGGCTGCTGGTGCTACTTCCCTCCTTTTCGTCTACTCGCTCGACTACGCCCGTACCCGTCTGGCCAACGATGCCAAGAACGCCAAGAAGGGCGGTGAGCGTCAGTTCAACGGTCTTGTTGACGTCTACCGAAAGACCCTCGCCTCGGACGGTATCCCCGGTCTGTACCGTGGTTTCATGCCCTCCGTCGCTGGTATCGTCGTCTACCGTGGTCTCTACTTCGGTCTGTACGACTCCATCAAGCCCGTCGTCCTCACCGGCTCTCTCCAGAACAACTTCCTTGCCTCTTTCATCCTCGGTTGGTGTGTCACCACCGCTGCCGGTATCGCCTCTTACCCTCTTGACACTATCCGACGTCGTATGATGATGACCTCTGGTGAGGCCGTCAAGTACAAGGGTACTCTCGACGCTGCCCGCCAGATCGTTGCCAAGGAGGGTGTCAAGTCCCTGTTCAAGGGTGCTGGTGCCAACATTCTCCGTGGTGTGGCTGGTGCTGGTGTGCTCTCGATCTACGATCAGCTCCAGGTTCTCCTCTTCGGAAAGGCCTTCAAGGGTGGTTCCGGTTAAATTCCCTCATACCTCATAGACGGAGAGGCGTGGTGGTGGTGTAATAGGGTGGATAGGTGACAAAGGGCCGTTGATAAAAAGGAGCGTGGCGGACGCTCCGGTGGAAAGTTGTTACAGGGCATCACTCATTGCCGTGGCGTTCTGGAACAGCTTGATTTTTGCGGATTTTACTGGCAGACAGGGCACACATGTCTCGCATCGTCTTGTCAGCTAGTTGTCCGCTGTAATTTAGATCCTAAGCAATTCCTTTGACTGTATTCTTTCTGCTTTACGTCCTAAATCCCCCTTTTTTTCCCTCGACGGTTGCATGGGGCCTGGCTCTTTCGGTCTTTCGGTTGTATACGACTTATAGACTTCTGAATGCAAGTGATGCTTTGAAATGAGTAATTACACGTTTAATAATGCCAATTGTGAATGCAGTATTTTTGCTTTGTAGGTGTCCAATTTGTTCTGATACAACTACGAATTTACTACTGGTATAAAGACTACAGTATATAGAATACACGTATCCTATCCACCAGGGAAATTAATTGGGTAGTCGAATTGGGCGTTGTAATTGGCGACGGAGGGACAGGTGGCGTGCAGCTGTAAGAAATCGCGGTGTACGGAATTTGGCGAAAACTTAAATAATAACAAGTTTGTTCAATTTCCAAGGTAAGTACTGTACATACTATAATTCATCAAGTATTTCGGGGAAAAAAAGGATCGCGTTAAAAACGCACCGTGTACCTTTTGAAGATTGAGATATCTGCTGCCACTCTGACCTGACCTAACCTACCTTAGGTACCTACCTGAAGACCTGAAGACCTGAGGACTTACAGGAGCTAAATCGAATCTGGAATAATGCCCCCAAAGCAATCTACGGGTAAGATGCCCGGCCGTGGGACTTCCGGACCGTCTACTAAGAACCGGGCATCGGGCTCTTCTTCTTCTTCTGCATTTGGTTCGCGAGCGCACAGTCACAAGCAAAAGCAAGCTCAAGCTCAAGCTCAAGCTCAGGCGCAGGCGCAAACCGCGACTTCGGACGCGAGCGACGCGGATCCGTTCGCGGAGGAGGGAGAAGGGAACAACAGAAGGGGAGGACGACGACGGGATGATACGATGGAGGTAGACGACGAGGAAGAAGCGGAAGCGGAACTGGAACTGGAGGAGAGGAAGACGATACCGCCGGAGCTCCTGACGCACGTGCTGCACCAGTTCTTCGAGAAGGACGGGACGCGGGTGTCGAAGGACGCGAACGCCGCCATCGCCAAGTACATGGACATCTTCGTGCGGGAGGCGATCGCGCGGACGGTGGTGGAGAAGGAGAAGGGGTTTTTGGAGGTGAGCTAGCTCTCTTTCTTCTTCTTTTATTTATTTATTCATTTATTCCTCTGGAGGAGTAGGTGGATGATTCTGCGTAATGCGATGCTAATGGTGTACACACAAAAAAAGGTCGAGGATCTGGAGAAGATTGCGCCGCAGCTGCTGCTTGATCTATAAGAAAGATAAACTTGCGGGCAAGGCGGCTTTCTGGGCGCGTTACCTCGAATCTGTGTACTACGCAGGTACGCTTCTGGCGGTATCGGCAGTGTGTTGTTGATTCAACGCATATGATCTATGACGGGGTCGGAATCATGATCAACGATAGTGGAGCGAGGGAGGCACTGTCAAGTAGGTATACTTGAGCGAATCGACCCTCCACATCGATCTACGAAGCCGCCGTCACAAAGAACTTGGCGTTTCCCTTGCTAGCTGAGTACCTCAGGTAGTTTCTCGGGAGGGAGGGTTGGTTGAGCACTATGTTCTTGAAGCCTAATGGGCTAACCTAGAAACATAACTGTGTTTGGTGTTTGAGGATTCAGATTCTGGTCAACCGCTCTGTTGAAACGGCATCGTCCTTTACGGTCTAGGGTCCTTTTCCCTCAACTTACCTCCCGGGTGATATCAATCAGTCTACCGATTCTAGAATTTTCTTACTAAGGGACATAAGATCAAGGGCAGTGTGGTTATGGATTCGGATTGATACCGAAATTGAAACCATCCAGCCTACGAAATGATGAATATCAAAACAAAAAATACAGTTCGTTTCGAGTGTCTTACGTGGAATCTAGAAACACTCCCATCGTAGCGAGACCCAGTTCGACGATGTTGCATCAAGCTATGAAATTCTCAATCCCAACCTTTTTTCCCCCGTCGTTAGCGTTTCGACCCCTGAAAACTTGTCAAGATTACTAAATTGCAATGGAATATACGGGATGGTGATGAAAATTGATTTTACCATGTAAGCTATCCCGGGCTTGTCAAAGCACATGACTTTCGCTTGTGTGACCGATTCCGTCTGGTCTAATTGAATTGTCGGCGGCAGCGACCCCAAAAGGGGATAAGATGAAACCGGTTGAGTTTGGCTGGTGTCACACTGGAGCCATGCTGAGGCACATCCGTGCTCCGAAAAAACCCCTGGCCCGGGACCCTTCGTCGCTTACAACTCCTTTAACCTAGGTCTTAAGCCTCCTAACGGCTAGACCCTACAAAGCCCCTAACCTTAATTCCTTTCCCTGCTGAATTGCGGAGTACGTACCCCGGTCTTCTCAACTTCGAGTCTTTGACAGCTTCAGTTCCCGGATTCAAAACATTTCAAAGCTTACATTCGTAACTTTCATTACTAGCTGCTACACAGTATTGTATCGTAAAAAAAAAAGGAATACATTTCTTATAATCGCTGTTATTGGATATCATCATTTTCAAATGAGACGTATTCGATCTGATGATACGTACTTAAGTCAAACGAGCTTTGTAGGGTATCAGTCGGATGGCGCGTACAGCCAGAAGAACTTCATCTTTTCTCCGCGATAAGGGTATTATTCCCTGCACGGAAACCAGTCCCAACCGGGAGGCTTTGCTAATGCCAAGGAAATCTCAGATATGACCAGTGGCAGCTGGGTCTGTGAGAGGTAATTCCGGCTGTCGAGTTGTCCGTCTAGGCCCTCCCAAATATACCCCTGGCTAAGGTGGTATGGTGGTAACAATTTCCGCATTACCAAGACTAATCATCTAGTATATGGTCAAAACGTGTTTCATGGATTTCTTTCCTTCACCGTCCTTGATTCTAGTGTACATACGACACGCTGGGACATGGGTGAGGGAACCGCCCCCAGCAATGGTGATCTCTCATCTTCGCTCGTCTAGTTTATGCTGGAGAGCCCTTTAAAACTCATGCCACTCCCGCAAACATCGGGGACTGTCTCTTTTTTTTGTCCCTCTCTAATTCACTTCAGCTAACTCTACGTTTCTCTTTGGAATATTCATTTCCTGTCTTCTATTTTTCTTCTCTTTCGTATTACTGTTAATATTCTTAAGGCTAGCCCTTTTCAGCGCGAGTCGCTTGTCATATAGATACGCTCTCTTAAACGACCTTTCTATTATTATATTTAGACAAAGTCAGAAAACACTCATCAAAACAGTCAAGATGTATTTCTCTACTACCACCGCCGCTCTTCTCACCCTGTTGGGTTCCGCTGTTGCGCAGAAGGTCCACGTGGTTTCGGTCGGCTCTCCCAACGGTACTCTTACTTTCAGCCCGGACAACCTGAAGGCGGATGTTGGCGATATGATTCAGTTCCAGTTCCGAGGTGGCAACCACAGTGTAGTCCAGTCCAACTTCGACAACCCCTGCACACCCATTTCCGACCACACCAACCAGACCGGCATATTCTCCGGATACCAACCCGTGGCTGCCAGCAAGGCCATGGGCATGATCCCCACGTACACGGTCAAGGTCTCCGCCAAGACGCCGCTGTGGTTCTACTGCTCTCAGGGCAAGCACTGCCAAAACGGAATGGTTATGGTAGTTAACGAGAAGTAAGTTACCGTGCTCCACACGAAGTGAATAGAAGATGGATGAATGCTAACCTAAGTAGCACTGCGGCAAACGCCACACGAAGCCTATCAAACTTCAAGGATCTTGCTAAGGGAGCTGCTGCCAACGTTGCTCCTTTGACCCCTACTGGCGGTTCGTCTGGCAATGGCACTTCTTCCGGCGGCTCAGACTCTGGCTCAGGTTCTGGCTCAGGTTCTGGCTCAGACTCCGGTTCCGGCTCTGGTTCCGGCTCTGGTTCCGGCTCTGGATCCGATTCTGGATCTGGCTCTGGTTCGGGATCTGGTTCCGACACTGGCTCTGGCTCTGGAACTGGTGCGGATGCCACGCAATCTTCGTCCCCTGTGGCATCAGCTACTTCCAGCACCACTGCCATAGCAACCGCCGCCGCAAACATCGTCGGCGCCTCCAGCTCGATGGGTCTCCTTGGTCTGGTCGCTGCCATGTTCATGCTATGATCGGACTATATCAGTACATAACGAACGAAAGCTCTTCCATAGCCTCGTTGCTATGATATAATGACAAGAGACGACGAGTCATGCGGCGCACGCCCCAGACTCAAGGCCCTAATATCGCGAAGATGGAGGGGGGGAAAGAAAGAAAGAAAGCAAGCAAGCAAAGCGTCGAGCCAGCCCATTGGATGGGCGATCGCGTCGTTGCGGATTATAGATCAACCCCTTTACACGTGTATCATGTAACTACCTACTTACGTTGGATTCTCCGCCCCAGGGGGCAGGCGGTTCGGTTCGATTCGCATTTATTGTGCCAGTTTTAGATGAAATATCCTGACTTTTGATAATATACCCATTAATTCCAAAGAGAACACAAAAACAAAGACTGTCTTTACGATCTTTTGGATGTGACTGATATTTTGGTTTGCAATGTGCCTTGAAACCATAACGTATTAATTCGTAAGGAGGTACAGTAAGCATGCATAGGTGTACCTAGTGTACTTGATCTACCACAGCAACAGGAAGGTTACATATCCTAAGAACATAGCGATAGACAAAAACCGAGTTGGTCGGGTGGTATTAAGTTTTTCTTTTCTGTTTTTCTTATTTCTCTTTTCTTTCCCCTTTTACTTGCATTTATTATTGGTTCAATTTTGATTTTCTTTTTTTCTTCTTCCGTATCGTGTCTGAGCTGAGGAGTGCGGATTTCGAATGCTGAGGGAGATCGCTTTCCATTCTTCCATATCTCGATATCGAAGAAATCTGATCTGTTGCACCTGAGAGTAGTAGTAGTAGTAGTAGTAGTAGTAGTAGTACCCAGCATCATCACCTTAACTTCTGGTATAACTTACACCACCACAATATCAGATGAGAGCTGAAATATCTAAAATTCAATCAACTCGTTCGTTCTAACCAGGTTTGCGTAAACCTTGATTCCCTTTTTCTTTCTCCCGGACACCTCGAGTTTGCTTGCTGCTTTCCCGTTATTAAATTGCATATAACCTTCATATTACACTCCTAGGCACATATATCCTAGAACAAGAACGAACCATCCACCCATCTATCTACCTTATCCTACGAGTCTTCCTGGCCCGGGATCTTCCTCGGCTTCCTCCCCTTCGCGGCAGCAAGGCACAACTCCTTCCGGGGCTCCCTCTCGAGCCAATCCTTATCCTTCTTCACGTAGCCCACCTTGGGGTACTTGGGGCTGTTCTCGAAGAACCTGACCCAATGCAGCAAGCCCTCGTGGACCTTGTTCCTCGCCTCCTCGAGCTCCTTCTCCTTGAGGGCAGCGAGCTCCTCGGGGCTGAAGTGGGCGTCGACGACCGGGTCGTCCAGGGGCAGGAACATCTCCTCGACCCCGCGCATGTCCGGCGTCCGGTCCTCCGCGAAGCACCCCGTCACGTAGGACCGCGCGGCGTCGGCGCCCGCGAAGAACCGGTAGGATCCCCCCGGGCCGTAGGTCCGCCGGTTGCTCGATACGTCGAAGATGCTGCCGTTGATCGCGAGGTAGATGGGCTTGGACTCGTCGGTGCCGTCGTATTGGGCGAGCTCGGCGGGGGTTAGGTATAAGGGACCGCGCTAAGGTGGGGGGGAAAAGGTAACGTTAGAATATTCTGCCTAGGGTAAGTAAGTAGGGGTGTAGGTAGGGGTGGGACGTACTAGTTGGCTCTTCCACCAGTCTACCTGCAGGTACTTAGGCGGCGCGCGCATGCTCCAGAAGAACGACTCGCCGTTGGAGACGAGGTAGCTGAGGCCGCAGGAGGCGACGAAAAGGAACGAGAGCACGCGCAGGACGTCGACCCAAGGGCTGTAGTCTTCGTCGTCTTCGACGAGCTCCTTGGGTTTACGCTTTGGTTTGGAAACGGGTGCGGATGCGGATGCGTCCGACTCCGAGGTATCGAGTTCTTCGACGACGGCGGTTCGGACGTCGTCCCTCGCGGGGCCTTTGCCCTTGCGCTGACGGATCTCTGCCATGATAGGGTATAACCGATACTCGAGAGCCAATGCTAATTAATACCTACTTAACCTAGGTAGGCTTCTCACGTCTACAATTTAGAACTTGGAAGATAGAGAGAAGAAATTCGGAAGAAGAAGAAGAAGAAGTAGCATTGCCCGAAATTAATTCTTTTTGGTTTTGTCTTCTCACGCTGGAAAAGGGGACAAGACCCCCAGAAGCAGGTAACGCAATGTGGCCTCGTTATATGTGCTCGGGTGCAGAGGCAGAGCTCGGATAACTCGTATACCTAATTTGTTCTAACTACTAAAAAGACTGCGAAAGTCTCCCACCGGAAGCTCGAAGTCCGCGAATTGGAACTTGGTACTGGAATTGGGAATTGGGAATTGCACGGTTATGGTTGGTCGGAGCTTACGTGGTTCAAACTTTATTACGTACATGTATGGCGCTTCAATGTTGGCACTTCGCACTTTAACTTGATCGACCGAAGTTTGGAAGTGCCTGGCACCAGACATTGACGCCGGTTAGAAGCGAGCCACATTGTGGCTGCTAGATTAGAAATACCTTAGACTCGAGTCTGGAGGGTGGTTACGTTAGGTAAACAGTGGGTATTACTTACAACATCAAATTACCCCCATCTTCAAGTCCAATTAGCAATTAAATAAACCATCACCGTGATACTTCAAAACCTCTAATCAATTTCACCAACATAATGTAAAACAATGTCATACATAACCGAGGTTATGGTAGATATGTTTAACCCTTACGATTACTTCGAGCGTGTTATTGGAAGTTCGGTTGTCGTTCAAATGATACTTCATTTAAATTCCGGTAACCCCTTCGAGCTCAGTCGGTCCCGTGTCGGTATGTCGGCGTGGTTGTGATTCGTCGAATTATCTCATCGGGCATTTCTCCCCCTTAAAACTGCCATCTCGATTTGTAAAAGAGAAATATATGCAAGATGAAGGACGGCGCGCATGCTAACGTCTTCACGATCATCGCGTACCTCAGTAAGCATCATGGAGTGCATTATAGCATATCAGTTTTCATTCGCTCTTCGGCAAGGATGGATTGCCAAAGTTACGATGACTTAATCAGCGCGTCAGCGTGGAAACTCCAAGGGTGTCGAGAGTCGCATATAAATATGCGAAGGTGAGTTTGCAAAGTATAGCTTCACATTCAGCTTTTATATCATCAGTCAAGGCATAGAAGGTCTACAGTCCACTATCCACACAGTAAGCTACTACACTAATACAACACCATTGATTCTTGAGTATATCGATATACCCCCCTGTTTCTTTGAGCAATGGCTTCCTCAACCATGTATGCGGTGGGCGTAACAGAGTACGGTCCCGTCGAGAACTTACGCTCGATGGAAGTCCCTAAGCCTTCAAAACCCACGGGTCGTCAAATGATCGTCCAGGTAAAGGCCATCTCGGTTAACCCGATCGACAAGAAGGTCCGCGCTGGCACTTACGACGATGCCCCTGACTATTACGAGCGGGTCAAGTCACTTACACAAGAGTCCCCACATTTACATATCACTGGCTACGACGGTGCCGGCATTGTTCTTGAAACGGGCCCAGATGTGAAGTACTTCAAGCCTGGCGAAGAGGTCTACTACCTTGGCAACCCTATCTTTCAAGGCTCTTACGCTGAGCAGCTGATCGTGGATGAGCGTCATGCCGGCCACAAGCCAAAGTCTCTCGACTTTGTCCAGGCCGCAGCAATGCCGCTGACTTTCGCAACCGCATATGAGTCTCTCGTAGACCGCCTGGACATTAAAAAAGGCGAGAAGGCCGGCATCCTTATCATCAACGGCGGCGGCGGTATGGGATCGATCACATCCCAAGTAGCGCGATACATCCTCCAGTTGCCTATCGTCATCACCACGGCCTCGCGACCCGAGACCGTCGAGTTCTCCAAGAAGATGGGCGCCACGCACGTGGTCAACCACCGCAAGGACATCGTGCAGCAGATCAAGGAGCTTAACCTGCCGGCCGACGTCCCGCTTAAGTACGCGTACATCACGAGTCGCACAGAGCAGTACCTGTTCCCGATCGCGGACGTGCTAGCGCCGTTCGGCAAGGTGTGCAGCATCGTGCAGGCCCACTTCGACATGTACGGGTCGCAGATGATGAGCAAGTCGTTGACGTTCGTATGGTGCTGGGTCGGGACGGGGCCGTATCACCACTACTACAACGACAGGCAGGAGAAGCACCACGAGTGGTACGAGGAGCTGGCGAAGCTGCTGGACCAGGGTGTTATCAAGTGCCATTTGAACGAGCGCTATAAGGCTACGGCGGAGGGCATCAGACAGGCGCATAGGAGGTTGGAGGCTGGAAATGCGGTGGGTAAAATTGGGTTGGGGGTTGATGAGCCTGGAGAGGGGAAGGCGTTTCAATAGATGATGAGAAAAAGAGTGAATAGGGAGAAAGGGAAGGTTGTATATGGATTGCGGTGGCATTTTGATACCTACCTAGTCAATTACTGCTTCTAAGCGTCCTATGGAATTGTAGAAGAAACGAATTATAACAACTCATATTTTCTTATTTATACGTTGCTTCTTATTCGGAGTTATAGAGTTAGTTATTGTGTGAAATATTTGTAGTCTCATCAATAGGAGCATGATGTGGGATGAGATGTGCCCCCCTTTCTAGAATATAGGGACACTTAAGTGGGACAAGCACTTCCTAGGGCCTATCTAACGGATCCATACATGCATGTGAAACGATGAAGGGTACGTACTCATCACGTGTATACTCCACATCTTTTTTTTTCTTTTTTTCTTGCTGCCAGCTGCCACCGCCTGGAACAAACCGACGCGCCGACTGGCCTTTATCGCACACTAACCGGTGAGCCCTAGCGCACCAATTCTACCCACGAATTTCAATCGGATGTACCCGGCCAAAATTTCTATCTCGAACTTCAACAGTGGAATTTCGCGATCCTCCCCACCACCAAACGTTCGACCTCTAACAACACCAATCTTCCCCCCAGCCAGAACGCCAGAACAATCAAGATGTCTGACAACGGCGAGGTTGAGGTCGAATCCACCACCTACCAGGTCCTTCCCAAGGACGTCGTCTCCGAGATTGGCAGCGTTAAGCTGTTCAACCGATGTACGTTTTCTTTTTTTTCCCTTTCTTCTCTCTATATCCTCTCTCGCCTACGACTTTAATTTATTATCCGACCCTTGGAGCATTGCGACTGACTCTTTTAAATAGGGAGCTACGAGGATGTTGAGATCCGCGATATCTCCTTGACGTAAGTTTTGGCTACTCGATTTCCTGTAATCTCGATTCGACTTTTTGGAAAAAGAAAAATACTGGGTTTTGGGCGACGCGACGTAGATTTATTTATTCAATTCAGCCTGGATTCTCCAATACGCATGAAGAATTGGGATGGAGATAGATGGATGACTCTAAGAAAAAAAGAAGGACAAAAAAACTAACGGAACACTCTTAATAGCGACTACATCCAAATCCGATCCCCCGTCTACATTCCTCACTCCGCTGGTCGATATGCCGCCAAGCGATTCCGCAAGGCCAACTGCCCCATCATCGAGCGATTGACCAACTCGCTCATGATGCACGGCCGCAACAACGGCAAGAAGCTCAAGGCCGTCCGAATTGTTGCCCACTCTTTCGAGATCGTAAGGAACACCCGAACTAGACATATATACATATATATGTATATATATTATATATGTATATATATTATATATGTATATTGCTCTTCCGACCTGGCAAAGACGCTAATATCGCAATTATAGATCCACCTGATGACCGACCAGAACCCCATCCAGATCGCCGTTGACGCCATCGTCAACTGCGGCCCCCGAGAAGACAGCACCCGTATCGGTTCCGCCGGTACCGTCCGACGACAGGCCGTCGATGTGTCTCCTCTCCGACGAGTGAACCAGGCTATCGCCCTCCTCACCACCGGCGCCCGAGAGGCCTCCTTCCGCAACGTCAAGTCGATTGCCGAGTGCCTGGCCGAAGAGCTGATCAACGCTGCCAAGGGAAGCAGCAACTCGTACGCCATCAAGAAGAAGGACGAGTTGGAGCGTGTGGCCAAGAGCAACCGATAAAAGGGGAGGCAGTTTCTCTGGGTTTTCTTCGGCGTGGACGATCTGGGCATTTTACACTCTGCATTTGTGCGTTTCTGGCTCAGGCGGGATGCGGTTCTATGGCATACTAGTCACATAGGCCTCTTTCAATAAAGGCTCTCTGCCCGTGTGGGCAAAAATCATGAACTGAAAATCAAGCAATTCCCGAAACGATACTGGTGTTATAGGATTTATTTTGCTCTCTACCTATTGTTGTATTGATATGGCTCTCGCAAAAATGCAAACAAATGGCATATGAGAGTGCAATTTTTTTGGCCCTTTTATAAGGCCTGGTATCATTGTGAATAATAGCAATGCAATGCAACGCAACGCAACGTAACGCCAGTCCGGTAGTAATTCTTATACCACCCCCACCAGCACCAGCACCAGCACCTCCACCTCCCTCATACATACTCCTAATATCAAAAGCCTAAGCAATAACTAGCATCTCCGTAAACTTCCCATAACATCACCACCATCACCACCACCACCGTCATCATCATCATACCTTTGGGGTCCCGTCCTGAATGGGTAGTCGCAAAAACATGCCCACGTGCGGAATGCCTTCCTCGTACCACCTGCCCATGCCCTCGTCGACCTTGAAGCCCCACTTCCGGTAGAGCTTGACGACGCCCTCCTGGGCGTGGCAGCACACGAGGCCGTTCCACTTGGGGATGGCGCCGGGGGTGCAGACCTTGAGCTGGTCCATGCCGAGCTGGGTGACGCTCGGGTTGAAGAAGGCCGGGTTCTCCTCGAGCCACCTCCTTGCCGCGCGCCACAGCTGTGCCGCGATGTGGTGGCCCCGGAACTCGGGGATCACCGCCATCCGCCCCAGCTTCACGTACGGCTCCTTCCCGTCGTGGTATGTCGTCGGCCGGTCCGTGCCGAAGGGGAGCGCCGAGGCTTGGCGCTCTTCGTCGACCGAGGATAGGGTTCGGGTTCTAGGTCTCTTAGTGGTGGTGCTTGGCGCAGTACTACCACTACCACTACCATTACCATTGCCATTACCACTGCCATCTGCTCCCTTCTTCTCGTTCTCCTCGTCGTCGTATTCATCATCGCCCACCAGCACGAGCACGTTATTCACGTACCTGCCGCCGGGAAGCGGATGGGGCGGGTGGGGGAAGGGGACGACGCGCAGGGTGCCTATGGCCAGGGTGCGGGTCTCGGACTTGCGGCGGCTCAGGACCTCGCCGGTGGTGGGGTGGCGGCGCTCGGGCTCCGTGGTGAAGTTGACGCTCGCGTACGTGACCCAGTGGCACGAGCGGGCGTCGTCCGGGTCGTGCTCGTTGGCCAGCGGCACGCCTTGCTCCCGCACGAACACCGCCTCCCGCACCGACATCGCGTCGCAGAAGGTCCGCGGCACCCGCGCCGGCTGCTGGTCGTGCGGCCGCGTGCGGTCGTACCCGTCGAGGCGGGTGGGCTCCAGGTGTGAGATGAAGGGCGTTCCCATCTTGGAATTATATTTTTTTCTTTCTCTCTTGTTTTTGGAAGGGAGGGAGGGAGGTGCTTGCTTGCTTGCCTGCGTGATGTCTGACTGGTTGGCTCAGGGCTGGCTTCCCTCTCTGTCTCTTTTCCGGGTCGGGTTGGTATTGGCGGAGTAAACTCCGTTGGTGGGGGAAACTAGAACCTGGGGTTTGGGAGGGGATTGACGACCACTTTTCAGTTTCTTTATAAGTGATCTCTTTTTTGTGTGGTAGGAGGTATGTATGTGGTCTTTCGGTATTCTCCGGATAGGTTGGTTTTCATTTTATTGGGGGTTTATTAAAGAGTTGAAGAAGAAATAAAAACGAAAAAAAAGTGGTTTGCTTTCTGTTTCCCGCTTCTAAATAAAACAAGGTAATTTTGGCAACTGTGGTTCCCACACAACTTTTGGATACTGCGATGTGCGATGGGGGATTTGTGTGGCCACAGCGATGATGTAGGCGGGGGATGAAACCAGGGGCAGTTACCTACGGTAGAAAAAAAAAAAAAAAGTTTAAAGAACGTGAAGACTTTAATGGGGAAAGAAGGGGGGAGCCATGAATAATGAAAATGGGGAAAATGAGGGGTGTACGAAAAGTGAAACGAGATCGTCGAAGTTAAAATTTGCCTTGACTCCGAAGTTGAGTCATCCAAGGACTCAGGGACTTCGAAAGCTGAAAGGAGGGCGGGGGTTACACACGTTGCCACGGAGCCGATAAATTTCGTCCGGCGTCGGATTTCGCCACCCCGTTGTGTCGGCGGGCCGCTTTGAGTTTCCGGAACCTTTTGCCGACGCTTGCCGCTAAAATATAGTTTGGAGTTAAACAGTCTACGGCTTTTTTTCTTTTTCTTTTTCTTTTTTCTTTTGTTTCGGTAATTATTTCTCGAGGATGAGAATAACACTAAGGACTATGTACTTAACCTAAGTTTTAAGATGAATAGTACTTACTTGGTAAACATTTTTAGCAATACATTATAGGAGGAACAATTATGTAATTAGTCACTTTTAGTAGTGCTGTATGACCCTTAATATCTTCTTTTTTTTCTTCTTCTTTTAGCTCAAACATAGGTATCGACTTAAAACAATCATCCCGAGCTAATTTATAAGAGGTACATACCAAGTACTGAAGGTATCTATCATTTCAAACCACCGCTCAACAATATACTTTGACCTGTTAAATATCCCGTTCTGCATATCATAGTAACGATATTGGCGCATTCCTGAGGTGTTCCCAACCGTCCTACTGGGATGCTTTTGACGTCACCCGGCGTGCCTTCGACGAACTTCTCGTCGGGTATCATTCCCGTCTCTCCAATCATAGCCGGAGCTACATCGTTGACGGTAATTCCTACCTTCGCGTGCTTCATCGCTAGATTCTTCATCATGCCGGTTAAGCCCGCTTTCGAAGCTGCGTAATGGCAGGCGTTGATGCCTCCTCCTTGGGCGGCTATCGAAGAGATGAAGATAATCCTACCCCACTCCTGAGCCTCCATATGGGGTATGCTCAGCTTGGAGAGGATGAAAGAAGCCCGCAAGTTCACGTTGATGGTATAGTCGAATTCTTCCAAGCTCACATCCGTGATACCGTTGCGCCTCTTCCCGTAGCCTGCGTTGGAAACGAGGATATCTGGTCCGTCTTGACCGTGCTGCTCCTTGATTTCACGGAACAGCCGTTCGATCTCTTCCGCCGAGCTAGTATCAATACGATGAATGGTGATCTTGCGGCTTCCACTATCAGCGGACTTGCGAAGCTCCTCTGCTAAGTCATCTACCGGCTGTCTGTTATGGAAGCACGTTAGAGCAAGGGAGACTCCGTGAGTCCAAAGATCCCGAGCACACGCAGAGCCAATGCTATGATTTGTCAACGCTGTATTAAGTGGTAGACAGACGATTCATCCATTAGGTATAGCAGGTACCTAATGTGCATATGAATGATTATAAGGTGTTAGCATACCCTCCAGAAGCACCCGTTATAAGGGCAAGACGACCGCTAATTTCATTATCGACTTTAGGCATGGTTATTTTAGACGAAATAAAGGCTAATCCTTATTAAATTTGACGTAAAAGCCAAGATGAAATCCGACCCCGTACTACTTATTAGGTATGTACCTCCTCTCCACGCGCGGGGGAAGGTAAGGTACATAGGTACCTCCTGGTTGGTGTTTTCGAAGAATTTCCACATCTGTAGCTTTTTAGTCCTATGATTCGCTATCGGACCAATCATGTCATTATCGGTGGCTTCATGGAAAGTGTCAGCCACGTGCAAGGATTTATTTTCAACAGGTTGTCCTCTTTGTTTGAAAAATGTACTATAGTAACAGGTACCTTAGGTAAGTACTTACGCACGTTAGGTACGTATATGTGTACTTTTCGGCCAAGCTTCCGCGGTGAGGTCAGAAAGTTCAGATGGAAGGCTTGGACATAGCTTGGGTCCTTCCATTTACATATGAGGTAGTTAAGGCCAGATTCTACATAATAAAATAAAAAACAAGAAATCATTTAATGCCTACTATATATAACAAGACACCACAGGCTGGAACTTGAGAAATAAATTTGTATTCAATTTTCCGCTCTTTTTTTCATCAACTTTGTTTGATTTGTTTTCACAAAACATTCTTACAGCTGGTCTTCCAAAATCTTTGCGGCGAGCTTCTCGCCAATCACCCCTCCTCATCCCGCACAACATGGCACAAATATTCTCCCCCAGATCAATACTACTTTGTGTAGTTTTCTTCTTTTCTACAAATGTCCTTGCTATATCTGCTGTCCTCGGCATAGATCTCGGCACCGAATACATTAAAGCTACCCTCGTCAAACCCGGTATCCCACTCGAGATCGTTCTAACCAAAGATTCGCGAAGGAAAGAGATCTCTGCAGTCGCATTCAAGCCCTCACAAAATGCCCCCAAGAGTGGGTCGTATCCCGAGAGGGCATTTGGCTCCGATGCTATGGCTCTTGCACCTCGATTCCCTTCCGATGTCTATCCGAACCTGAAGACCGTCCTTGGCCTCACCACAGATGACTCAATTGTGAAGGAGTACGCCGCGAGACATCCGGCTCTCCAAATTGAACCTCACAAGACCCGTGGTACAGTCGCATTCAAGAGCCAAGCTACCGCCAAGGAAGAAGCATGGATGGTAGAAGAATTGCTGGCAATGGAGCTCCAGAGCATTCAGCGCAACGCTGAAGCACTAGCTGGTTCCGACAGCAGCGTTCGATCTGTCGTTATTACCGTCCCGCCATTCTATACTGCCGAAGAGAAGCGCGCTGTAGAGCTGACCGCTGAACTTATTGGTCTCAAGGTTCTCTCCCTTATCAGCGACGGTCTTGCCGTTGGGTTGAACTACGCTACGAGCCGAACGTTCCCAACCGTTAGCGAGGGAGCTAAACCAGAGTATCATATGATCTTTGATATGGGTGCTGGATCTACTAAGGCAACAATCATGAAGTTCCAAGGTAAAACGGTCAAGGATATCGGCAAGTTCAACAAGACGGTCCAGGAAGTACAAGTTGTCGGAGCTGGTTGGGATAGGACTCTAGGCGGCGATGCTCTCAACTACTTGATTGTAGACGACATGATCTCTAAGTTTGTCGACATGCCCGCGGCTAAGAAGACCTCCGTGACGGCGGAAAGCGTTCGGGGACATGGAAGAGCTATGGCGAAGCTTCTAAAGGATGCCGAAAGACTAAGACATATTCTCAGTGCCAACGTCGACGCTGCCACTAGCTTCGAAGGTCTCTATGAGGACATCGACTTCAAGTATAAGATTACTCGAGCTGACTTTGAGAAGTTGGCCGAAGCACACGCCGAGAGAGTTGGCGCCGCCGTCCAAAAGGCGCTAGACGTAGCCGAGCTAGACATTAAGCAACTCGACTCTATCATTCTTCACGGCGGTTCTTCGCGGACACCTTTTGTCCAGAAGCAGCTCGAAAAGATTGCTGGTGGCGACAAGCTTCGCAGTAACGTCAACTCAGACGAAGCTGCCGTATTTGGTGCAGCTTTCCGAGCTGCCGAGCTTAGCCCCAGTTTCAGGGTTAAGGAAATTAGGATCTCTGACGCCACTTTCTTCCCAGCAGGAATGAAATGGACAAACCCCCATAACAAACCCCAACATCAGCGACTTTGGACCGAGCGATCTCTTCTCGGTGCTCCCCCGAAGGAAGTCACTTTTACGAACCACGAAGACTTCTCGGTCCATTTCTACCAACAGGTTCCCGCAACTGATGGCAATGTGGTAGACCGGGAGACAAAAGTCTTTACGACGAAGAACCTGACAGCTTCCGTAGCAGCTCTCGTCGAGAAGGGATGCTCTGACTCTGATATTCATTTCAAGGTTAAACTACGACTCAGCAGTGAAAACGGTGAAGTAGAAGTAGCCAAGGCTGCCGTTGAGTGCGAGGCTGAAGTGCAAGAAAAGGAAGGATCGGTTATGGATGGTGTCAAGAATCTCTTCGGATTTGGCAAGAACAAGGACCAACAGCCTCTAAAAGATGGTGATGAAGCTTCCGAGGGTGCTTCTACTACCGGGTCTACCAACACGGGTACAACTTCTGCCGTGGAATCTAGCTCTACTTCAACCACTGTATCTGAATCAACATCCGCTGAATCTGCTGAGGGTAGTCCGGTACCGAAGAAGAAGCAACTTGTCGTAATCCCCATTGACTACACTTTAGAGAAGGCGGGAATTCCGGCTCTCTCGAAGGCAGAGCTTACCAAGTCGAAAGATCGCATCAAGGCTTTTGAAGCATCAGATAAATCCCGACGATTAAGGGAAGAGGCGTTAAACCAGCTTGAGGGTTTCACCTATAGAGTCAGAGACCTGCTAGAGAGCGAATCCTTCGTGGCCGCATCTACCCCTAAAGAGCGAGCTAAGCTGGAGAAGAAGGCTAGCGAAGCTAGTGATTGGCTATATGATGATGGAGCCGACGCATCACGCGAGGAACTTAAGGCTAAGCTCAAGGGTCTAAAGGATATCGTTTCTCCCATAGAAAAGAGAATTGAAGAGTCACAGAAGAGACCGGAGCTAGTCAAGAATCTACGAAGTACACTAGACCAGACGAATACCTTCATTGATACCATCAAGGCAAAGATTGCTGAGGCAGACGCCTACATGTCTTCTCTCGGCTCTAGCTCTTCGACCACCGAAAGCGCTTCTACTGTCACCTCGGCCCCTTCTCAAGATTCTGGCGAGTTTGAAGGTCTTGAAGATGAAGACACCACGACCTCAACAACCACTACAACCGCCGAGGACCGCAACCCGACACCACCGGTTTACACACTTGACGACCTCAAGGAAATTACGGAGCTTACAAAGTCTGTGATCAATTGGTTAGAGAAGAAAGTCGCGGAGCAGGAGAAGCTCCCCGAGACAGCAGACCCCGTCTTGTTGACTAAGGATCTGGTTGAGAAGACCAAGAAGCTCGAGAAGGCCGGTATGGACTTGGCCATGAAGAGTATAAGAAGTTTTGAAAAGAACAAGAAGAGGAACGGCAGCTCGAAGAAATCGAGCAAGGCCAAAACCAAGAAGGGATCTACCAAGACGGATAGCGACGGCTCGAAGCCGACGGCAGATGCTAAGGACGGGGAAAACTACATCAAGTTCGGGGAAGACGGCAAAGGCCCGTCGGCAGAGGAGATCGAGGAGTTGATCCAGCGCTTGTCTAAGGAGCAACAGAATAAGGAGGAGCCTAGGACAAAGCACGACGAGCTGTAATAGAGGCCATAGATAGAGATTCTTTTTTTGATGAATGATACGAGATAAATGGCAAGAGCCATTCTGAATAGTACAACAATATTTGGGTACGAATACTTTCTTCTATATTTGGTCGTGTGGTTAGGCGTACCTATAGACTACATCCTCTCACGAGGCGTAAGTGAAGCAAGCACCTAATGCATAGGTGTTTGTCTCTTCTAAACATGCGTGAGTCGGCCCAAGAAGATGTATCCATGGATATCTATGTTAGGAGGTACCTATCATCTAATACCTACCTAGGTACTCATACAAGGCTCCACCCTTTTCTACTGCAGTAGGCCGTTTTGTCATCGTAACACGTGGTACATGATCTTTCTCCTGTACACGCATCAGGAAAAGACAACATGAAGTGCGAGATGGGGCATTGCCTGTATTGGAAGGGAGGGACATGCTACTTTGGCTTGTAGGTTTCGATAGATTTGACACAGGTATGTTACATCCATATGAGGTATATTAGGTATTAGGTTAGGTACGTATATATAAATATTGGTATGTATTTAATTTATATTTTATATAAATGCAAGCAGTTACACAACATTAGACGGGTTCCACGGTCCTTCAATCGAAAGGCAGCTGCGGATATCCGGCTTGGCAAGACCGTCTACGGCTGTAATGGGATTTTTTGTTTTTTATTTTTTATATTTTTCATATGTCTTCAGATTTGAAGTTTGGGGTTAAGGAAGTAACTGCGTCAGGTAGTTGCATTAGCTAGGAGCAATCATCCAGGACACGCGCCTGCCACAGGGTTATACCCAACTGTCACCTGCAGCTCTAGTGAAGCATCTCGTCACTTAGGTAACCCGTCTCATCTGTGATTCACTTCCATATCTTGGGAAATAAGTACCCTTCAAGTCGCGTACATGCAATGGAAGAATGGTAGCTGCCTAGAAGCACATTACAAAACGTAAGGAAGCTACCTACCTTCCTCCTTCCAACCTATACGAACGAGGTACATATTGGAACCTGCCTCCTATGCTAGGTAATCTAGAGGGTAGTTGCATGCGTTCACATTACAACTCGCTCATACCTACTCAAACGCCATTTTCCATTTCCTAGGTTACTCCTTTCAACTAAAATTCGTTTCTTTACTCTTTTCTAATAAATTCCTCCTTCCCATTTCTTTTTTTCTTTCGTTTCCCTTCCCAACACAAAGAAGTTCTACCATCAGATCCAACCTCCCCCTTTTTTTCTTTTTTAAAAAAAGGTTTCATCAAGATGGCGTCCTTCCCTAGTGTTCGCGTCGTGGTGATGCTTTGCCTCTCTTTCTTCACCACTACAGTTTGGACCCTATCTCTTGTCCCCAAGGCTGGCAAGACTCTGTCTATTCCGCTATCCCACAATGCTGATGTCCCTCGTCATGGCCCTACCGACTACCTCAGAACTTTGAAGAAGTACAACCTCGACGTGCCCGAGGGCTTGCAGCAGGTTGTCGACGCCCACAAGGCTGCCGGCAACAAGAAGCTCGTCGCAGGTGAGCCCGGTATGTTAACTAAACCGTGGACTCTGTGAGATTGGAAGAGAGTTAAATAGCTGTGACTAACAATAAAATAGGAAGTTCTGCTCCGGCTGCCGCCCATGATGGCGATCTCCTCTGGCTCACTCCTGTCAGTATTGGTGACCCCCCTCAACAGCTGTTCTTAGATCTGGACACTGGATCTTCCGACACGTACGTGTGCAATTATATAGCCCATTGTACTCGATAGCATTGACGATATATGCTAATAAACACTATAGTTGGATCTTCTCAACCGATACGGATAAGTCAGAAGTGGCTGGACAGGCCCTTTGGGATCCCAGCAAGTCATCATCAGCACAAAAGATCCCCAACTGCACTTGGTCTATCATCTATGGAGACTTCTCTACTTCTCAGGGTATCTGTTACAAGGACACTCTCATACTGGGAAACCTCTCAATTCCCAACATGACAATTGAATCGGCTACATCTGTGTCAACCATGTTTACCGAATCTGCAAATATGTCGGGCCTTGTAGGATTGGCCTGGCCGTCCATAGCTCAGATGCTGCCACCCCAGAAGACTCTTCTTGATCTTCTACCTAACGCGTTGAGCCAACCCTTGTTTACCGTCGATCTGCGCCACAACAGCAGCGAGGGTTCCTTCAACTTTGGATACATTGACGATACCCTCCACACATCTGATATCAAGTACATCGACGTGAACATATCAGACGGCTACTGGGCTGTTCAACAGACGGGCTTCTCTATCGGGGATTCAGACGTGAAGTACGAGTTCAGTGAGGCACGAGATATCATTATTGATACTGGTTCTACTCTGTTCTTTGCCCCGGAAGAGGCGGTAAAGACGTACTTCAACAGTGTCCCCGGTGCCAACTACTCGTATACGGATTACGGATGGGTGATTCCCTGCAACTCAACCCCACCTGACTTTGTTTACGAGCTCGGAGATACACAGGGCAACAGAATTGCCGGTTCGGTGCCTGGGGCATACTTTGTGTACGCCCATTCCACTAACGAGTTGTGTTATGCTGGCCTGCAGTCCCTCAGCACCTTTTCCGACATGCCGAGCATCTTTGGCGATGTATTCCTCAAGAGTGGATTTGCAGTCTTCGACATCGCGAACAAGAAATTTGGTATGGCCCCGAAGCCTGTTAACACCAATAATGATAAATGAGACTTGGATGCTCGCGATGGAATTGACAATGGTGATGAATATATTTGGAGAAAAGGGATGAGGGAGTGAATGATGATTTGCCACTTTGCATTGTACGAATGATAAGAGAGCTTGTTCGGCTTTTAATTTTGCTCGCTTCCGTTGTTGGAGAGGCTCTCGCCTATTCCCAACTTGGACTTTTCACGATGTCTACCTTGCGTACTTGCCTCACGGTATGTATGTATGTATTCACTTTTTTTTCTCACCTCGATCGGTTAAATAGGCGAATGAGATAGCTTGTGGCAATAATCATGGAACTGATTCCACGAATGATGACATTGTACTTCGTTTCTCCTCAACCTACTGTAGGTAGGTAGCCAGAGATATGCAATTGTGACTCGTCGTAGTACCTACCTACCTACCTAGGGCTCTCTTCATTCGTAAACTTCTCGTCCTTCTGTAATCCTGCTAATTCGTCTTCTTATTCCTTCTCGGACCTTGTTGTGTAGCGTATTGGTAGTAGTAGTAGCAGCAGCAGTAGCAGTGTCCCCGAGCTCTTTGTAAGAGTTTGTCTGTTTGTTCTGCAAGAGAGAGGGAATCGGGGGGTATCACGCGGGTTTCTTTTCTTTTTTTGGACCTCGATACCCATACACGGATACACGAACTTTGCTTTGGTGTTGAAGAAAAGGCCGGCAGTTGCTCTGTGGTTCGTGCGTGGTGTAATTTGGGGGAACTTCGCGGGATGGAAATAGGTCGTCGACGGCAGAGAGCGAGCTCGGGTTATGGGTACCTAGATACGGACGGATTACAGTACTCTTTTTTTCTTTCTCCCTTCTCTACTTGGCTTTTGAATCGAATAATTAATTCTCTGGGCAGGTCACTATCACTACTTGTTTAGGTTGCTACTTGTCTTGATGGGGTTTGTTTTCTTTTCCAGCTGCGGTAGTAAAGCGAATATGGCTTTCTGAAAGCCATTATCATCATCACATAGGTAGGATACCTGGTAATCACCCCTGTACAGTAGTATATCTACCTAACCTAACCTAGATGTATTCCACTACTTGATTACGATTACCTCTTATTTGCTCCTTTGTTTTCTCTCTCAGAAAGACCATTGGACATAAGGTAAGCAAGCAGTTGTTTTGAGATGCATTTCATTAGATGTACTTCCTCGAACGGGAGGATCCAAGGAAGCGTCTATGTACAAATAACAAAAACCCCATCATCTGCCAAAGGCTACTTACTACCTAACGTACTTAAAGCTGATGAGATAACGCATTATGCATTGTTTGCAATCCATAGTCCATGACAGCCTCGGGGGCGGATACGCTTCCAAAAAATCCTCCCGGTGGCCGGTGGCATCGTTGTTTGTCGTCGTTGCTGTTGTTGATGTTCAAGAAACATAAAATCCTATGCAATGCTATAAAATGCCGAGTGAGAGATGAACGCATCGCAACACGCTCAGCCTGCCTGTTTGCCTGTTTGTCCGTTGACTGTCAGGACCCAACAACCACCTACTTAAAATTTCATCCCAGCTACGGCCGCGTGCCCCTCCTCCTACTCATTCATGATGCTGCTACTTCAAAAAAGTGTGTTTGATCCTAAGATTGATTGAAACAAAAAATAGTTGAGAAAAGGGAGATGGACGCCTTCAACGCCAGACGGACGAGAATAATGTCGTCGCGTCTTTTCTCTAAACGAGGGGATATCTTAAGAGTTGGATTGGATGTTGTAAAAATTCGGTTTCGTGACTAGGAAAATGGGCGGTTTCTCGTTCGCTCCCCCCTGTTTTGCCTTCGTTTTGCCGACGAGAAAAATCGGACGGTCCAATGTTCGCTCGCAGCCGGGTTCCCAGGAACGGAGACCAAAGTTTAGTTTCATCCGGGGGTACGCGTATCCAAGCTATTCCAACTGAGGTAATTTGAAGTCTTGTCCAAAGTTCGGTTCTGTAGGGATCGACGGCGAAGGATCGTTCATTACGCGAATGTGTGTTGATCTTTCCTTGGACTCTCCGCTGGATAGGGGTGTATAAATGCGAAATTCGATGAAAGCCAAAAGCGATAAAAGATCTAACTCGTGACGGATAAAAAGGGAGGGGGCGCAGGGTCAAAAAATTCGTTGAGACGCAATTATGCCGATTTAGTTGTCGCGGTCACCACCATCTTGAGAAAGGTAGACATAGTCAGCAAAAGTTCGAGAACAAGCGTCGCCGTCACCAGAGGAGCTATGTTTGACAAGTACGTATTCACCTTCGCTGGCTGTGGGGGTCGGAGGCATAGCTCCTCCATGTGCAGGTGCTTGCTGTACCTGTTTTGCGGTTCCTGGTCGGGACCTTTGCTGCTGCTGTGCGAGCTCCTTCTCGGTAGATGCTGTCTTGCCGAACGCATCGCCGACAGCTTGCCGTGGGCTCGTACTGCTGACGGCTGTTGGGTTCTGCTGCTTCAGACGTTCTTCCATCTCCTTAATTCTGGCCTCGAGAGCTTCTAATTCGGTCTGACCACTTGTGACTTGTTGCTTCCTAATCACGGGGAAACCCAGCATTAGCGGCCGTTGGTCAAGGTCGCGTAATAAGAGAACACATCTCTAGAGAGTAGGAGGACTTGGCATGGGCCATACCGCTTGTTAATTTGTTCGTCTAGGTCGGTAAGACTGTTTTCAATCCGAAAGATATCCATCAGCTCTTGACTGAAAGATCGAGCAATTGTGCTACACGAAGGAGGTTGTATTAGCTTTACTGCGGCTTGAAGAATCTCTTTTGTTTTTCGCTACGCCTTCCCATCTACTAGCGACGGTGCTAATGGCAGTGGCAGTGGCAGCGGCAACATATGGTTAAAGACAACAGCTGGGAAACTCACGATTGAGGTCGGCGGCCATTGGGTTGCCAGTCGCGGTCGAGTTCCTCGTCGGTGGGGTTCATGTTGGGCGAGAAGTTTACGTTGTCGTCGTACATAAAAGTGAGAGAGAAAGGAAAATGGTATAGAAGCCGCAGAAATTGTCCAGCTCAGAGGTGCAGAATGTTGAGGACTGGGGGGAGGAGGAGGAAGAGGAGCAACAGCAGCAGCAGCTGGAGCTGGGTGGTAAGGTAGTATTATTATTATTGATAAAGTATTGGAGTTGGCTTTTGAGCGGTGGGGGGAATTAAAGGCGGGTCGCAGAAAAAATCGGGACGTAGGCTTGTAAAAACTGCCCTGACCAGCTTTAACTTGACCAGCGCTTCATGGATGTTAGTATGGATTGTTAGTGTTGTTAGTGTATTAGTGGGCTTTAAAAGGGACCGAATAAAACGGATAGCGAATAAAAAAAAGGGGGGTCAGGCGAACAGGTGGAACTCGAGCCCCGCGGTACCTGATTTATACCACCTGTTCTGCTGTTCTGCTGTTCTGCCCTGGGGTTGTCTTGCATTTGCACTTGGACTTGGACTTGGACTTGGACTTGCTTGCAACTTTGCACTTCCGGAAAGGTAAGTTTGACTCGGCTGAAACACTTCCGCATAAGAACTAATTAAGCTCGCTACGCCCGGAATAGGTGATAGTAATTTCTTACAGTGTTTGTAAGGGAGACGTATACATACCTAACCTACTATGTATTATACTTATGATTACTTACAGCGGTTAGTTAGTTGACGAGATATGATATAAGTCTGAATTCGGCACCCTGGAATTATACACACCATATAAATGAAGAGATAAAATTTTGTATCTGCTAATAATTACAGTCTTGGCATCCTAAGCTGCTTTTTTAAGATGATTTCAGGACGACGATCTTGTCACTAGACCAGACGGTCTAGCCGAACTCAATAAAAGGATGATCCAAATCAACTAGTTAGCACTACCCTAACCAGAATGTCAACACTAATAAAGTAAGTAATAAAGTCTCATTACCTCATTTCTGCAATTCGTATTATTTTCACTTCGTCATACGATGAAAACTTTCTATGGGATATGAATGCTGATTGACCTTAGATTGACGACGGAGTGATGATAGCCTGCATAAATTTGTATGCGTATTGTACAATACATAAATAGACTTATTCACCTGGGTTGCCTGGATTGCCTGGATTGCGCATGAAATACTAAAACGCACCCTATCAGATCACCGATCTAGGTAATACCTAATACCACTCTGATCTGCTATGTATTCCAGCAACAGTACCTGAAGGACTCGCTTGGGATAGCATTTATTAATCTCCCTTGCTTTTATGCACGTCGTAACTGTTCGAACTTTCGGGATCCCCCTTATTCTTGCAGAAATGTCAAATGTCCTCACATGAGGTAACACTATTCGAATACTCCATCGAAACCAAATCTTGTTGTAGTGAGTGCCAAGTGGATTTGCTCATTTGTATAATAATATGTAGGCACATATATATCGACGCTTAGACGCGCGGGACGCCGAGCTATCATTTAAGTTAGTTAACCGTCTAGAAGTAGCGTCCTTCTTTTGCTTTCTTATTAGAGTTATCTCGTCATTCTTCATATTAAATTGTCTTCAATAAGTTAGACGAATTTTTAGTTTTGGGTTCGTTCGAATAAGCCTTATGGGGGGACTTATATACGTCTTGCGGGAGGTCAGGCATACTCACCTCGAGGAACTACTAATGTCTATCTTGACCACTTATGACATCAACTAAGTCTATGATGTGTTAGATTCATTCATCCTGGCTGTCCTGGGCTGAACACGTGCTTAGCAAGATCGCGTGCCTTGCTCACATGTGAAAAATTGAGAGATCAAATTGTCACGTCATCTAAGATAGAGTAAGTAATAGATGTTAAATAGCCCGGTGGTCATAGGAAATTGTTATGACTTGGGAAGAGATTAACGTAACGATCGTTGGCGTCGGCTACTATGTAGGTACCTATGCAAGTAAGAAGGAAAGACCTGGTAGAGCTGCATTATTAGCTATAAATAGAATGAACTTTAATATGAAGAAGTCGAGATCGAACTTTTAGGCAGATAGGCTGATAGGTACTTGGGGATGTGCGTACGTAGAGAGGTAACTGCCCAGGTACAATACGGATTACATTAGGTACCTCCTACGGTACAGGTATTAGGTACGATACGGAGCCTTAAACTCTTTAGCTGCTAGTACTTGGGTTAGTTCGGTAAAATAGCATGAACGCACGGACCTTATGCACTAACAAGAACGTTTGGACCTATGAATCCCCCCAGATTCAGCATTCCAAACCCGCTCCAACCATCAATCTGGCAACATTCGCCGATCCATCACACGAATCATACACCACCCGTGGCCTCCGACCTTGCCGGATTACTGAATATACCTATTTCAATCACGTGATCCATCGCCAACGACAAGGAACCGTAAAAATATTCATCGCGAATACCCTCATCAAAAGAAACAGGCCTTAATAGTCGCCGTTCCGCCATTAAAGTGGTCGGAGTAGTCTTAGCAGACTTCTACGACCCTTGTCAAATCTTATCGTACGCGTCATTGTCGTGTTTTCCCCGTCGGGGTGCGGCCCAACAGCGGTGGATTCAACCTTTGCTGACCGTAACATTAGATCGTGGCGCCGATTCATCTTCTACAGCGACGCGACGGTCCCCTCGACTACGGCCGAGGTGGATTCTGGGGCATGAATCAGAATCCGATCGCATATACCCCCCTCGAAGCATTTGCTTTATTCCAAGAACTCAAAAGGAACTTTCAGAACGGCCTAGTTATCGGTACCTTTAGTCGCGTCTCCGAGACCCTTAAGAAAACACCTTTGATATTCGAACAAGACGAGTTTGATGCCGATCGACTAAGCCCCGAGTCCCTTCAGGGCTTTGCCCTACAGCTGCTTAGAGAGGAGCGGAAGGAGGAGAGGAGACGGGAGGCCGAGGCCGTTGTAGAGAAGAATAATGCTGGACTGTCGCCAAATTCTAGAAAAAGAAAGCTTCAAAGCCCTCCTTTATCTACTTTTCAGGAAGCATTAGAGCAAACGGATAAACTCCCCAACTTGGTGGAGAAGCTCTATATACGGTTTCGAGATGGTCTAATTAGGGAGATCAAGGAGGACGAAAGGCGGATCGACGAACTTCACCGGGAAATCATCGAGATTGAAAGGGGAGAATGGGATATCAGGCTTGTTCAGGAGCACCATGTAGAACCGCCGGCGAGTAATGGTGTCTCAGCTGCCAGTGATTCTTTACATACGAGACCGGAAGGCCAAGTAGCGCCGATACCAACATCGGCACCACCAGCTCAGATACCAGCTCAGATACCAGCGCACACGCCAGCGCCAACGCCAACGCCAACGCCCACACCATTACCAACGCCAACAGCGATACCCGCACCGATTCCTGTTCCTAGGGCCCACGATCATAGCAGGCAAACTGAACCATCATATGCTCCTCAGATACCTCAGGAAAGGAAAGCTGCGCACCCGGTTCCTTCACCACTACCCCCACCTGTTCGTCCTTTAGGTGAAACACGTCATATTGCTCCTGATAATAGGCCTCAAGAGCCAGTGCGTCCAATAAGTAACGCGGCACCGGTTCTACAGCATCCACAAGCCATTCAAGGATATACCGCACGGCCAGGTTCCGCCACGCCTCAGTCACCCGTTGTCGATGGCCTTCAACGACCTGAAGGTATTCCCACAGGTCGAAGCCCTGTGCCCATACATACAAATCAAACCCATCCTCCTACCTCTACTCCCGCACCTCCGTTAAAATGGGAACCTCCATATCAGCCTCCCCATCAGCCTTCCCCCCAATCCCCATTTCAATCTTCCTTTCAACCTTATCAGCCGCCGACACAACATCAACAAATCCACCAACTCCATCAACCCCATCAACCTCATCAACCTCATCAACCTCATCAACCTCATCAGCCTCAGACTCACCAGACCCACCAGACTCCTATTCCATCTCCCCGACTTCCCTATGGAACGGGCGTCACTAGGCCTCCAACGTATCCTCAAACGCCAACCAGTCTTCCTCAATTCTCTCAAAATTATGCAGGCGGTAGGCAGACTCCAGGACAGTATGGTCAAGCACCTCGACCTCCAAGCCAAGGATCTGCATCGGCATCTCCTTCAGTACTTTTACCACCTCAGAATGGAGGGCAGATACCACCATCTCTTCAGTCGTTGCCATTGAATGCAACACCAGATGGCGCAGGACAGCAGATGCAGCAGCGGCGCCCGGTTTCCATCCCGAGGGTGGATTCACCAGGTCCTAATATAGGACCTGGACCTGGACCCTTTGCCCAGCATCAAACCTCACACATGCAAAACCAAACTCAAACACCTGTTCGACCACCCGTTGCCTTGTCAGAACCGCACCCAGCTGCAACGCCGCCCAAGCTTCCTGTACCGCCAGCTCAATGGTCCCCAGCACCCGGCCCGACCCGACCTTCATATCCTCCGCAAACTCCGATTCAACCTCCAGCGCCTCCAGCACCACCGACATCTCAACAGAGCCAACCTCAAATATCTTCAAGATACGGTTCGCCGTACAATCAACAGGCTCAACCAGCTCAGCAAGTTATTGCTACTGACTCTCCTCAACGGCCGCAAATACCTCCACTACAAACCCCGGTGGCGACAACTCAGCCCACGCGTCCTTTATCGGCAACGCAAGTGCATACGCCTGTAACAGTATCCCCACATATTATTAGGGGACACGGAACTAAGTGGACTTCAACCCCTACTCCTGCAACACCTCGTGTAGATGATGTAAGCGGTTATTTTGATATCCAGAGTCCTGTCTACGAGCCAATTAGCCCACGCCCTCAGTCGGCTCAATTGCCGAAGAGTTCTCCCGAGCAGAATGGGAAGAAGGATATTCGGAAGGCTATACAAAAGCCTGACGTGACGCCCAACCGGCCAAGAGGACGGCCACGTACCACGCAGAAAACGCCTCTAACGCATTCGGAGGAGGTCCCAGCGGAGCCAGATACCTCGGCAAGTAACATTAAGAATGAAGAAGCGACACCTCAGGCTCTTGAAGATATTGGTCACGCGACTGCAGCCGATGAAGGCGTTGCCGCGCAGGATCAACCAGGTCCAAGCCAGCCGTCTAACAAGCGTAAAAGACAAGAGAGCCCTCCAAATCGAGCTCCTCCAACACCGGCTACGCACGTTTTATGGACACGTTCATTCAACAAAATTAGTCAATCTGCATTGGATCAAATCATCAGCCATCGCCACGCGAACATGTTTGCGCATCCCGTGAAACCAAAGACGGCGCCGGGATATTTTGAAATCGTACTTCGGCCGCAGGATCTCAAAGGCATCCAGAAGGCGATCACTGCAGGGTCCAAGGCGGCATCAATGGCTGTGGCCACAATGCCCGATATTGACCCAAGTGCGACAAATGTTTGGCTTCCGATGTCAGTGGACCTAGTTCCACCACGAGGTATAATAAATATTGCGCAGCTGGAGAGAGAATTGGTTCACATGTTTGCGAATGCTATCATGTACAACCCAGACCCCTACCGCGGCTTTGGACCTTCGTTCCTAAAGTCAACTCGACGGGCTAGTTTGGAAGGCGACGGGGAAGATTACCGAGGCTACGAAGTAGATGAAAACGGGGTGGTAAAAGATACTCGTAGTATGTTTAGTGAGGTTGAGAAGTTACTAAGTGACCTCCGGAACGAGGTAGAACGTAACGCACCCCCTCCGGCGGGCGTACCGCTGTCCGCGAGCCGTAGTATGAGCGTGGCGGGTGGAGAGACGAATACGACAGAAGATGATGCGGATGAACCATCAGGGGATACTAACAAGAGGAGAAGAATCAGGGGTTAATGGTGACGCTATAGCAAAGTATGACAACTCTGATCTGAGCGGTATTGGCAATATAGTTAATTGCCCATCCTTCAAAGACAAGCCCATTCTAATGAGAATATGCACCAGGGCCCAGATTCAATCATGACCCTGTTTATGAACGAACAAGCAAACAAATAATGTAGAGAAGCTTTTGGACTCTGATATATGTGTATGCCTTTCTGAAGACTTATGATGGTACCTAGGTAGTGGCCCCTTTACGGTTGTCAGGTAGGTAATGTACCTAGATAGGTAGAGGTACTTCGTACATAACCTAAATGTACAAATGTACCTAAATACAGATTATGCACGGACCTAATAAATCGCCCCACATATGCGCGCACTTAATTAAACAAGTACACTGGTACATCAGTCGAGTACCTGTCTACAATGTAGCCGAGCAATGGTAGCAACTACATAATTCCAATTTTGATATGAGAAGTACGAATCCTAAAGGAACTTTAACTATTCATATGGTGAAGATTCTCTCATACTCTTTCAAGATAGTTTATAATACTTTTCCAGACTTTTCCATTGTTAATGGATACGTCTAATTTTTCGGGGTACTTTAATACTTAAGTAGTAGTACTTAAGCATCACGAGTCGCGTTTTTAACGCGTCAACTAACTAAGCGATGGCGCCTCGGAGGGTAATTGCCGACTCTGACGACGAAGATGGAGACGACAGTCCACTAAGTCCTCTCAAAGAAGACGAAAAAGCTGATCGTCCTGAGGTAGAACCATTAAGTCCATATCATAGGCCGTCAAGCCCCGGTGTGTTGGAGGCCAACAACAATATATCTGATATTACGGATCAATCTTTCTTTGCAAGCGTTTATGATGAGCAACAGAGTAGGGCTCTGCACCAGTCTCATCTTATCGAAAACATAGTCCGTCAAAGCCAGCAAGCGAGCAGAAGTAGCGGAGAGGTCTCCATTTTGGAACTAGGAAAAGGCAACAAAATTGACGTTTCTTCGGTTACGAATGTCACTTCACCGGTAGTCTTGAAAAAGCCTAGAAATCACCCATCGCTCCTCAGCGATGGTGCTTCTGGCGTAACTACACGGCAAAAGAGCGTTCCGGGAGAATGGGATGTGCCCAGTAGTGCAGAGGACGCGATGGTTTCAAGGGTCAGTAAAATTTCTAAGGGGAAGAATGAGAAGTCATATGGCAAGCGAAGAAGAAGCCAGTCGAAAGCAATTAGGGGCTCTGCTGCAGCAGATATATTCATGGGGTATGATGGCGGTGCAAGTGGAGAGTCAGTTCGGGACACAACTCGACATAATGAAATGCTTGCTCCAAGTCATAGAACCGAGCAATCACCACTACCCGCATCTAAGCGAAAGGGAATCTCAAACCATGACTTTGTGGTACGAGAGACGGCCCCTGTAGCAAATTTTTATATCGCCCAGAGCAACCTCACCACTATGCAGAAACTCGAATATGAGAAGGTTAATGTATCACAAAATGGATATTCCAACCTTCCCGGCCCCCTTACTAATGTAAAGTCGAGCGGCATGTCGACGGTTGCGTATCCAACGCCTAGCAGATATGCATCTTCTTCTGGGCCACCGCTTCCGTGGGAACGAGGCTCTGCTGCTGATGTCGAACCTGACGAAAGCGTTGATTTCGTGAATGCAAGTGCACTCGAATATCGAAAAGTTCTTGACTGAGCTAACGATATTACAGATAATGTCTTCACCGGATGTCATTACAGCTGGCCATGATCATACGGAAAGAGAACCAACAGAAGTAGCACTTATGGATACTCAGATAACATACGACGAGGCTGAGCCTCCACTTGAAGACACTACGCTGAGGAGCGTATCTAATAAGAAGAAAAAGAGGACGAGAAGCATACGAAATGAAAATGAAGATGAAGATGAGTTACAAGATGAGCCTTTCGACTATGAGACTACTCGTCATCAAGACAAAATCAAACGAAGGCGTAATGAACCAAAGCTAGATCCACCCGATCCACAAGGAGATGATGATATTGAACTTCTTCCAAATCCACAAGTGGAAATACCTCGGGAACAGAATTATCAGGACCTACCTGGAGAAGAAGCACAAGAGGCCAATGATGCGGTCCCTGAGATACCTGCAACGGCACCCCCTGTTTCTTCCAACGCGCCTGAAGACAATCTCCCGGAAACTCAGCCTGCGCCCCAACCAAAGAAACGCGGGCGCAAGAAAAAGCAGGTTATAAGCGAAAAAGTGATACAAGAAGAGCTGCCAGTCGAAACGCATGCTGACGCTCAGGAAGACGCCCCTACTGGTAAAGACCCAGAGGTACAAATTGAGCCGGAGAAACCTAAGAAGAAACGAGGCCGGCCTCGGAAGTCAGACTTAGCAAAATCCGAAACGGTACCAACTTCTGAATCTGAACTCAATCCTACACATAAGGCTCATGAGGATGACGCCCAGCATAACGAAACCGATTCAAAGAATGAAGCGACCGAGAAGCCGAAGCCCAAGAAAAAGCAAAAAGCCAAAAATCGAGTGGAAGAAGAAGAGGAGGAGGAGGAGGAGGAAATGAAAGATCCAACCCCAGATAAGGATGACGCCGAAGACACGGTGAAAGAGATTAGTGGCAATTCTAAATCATCTGAAGAACCCGCATCGGCGGAGGACGTACCTGCAAAACCTATCCCTAAACCGTTGGCTGATCAACGCAAATCCGAGGAGAAAGCAAGCCCGGCCTCTAAGGTTGCGACGACGTCTTCACAACCCAAGGTACCCTATCGAGTTGGCTTGAGCAAACGGACGCGGATACAATCGCTACTGAAAATAATTAAGAGGTAGAACGAACTCGATAGAATACCTACATGTTGATAGGATCTAGCCCTTATTGGCGTTGGAATTCGAATTGCTTCTTCGCACGTAGAGGGTTTTCGAACACATCAAAAAGACCTAAAAGATTAATAATATGAAGCTTACTCAACTTCCATTTGTTGGGACATCATTCGGGCTAGAGAATAAGCCGGGTACAGCAGATGTCAAGTACGGTACGCATGGCTATATAAGGCACGACAAGTGAGATGGTATTTGACTTGATCGCATGTGCGGCTACAAGTTGGTTGCGAGGAAATCTCACAGACAAATTTCCAAACATGAGTACTTCTTAAATTCCTCAAACATAGGTACCTAATAGAAGCTTAATGAATAATCTATATCTGTGCCCATTGCTAGTTCGATCGGACCCCTAGTAAAGCTCTACTCTCGCCCGTCTGTCCTGTTAGTATTGTTACCTTAGGTCTAGGTAGGTAGAGGTAGATACCTACCTACATATAGCTTATTACAAAAATAGCCCGATATTGGAATTCAGGACTAGGGTACATATGAGGTTAAGTGCCTACCTACCTAGCGAGAATATATAAATAGACCTTGAGTTACGGAGACTCGTCCCTTCGAAGATGAAATATGGATACTACCTACTTAAGACGCCATAGCAATAGCAATACTTATCCTAGATCACTCTGCTTTGCATGAGTACCTAACCTAACCTACCTATACACCCTGCCTTACTCACGATGGCATCGCATGTTGTGAGTTAACCCCTATTCCACGTTCCCGCCGCTCACATCTACTAAACCAAGAGAATATCTTAGAGCAAGCGAGGACTTTTAATTAACACGCAAAAAAGTCATTGCCGTGCAGAATAATGTCTCTCGAGGGGTGAACATTAGGTGCTGGGTATGAGGTTAGGTACCTAGGTAACTAGAGGCAGCCAAAGCCGAGTCAAACTGGGAGCTTCTCAAATCACCCAGGTATAAAGAATACTTTTTTTTTCACGCCTTCTACATACATACAACATAGCCCACGATTAAGTAATTAACTTTAGGTAGGGGAATGTGAGGGAGTGTGAGTACGAGTGCGGGTGCGGCTCCCGATTCTCTTTGGTGAGATTTGCTAGCAATTCTTCCAGACCAGTCCTGTGTACTAGGGTTGATGAAGGAGACATTTCACAATATTCTGTCCCTTGATCCATCTTGGTTAGGTACCTAACATACCACGCCTCCTTCGTGGCGTATATTTTCCACTCCTTCTCTTCCTTTTTGGGTTTGTGCTCATCCATCTAACGTAACCCGAACGGCTGGATGTGAGCCTAGTAACAAGAATCCCCCGTACCTCCCTCTCTTTCTCTCTCTCTCTCTCTCTCTTTCTTCTCTTCTTTCATAGTTCATCTTTAAAGTATGATTTCGCCCAAGTTTTCGCCCTCGAAGCCGAGGGTGGCGAGCTTCTGGAGCTTCTTCTTCTCCTTGGACTTCTCGATGGCCTTGCGCTCCTTGGCGAGCTTCTCGACGACGGCGAAGTCGGCCTTCTCGAACCCGGGGGGCGGGTCGTCATCCTTGTCGAGGTCGATCTCCCCGAGCAGGAGCACGTTCTCGCCGCGCACGAGGAAGATGCCGTGGGTCCGGTCCGCGTAGAACCCCTTGGGCTGCGGGTCCGAGGGCGCGGACGTCGTGGCGTATATGCGCTCGACTGTGGATTGGAGGACTAGGTTGGCTTAGAGGCGGGGAGTGTTATGTTAGTTATGTTAATTCCAATAAAAAAAACAAAAAATAATAAAGAAAAGGGAATGAGAATAGGGATATGTTTGTATATGGAGCCCGCACCAAATTGGTCCCAGCTTCGTAAAACTCCGTTTAGCTTCCGGCCATCTCGCAGACACACCAAGAGCTTTTCTATATAATGCCAAAATCTGGTTAACAAAAAAGAAAAGAACCTTGGGACACCGCGCTCATTTCGTCGCGTCGTGTTGTGTTGCCTTACTATCGGTGAGGTCTAGCAGCTGCGCAGCAGTAGTGAACATCTGGGGAGGGAGCTGTTGCGGCTGAGGGGGAGCAGCAGCAGCAGCAGCAGCGCGTCCCAAGGCGGGAGGGGGCATGGGGCCGCCCGGCTGGGGGGGAAGATCGTGGATCGATGGGTTGTCCATCATATCATTTGCTTGGTGTAAAATTTACGTGTAGTACTTGCGGCAATGGTCGTAGAAGTAGTAGTAGTAGTGGTGGTGGTGGTAGTAGAGGTGGAGCTATATCGATCCATAGAGAAGGAAGTAGGACATTCAGAAAAAAAAAGAGATTTAAAGCTCGAAACAGATTTTTTTTTCTTTTCTTTTTTTTACGTCGTTCGGTGTTTCCTCTGACCTAGACGATGTAGATGTAAAAAACAAAAAGAAAAAAAAGTATAAATGTATAAAAAATAAAATAAAATAAAGAACAGAAAAGTGTAACGAGTTACGATACGTCAGGCGCAATGTGCACTTAGCTGACGTCGTTCTCTTCTTTCAATGTGCCTTATGCCAACAAGCCATTGGCACAAGGAAACCACGTTATTAGTGGGATTGTGAACTTCTCGGTGGGGTAAGTATAATGGGGAGAAACGTTAATGCGCTAGTTGGATTGGGCTTGGATTATGTAATACGCTTTTGTCCAATGGTGAGAAGTACCTAGGTATCTAGGATTGGGACTTGAGACACCGGAGCAAACTCATCTTTTATTTTATTAGTTATTCATCTTTGAACTACAGGCTTTAAGCCCTTTCATTCTTATTATGTTTATCCCCTTAAACTGTTTTTAAGGTCTTATGAGAATTATATTGTATTAACGTGACAATACTATACACTATACACTATTTATACATTATATAGCTTAATAGCTTAACGTTCTGGAGCTGACCACAAGTTAAAGAAAGCACTTGCATATCTAGTTTAAAATGGGGGAGACAGGGACGATTACCTGAGTTTGTGAAATAATTCAAGAGCGTACCTCGGTATATTTTTACATAGTAACCTCAATCAGAGCCAACGGCCACTGAGGTGAAAGGTAATTGTCATCTTAACAGGTACTATGTAAGAAACAGCGAAGCAGCTCGCATTCGCGATAGCCTGGAGGGTATTACCGGATCTGGGAAGACGGGCCTAGGCTAGACAGGGGTAAACATGGGAAGGGTTCCACCTATGGTGTTGCCGAACATCCTTGCTTGCGCATGTGACGACTAGACGAAGGTACTCTTTGCCTTCGCTGCTTCCCTTCTTCTGCGGGACCATCTTTCCGGCGCAGCTTCGTTGTTCTCGGGATCCGACGAAACTTATTAAACTTATCTTTCCTAGGTATTTTTTTTTGTCTGGGGGATAAGAAGAAACCAATTCTTCTTACTCAATTACGTATTTATTTGAAGCTTTCCCTCGAGTTTCTTTCTTTGAGATGTTCTGCATAGTTTAGACGGGATTGACAATATCTGGCAATTGAGCCCGTTTTGGTTACAGCAGGTCGACATCATGCCGGGTTCTTCAAGAATGCCCATCAGCTTGCGCGAAAGCTTTGATAGCGTTAAGAAGCGCTCCCGGACCATTAACCCTCGGCAATTCTTCAATATCGACTTGTAAGTGTTTTAACGTCCTATGTGCTATTGCAATAGTATCCTCAAAAAAAAAATTACTATAAAATACATGAAATATAAGACGGAGAAAAGAGGAAAAAAAAAAAAACTAATTATTGCGTTCTTCTATAGACTTCGAAATATTGTCTTCTTTTTCTTCGTTCTACGTATTGTCCGTCGCACTTTCTGGAAGCTGAAGGGCCGTGGCCTCTTCGGCACCATAGCAGAACTATACCACGATGTACGACGTGTATTATACGGCTATTTCCTACGTGCCCCGGGAGTGAGGACACAGGTACGAAAGCAGATCACCGAGTCATTAGCCAAGGTGCAGGCAAAGATGATCCCTGTCGATGGTACACGATACACAACATTGCCAAAGGAAGGCTGGACAGATGATGCCCTACGAGCTGAGCTCGATACTTTAGCAAATATGGACCATACCAAGTGGGAAGACGGTTATGTATCCGGTGCTGTATACCACGGCGAGGAGGATTTGCTAAAGTTACAGACGGAGGCCTACGGAAAGTTTACAGTCGCAAACCCGATACATCCGGACGTCTTCCCTGGTGTTCGGAAGATGGAAGCCGAGGTTGTCGCAATGGTCCTCTCCATGTTCCATGCCCCACCAACCGCTGCCGGTGTCTGCACTAGTGGTGGAACCGAGAGTATCCTGATGGCATGTTATAGTGCGCGGCAGAAGGCATATGCAGAGCGTGGTGTTACCGAACCCGAGATGTAAGTCGTGTATAGCGCACAATCTAATCTACACTTAGGAATTAGGTACTGACTTAACGGATACAGGATCCTACCGGAGACGGCACACACGGCTTTCCGGAAAGCTGGCGACTACTTCAAGATCAAGATTCACTTGGTACCTTGTCCCGCCCCCACATACCAAGTGGATGTTCACCGTGTATCCCGCCTCATCAACTCCAACACTATTATCCTTGTCGGATCCGCACCCAACTTCCCTCATGGTATCATGGATGACATCTCCGCTCTATCCAAGTTAGCGTTGAAACGCCGTCTACCACTGCATGTAGACTGCTGTCTAGGCTCGTTCTTAGTCCCGTTCCTTGATAGGGCTGGTTTTGACACAGAACCTTTCGACTTCCGACTCAAGGGTGTCACCTCTATCTCCTGTGACACGCATAAGTACGGTTTCGCGCCCAAGGGCAGCTCCACCGTCCTCTACCGTACTCAGGAACTGCGCACATACCAGTACTTCGTCTCCCCGGACTGGTCCGGTGGTGTATACGCTTCTCCCGGTATCGCAGGTTCCCGCCCCGGCGCCCTTATCGCCGGGTGCTGGACCAGTATGATGCGAGTCGGCGAAGCCGGGTACATCGAATCATGCGTCAAGATCGTCGGATGCGCCAAGAAGATTGCCGAACACGTAACATCTTCCCCTACCCTCAGCACGGAACTCGAGATCCTAGGCCGTCCCCTCGTTTCCGTTGTCGCCTTCACCGCCCGCAACCTCAACATTTACGACATCGCAGACGGCATGAGCCACAAGGGCTGGCATCTCAATGCCCTACAAAACCCACCCGCCATGCACGTCGCTGTCACTATGCCTATCGTTAAGGTATGGGAGCGCCTCGTCGCCGATCTCGAAGCTGTGATTGAGGAGGAGCGCGAGAAGGAACGCGTTCGTGTCGTCGAGGGAAAGTCACCTAAGGGGAAGGCTACAGGTGATGCTGCCGCCCTCTACGGTGTTGCAGGAAGTCTACCGAACAAATCCGTTGTTGTGGATTTGGCGACTGGGTTCATAGATTTGATGTACAAGGCGTGATGAGATTCAAACGAGATACCATACCTCCTTGTACTAAGATCCAGAAGAGGAAAACAAACAGTATAGCGGACGGAAGCGAATCGCATAGTTATTAGGCACATGATTAGGACCAGTGTATGTTAGGAAAGGAATAGCGTTGGAAACCATTATGAGGTAGTCTTATAATGGCTGTATATATATAAGGTAGGGAAGGGAAGGAGGAAACTACGAAAGGGAATATGAGAGGGGGGTATCATACTAAAATTACCTCCATGCATGGTGTATACTTATTTGATCGCAAGACATAGCGAATAGTTTAAACTACCTGTACTTGTTATAGGTACCTCTAGGTAGGTAGTATAACATGATAACAAGGGCAATTACCAATAACAACAAAGTCTTCAATACCTGATCAATGCAGTTTTTTATCTACTTAGGTATATACACTTGCGGCGGGAGAAAAAAAAGGCTGCTCTTTCTGAAAAATGGCCTAGTTCTCTCAATGCTTTTTTTTGTATATATATACACATACACCATCACCATGCCTTGATGCAGAGCTTAGTAGTAGTAGTAGTAGTAAGTAGTCAGTCATAGTCATTCCGGCCGCCTTTCTTCCCCTCCGTCCGTAATTTCCCATCCTGCGCCGTTTAGAACTAGTGAAAAAAAGAAGCATTGGGGAGAGTGATACCGAAAAAAAAACCCCCCCCAAAAAAAACGAAGAGAGAAGAGAAAGACGGCGTGCCGTATCTCTCTTCCTCTCCCCAAAAAAGGCCGCCCTGTTTCATTTTTCTTTCTTCTGACTATTACACGTTATTCTCCCCAATTTCACCTTTTGATCCCTCTTCTCTCTTTCTCTCTCGTCTCTCATCTCTATCCCATCCATTGTCGGACGGACGGACGGACAGATAGATAAAATCCGAGATTTAAAAAAAAAAGAAAACAAGAAAAGGACCTATATAAATAAATCATACAAATAAACCGGCGTGACGATAGGTAGATACCTAATCATGATCATAACTCGGCTTTCTCGTCGTCGACGCGAGAAAAGCGGCTGTCTTCCTGGCTGATCATGGATTCGGTGTCGCCGACCTGCTTGCGCTCCGAGACCTCGAAGAACTTGAGCCGTTTCCTCAACTTGATTCTATGCGGCAACGTCAATCCTTGGGACGATGACCACTCCCTCATGACTGCTGATTGCTATTGCAGGGGCTCCGACGAGCTCGACAAGCGGTTGAGGTGCAGATACACATCCGTCCCGTACCTGCAATTTTTGAATTAGTGGCGTGAAAAGGATGGTTTTCTGAGATGTCCCCAAAAAAAAAACACAGGTGACCTACCCTTCCATGCTAATCAGTTTTAAATCACCACCGAAATATCGAGCGTAAAGCCTCGAGATCGGTAATCCGTAGCCAAAGCCCGCCATCGGTGCCTTAAAATCGCTCTTATCAAAATCAGGGTCCAAGTTAGGGGTCCGGTCTACAGTCGTGTACATGTAAGTCCACACCAGCGGGATGGCACTTCGCGGTATACCGCCACCCTCATCGCTGACCTTAATTGTAATGTCTTCCCTCCCTTCCGCGACGATCACTTTCGTCACTGGGAACTCTTGCTTGTCCTGCCCGTGCGTCTCGACAACGGCTCTTAACGAGTTTTTCAAGGTCTCGAAGAGCATGTGCGATAAGTGGCCGGGGACGTACATAAAGTTCAGATCGGGGTTGCAGACAAGTTGGATCTTGGGCGCTTCGAAGAGTCCATAGTGGTCTTCGCATACGAACCGAGCATTCTCAATGGCCTCTTGCGCTAAATCCCTCACATTTGTCTTCGTACAGATAATACCGACATAAGTAGGATCGCGGTGGTGGCTCTGATCTGTTAAGGCAATGTGTTGTCCGATAAGCATACGAATACCTATTCGAGACATATAAAAACGATCCAGGAAGGACTGTATGTTATTGTCAATCTGCATGCGTTGCCTCCTTCGTTTGTATTCTAGGATGCCTTGTGCCATCGTTGTGACAACGCCATCGTGCCGCCTCTTGATCTTGTGTAATGTCTGTGCAAATTTGGAGTTGTACGCCTGTAACTCCGGTGGCCAATCGCCATTGTCGTCTACCATAGCAAAGTATCTCCTTGTTGCTTGGTGCTTCTTACTGTTTGCCATACCAATTTGCGCCGGCGGCGCCGAGGCATACTGACCTTCGCGGATACTTGGATTCGGAGTCGCTTCGGAGAGCATAGGCCCTTTGCCGTTACTGAATTTCCCCGAGTTCAAGAGTCGATCTCGCACTTCTTTTGACAACTCTGGTCGCCCCAAGTTGATGATCTCCTATTATCACATGTCAGATGACTCATGCTCACGACCATCGCATTTTAAGTCAGGGAGCGTACCTCGAACGACTGCGCATACCAATCCTGGACTCTCCTGACCGATGGCATATCACTAAGTCCATCGGGAAGGCTTGTGAGCTCCTGCACTCGGTGCGCAAGGCGAATTGGTAGCTCTTCGGCGAGAAATTGAGAGGCTCGAAACAGGGTTCCTAAAACGGCAATGCAGAGTTAGCATGTTGCAATTGTAATCATGACGACAAAGAGGTGCAAAAAGTAATAACATACCAACTGACGGTCTCTCGCCAAACTGGACCATCTGCCTTAAACTTACCCCCGTGGCAGGGAAGAGGGAGTAATGGCGGATGGTGTCCATCAGCCTTTCGGATGCCTTCCACGACATGATGGGCGAGTTCGTTTGATTAACGAGGGCTCGGTGGTAGGCTTGTCGGGCCTGAAGATGTGTTGAATCTCAGGTAGGAAAGAGAAGTTCAGGCCATGAGACTCGAATTGGAAATGTGGAAGTTGGGGAAGTATGAGGCTATGAGCAATAGCACGAGACTAGATCGGAGTACCAGACCACCCCGCGGGAATTAGAATGACGTTGGATAGCAACGGGATAGCAGGGTCCTATCTGTAAAAGCTAAAGTGCCGAGGCTCTAAAAAAGAAATAAAGAGCTTTTAAAAAAGTCTAGGTTAGGTACCGGTTAGTTAGCCAGAACGCAACGTGAGACTCTTTGTGACTTCTTCTATAGACAAAAAAATTGACAAGAGATTAATAAGGATAAGAACAGCAACGAAGTAGACAATAGTTCATTATTGATGAATTGAATAGTATTGCCTCGAAGACTGAACATTTGAAAAAGATTAGGTACGTAAAATCCTAAGACCGTGTGAGATGGGCAGTTTAGACATTTGGAGAATGGAGATGGAGAACAATGGACCCGGCCATTCGTTAAGTGCAGAGTTTCGAAAGCCGTCATTGGCCGCTGGATTGTGGGGGCGCGGAGACATGGGAGGTTGGAAGTCGCACAGCTGTTTCGCCAGCTGCTTCCAGGTAAGAGGTACCTAACACAAGTTGGACAACAAAGTTTCTTTCCCCCGTATTTCCATATTTCCGTGTTTCCTACCCAGCTACCCAGCTACCCAGCTCCCTACGTTAAGCGTTAGGTACTAATGCAAAATCGGCAAGTGTTTAGGCGCCTCATTATGTACCTGCTAATGCGGGTCCCCCGCCAAATCTAGCCCTAAGTTCTAACTCTCTAACTCTCACTTTGACGGTTGACTTGATTTTTGGAGCTAGGTTTAGGTAGGTATTTGCATTGTACAACATAATCTGGAGATTTGAAATACTACTTACTAAATGCACAGGAAGTCAGTTCTTACGTTTTTTAATGTAAGAATATTGCGCAACTACCAAATATAAAACTTTATCTTACTTTAGATCTAGGAACATAGCGCCTCGACTTAAAAGGGAGTACAACAACAATAACAACAACACACACATGCTTAGTGCCCGATATGACTGCTTCGTATGCGGTTAATGTAGGCGCATGTACTTCCAATAGCTGTTGTTACAGGTGCCTTAGGCCTACACAAGACGCCAGCATTTACGGTGCACGGATCCAGGTTACATCAAACTTGCATCTATGATTTCCGACCGAAGAATATGTCACATCGTCAGGCATCTCTTGCCAGGCTCATCCATCACTCTTTGTCCAAATACGGAAGTTCTTATAAACGGCTATACGGACGTCCTTAATATAAACTGCCTATAGATATCGGACCTGTAGTTACCTTAATTTACCTTATGACGGACATAGATTCGGATGCAGAGCCGGATAGCCCTCCGGCCACGCCGGCCCTGCAAACGCCCCCTCGGAGCGCCAAGTTAGAGGAGTATCATCCCCCCTGGTCCTTATACCACGCTGCTGCAACTCCTCAATCATCACCACCAGCCTCTCCGTCCTTGCCGTCCTTGCGGCTTCACTCCTTAGGCATGTCTCCGTTCTCTCCAGCGCGTCGCCAGTTTACGTCGCCCCTTATTAAATCTGCATCCCTTGTGCATCTAACTGAGGCGGGGCGACCTGGGCGAGAATCCGTTGTACAAGACAGCAAAGACGTCCTCGTACAGCGACTAAATAATCTTGCCGCTCAGCTAAGCAAACAGGATAATATCCAAGAGCAGAATGTCAATAGACTGCATGCGAAAGTGGACGAGATGGAAAAGGCTCTATCCACGCGAGATTATCCGCCAAATCAGAAGTCTCTAAAGTCGAGACCTACCAGCATAGTACTGCAGGATAGCAGAAATGAACGCGACTCCTTCTGGGGACCGCTAACACCTGGGCATACGATGCCTAGTATTTCAACCGCGCCGTTACCTACGTACACGACTTCATCTACTCAAACTGAAGAAAGTCGTGATGCACGTGAAGTTGTCGCCGCTAAAGGGTCTCAGTTGTCGTCAGTGCAGGCTAATCGAGTCGCCGCGGAAGCACAAATTTTGTGCAAGGAACTAGAAGAGGTTGTCTCAGGACTACGCGCTCGACAGGAGGAAACAGATGTAAGAGCGTTACCAGCTCCCTTTATAAGCACATCTAGACTGATATGTATATACTACTTATGCAGCATATCCACGAACTACTTATCACACGTGCGGAACGCGCCGCGCAGAGAATCATTTACCTTGAAAAGCGGGTCAAGGAACTGTAAGTTTAGCCACGACGATCATTACCTACTCGAAGCTTTGGTTGGTGCTGACCGTTGCGGGGAAGCGAATGTGAACGAAACGAAGGTGAGATGGAGATGCTCAGCCTACAGATTCAGCTAAAGGCGATCGAGGTGCAGTGCTTAAGCTACGTGCCGAAAGATGCCGATGAGGAATTGCGAGAAAGCATTTCGGCATGGAAGACGGAGTGGTCTGCCCTGAAGCGAAAAAGGGCTCGAAGAAAAGCTAGCGCAGGCGAAGATCTAAGGACATTGGGAACTCACATCAGACAGCCGAAAAATACGAATTCCCCAGGCTGAATGAATACCGTACCGGCTACTTTTGTACATCATCGCCTGCTGAAGCCCGAATGTTTCTAGCGGTCTAGGGGTATTACTTAGAGGGGTAAACGGCGGTGGCGATCATACATATATTCCATCAGCTCGAGTTGCCCGGCAGGTGCTCGACATTGTATATATGTCAGTGTAACTAAGGCTGACTGAGGAATTCGCACAAAATCTGGTGGACCTACCAAAGAGGAATCTGGTTCGTGTATGGGTAGGACTCAGTTCAAGCTACACAGGAATTACCAGGAGGGTGGCACAAGTTGCGCAGATCCGTTTTCAGTTATAACATGCGCAAACAACGAATCCTGTGCGACAAGGCGAGGTTTCATCTACCATTTTGATGTACATATATTATTATTCCTTCTGTCTATCTGCTATGCATGCCTCGTCAAAGGTTCGGATATCACATAATTAGGAGTCTTTTTCTACTACTATCGCTCGGAACACCCCGAAGGCTTACTACAACAATGCAACGTTTAAAGTATGTTCAATACAAATTGTCACAGGGGTCTGTGTGTATGTAGGATATCAGAAATGTATACTGCATATATGAGAGGATGACAAGTATGAGAGGATGATAAGCTTATTGAAAAAGGTGCGGTTCGAGTTACGTCACAGGAAGCTGTTTAGGGATCTTGGCCAATTACATGCGGTATGTGGTATAGGTACCCCAACCTTTGAATGACATCCACTTCCTCCGCTTTCCTTTGTGTCGGGAAAAGAAATACGTATAGGTTACAATTACCTTAAGTATTCACAGCAGATCTAGGTGGAGAAGCAGAGAAGGCGCGTGCAATGGTAGAAGCTAAACCGGGTAGCTGCAAGGCTCGTGTAACAACTGATAGGTACGGGGTTAGTCTCTTACACCGAGCATAGGCATACTACATGGTACATCCATATACCGTAGGTATTGTACAGGGCAACTACCAACATCCAACATCCAACATCTTACATTGCATCTTCTACAACTTAAAAATGCCTTGACTGATTCTAAGTGTCATACCTGTCCCCCATACGAGAGCTTCAAAGTTACTTTCGATATGCATAAAACTTCATTCGGTATGGTCATGTCAGCGTATTGGCCTGGCCGTATTGGAAGCTCATTCTCTTTCACTTACATGGATAATGTGTGTGGTGCAATCTGGAAATCTTTTCGTTCCCGTTTCCGCGCAGTGTTGCTTCGAAGGATTCTAACCCCTATCACTTTTTTAATATATTCAGGCTTTCCAAGTACTGTTAACCATCGTTGTCCATGCTGCCGTTCGGATATCTGGCAAACCATGCCGGCAAAGCCTAGAACTATCTACGTCACTGTCCTCTCATTCGGCTTCTACTAGGCATCCTAGAGGGACTGATCAGGGACTGATCCATGAATTACTGCGGTTGGAAGCTTGGGGGCTCCTTGGCAAAAAGCAAAAGTTAATCGTCTTCCATTGGCTTACCCCAGGAATACTATACTTCAGCAAGCGTAGAGTCCGCACAAGTACCCCTGTCATCCCGAATAGAGCAGCACTACAAGATGACGTCGGCTCATTTTAGGGGAATCCTTCGGAGGCCCCTTTGACCAACGAGGCTCGAAGTATAGCCTTTGTACTACACTATATCCCGCCCGTCATGTATAGCTCTCACGCGATGATCGACGGTCATTTTTGCGAATAAAGGCTGCCGAGCCCGAGCCCTTGATCGAGCGTGCATATCGTTATGTGGCCCTTACTTACTGCCTTGTCCAGTTGACTGATATAATTAGTCCCGAGGCTCCCGTTCATACCTATAGTTGTTATTTTGTCTGTGTATTTTCAAGTTTTGGTTTCTTCTCCACCTTGCCAGTTAAGCTTGTATCAGCACTATATAAAGTCTCATAGGGGATGAAATAAGTAAACTGAGAACCAAAAGTTGTCTATACAGCTTCATAATCAAGTGATTAGACCAAAAACATGGCTTCCGATGCGGGAGACCCACCCAAAGATGGTCCGTCAGAGGAGAAGAGAGAGGATATCCAACCTCGGAAAGGGTCTCGCTATTCTGAAGCGTCTCCCTCCGAGCTCGAGCATCGTGAAACTAAAGACAAGATACCAGATGAAGGGGAGAGAAAACGTCTAGAAGCCACAGCCAAGCTAGAGAACCCTCTTGCTGGTCTCTCTCAGACACAGCTAGCCCAGCAAGGTGAAGAGTTCTGTGCGAAGCATGGCATTACCGATGCGGAGGACATTCGTGCTTTTCGGCTCGGCGCCATGATTGCCGGTAACTTGAATAAGTACGACACCATCGACGAGCTTACCGATCGTGAAAAGGGCATTCTCGACAAAGAGATCACACACAAATGGTCAAACCCCAAGATGCTCTATGCGGTAATTGTCATCTGCTCGCTCTGTGCCGCCGTTCAAGGTATGGATGAGACTGTAGTGAATGGTGCGCAGTCATTTTACAAAGCCGAATTTGGTATAGGAGATGCCAACTCTCAGAGGGGTAAGCTATTGAGACGATGTCACGTACACAACCCACACTACGTGCTAACCAATGCGTCCGAACAGATTCATGGCTCCTAGGCCTCGTCAATGGTAAGTCCATTCTTCCCGGCGAGCAGCTAAACAATAGCTGACAACCCTCCAGCTGCACCGTACATCTGCTGCGCCTTCGTTGGTTGCTGGCTTACAGAACCGATGAATAAGGCTTTCGGGCGCCGCGGTACCGTCTTCGTCTCTTGTGCCATATCGGCTTTAGCTTGTTTCTGGCAAGCCTTTACAAATACTTGGTGGCATATGTTCATCGCGCGTTTTGCTCTCGGTCTTGGCATTGGCCCGAAGTCAGCTACAACCCGTAAGTTGGCATTTTGGACTTACAGAACGATGGATATAAACAGCGCTAACTATCTCTAAGCCATCTTCGCTGCCGAGTGTTCCCCGCCGAAGCTTCGTGGTGCTTTGGTTATGCAGTGGCAGATGTGGACTGCTTTCGGTATCATGCTTGGATATGTAATGGATTTGGCCTTCTTCAACGTTCCGGATTTATCTGGAATTATAGGACTCAATTGGCGCCTTATGATGGGATCCGCTTTGCTACCGGCTGTCATCGTCTGCGCTATCGTATACTTTACCCCTGAGGTAGGTGACACACAGCCTCTAGAGATCCCAAGAAGTTAGTTACTAAAACACCATAGTCGCCTCGATGGTACCTTACCAAAAATCGACACGCCGATGCTTATAAGTCAATCTGCCAGCTACGGTTCGAAAAGGTCCAGGCCGCGCGCGACCTCTTCTATATGGACACCCTCCTTCAGGTCGAGAAAGAAACTATGCACATAGGCCAGAGCAAAATTAAGGAGTTCCTTACCATCCGTCGAAACCGGAATGCCATGGTTGCATCGGAGATTGTTATGTTCATGCAGCAATTCTGCGGTGTCAATGCCATTGCGTACTATTCAACAGAAATCTTCATTGAAAGTGGCTTCTCTACCCAAGAGGCTCTCGTGGCCTCGCTTGGTTTCGGTATCGTCAATTTTTTGTTCGCTCTTCCAGCGTTTTACACCATCGATACCTTTGGTCGGCGCAATCTACTTCTTACTACTTTCCCCGTAGGTCCATCTCTTTATAACTATCCATTTCATGGCAAAGTAGCTAACGTAGTAATACAGCTCATGTCTCTCTTCTTGTTCTTCACGGGCTTCAGCTTTTGGATCCCGGAAAATAGTACTGCCCATATTGGCTGTATAGCGTTAGGTATTTATCTATTCGGCGTGGTTTACTCGCCAGGAGAAGGGGTAGGATAAGCTCAATGCTTTCCGAATAATGCTTATACTAATTTACCTCTTAGCCGGTTCCATTCACATACAGTGCCGAAGCGTACCCGCTGTACATACGGCCAATCGGAATGTCGTTGGCAACAGCGACAACATGGTTCTTTAATTCCGTAATCTCTCTCACGTGGCCTGCGATGACCCAAGCATGGACGCCTCAAGGCGCCTTTTCATGGTACGCGGCGTGGAACGTTATCGGATTCTTCCTTGTGCTCTTCTTCCTTCCCGAAACGAAGGAAAAGACGCTCGAGGAGCTTGACGCCGTCTTTAACGTCCCAATCCGTAGCCTAGTGCGCTATGGCGCGGACCAGTTCATCTACTTTTGGGCCCACTACATCTTCCGTCGCGACGTCGCACCGCCTAAGGTCCCGTCCGCGACGGCGGATATCGAGTACACGAGGGAACGATTTTCTCAGGAGAAGACACACGATGCGACTTCTCGTGTCTGAAGAACTTGCGCTACCAACTTAAAGGATTGATTACCCCCTTTTTTTAAACTTTCTGTTGTCGAAGGGCCATACTCTTTTAGCTCGGACGTTTCTAGTCAAGATGATCAGTACTAGATGGGATTTAAGGATGAAGATTAATGGATACTCTTCACGCGAAATGCCTCTCATTAATTCTTTTTTTTATACCCATTTTTGAAAATCATCTTATATTGAAGGAAAATAGTAAATATGTACCTAAGGTACCTAGATGATGATGGACGGCTTGGGATATAAAACCACTACCTGAGTAACTAACCTACCTAGGCACCTTAGGTACATATAATTGAATCTTGTCATAGGAAAAGTGCCTATTAAAAGACGACTTTGTGAATTTATATTTTTAGTAGTATGATGCATAATGCTACCTTAGGTAGTAAGACTATACCGAAGTTGACAGGAAATGCCGCCTTGCTGGTATAAGTGTTCTGGTTCAATTTCCCCTTCCCGTCTTAGATATTATACGGACATTATTACTCTATACCAACGCCCTTGAGTACCTAGAAGTGGTATATAGCGAGCGAACTCTAAAGTTAGGTACCTAACTAGCCCATTCTTGTTGTTTCGTTCTTCCCCCTTTTTTCCAATCTTGCCCCACTATTCCTACTAGTACCCCCCCCCCCCCCCCCCCCATTTACCCCCTTTTCCCAACTCAATGGCTCGAGTGGTGTCGGGCATGATGATGATGATGGCTTTTCCCACCTTCCTTACTACTACTCCCTTCTGCTCTATGGTGGTGGTGGTGGTGACCGTGATTATGACCATGGTGGCTATGGTGGCTATGATCATGATGGTGATGTTGTTGATGGTGATGTTGATGAGCGTGAGGCTGAGGCTGAGAATACGAGCCCAAAGCCAACCCCGAACTAGGCGCTCTCAACACCTCCGCCCACGTCGGGCCCTTATCATCCTCCCCGTCCCGTCTTCCTCTTCCTCTCTCTCTTTCTTCGGTCGCGCTGTACCGCCGTAGCCTACCGCTGTAGCGGTGCCGCCTTTTTTCCCCGGCAGTCGATCCCAGCGCCGTGTTCTCCTCATCCTGCTCCTCATCCTGCTCCCGGACCTCCCCCGGGGGCGGGAAAGCGGGAGCGGAAGCAGTCGTGCTGGTGGTATGCACCGCCTCGATCCGCCCGCCGCTGCTCTGACGCCTCCCGCTGGCTCGTTGGGCGTGGTCCGTCGGTGAGTATGCTGCCGGAGCCGGAGCGGGGGGAGCAGGTAAGTACCCCGCTGACCGGAAGGAACTGCTACCGCTACCGCTGCCGCTGCCGCTGCCGCTGCTACTCACGATATTCGGCGCGGAGGCGCGGAACGGCCTTGTGCGCGGCGGTGGGCTTCGCGCGCGATGGGAGGCGTGGTTGTTATGGTTGTGGTTGCTGTTACTCCCCGACGACGCGATCTGGTACCGGCTAAGCTGTTTCCCGATGTAGTAGCGACTCTGCTCCCGATCGCGGTACGTTTTGCGCTCCTCCTCCTCCTCCTCCTCCTCCTCGTCGTCGTTGTAGCGTCCCGTCTCCGCGTGTTTGCTGCTGCTATATCCGTCGCCTCTCCGCTCGGGGAAGACGTACCGCCGGATTATCGGGACGATAGCACTGCTCCGGTCCTTGGTACCTTGCGGCGGCGGCGGCAATGCTGGTGGTCGTGTTGATGGTGGCATGAGTGCCAGCGAGGACCTGGGACTGCCGGGCTCGAGAAGGCGGAGATCGTACATCAAGTCGTCAAGCGCGGCGGCGAGGACCTTCTTAGACCGCGGGTCGTTTCGGACGGGGAACTGGCTGCGGAACAGCTGCCTGGGGAGCCTCTCCGGCTCGGCTGTACCCACCCCTTTACCCGTTCCTGTGCCAGTGTCGGCGTAGGCGTAGGCGGGGGCATCGGCCACGAGCTGCACGTCCGCGGCGATCCTGTCCAGCCGCCGGAACTCCTCGTCCGGGTGCGCGAGGACGCACGTGGTGAAGTAGCGGACGAAGCCGGCGGGCGTCAGGCCCGGCACGCGCGGCCGCGAGTAGGCGTTCGGCGGCACGAGGTGGTACTGGCAGTCCAGGTCCGTGAAGAAGTCGGCGAGGCGCTCGTGGACGTCCCTGGCTCGGGAGTTGAGGATTTCTAAGGTACATGTGTGTGCGTGGTTAGTTTATTCCTAGTATATACTCACTCCCATGGTCACCGGTGCGAAATCTGCAGGTCGCGGAAGACTGAGATGTAAGGTACCGGCAAAGGCAGGCTGGCAAAAAAAAAAACAAAAAAAAACTCACCGATAAAGGGGTAAATCTCCGGGTTCAGCCTATATCTCGAGTAGAGAGCGCACAGCTTCTCGGGGGTGATGACAAGGTCATTGCTTCCGGGCGCCAGATCATCGATCTACGACTCCAGACGCATTAGTCACCTAGTATCCAATTCCATACGGCAGCGTCTATCTTCCTCTCTCTCTCTATATATATCTGGGTAAATATGCAACGTACAATATACTTCGCCAGGCCCCTCAGGAACTGGTTGCTCCGCGCAGTCGCGTACCCGTTCTCGTCGAACAGCATACCCCATTCTACCACCCCCACCCCAGCGCCGGAGCCGGACCGTCGATGCACCGCCGGGAGGTGGCCGGTCGACGTTCGGGGTGGTCCGCGGTCGGTGAACCGGACCCCGGGCCTAGAGGCGTCTCCTATTGCTGGGCTCGTCGGGCTCGGTGGGGTTTTGATAGCGGCGGTTGTGCTAGTCGTACTTGTACTGTCGATGGATGAAGATATGGTTGAGCCTGAGGAACTTGATGCGGACTGTTCCTGGTGGGGCCTGGCGACCTGGTATCCCTCAGCTGCCTCGGCTGCTTGCTATTAGCGTCCGTCCACATTGAAATAATCAGGGCCGACTCCACCTTCATCTTCATCTACCCCGTGCTTATCTGTGAAATTTAAAGGTTGTTAGTCTCGAACTATTCGGGTTATACTAGCCCATCAAGCTAGAAAGGACGAGCTATCGCCATCGAGGGGTGCTTGAGGGTGGCCGCAAGAAAGCGGCCCATGCTGAGACGTACCGTTCTCCGGATACTCTGACTCCACTCCACGAATGCTCTGGGCCTCCCAGTTATGATTGTTAGTTTTCAAATGGTTGGCCTTGTCGTACGAAGGGTGTTCTTCTGCCATCATCATCATCAACTAAAGATTTAAATAGCCCTAGATACGGTTCATAAAGAAATAACGTACTTCCAGGCAAATAAAGATAACTCAAGGACATACATACCTAGCCATGATATTATCTCTGGGGACCTTTCTGAGACAAAGTGACGAAATGCCCTCCCCTTCGAAAGGGCCTCCGTGCTCCACGGGTGGTCACAGTAGAGGATTACCGTCCTTGATAGAAGCCGGGCGACAGAGTAGCATTATCAAGGGGATTATCCCTGTTCTTCGGGCATCGATATTCGGGAGAAAGATACCCAGTACGTACAACATATGATCGGTGTCACGCTCTCGGGTGGGAAAGGAAAGGAAAGGTTGGAGGTACAACGCGCGAGTCCATGAGATCGGAACCAAAAACCAAAGTGTACGAACTAGAAGACAAAGCAGCACTTATTATCATGAAGCAGAGGGTAAGCATAAATTAGAAAGCATCTACTTGCCTTATAGGCGTATAATAAAGCCCTAGTTCAGATACTAAGTCAGGGGATTTTTGGCTTAGCCATAAAACAGGATGACTTAGGCCACAATGGCAGGCCTTCATAATTCATGAGAAACGAACGAAAAATTACACTAAGAGTGAAGAAAATCACTATAATTATAGGACTATCTGTAAGAAAGCATCGCGATCGAGAACTGAAAGTACACCCATTGCTTCTGACGTTGCAGTCAGTAATTAGGCAGGGCTAACCATTTGCCAACCTTGCAAACATGCAAACTCATATATGGCAACACGAGCTATTAGAGCCACGAAAAAGTAACGCCCAATGTATCGCCATCGAGACTCGCCTAGTTATCCTCACTGTCACTGTCGGCGATGTGAGAATTCGCTAAGTCTGTCATACGATTCGCATAAGCTGGCGCCGCGTAAAATACTCGACGAGAATCCTAGAAACCGTTAGTTCCGTAGATTAGATACAGGATTCCAAAGCACTTACACCTCTGAACCATTTACCGGATTGGTCCTCCGAAACCTTTGATTCGGCCTTGCTGCTCGGTTCGCCGCTCGGTTCACCAGAGCCATCGTTCGAAGCCGTTTTGGCACTCTTACCAGAAGGGTCAAAGGGATTATAACCGTAGAGTCGATCCATGCGTGCATCCTTTCCGTCACTGGCGTTTGCGGTGGCTGTTGCAGTGGAGGTTGCAGTGGCGGTGACAGTGGAAGTATCAATCGACGGAAGGTAACCACCATCGGTAGTGTTCTCGACAGCCGGAGTGGTAGTAGCTCTTGCAGGGCCCCTGTGATCAGGATGGCTAGGCGGAAGATCGGCAGGCTGGCCGTCGGAATCGACCAACAACATGGAAGTGATGGAACGAAGCACCGACTCGTCAACTTCTCCTACCTCAACTCCGTTATCATGAGCATCATGGTCGGCTGGAAGTAGCTGGTTGGGTCTGTCCCCAAGAGCCGCACCGGGAGCCGCGAAGGCAGGAGCCTCCTCTTGTACTTCCATCGCCTGCGACAAGATGTCGTACTGCTGCATGTAAAAGCTCGGGGCTTCATCAAGAGCCTCGTCGCCGGTGAAGTTGCACGCCCAGAGGGTGCAGTCTATGCATTGCTATGATAACTAGTCAACAAAACGACAAAGTATCCATGGAGCACCGAAACTTACAGCATCAGGATTGTTACGCTGGTTCTTGCTGAAGTGATCTCTATGCTTCCATAGACCGCAAGGACCACTGCACTGGATTTCATAAGGTGCTGTAGTCTGCTTTGTGTGCTCTTTGCAGATTAATCCAGCATTGCCAGCAGTGACGCCATCCTCTCCCTTAATCCTCTCCCATTTAGCCATCTGAGTTCGAGAGAACTTGTCAGCAACAAGCCACTCGCCATCAACGGCGCACATAAACCTATTTGAGATGTTAATGAAAAATACCAGAAACCATGCCAATAAATACTTACTTCTGGGGAGAATCGTTGCTGCGCGACATCTTCGAAACTGCTCTAAGGGATGGCAAGTTCGAGAGTATGGTCAAAATTAGAATGGATATGGCCCTTAGTATGATTCCCTGTTAGTAGCCTGTGTTAGCAGAAGATACGGGCCAAGTAAACTGCAGATGGAGCATGTAAATAATAGTATAATAAAGTTTATATGACAGGTACTCAAAAGGCCCATATACCATGGCGGGGATAATGGGGGAAGAAGTGAGTTAAATATGAAAGACAGGAGGGTTAAGAGTATGGTAACGTACCTTAAGATCCCTTTCACAAGTAAACCAATCGCCCAAGTATTTGAAATATCAATCCAGGTGAAGCTGAAACGAGAATAACAAAGGGTAATGGCAAGGGATAAGTAGAGGTGTGCTTATTTTGTGTAATCAAGGCTGAAGTCGCCTTCAGTTGTAGACCTAGTAAAGACGTAAGAAGGTGCGAGAGACACTTGCACAAAGCAGAGAGAATTTAATCATGCGTGCTAGTGATAGGCAGACAGTAGTCATACGCATGGATGAAACTGGTAATAGTTAAGCCTTGTGAGGCTCTGCGATGGGGACAAATGGGAGTGCTTCCCAAGAAAGGAAAAGATAAGATATCTGCCCGAATGAGGACATCCCTTTGGGAAGCTTTATGTTGTAGAAGGGGGGACAGGGACATGGGCATAGGCATAGGCATGGGCAGTTAAATAAAATGAGATGGGGTGAACTGGTGTATAGTAGGGAGTACGGGGATCTTTGCACGAGTTTGGGGTTTTTGCTGTTGCCTTGACAAGGAAAATAAACTTACCCTAATATGAGTCTCGCTCCGTATCGTGACAGACCAAATCAATAACTAGTATTGATTAAATAGACCTATCACGTATTTGTTTAGGTACCTAAGGTATAGGTATCTAGTGGATGGGAAAATGATTGTTGTGTATGAGATGGAAGAAGTTTCGAGACAGAGGAGGAAAAACCGGAAGGTTTAATGTCGAAAAGGGAAGAAATAAACCAGGCAATAGCATGGGCCCCGCAAAAGATAAAAAAAAATAGAACCTTACATGTTTGGAAACTACCTAGGGTAAGTACCTTAGGCCCTTAGAATGCATAGAAGGCAGTAAAGGTAGGTAGGTAGGAGGAGTTGGAACCAATGCAAGAGATAGGCACCTACCTTGCCTAACCTTACAGTCGTTCTTCACCAAAATATTAATCAAGCAGCTGCCTTGGGTGCCTTATAGGTACTTATTACCTTATATTACCTAGTGTCCTCTAAAGGTATTCTCGGAGGTACCTGAGAGGTGACTTGACACTGTATTACTGTGCTTGGAGCGTCATGTGCCCCCTATTATTCACCTTCTAGATGGACAGTGAATGCATGTGAAGCTAAGGTTACAAGATCTTAAGTGGATAGAATTGAATAAAGGAACATATTGTGTTGCTCCTCTGCCATACCTGTCTCCTTTGAAGCAGTTGCATGAGAGTATGGTGATTTTTGTCCTATCCTTTTTCATATCACTGGCTAGGACTGTTTGTACAGACATCATACCACATTTGCATCTTTACCTGAGATGGATGGGCCGTGATCCTGATTGCCGCGCCTGTGGATAAAAGAAGAACAGGCAAGCAGTCCCAGGCGCTGACATTAGGCATCTAATAATAAGGAGCCACATGACATTGCTTGATGTAATTACTTACCTACCTAGGTACTTACCCTTAGGCTCCCTCTACATTCACACTTCTCAACAATAGCGTAACATACTTAGTCTGTAGCTATCATAGATGCATCTGAAACTACACGACCCCTACGGATTTATTATACCCATGAGGCCAAAAGGGGGGGATAGTCAAGCTCAACATCCATCTTGCTTTAAATGAGTTTCTCCCATATAATATATAGTTGTAAGGATACCTAGGTTAGGTAGACAACAAGAAATTCTGCATCTAAAAGGGGAAGGAATGTAGAGATTATGGTTGCCTTAGGTAGGAGATATACCCATTTCGAATAGACGATCTGTTTTAAATATGTACCTGACCTTACTACTTGAGTACCTCTATCTACACAAAACCAAATAATCACCACACCACCACCCGCACCAGACGCAAATACAACAAACAACAGTAGCTTCTACGCGCACTCTTGACTGTGCTCAGCCTCTATACCCGACCCGCTCCTATACGATGTACGAACCCTCGCCGACCCCGCGGACCCGTCGTCCCACGAGCGCACGTGGTTCTCGTAGTGCTGGAGCGCGGGCTTCGGCTCGGCGGATCCGTCTGTCGGTTGGTCCTGCTGCGGGTCGACGGTCTCGCACTCAAGCGGCTTGATGAAGATGTAGAAGCCGGACGCGAGCAGCGACCCGAGGGTCGGGCTGACCTAGTAGATCCAGTGGTAGTGGTAGTGGTAGTGGTCGAAGGAGCGCGCTGAGTTCACGCTTCCGTCGGTGTAGTAGACTCCCCTGGAAATCGTTGCGTTAACGATGTTTCTATTAGGGGGAGGGGATGAAGGGAAATTAGAATGTGGAGTATCATGAGACGGCTTAAGGGGAGATGATAAGGAAAACGTACATAAGCTCGGCAATGAACAGCGACAACCCGATCCCAACCGCCAACAGGAGCAATAAACATTCCACGATGCTTCTCAGCAGCTAGCATGAAGATAGTGAACACAAGCTTGGGCCACGAGGAACATCTCTATGGATAAGCCCTGCACGGTCGATGCCCCCACCCCAAGCTCTCGCTCACGCTCAGCGGGCCGGGTCCGCGGCTGACTCCCCCGATCTCGTGTTTACGGTGTTGGTACCGCCGAACGCGAACAGTAGGGATCTGGAGGTTTAACTCGCTCATCGCCACGATGAGGTGGTTCTTGACGTTAGGCGGGAGCCGGTCAAGGAGACGTAGTCAGGTAGGCTTCTCCGATCTTTCGTCTTCGTCATGTTTCCAGGGCCGCCGCATGCGCGTGTTGATTGATCTCTGTCTGCTCCATAGTGCTCGAGATATAGCTTTGGAAACGGGGTAGTCGAGAGCGTTAGAATAAAATGGTGAGAATCAGTGCCGACGTTCTTGAGCACTCCGGGCAAGTAGGTGATGGAAGAGTAAATTGAAGATGATCATACTTCAAGAGCGATGAGTATCTTATGTGGCTACTACTTTCATGGCATGGCCGCGGGATATTGTTTCCTAGGTACGTAGCCTACTTCCAGAGCTTACTGCAATATGATGCTGCTTTGCCCATTGCCAATGTTGGGACTACGTCAGAAGCTCCATCGACGGCGGCATCACTAGAAGTCTTTACTGGAGATCCGTCGGCATGTCGCATTTACTCCTTAGTTACATCTACTTACTACGTAGCTAAATAAGGCATCTCCCCTTTACTGATTCGTGAATCAGTTATACAGCCAAGCTAGTCTAGAAACCCTATAGACAATGCGGGTTGCGTATCGTGATGTTTTATTTAGTTACATCTAGACGCTTGCGCGTTTGTAAAGACCCGTTAATCTCCCGCCATCTACCCATCTCTAGGTGAGAATGAGACTCCGTCCATTCAAATGACTAGCCGGGCAATACTGAAAACCGTAGACCAAATATTCAAGTAACCGTCACCTATCGGGTGCGCGATTCAAAGGAGCCACATGGCTGGGTTGGGCCATGAATCGTATTTTGGTAATTCATGACATCAAACCGCACCGCGGAGGATTTGACCCAAACACTACAGAACTCGGACGATAATATTGTTTCACGTCTTCCGACTGGACACGTAACGATCTCCTCGAACGCAGTGTGTCCTTGTTCAGCCGTGTCCTACATACTTACTATCTGACGAAGATTGTCTTACAAGACGCCATCGCATCTGCGCCACTGGGCAGAGTAAACCGAGTAATATTGGCGACGGGAACGGCCCGCGTTCCACAAGCAGTTCAGCTCGATCTCGGAGAGACACACAATGCAGAGCCACCACCCTTCGCTCTGCTTCGCATCTCGTAGCCACATGGATGGTTCCACAATAAGAGGTAATTAATTAAGCCGACGAGAGAGAAAAAGAAAAAAAAAAGGAAAAAAGAAAAGTAAGTTCTGCATGTTGTCTGTCAACTTCATACTAGCAGCAGCGTACCTGGCACCTGGCGGAGAACCTGACCCGACAGCCAGAAACGCAGGAATGAAAAAGCATGGCCTTGCAGCAAAGGGGACATGTTAGTTAGGTAGTACACCCAGATCAAAGGCATCTTACATATTGTTACAAGGGAATAGATCGGCCGTCAAGGATGATAAAACACTGGCTCCACGATCCGAGCTGGAAGCCCCCCTTTCCCTTCCCCTCCCCCTGGGAGTTGGTAGTGTACTATGTATGTAATGCCGCATTCGTGCTTCTAGAAGATGGCGTCGAAGGCCCGCCAATCTGCGAGCCCCAATCCTTAGGACCGAGGGGTGTGTGTATGGCTGTGATTTGAAGGCGCGTTTTGAATTGAAAAAAAAAAAAAGGCCGACGCTCGAAAAAGACAGACCTGCAGCAAGCAAGCAATAAGCTTAAGTTAGATGATATTAGAAAACATATATCATCGACAGCCCGGTTTCTCCAGCGTATTACCGCCGATACATACGCTCTGGCCGCTCTTAAGTTTGTGCAACTTCCGTAGGGGACCCTGCGGGTTAAAGTGAACCGTGAACCGTGGATGATGATCGCCAACGGTTTAATCCCCACGGGCTTGGGCTTGGGGCTTGGGCTTGAGGTACCTAACCGAGTATCTTATCCGCAATCAATCAAGATCATTTCGAACGTAGACCGTGCAGACCGTGCAGACCGTGCAGACCGTTGCCATCGACATACACGTGCTAACGCCAGTGGGACCTAAGCGAGCTACTATTTACCAAGACTCAATAAATAGCCGTGTTTACCGTCTTTTCTCAAGTACTAGCATGGTGGTCTGTTGTTGCAGAGAGAGGAGTCGAAATGTCAACAACCACAATACACATGTTTACAGATTTTTTTTTTGTTATTGTTGCATGATTTTGGATCGTCGGAACCATATTTTGTATTAGGCACGCGTAAGAATCAAGTTTACGCGTTCCATCCTACGTCTTCCGTGACCCCGTCTGGTAAGAGCGGCAATTTTTCAAGTTTTTTTTTTGTGTTTTTGTTTTTACTTTGCGGTACCCCAAATACAGTCATCCGCATACAAATTATGTGCATAATAGATGGAACCGGTACCTAGACCTTGGTACTGTATATGTAACTTAGTACTTTATCTTACTATCATGCATTGAACTCAGGGGTTCTTTCGTGGTCTGGAAAGGGCTTAGATTGTATTGAATGGGTACAGGGAACATCGTACCGAGTATTTTTTTTATGCAGGTTTGGGGCGTTCGAACTGCCTAGGTATCGTATGGTAACTTGGTAAGAAAGGATATCTATATTACATGTCTACTGCATATAGAATATGTAGTATATTTCTACGATGTCCTCCAGATTGATTTGAGCTGAAATGATATTAGATAATTGATGTACAACGTAAGTTTGCAACTGATCGAATGATACAGTATTTGGGTTCTTTCGTGATATGCGCATTCAAGGTACCTAGATATATGTGCCTACCTCTTCTTATAGGTATTAGGTATCTAGGTACTTATTTACATGTGAGAAGTTTGGATCCGTACCAGATGTACATATACAGGTTCTCCACATCGACATGGCTTTTTCCAACGGATGGTGCCTGCTTCACCCGCGGTATGCCCCTTGCTCCGGACTTTGCCCGGAAAGGCTTAAGTTGATTGGACCGTTTTCACTCAATGTGCGCCACGTTGCCCGGTGGGGTGAGGAACGACTTCCATTGGTAGGTCTAAACGGGTAGTGGTCCCTGCGCATCATGCATTGCTCTTGACCAGAATTGGGATTTCACATTCTTCACATTCCACTCGGTCTCCCTTTTCTAATGTAGCTTAGTGGGATGCATGTACCTAGCTATGTATAATATTGCACATTTATCTTACCTAGCAGAATCGCGTCAAAAAAGATGCCCCCCAGCCAATACCTAATATTTCAAAACATACTCTTATTTTCATTGCTAATAACACTTTAGCGACATAACATATTAATTTAATATATTATTAACCTGCAGAATAATACTAAAGCTATCTTATAGTAATTTTTGATATTAAATTGACCTAGAATTGACTTTTTTACATTTAATTGAAGTTCTAGTAATATAATGGTATTTGGGTTTGGGGTGGGGCATCTTTTTTGACGCCATTCTGCCTAGTCTACCTGGAAACGTACGTAGTACATTATGTATCGTGCAGGTTATGGGCATTAGACAAATGCTAATACCTTCACGAATTGGCGGTTTACATCTACATAGGACTATGTAAAGACGGTGTGACCAATTCGTTTTCGAGTTGATTGAGACTTTTTGATCTTGTCAGCCTCCTTCTTTTTCCCTCTTTGATCATCCCCGCTTGGAACCAGCTTCTTCCCCGACCCGGCAGTGGGATGCTTATGTACTTGCTATCACGCAACTCTCGGCCCCTTTTTTTCTTCTTCGGGCTGCACAGGTACGGATCTTGATTACCTAAATTGTCTTGGAAAGTCGATGTTTGAGTTAGGGTAGGTTACATAGTAGGTTGAGAAAACCTCTAGCTTCTGTCATCCGTCGGTTGCATATATCTATACCTAATATAGTCTATCGAAGTTACATCGCCCGCCACCTGCTGTACGCCTGAGGCTTGACCAGAAGGAATACATGTATTGTCTTATTTTGGGAGAAGCCACAGGCTACTAAGGCGTAGCATATCTAAGCTGGTGAGAGTTATTTTTATTTTTTTATTACCTGCCTATGTACTACTTAGACATTTAGTATAGCAGGTATGGGTAGAATGATGAACATATACTATGTATGACGAAACAGCCATTACTCTCTGCTAGCAGAAGGAAGATCTGCCGCCGTTCATATGCATCTGAAGTATTGAAGGGAGATCGTACATAGTAGATGGAATAGGTACCTTACCTATCAGTACTTCTCATGTTTACTACGTACGTACACCGAGCTTTGCCTCTGGAGTACTTTTTATGATGCCTGTCGATCGGTCAAAAGTATTAATTGGCGAAATATGTTGAGTGCCATGGGTATTCGATAAACCCATGCTGTTTAATGTATTGCTTCGTCGTTGAACTAGAAAATAGTGTATACCTCTGTGTAGTTGCAACAGGGTAAGATCTTAACCCACGCGTCTGTTAACATGTACGCGTATTTCCCTATTAGGCAGCCCTTATTTGTTACGTATATGTGCCTTCAAATCCGTCATCTTAATAAGGTAGGTCACCTCAACCGAATGTCATACTTATATCAGCGCTGTATGCGTGCTTATTATCATCATCATCCAGTTTTTACTCTCTCAAGTGCTGAAGATGAGAAAAGTCTGCGAATAGGAGACACTTATGTCAAAAAAGGGTCTTTACCTGGTATTCACGTGGATCTCCAGCATTAACAAAACTATTGATACATACGGATTATGTACTTGACCGCGCAGACAGCAGGGACTAAGCAGGGCTAGGCTTTGACTGATGGATGATACACTACAGATTTCGTCTTATTGCACATTCAATAGCTTCTACAGTGCGTCGTACCGTTTTGGATGTGTACCTAGGTACTGAATAAAACCCGAGGTTGCTGGGATTTCGGCCCTGATAAATTCCCTTACGCCAACCAGGGCCTAACACCAAATAAATTCGATGGGGGCGGGAAGTGTTACCGGTCACTAAAAGATGGCTGGCATCGTGTAATAATACAGTAAAAATGGCCTGTATATACACTATGTACAGCGGGATATCCGAGTAACACCTCTAATGCAATTACTAACACTAATTTTCCGAACGCGTAATGGTACTTCAAAGGTTCTTTCTAGGAAGCACTTGAAACCTTTAGCTGCTTACGAGGAACTTCAGAGCAATCAGGTATACGAAATGTACCTCGGGAGGAATCACAATCACAACAATAAAAAAAAATAAAAAAAATAAAAGAGGGCATAAGGACATTAAGTATCAAAAAGGGAAAATAAGACCATAGCTAATTAAACTAAAAAAGGGGAATCCACTCGAATTGTAACTCACTAAAATTTTTCACTCTTTCTACTTTTAAACCCCTGGCCTTAAGCACAAATTGCTAAGATTGGCTCTATTTTCTTGGGCGACCCGACGTCTGGCCACAGATGAGTAAGGAAATTGGTGTCATTATGCTCCCCGGGGAACTTTATTATTCATGCTTTGCTTGTTAAAGCTGCTAAAGCTTGCTTCCAAGGGCTCCAAGGGCTTGAAGATCCCCCTTCAGGTACTTGGTATTGTACCACCTGCAACCACCTGCACCACCCACCACACCCTACCTAAACAACCCCACCCCCTCCCCCTTCCCAGTTTCCAGTCTAGCGCATGAGAAGGTCCTGTCAAACACCTCTGAAATCACTTCAGTCAATCAATCCATTCATCAATTCGTCCACTCTCATTCGAGATCCCTTCCCATCCGACCGTTCCAATTCGATCCCGTATCTTTTCTCCTCTTTCACTCTTTTTTCTCCCTCACACTCTTTTTTTCCCTTCTCAAGTAATGGTTTAGCTTTTCGCTCATATTCACATATCGAAAGGTGTTTATATGGCGCGATAAGAAAACCAACCAGTCGACTAGTTTTCACTATCCATTTTCCCCTGCTCTCATTGTACTGTTGATTCCTCTCACTCATAGATTATTTCCTGGTTCGTTCATTACCTGGCAACGAATACCTTAGGTCCGCTTTCGCTTTCGAAGCAATCAGGTTCACTTAGTCCTTTAATTCAAAGAAGCGTATTCGAAGAACTAAAAAAAAGTGACGAACTTGAAGAAAAATAATAATAAATCATAACGACCAGAAACCTTTACATTCCCTCCTTTTTTTATATATAAAAAAAAAGCAAAAAAAAAGCAAAAAAAAAGAAATTCAATACACGAAAATCGTCAATCTGTCACTCCCTTGGATCCCCCCAATACGACAACATCTGATACGCTAAGCAAGGAGCGGTGCAAGCAGTATTTCCAGAAGACCCTCCCCTACTACGCCAGCTTTGACCAAGCCTGACCCGCCCCCCCAGCATATTGGTTCTCATTAACAACCCCCTTGTTTCTTTTAATCATCCCAAACTATCCTATTAATCCATTCTCTTCCTGCTCATTTCCCGTCTTTGACCCTCTGCATATTATCTATCCTATTTATTCTATCTTGGTGGATTTTCGACGGCTCTTTTGGACATCACCGTCTAGTGTCAGCGTATCAAGTAGTTATCTTGACAACCACCCGAACCGCTTGCGCTCTATATCGACGGTTCCCGCCAAACTGAATGCACCCGTACGTCAGCATAGCTCTTCAATAGAGCTGTTAAAGAGGATATAGTGACTGTACGAGAGGAGGTAGTCGTATCTCTCTCATTCAGTAGGGTTAAAAGCAAAGAGCTATTAATAAACTAGCCATCGATATCGAACAAGAACGCAGGAAATGGTCAATATGACGGTTGCACATGATTCCCTCCGGGGGTCTTCGATACCTCAAGCGAACAAGCTACCCCTAGAGGATCGATTTGAAGTTCTAAAGGAAATCGGTGATGGAAGCTTTGGTAGTGTGGTTCTGGCCAGGGTTAGGACTGCTGGCGCGAGCGTGGCTCGTCGCGGCACTGTAGTATGTTTCGGTGAATAAGTATATCGAGTCAGGCGGTGGGCTAACTATACATCTATAGGTTGCTATCAAGACTATGAAGAAGACCTTCGAGTCCTTCACGCCGTGTCTTGAGCTTCGAGAGGTTGTTTTCTTAAGAACATTACCACCGCACAGTCATTTAGTTCCTGCTCTTGACATCTTTCTCGACCCATTCACCAAGAAACTCCACATATGTATGGAGTATATGGAAGGAAACCTATATCAGCTGATGAAGGCCCGCGATCACAAGTGCCTCGACAACGCAAGTGTGAAAAGCATCTTGTTTCAGATCATGCAAGGTCTCGAGCATATCCACGCCCACCAATTTTTCCATCGAGATATCAAACCTGAGAACATTCTCGTCACAACATCTGGACATCAAGACTCGGTGAACTCGTTTAGGAGGTATTCGGCATTGATGACGCCGCCTTCCACGCCTCCGGCATATACTGTAAAGATTGCCGATTTCGGTCTGGCGAGAGAGACGCATTCCAAATTACCTTACACCACCTATGTGTCGACACGATGGTACCGTGCCCCGGAGGTACTACTACGAGCCGGCGAATATTCCGCACCTGTAGATATCTGGGCCGTCGGTGCCATGGCAGTCGAGATTGCGACCTTGAAGCCTCTTTTCCCGGGAGGGAACGAAGTCGACCAGGTTTGGAGGGTTTGTGAGATTATGGGCAGTCCCGGGAACTGGTACAATAAGGCGGGCGCTCGAGTAGGTGGAGGAGACTGGAGAGAAGGAACACGATTGGCTGGAAAGCTTGGGTTTTCTTTCCCGAAGATGGCACCGCACTCAATGGATACGATACTACAGTCACCACAGTGGCCTGCATCTCTCAGCCAGTTTGTAACTTGGTGTTTGATGTGGGATCCTAAGAACCGACCGACGTCGACCCAGGCATTGGCTCACGAATATTTCCAAGATGCAGTCGATCCTCTGCGACCTAAATCCTCGGCGTCGAGGATACTAGGTCGGAAGCAATCCGACATAAGCCGCGGAAAAGACACCACCTCCGGGACGCCAACTTCATCGAAACCTTCATGGTTTAGAAAGTCGCTAATCGGCCGCAACGATTCCACCGAGAACTCGCCTGCACCCATCAGCGTGAAGGATATCGTCGCGGCTCCGCGCCCATCGCCAATTCACTCACCCGAAACCTTGGAAGTTCCCTCAGCCAAACCGAAACCTGCTGCTAGTAAGCGCACTACGTGGACTAATGGACCATCGAATGTTGCTCCTATGCCGATTTTGCCTACGATTCGACCTATCTCGCCCCTGTCTGATGCGGTAACTGCCCAGGCGTCAAGTCGCACTCCTTCGTATAATGATCTATATGCTAATATAAACGATAAGTCGAAGAAGATTGGTCGCCAGCTCTCGGTAGCTTCAAGTACAAACCATTATACAGAAATGCACCGACAACAAGCCGAGCGGGCTCTGAATGGCAACAGCGGGTTGGCATCCCCTCCAAGCGGACATAAAGAAAGCTTTTTTTCTCATCTACGCAAACGGGCAAGACGATTCTCCGGTAGGCATCAAACTCCTGTTTCGCCTTCGTACGAAGACCTCGAGGCACAGGCGGGCTGTGGGCCTTGGTCTAGTAACAGGTCCTCAATGGTTATTGACCAAAACGGATCTGCGGCGAAGGTGGATAATTATGAATCGTTGGATCGAACATTGCGCGACGCTCATCCCGCATTAAGTACTCCCGCCCCGCCTATTCATATGACTGCGTCGAGCGGAAACTTGAAGCGGCACCATTCTTTACCTCACCAGCAGCCCAGATCTGTTGATAACCTCATTGGCGTTGCTCGCACTCCTGGACCAATTTCTAGCCGAACGAGGAGGGCGCAAGCAACTTATGGCGTACAAAGTGATGCCTTAGACGAGGAAGACGAGTTGTTAGATGAAGCACTTCACTCTACCCACAAGGCTATGAAACGACTCGAAAAGGAGGGGAAAGCAGCCAACCTTCGGCAATCGGTTAGTAATGTTGGACTCTCAAATCCGTATCCAACACCATCGCCGTCGGCTAGTGGAAATGCTGTCCTTTTTGGGGATGGCCAGGAGTCGGTAGCACCTAAACCATTGGACCAACATAAGAATTCGGAACAAGACGCCCAACAAAAATGGCCCACGCCTCCATACGAAGAAGGCGAGTGGGCGTCTTCGGCAGCTGCTAGCATCTGGGCTGCTGGTAACAGATTCTAAACATTTCGATTGGCATTGGTTGTTTCACATGTTCCTCATGGCACGGTGTTCAGGAGTTTATTGCCAGGTTCGACGGAGTCTTAGGGCATTATATTTTGCAGCACTCATTTTCTAGCATACTTTCCCATCTTGGCTCGATTTGCGTACGTCGATCTGGAGCCCGGATTGGACATTTTGGCCAGTCGACCCTGCTCGATCCTGCGATGTAACAATCTCGAATCTCAAATACCCCCCAGCGGCTGGTTTATGGTTAAGGCCAGCTCATTTTGTGTTTTCGCCCTACTTATATTCGAGAATACCCACTATAGATTTGATTTTTTTGCAAGGTTCAAAAAGGGCATGGACCCAGCAAGAGATGATTTCCTTTGTTGGACGTGGGTGGCCTCAAGCGCGATTACTTCGTTGCATCTGACGGCGAAAAAAAAAGAAAAGAAAAAATAAGATAATTTAGGGACACATGTGGTTGTGATTACTGGGGCATACCTCAGACGGGATCGGCAACCACACCAACTGTACAAAGTAGAAAAAAAATCTGCATATGTTATTTCTGGTGTTTTGGGGGGTAGTTCGACCTGGAAGAATTTAACTTGTGTTCTAGAGATGTGTGTGGAGGTTTGCAACCCCTGATAGTTTGTCATATACGGTACGGCAACCGGAGGACAGGTATATAATGCAGCACTATTTATAACTTAACACTGGGCGATAGTGTTAGTTCTCAATCAATTCTCAAAAAGAGTCCTCTCTCTCTTTATATGGAGTAACTATTCAGGCTACCTTAGGTACCTAACTTACGCATTAGATTTTATCATCCTCGCGGTGCTAACTTAGTATATTTGGGATTAATACCACGTAACTTACTTTACCTTCTAGTTACCTCTTACCTCTTACCTCTTAATAAGTAATAAGATGTGATAAAGCAGTATACGCGCATATGTCAAGTTACATGCTACCTTTAGCGAACTTAGTATGGACCTACCAAGCTCTAGGATGGAAGCTGATTGGTGTGTAGGAACTCAGGAACAGCCCCTCTGCAGCTCTGCAGCCCTAAAGCTGATACATCGGTACAATACCTGTTTCCTTTTAACTCGGAATAGGTCCTATGTAAAAGCATGCCATCCATGTAGTTAGTAGCTTCGGTTCAGGCAGCAGAATAAAAGAGAAATCAACTCCGTATTTATGGGCAACTTCTCTCTCCTCCTCTTTCTTCTCTTAAGAGTTCTCAAAATTTCAATGCTCACAGACTTTTTTTTTTTCAGCAGAAAAAAAAAGATAATCTCGAAATTGAATGCTTAAGATACCTCTCTTTTTTTATACTAGACAGATCTGGTTAAATGCCGAGTCTTGTCTAGTACATTAGGAGAGGTCAGCCCCCGCAAGTTGCATACTAAGAAGTCTTGAGCGGCTGTGCGACGGCTGTGACTCCACGCTTCAACTTTACGATTATATTCTATTTTAATCCCCCCTTTTAATTTATTCTTTACTGCCATGGTACTTATATTTTAACTTTTCTGATCCTCAGTCTATTTGTGCTGTTCCAGATACCTACCTAGGTAGCTTTAACGTCGATTCCATCTTACGGACCTCCCTCCCTTGTCGCAAGTCTTTCCCCCGATAAGGCGTATACGCCAAGACGACAAGACCAACCACAAATATTGGGGGCCGCCCTATATATTGAACCATTGATATACACACGTATGAGTGTGACTCGAAGCTGACAAACTCGAAAAAAAGTAATACAATAAAAAAATAATAAAGAGCGGCAATAATGAATTTCAATTTACCAATTCGATCGTCCCCGAGTCCGAGGAATCAAGCTAGTAGAAACTACTTCACTAATTATACGCCGCCGGCATCAGCAGAAGCTGTCAATGGTCCGGTGCGTGAACCCGCTCGGGAGCTCCTGACTATAAATGATCGCCTCATTGTCGGGGTTGACTTCGGTACCACATTTTCTGGGTGAGTAAAGCTTCTACTATTGCAATTCTTCACATATCTTTCGGAAGTCCGGCATAGCATGAGCCTACTTTTATTTTTAAGATTATATAGTTTCCCAGATATGTCACATTGAACACATGGACAACGATAATCTATGTAGCTACAGCATACTAACTAGGATATAGAGTAGCGGCTGTATACACCTCAACGCCAGATGATATCGAGATCATCAAGACGTGGCCGGGAGGGAACGGCATCACGTCTGACAAAGTTCCCACTGAGATCTCATACGACTTCCCGCCCAACGCGCCGGCGGGGACAAGTCCCAACGTAAAATGGGGATTCCAGTTTAAGCCCGAGGAGTCGAGGTTAAGATGCATCAAGCTGTTCCTCGACCGGTCCCAGAAGCTGCCGTTCTACGTCAGCCCGCAGGAGACCGCCACGCTGCTGAAGAAGTACAATAAAACGGTCGTCGACGCCGTTAGCGATTATCTGACTGAGATCTATAAGCACACGATGAGCACCTTAACCCGGCGGTACGGAGAGTCGTTTATGGCGTCGACGAATGTGGACTTCGTACTCACCTGCCCGGCCGTATGGTCTGACGCGGCGAAAAATACAACGTTACAAGCTGCTGAAAGGGCTGGGATGGGCGTCAAATCGGAGATTCAGATGGTCAGCGAGCCGGAAGCTGCTGCTGTCTACACTCTGAAAGCCATCCAGCCCAACCATCTCAACGTGGGAGACAATTTCATCGTGTGCGATGCGGGTGGTGGGACAGTGGAGTTAGTGCTTTTATGACCCTTCAACACTCACAGAAACCATATCTAACTTGTACAGTTTAATCGCATATAAAATCATATCACTAAAGCCTCTAAGAGTTGAAGAGTCAGCTGTCGGAACCGGCGGTCTCTGTGGAAGCGCATTTCTAAACTACAGATTTGAGGAACACGTCCGAGGACGGCTCGGCCATAGCCAGTTCGAGGAGATGAAATTAAAGAAGGCCAAGACTTGGCAGATGGGCCTTCGGTACTTCGAGGAGTTCGTCAAGAGGAATTTCAACGAAGACGAGTATCAAGAGGTCAACGTTCCGTACGTCTCATCCGCCCCTAATATATTCCCACATTTTACTCTTCAAGGATAATCACTCACACATGCTCCGTAGATTCCCAGGTCTGCCTGACGATGAAGAAGCACGAGTAGACTCGGGTTTCCTCGTTTTAACGGCCGAAGAGATTAAAGAAATCTTCGAGCCTGTGGTAAAGGAAGTCTGCGACCTCGTCCAAGGTCAAGTAGACGTTATCCGCGGCAAGGGAGGCATCGTTTCGGGCATCATATTAGTCGGTGGCTTCGGCCAGAGCGACTACCTCTACCGACGCCTCAAGTCGCATTTTACAAGCACGGCACCCCCTCCTTACACAGAACGACCAACACACGCCACGACCAGCCTAGCATACGAAGGGAATGGCAATATCGAAGTGATGCAGCCCGTGTATGCGTGGACAGCGGTGGTTCGCGGAGCCGTACTACGCGGGCTCGAAGGGAATATGGTTATTAGCAGGAAAGCCCGCATGCACTACGGAACATCCTACGCGACCGTTTACGACAAAGATAAACACGACGTGAGCGAGAGGTATTGGAGTCCGTTGTGGGAACGGTGGATGGTCAGCGACCGGATGCAATGGCATATCGCAAAGGTAAGTCGTCGACCAGGGTCGGATATCTCCCCGCCTCCCTCCCCCCTATTTCCCCCTTTCTTTCGACCTTTCTTTGGTACTTCAACTTTCTTTATTACGAATATATCATTCATCACTTTGAAAATAATCATAATTCTCTAACCTAACCTTACCTATTACAGGGCGAAGCGATATCCCCGCTGTCGCCGATCGCCTTCCACTACACGCGCAACTTCCGGCCGGGGCAGTCGCTGGTGGTGACGGACGACCTGATCGCGTGCGAGGCGGACGAGCCGCCGGCGGCGTACTCGCGGGACCAGCTGGTGCACGTGTGCACGCTGACGACGGACCTGAGCGCGGTGCCGCACAGCCTGTTCACGCGGCTCACGACCACGCGCGGCGTCGAGTTCGACAACCTCGACTTCACCCTCGAGATGATCGTCGACAGCGCGGGGCTCGGGTTCGAACTGAAGGTCGACGGGGTTAGGTACGGGCGCGTCGAGGCCGAGTTTCACTGATTTCGCGGCGCTGCTTGTTTGCGCTACCTACCTACCTATCTTAAGTACCTAACCTAGGTTAGGTTAGGTATTCATAACGGCGTTGATAGCTCTTGGCTCTTCGGAGCGCAGAATTGCATTGGAAAGAAAGCAAGCGAGCGAGCGAGCGAAGAGTAGGAATTGATTCATTGATTGGTAGATAGGTAGATGAACTTTTGGATTGGATATATATAACTTGAACCGAAAACGAAGGATATGCTTGTTACGTCAGGGGAGGGAAGAGGAAAGGGGAGAGCGAGAGCTGGACACTGGTACATACATACATACCTAACCTACCTAAACATAGTAGGACCCCCATTTGAGTTTAAAGGGGGCGCTTCGGGTCGAGCCGAGGTTACACTGCTTCCGATGGTGTGGGAGGTTGTGGGAGGCGTGTGAACTAGTCGGTCGTATGTGCCGTTGGGTACCTGGTATACTTGTTATATATCGTTGGCGTGCCGTGTTGGGTCTTGTGTTTACTCGATTATGTTATACATGTACTGTGTACAGTATACTAAGATGTCTGTACAATAGGTTAGCTAGTGGACACGCGGGTTTATATTGACTAGGTACCTAACCTAGGGGGCCATGTGATGTATGTATGTATGTATTATTGGAAGAGTCCGTAGCTATCTCCTAGCCTACAGTAGGAAGAGACGTCGTAAGCTCAGAACAAGGGACGTGTAAGATAGGTACCTAGGTAACTACCTACATATCTAAATCAGCGACTAACCAACCAGCCAGCAATGCATGAAACGGATTCTTTACTGCTTATTGTTATGCATCTGTCTGGTCCTTTTTTTTTTTTTTCACTAGGCCCGACTTATATGAGAGAATAAGAGGGGCATTGTCCTAGAAAGAGCGGGATTGGGGATTCGACGAATCACAACGCACGTAGGACAATCTCGAATAGACGATGTCCTAACAAGCCGGGCGTAACGAGGAGAGAGAGAAAGAGAGAGATTAAAAAAAGAGGGTTTTTTAAATAAAAAAAAAAAATCAGGCAACAATAGAACCCACCAACCAACGACCACCGATACCCTATCAGACTATCGGATTGGGTAATAAACGGTTGCCTTGTCCTTGATTGTCCTGGGTCGATGCAGTCAGCGAAGCGACCGCATGCCCTGCCCTGCCCTGGTCTGGTCTGGTTTTTACTTTCCGTTGCAGATACCTACCTAAGGTAAGTGGATGATGAATGGTTGGTTGGTTGGTTGGTTAGGTGAGTTTTTGTCTACTTGGACTTTTGCGTACCTACCTACGACGCAAATCGCATAAGTTTATGTGAATTCCGCAGTTGTTAAGATCCATCTATACCTTAGGTAGGTACCTCCTAAGGCTAGGTAGGTAAGCAGTATGGACAGTAGACGATGTATATACCGCTTACTGCTTCTTCCAACCCGAAAAAAAAACAGTTGGTTGTCCTGTTTTTTTTTCTTGATCGACAATGGACGTTGTCCTTGAAGGCATGTCCTAGTTCTAGTCTTCTACTATAATTGGTGCAGGAGGGGGGGCTGGGTTAACTACCTACCTACCTAACCTAACCTACTCTCCCAAGCTGAGCTTTAGATATGTAGGCTAGGTAGGTAGGTATATATGGGGGGGTAATACACGAAAAGCGACGGGTAGAAGGGAAGTCAGAGTGAATATATATATATAAGTCTGAAAGTCCCTTTGATAATAGAGCTATGTACCTGAGGAATATAACATCTGGCTCCGTCGAAAGCGAATGATTGTTCCGGACGTGCGACGCCGCCTGCCACCCTGAGTACTATGTATACGATAGTTCTATACCAATGCATAAGTACCTCTACCATCATGACGCGGAACAAGATATTTACGTTTCCTCTCTCCGTCTCTTCTTTTCTTCTTCCCAATATATACTGTATAAAAAATTTCTACGTCTCGTCTTAGATTCGCCGATGGAAAGTAGACGAGTGAGCTACTGGTTGGTTAGGAAATTTTTAACTGGGCGGTCAAGTGATGGGGGCAGCGAGGCGAAGCTCCCGCTACGCCACCACGAGCATACGCAAAATTCACTCAAGGCACGGCAAAGTTGCGGTGAGATGAGCAAAACAGAAAGAGATTTTCATTATAATCATTAATAAGAAAAATAATAAAAGAAAACCCTAAAGAAAATTCCGAGTGGTATATTTGTCCCTCCGCCCCCTCCCCCTTGTTTGCATCCTCATTGTCAACCTTATTTCGACGACATCCATCCCTCCAAGGTATCATATCATAGTTGTGATCATCATGAGAGTCATTACTCGTCTCTTTCATATATCCATCCAGTTTCCAGTTCATTTGAAACATATTCAAAACGCCTCTGGCTTACAAAATAGCGCAATGGCCTCCCTGTTCACCTTAGGTGTCAAAAATTCGTGACATCGTTAGACGAGAATAAGTCGCTTCCACCAAACAAAAAAAAAAGAGAGAGAGAGAGAGAGAATACGTTTCCACCCCGGTATCCCCATAGCTGTTCAAGTACGTGTACAAACAGCGCGCCGTCCGCCTGTCCGCACTAGCTAAACGGTGTATGTGGTATGCGAGGTGCATGTCCTAGACGCGAGGCTCGGCTCTGGGGTTGGCCAAGCTTCGGAACCTTCCGACCAAGCCTCCTTGCATATGGTGCCTTGTGTTGCATCGGGACGACGCAAGCATAATTTAGACAAGGCAACCTGGGGGCCGTAAGGCTGGAAGCAATGCGCGATCCTGCCTTGCCGATCCCTCATGCATCATGCAGTGAAAGGAGGCTACCGATCTCGCATTCGTCCGCCACGTATAGCGTATATAAGATATCAGAAGACCCGTCCCCCCTTCTAGGGGTAGGGCTGTCGCTTGTTAAGTGTAGGAAGAAAATCAAAATAAGAGACCATAGCAGGGAAATAACATGGGGAAAAGAAAATCGAAACATAAAATTCGGCCAGATCTAAGCTGGCATCGAAACCGAAGAGCTGGGATCTCAACAAGGTTAAGATGTGGGTGTATGCTGCATATCGGGTCGGTCGTCCGCAGGCAATAGCGGTGGTGGTTCGCGGACCATTTTGGGGACATGCCCGCCACGCTAATAACCCCCCATGTCTCCCTCCTCACTTCATTACTTCGAACGATGACTCGGTTTGTCTCGATTTCCCTTCCCTTTGTGTGCTTTCTCTTTCTTCCGTCGCCTTTCTTCCTTATCATTGTCTACGAAGACCATCTCTGAGCGTCGCTGCCGTTCTTGCCTCTCCGGCGGCACAAAGTCACGTCGCTGGATATGCCTCATCTCTTCAATAGGGCACGGAACGTCGTTCCATCTCTTGAGGTAATGGTAGGTAGTCGTCGCGACCAGCCCATTTTTGCCCAGGTGTTCAATCATATAGAAGTCGGGGCGTATATCATGGACTGATTTACCATCTAAGAAGTGCTCGTAGATATGGTTCATCCTCAGATCGAAATTATAGCGTTGGTCGCCCCCAATATTAGGCGTGTTGCAATCAAAACGCCATGTATCGCAGAACCAGCACGCAACTATGGAAGGCAACTTGTTTCCAAGGTGGTCAGTGATCACATGCTCGGTCCAAGCATCGACTTCGTTGAAGCTGAAAGTTTCGTTGCAGCCAAGCCCGATAAACTCGCAGGGTAGACGCATCGGGGCCAGGTCCTGAAGCGTGTTCTGAGGGTTTTCGACAGCTGTATACCGAGTAGCTGTCGTGCAATAGCTACGCACTGATCCACCAGCTGAGAACGTGTCGTCATATTGGGAGCTTCCCGCGTAAGATCCATAGCCGGATCTTCCCCCAGACATGTTGCTTGGTGAGCAATTGAAGGGGTTGGGGAGGCGGTTTGGTGTGATTGGTCGTCGTTGACGATGTTAGGGCGAACTAGGGGGATACAACTAATGAAAAAAAAGGCGGGACAGCGACTAAAACCCTGCCCTCGATTATCGCTTTTATTTTACGAGACGAAATAATCACCTATCAAATATGATAGAGTACGATGGTCGGTGGAATTGTGCGTGCCAGGGAAATTTGCCGGCGGTCTCGAAGAGGTTTCGTTTAAGCTATACTTATATCGACGATGGTATATAAGCTCTTGGATCCTTGGAACCCCCTTACTCGGTGATAATGGAAGTGGTAACTTGGGATGAAGAATGTGTTACACAAACGTTGGCTATCATCGACTTGCTTTTTTTTTTCGACCATGCAGACATACAGTTCCCATATGTAAAGCTCGGAACTGGACTGGCATGGCCCACTTTGCTGCAGATGCTGATTTGCAACAATTGTGGCGGCCCCAAGTCCCAAGTGAGATGGTGAATTTGAAGGGGGGTAGAGGGGGTGAGCAACTTGGATTCGGAAATTCGGCGTAAGATGGATCTTGGTCCTGTGTAAGTTCAATATTTCTTAATTGAGATCTAGAAGGCTTGTCCAAAACCATGAGTCTCAAAGAAAAACAGGATAAGGGGCTTCTTGGATTATTATTCTCTTGAAATATCAATCTGATGAACCAGAGCATTTAGTGTTTACCGGCAGGGATAATAATATGACTTACCACACCCAGAACGAATGATCACCTTTCAATCAGGATCCGGGGTGTTGGTGCCCACCACCGACTGTTTCTAGGTGTACATTCAACCCTCCAGAGCTGCATGACAAGCTCCCACACCCACCCTGGGCCACGCACATAATGCAGCTACGCTACCTGGAGACGTGGATATCTTTGATCGGATGGCAGTAACGCCATTGACTCAGTATGAGGTATACTTAAAACCATCACTATCCGAAAACCGATCCGAAGATCGGCAATGCTGCCGGAAGCAGCATGCCAAAAGCGTTTACAGCAATGAGTTTCATATTCATTGCTTGTTATGATTCTAGGCCACTCATCGAAGCCATACTGAGGAGAGGGGGATAGCCTCCTGAGATCTGAATGGTTCACAAGAGATTTCCGTGCCAATCATGATCCCCTGAGTTACAAAGTGGGTTATCGTGGGGGAGAGGTCAGCTGTGCACAAACAAGTCGTTATAGATGCAGAAGAGCCGCGCAGACGATTCGTCATCTCTTTATCATGACGGCGAGGCGCTTTTCTCGCGGTATCAGCAGTCATACGCTGTTATTACTCGTTCTATCTCGAATTGACCAGCTCGAGTTTGGTAGGGAACCAATATACCTTGTCCAAGGTCCACTCACAAAGTCTCGAGCATTGCCTGATAGCATTAGCACCGAATGTCTGATTTCTAAACTATTTGACACCTGCGCAGCATCGTGTAGGTTGCGGTTTTCATAAGCCTGCCAAGCTATGATTTCTTTCTTTCGCAGAGCGGGTCAATGTCACACCAGTTGGCATGATTGGTCTTGATGGTCCATCATGTTGAATCCCTTCTCGTCTGTAGCTTACCTTCATGCTTGTGTTGTCAATTAGCGCATAGATGGATAAGACTAGCGTGTGATTCGGGCTTCTTCAAGATAAACCTCGGGTCAGCCAATGTTATGCACTTGCCTCGAGGCCTTATATATTAGCTTTGGACAGCTTTCTGTATCTTCTGCTGGCTTCCTCTCGTACATTGGACCATTGGCCCACATAAGTTTAAATGCCAAGGCATTTGATCAGGGAGTTAATATGTCTAGGAAGCGGAACAGTATTCCGTGTATCACAGATGCAGATCCGGTGGTCAGACAGACGCAATAGTAAAAGAGGCAACTCGCTTGGTTAGTTATCTGCGAGACCGGGGAACGGGATCGAGTAGGTGGTTTGCTCTCATAGGCTTCTTTTTTCTTAGGTGAGAAAATCATAAACTTCCTATAGCAGTGAACCTGGAACGAGGTTTACGATGTCTCCTAGACTTGGATGATATGTGTGGTAGGTGAGAGGTGATAGGTGTGCAAGGCCGTGCATACTACCAGGTATGTACGTTGCATGAGTCGAATCGCGGGTACCCATACACCCAGCGATTTGCCCCAATAGGTTCGATTGGTTTGGTTGACAAGTCAGTGAGGAGAGTTGAATCGGCAAAAAATTTCGGCCGCAGAGCCTCAATTTTGCCACCCGATGCATCCCGTTTTCCCTAGTTCTTCGTTTGAACCCCTCCTAATTCCCTGCCCCTGCCCTTGGGACGTGTCGTGTATATTTAGGATGATGATAATGCAGCTCCTAATTGGCTCAGGTTTCAACACGCCTATTGCGTGTCCCATTTTACCGTTCCGTATATGTCGTACGCATTCGAGTTCCGATATAGAGTTAGATCGTATAGGGAAAACATGGGGCACGACGTCTAGAATATGTCATCTTAAGAATTCGGGGCGAGTCGAGTTACCTATCTCGATCAAAATGTTTAAGTCACCGCCTTTTAGTCCGTCTCGGGTTTTGGTCTGGGTGAGATGAGTCGCTTCCGCTTCATTCGGGATTGCAAAGCACCCTAGCCTTTGCCACGACGTTTTTGAAATGCGGATGGTCGCCGTTCTCATCCCCCGTCTTGATAATTCCGGGGAACGTTACACAGCATATTTCACGTCCAGCCAAGTTGTCTTCGTCTTCAGCCCCAATGTCCTCCATAGTAGATGCTTCAAACAAGGTCCTTTGGTGAGGGTAGATCTTGGGCATGTAAACCTTGAATGTCGCCTTTTGCACTACCAACAAGCGTGCTAACTCAACCGAGTTATGTACCAGCGCGCGAAGCGCATTATCCCGTGCTTCCGTTGCGCTGGCATCTGTAATCGTATCTAAAATGTGATTGATCCTTGAAACGACGGACTCAATCACTAGCGTCATCTCTTCCTGCATCCGCGGGGTGGCCTCCTTTCGGAGTATAGTGAGTGTTGTCGCACGCCATTGGTTCACAGCTTCGATTGAGCCTACCAAAACGTCAGCTGTCATCCCCAAGGCGAGCCCAAAAAAAAAACTTATGGGCACCTACTAATCGACCTAAGATAATTCTCTATTTGGGTTAATTGGCGAGTTTGATCTTCAGGAAGACCAACAAAATAAGACTCGAAAACAGTCTCCACTAAGATGCTGGATACCACGTTCTGAAGGAGGTGCACTTTTGCTGATACTGCGACCTGCTCGTACATAGGAACAAGTTCTGCAAGATCGCGGATGGCCGCCTCGTCAGCATGCGTGAAATCTACTCCTCCGTTAGTTAATCTTCTGTTCGGTGCGCACATATAGTCAGTCGTTGAGCCATCCTACCAAGCTTCGCTCGCCTAAAGTGTACAATAACCCAATTCTGCAAGCCGTTCCCGAGCTTCGCCATAGAGTCTCCGAACTCTTCGTCGCTCGTCTGATGGCCTCTGGCCGTATTGGTGCTGACCCACTGTTTGAGTCCGGATATGTGGCCCTTCAAAGACCGTATTTCGTCGTCGCGTTCCTTGATCTCCTTTCGCAGACGGTCCCATCCTTCGCGCAACTCGGCTCGCTCAGCTTCTCTTACATCGACCTCGGCTCGCAGTAATTGAAGCTCAGTTTCGGTTCGTACGAGTTTCGCTTGCCAGAAGCTAGCCGTCTCGCCTTCTTTTTGAGAGAGCCTATCCAGTTCTCGCGTGAACTCGGCTTCCATCACTGTAAGTTCCCGTTTCAATTCGGCGATCTTGTCATCTTTTTCCTTGAGGAGGATGCTCTCCTTTTCTTTCGCGGCCAATGAGGAGATATTATCCTTGGTTCCGGAACTCGTGACATCTTGATTACTCTCGTTATCCGGACCGGGCGAAGACGAAGTTGAGGCTGCACGAGTAAGCTGTGCACGAGGAGGAGGAGATATTATACTGTTTCGTGACGAGGTGGAAGAACGGATGGAATGGGAATTGCCCCGCCGTTTCTCTGGTGGACTCATAGTGTGAAAATAGTAGAGTTGCGCGTAGAGTTGCGCGCGGGGCGTTGCAGGACAAATTCTACATCGGCAAAATTGGTTGTAAAAGGATGCATTTTTTTCGGTGCCTAAGCCAGCTAACGCGACTTACATGCCAATCCACATCAGCATGGAAGTTGCCAATACGGAAAGAACAGAGGAGGTGAGGTAACTTGAGGCTGTGCGAGTTGCGTAACGGCTTAAGTTCGGGTACACAGCCAGTACCTACAATACTTCAGTACAATACCTACTGCAGTACAAAACCGCGGTACAATGCAATACAATTTAGGTACCTGGCAGCTCTCTTACACCCAGACTGAAGTCCTGACTATTAGGTAGGTATATCAAGTTCAACTTTCTTATAGCGTCAAATGCATTTACTTCAGATACATATATGCACTTTTTTTTTTTCGTTACTTTTTCAAATAACAAAGAAAAAAAAATATTGACATGCAGGCATCAAGGGCTGATCATCATTATCATAATCATCAACAAGTTAGGTCAATTTCCGCTTCAACTTCGTACGCCTCATCACCGTCTTCTTGCTTCTTCGCGCCCATCTTACATATCGCAATCTTTTCTACCGGGACATCCTCCATCCATACGTGGTCGTGATAACGGTCTAGGATGTCCCTTGCGTCGATTGTCAGCTTCTCGGACCGCTTCCCGCTTTTGCGACTGCGCCCCTTGACGTATATCGTGTTCATAATCGTAGCATGCAGTAGCAAGGGGCGGTTCTCTTCTGCCATCAGTCCCGCTTCCTGGAAGGCCGACCGTAAGCTTTCGCAGAATTTGAACAGAGTGCCTTCGGTATCGACCGGCGGAGCGTAGAGCACCGACGCCTTAGACGCCGGTTGCATTGAATGTAGACCTTTCAGTGTTACAGACAGCAAAGGGGGTGGCGGTCCAGTTGGTTCTTGAGCTGGGCGTTCCGTGGATTTTAATGATTCAGCCGCCTTGATGCTTGCCATCATCTTCCTCGGCACTAGCGTCTTTAAAAGCGCCACTGCTTTATCCAACCCATCGTCCTTCGGAAAGCTCATGACCCCAATTGTGAGGTGAAGTGTACCTAATGGTCGAATAGCTTGCTCTGGCACTGCGAAATTGTCTGGGCTTGTCACATCTGCGCTAAACGCTGACAGACTTGTTGAGAGCTGGTGGCGGGATGCCCCTGTAACAAGTGGTAAGCATAAGAAGTGTGTAGGTGATGGCCGTGGTGGCATATTGAATACGGCGCGGCGCTACTTAAGATCCTAGATAAAGGTGTAGTAAAAAAACAGATTCGATATAGCCGAGCCAAACAGATAGGAAGAAAGTGTTGAGGATCGGGTAGAATCCGAGCCTCATACGTAATAGTAATTTAGTGCATATAGTTTATTAGAATATATCCTCTCTAATTACATTGGCTGGGGAAATTAAACTTAAGGTAGCTTTCTCATATAAATAACTTTTTGATACATAAATTGAAGAGGAAGGAAAAAAAAAAAGGTTGGCTCTTTGGTATATAAAGTTTATTAAAACGAGATATAACGATAAGTCTAATTTTTTGGACATTAAAGGTACCTAACCTAGCCCCGTAGCTTAGGGAATCAGATGGCACGAATTCCATGTGCAAGCCATCAATTATTAGCGAGCCGTGGCATTGGCTGGTCTCTGTATTGTGTACAATTCAAGCGCAACCTAACATTTCACCTCGAGTCCACTCTTTTAAGTCAAGCAATCAATCGATCTCCCCTACAATACTACAATATTGAGATTGCATTGTACACTGTCTGAGATCGGTTGGCGGGAGATCTACATTGATCACGTCGGAAGAGATGATCCTACAGCAGACATAAAGAGGTGTATAACGAGTATGACGTAGAGAAGTACGTCAAGATGCGTTACTACATATTAAGTGCCAGGGAAATCCAAATCTACACGTGAGGAGGCGGTGACACTCTTTCCCAGGATATGGTAATATCCATCGTGTTGAAGAAGCAAGGCCGCGGGTGAAAAATATTGGTGTATTATAGGAGCGCGACTTGTCTGTCTGATCGTAAGAAGCTTCCGCTTTCTAAGACTAAACCTAGATGATCGTACAGTGTACTGTGCTCCGAGTTACGCGCATCAACCAATTGTCGGCGATAAAACCATCATACAAAGTAAACTGCTCTTTACCAGATGATCAAAGGTGTAAAAGTACGAGAGGATAGGCGTGGGGGTATATCTGAAGTCAACTGATGGGTCAGGTAGAATAATCGGCTGCTACTTCCTTTCCCTCTGAGAACTTGGAGCAGCCATCATTTCTTGTGATGCTCGAAGCCCCTTGACAACGGTCGCGCCCCATAGAATTGTCCATGTGGTGACCATAAGTCGCAAAGGCTGCCGGTAGCATACTACAATTCGAATTCAAAACTGTAAGAACTCATCCCGCGTCCGTCGACTAGGTAGAGTTGAAGAAATTCTTGAGCGTCTGCTCTACGTCAGCGTACTCCGCCTTGACCGTCTTGAGCGTTTCTGTGATTCGAGATAGACAGAGTGCCTCATCCTTCTCCGGGCTGCCGTCGAGGTTTTCCTTTTTTCCGTAGCGCTGGATCTTCTCGCAGCTGTCCTTAACTTTGGTTAAGCCGAGAGTCGCAGATGAGCCTTTCAAAAAATGACCGAGTCGGTATAACTCCTCAAGATTTTGCGCTTCTCTATAATTAAAGAGGCCATATTAGTTCTGATCGTGCATGAAGAGGGCTGCGGGGAATACCAGAGTTCATAAAGAACATCGTAGGTGGTGACCACAAGGGTAAAGCTTACAGAGCCGTATCCATTGCCTCGAACGTCTCCTCGGCCTGTTCGAAGAAACCAAAGACAATAGATTTACTAAATTCACGGTCGTCTTCACTGTCATCCATCTCTAGAATCTGACTGAAAGTCAAAATGTCGATGGAATCCCCCAGATCGGGCAGGTTGCCAGTATCATGACCGTCATCGTTCTGCGCAGGCAGATAGGGACCTCGTTAGTTACTTGTCCAAGGATTGTTCATTCATTTAGAACTATGTTTCCATTCATACCTGGTCGTTAGCAGCCATATTGCCAGGCTGTGCGATGAAAGGACTGGTCCTGGAAAACGGCGCCAGTCAGAGAAGTCGACGTCGGTCGTGACGAAAAAGATACCCTTTATGGGATGCGCCCGAACTCAAAAATGGAAAAAGGTAGCGGCGAAATGGGTGAAATAATGTCCTGGGAAGAGGGCCGTGTGGGTGGTCTGAAAAAAACCGCGGCGACTTTAACCACTCTAGTGTTGATAGAGGAATTGTTTAGGTGGGGTCTATCGGTAGGAAGTGATGGTGATGGGTAATGGTAACAAGATGGGTTGATGGGGCGGTAGGTCGCACAGTGTATACAGGTTTATTTGCTACTAGACTATTCGCTGCCCGTCGGCACCTATGCCGAATAATACGTTGGAATAGGTGATCTTTATTTTGAATCTGGCGGGCTGCTTGGGATGCCTAGGGATGCCTAGGGATGGGATGTCCACAAGTCCACACGTCCACACGCAATTCTAGGTGTGCAGATGGTACCTAGGTAATTTATATAGGCAATGTTAAGAGGTAGGTAATGTAAAGATGTAGGAAGTAGGTAGGGAGGTTAGGTTAAATTTGTCTGAACGGTACGCTGAAATACGTGTTCGTGCGGTAGTTTGGTGCTTAGATTACGGTTTCGGCGTATTGTACCTTAGTAGGGGTTCCGTCAAGGGTCTTTAAACAACGTCACCAATGCGGAACCTGTGCAATTAAGGTAGGGGCGCAACTTATTAGGTAGCTAGAGGTAGGTACCTACCAAATTATTGTAATAAAGCATGTGCAAGCTGTGCAAACTACCTAATGATTTAGAATTTACAAATGACCCCTCGCCATTACCTAACCTTAGGTAAGTACAACTTAAGGAGAGGAAGGGCCGAAGAGTCAAAGGAAGGAGGAAAAAATCAAAAGTACAACAATAGGTACGTCTTAGTGATACCTATCGGTGGAGTACATACCTCATGTACTAGGTAATCCATCTTCCACTCTAAAAATTCTTGGCTCCAACCATCGTCAAACCCAGTCTATTGGAAGCTACTGCTGCTACCAAAAAGGAGCCGAGCGAACTCAGGAGATGAACACTATGCCCTATCCGCCGTTGTACACTATCTGCGCTTGTCGGACTTACACGATAACGCATCTACCCTACAAGCCTACCTAATAAAGGTGAAAGACCCCATCAGGTCCTACGCGGGATGATGGGACGACAAGATAGGTTACGAAAGATTTGCTAAACTAACTTTACCGCTGCTTAGATATGTACTAGGTTAGGTACTTACTTAAGACCCCCTTAGCCGCCGAGTCCTTTTTTTTTTCTGTTCATCGTTTAAAAAAAGATGTTCAACATGGACGTGTATACTTCGTGACCGGCCAGCTCGATCCCTCTTGTGAAGCCAAATATTCGCCATCAACACAACCTATATACATAGTAGTCCGGTCAAAGAGAGATGGTTGGGGGAAGACGGGAAGCCTCATCAAGCTTCCCGCCAACCACTCAGCGCAATAAGCGTCGCTGGAATCTTCTATGATCGACGTCGACGCACCTCTTTCTATGTACAATATTGCATGCTGCCCCGGTCTACTTGCGTCTTCAGGGCACATTGGACCCCGGACCGCATAGTTGCGGCCCGCCAAGCTAATCCTATCAGTCTACGGGTGTTACTACCAGACTACCTAGAGTGTATTCTAGCGGTCTTGTGCCACTTGCCAAATCCCAGGTTATTGGCAATACACTACTTAAACGTGACGGAACCAGAAGCTATATTATAGTACATGGTGCCGGTGGCCCCCGAACACAATGTACCTAAGGTAGCGCTACAGGAGGTAGTTCGCAGTTCGCTACTACGGCGTGCTGCTTGCAAAAGTCGCAACCTCAAGTGTTACCATATCTGCGGGCAACGAGCTGCGTTCAATCTCGAGCACCGTTGGCTGCGGTACGTCAGCCAAACAACCTCCACCAAAGCGATAATAAATTTCGGCACATCTATTTGTTCTTCTCGGGTTAATGGAAAAGGCTTAAACAGCCTCAACGGATGCAAGGTGTGCAAGGTGGCGGTCCAGCATTAGGATCTGTAAGAAAAAAAAATCAGTGTGTGGTATCGTTAAGCCCCTCCATATCATCACGTCGCGCCCCCCTGCACCGAGGGGTTGGTCACGTTGTTTATTCTCGAAGCTTTTCCCGGGTCTCCACATGCATCTGATGTTAAAGTGGGGGCATCTATCGGGAAAACGTCATAAGTAATCCAGACCCTGGATTCCCGTGTGACGTGACACAACACAGTGCTACCCGCACTTTCAGCATTTGTCTATCTGTTAGTCCTATCTGTTACCCGCTTGCATGTTGCATACCTACCTCTTAGGTAACCTTAGGAGGTACTTTTTCTAAGGTACACACTAATTAATTACTAACAACGATTCAAGAAGCACCAGATAATGGATCTCTACTCGGCGGAGCTCCAAAAGCCGGATCCGGACATAGGCCGGCATACTACATGATACCTATTCTCAGTACTTCGTCACAATTTACTTGTGCATGATAGCCTTAACAAGTGCAAAAAGCGGATCATCTTTACGGTTCTTACGGTTTGGCCTAAAACCCATAAAAGGCAAAGAGGAGATCTACCTAGTTTTCAGTTCCCGCGATTCTCGGCTACCACCAATCTGTATTTAATATTGGAAATATTGGAAATAATATTTTCAATACTCCTCCGCGTACGACTCCTAGGACCTAGATTCATTGGCCAATACCTGATTTCGCACGGCATATTTCGAGATTTATAATAAGTTCGACCGGTGTATTACAAAAGAACCAGCAATGTTCCTCTCATAAGCATCTTACTTGTGGCACAAAACGTTGGTGGATAAAAGGACGAGTCTTTATTTGATATCATTTCTCAAAGACCCTTCATCTATCACACTAAATAAGGCCCGTTTTCACATTTTTGCGCAGAAAGCGGAGAGTTAGCTCGATCACTAGCACCAGGACCCGGGATATAATCTGCCTAGGGGGTAGTTCCTAGCGAGCTTCGGAGCAAGGTACCTAGTAAGTGGGAAAAAAAATATCTATTGCTGATCTTGAGAGCAGTTGTACTTTTTTTTCTTTTCATTCTCCTCTCACCCCCTCGAGTAACACGCCTTATTTAAAGGCCTCGAACGTACGTTGCCTGCATTTTTATGAGTAAGAAAATCCGGTTTTGGGCCCTGCCTTAAAGCTAGCTTACCTACCTAAGACAGCTGAGCAATTCTCTCTGCGGGTTGGCTTGAGGCACCAATTCGCGGCCTTCCCCGCACCAAGACTACAGTCCTCTTTATAAATGGTCAGGTTACAGGAGAAACATTACAAAAAGCAGGCAGGGAGTAAGCGAAGCGGGCGCATGTGCATGCAACGTTTGTACGTACCTAACTAATGCTTAGGTTAGGTACTTTCGTTAAGCGCTCGCACAAGATGTGGGAGAAAACTCCTCAAAAAACCGTCAAGTAACGGTCTTAACGGTATCTAGATTCCTAGACTGATTTTAAGGATTTCCCCGCCGTATACTTCGTAGCCGTTTTCTTAACATTCTGGGGCATTAGGGCATTAAACCAGGACAGCTTCATAATCAGATTACAGAACTTCCTGTGCTATTCTTAGCACTTATACATCCCATTTCCGACAGCCAAAAGGAGGTAAACCCCCCGTCGTAGAAGTAGCTTTTCAGCACAGCTGCAGTGCGACTCTTCTTAGACGTGAGAGCTGACTGCCAATATTACACCTCTCGCCTGCTTATAAAAATGACATGCAACGTAAATGTAATAATACCTAGCTTATTAGTTCCTCGTGTTCCCCGTAAAAACACAACATCGGGATTTGTCTTAGATCGTCAAAGCAACACCTTGGACGCCACAGTCAAGAGCCACGCGGCGTCTCGCCAACCGCCTTCATCTGACTTGGGAGGTGGAATTCGTTCCTCTGGAGCGTCTGAAATGCGTTCAAAGTTCGCCGTGCTCGCGCCGCGGGGGAGATGACTTCCCTCGGTCTCGCCGTCCGACACCTCGCCGTCGTCCTCGTCCGATTCCTCGTCGTTCTCTTCGACGGAGAACAGCGACCAGACCCAGGAGCCCAGCCCGTTGTTCTTGCTGTAGACCAGCTTCCGAACCGCCGCCTCGTCCGACTTGCTCGTGTCCGCCTCGATGGCCTCGAGCTTCTCGTCCAGCCCCACGAAATCCGGGCCTGGGATGTAGTCTTCCGACGGCACCTCGTGCCCGAAGTACCCGTCGTGCGGCGTGTGCCGCTCCACCGGCGTTCTTACTAGGCGGGCCCCGCTCGCCGCTCGGCTCTGGGACCGGCTGCCGAAGCGACTGCTCGGCGAAACGATATCGTCGTCTCCGCTTGCTATGCTGCCCCGACGACTGCTCCGCCTGCTCGCGAGTTCCCTCTCCCTAGCGAGTTCCCGCTCGTATGCCTCCTCCTCGACGTCGCGCATGCCGGTCAAGCTGGTCGAGCTCGCCCTCTCGGCGAGCCAGGCCTGGCCCTTGGACTCCCGCATCCGCGCGCTGATCAGGGCTCCCGTGCGCAGGATCCAGTCATCGTCCCGCTCTTTGCTGCTCGACGGCCCGTAAGACTGGGGGAGGGGTGGCGAGGCGCCCAGGCCGGGACGTTTCGCGTGGGACGCGACAAGGTGGGTTGTAGACTTGCTCTTGGGCAGGTTCGTCGCGCCCAGCGGATCGTGCATGGAGGAGCGGCGGCGGCGGCTGGGGGAGTTGGCTCGGGTCCGGGACGGAGATTGGAGCAGCCGTGGGGTCGTGGGCGCGGACTTGCCCTGCAGGTAGGAGACGTTGTAGTGGAACGGCGCGGCGCTGAAGTCGGGCAGGTCTTCGGGGTCGGTCAGGGGGAACTTGGACGTGAGGGGCGCGAGGGACAGGTGCTGCAGATTCGTAGAGGATCTGTTTTTCCGGCGCGCCTGGTTGGCATGTTGCTTGTACGCGGCGTCCATGACTTGTTATACTTATACGTGTATGCGTATATGTGTACCTAGGTATATATGTGTATATGTGTATATCCCTAATACAAAAAAGGGGGGTGAGGGTGGGGATGAAAGGTTAAATAATAATAATAAGTTGGGGAGAAATCTCTAAGTTCGCGAGTATAAAAGGTTAAAAGCCCCAATTCTTTGAGAACAGAAAATACACGCTAGAAAAGGTTCAAATAAGGGTCCAATTGGGATTATGTACAAATTCGTAGATCGAAGAATGAATAGAATTAGTCCTACAAAACATGATACCTTGCCCTGTTGGAGATGAAATTGTTCGACGATCCGGAGCACGCCGCTTTAAGCTAGGGGCGTTTACATAATTGATAACACGACAATGAAATATGAAGATAACCGCATCATTTGTCTATCCAGAATATAATCCGTATACCAGCAAAACGGACAGCGTCAAAATAGGTGGCGCACCTATTTAGAATACCAGAACCTCATTTTTTGATAATAGGTTTTACAGCCAGTACCAACAAGAATAAAATACATAAAAATATCTTTATAAACTTCAGCTCTTATATTTTATTCTTATGGTTTATCTATTTCTCCTTAACAGTATTTATTGCGGCATTGTATTTCTAAGTTCTAGGTAACACAGGTATTCAGTTGTTTCTGGTAGAGACCGATTTATTATTCCTCCAAATAAGCTTCAGCTTTCAATATTTCTTATCAAAAGCAAGTGCCGTGTAGAATCCGTAGTAAGAAGTTCGTCGAGCAAAACTCGAGCAGCTCTGCAATGTTATAGATCCTGATCCTGATCCTGGTCCTGATTCTGGTCCTGGTCCTGGTCCTGGTCTGATATAGAAATGAGGGAGCAACGATTTTGATTTTCTGATAAGAGCCGTCAGCATATACCTATCGACTTATAAAAGAAATTAAGAAAAAAATATGCAGGGTGACTTGACGTACGAACCAACTCCAGGTACGTAATGCAGCGCTTTACAACAACAAAAGTTACAATAAAGCTCCAAACGTCATCCGTAGGCCAGGGCTCCAAGGTCCGGAACCACCACACCACACCCACCAAAAACGGCCTGGTGGGTGTACACCAGTGGATTTAGGTGGATGAGGTGGATGACTAGTACGCTAGGGCACGGGCCTTTAAATGAAGCTATCCCCAACTACTAAAAACACGTATTCAAGCCTTAGCTTAGTGTTGTAATACGTGATATTAGGTACACGTTGGTATCGTAAGCGTTAGTATTTTGTAAACGTTTAATTATAATGTTCTAGGGAAAGTTTATAAGTACTTACATATACATACAAAATTGTATGGGCAAAGCGGTACATTAGAGCGGTTAAAAGTAGTTAAGTGGACCTTTGAAGCACCGTGGACATTAGCGCCTCGAGGCTATCGATATATTAAAACAATATAAAATTGAATAACCCGCGTTTTCTTGTGTATTAATTATAGGAAAATTACATAAAAAATATAATTAAAAACGTTTTTTAAGGGTTTTTTAATGATATATATTTTGTCTTATAGGTAGTGCGTTTAGTAGATATTTTGTATAGTGATAGTGGTATTGATGTTTTTCGATTTTAGAATATAATGTTTTTACTGTTTATTTTATTAACCTTTAATATAAATTGTATTTCTTAACCATATTAAGCCTGTAACTTAAGCTATATATACTATTAGAAAGTGAAAATTTTGGGGATTCTAACGATATGAATTATCTTATTTTAAGTTTTATATTAAGCTTAAAACTTAAAGATATAATAAAATGTAAGGTAAATATTAACATCGTGGCTATGCATGGCCTAAACTCAACGTACTACTCCATACTTAACATACCCACCACACCCACCACACCTATTTCGAGCCTCATGGTGCGGTGGGTGTAAAAACGTGCACGGACGTAGAGAGACCTGGTGTGGTGTGGTGTGGTGTGGTGGGTGTACGCCAGGTGGATTTAGGTGTGGTGGTTCCGGACCTTGCAGGGCTCCAACCTTCGACAACGGGCGCGGGTACGCCTTTCGATTCGAGATCCTCCCTATCGTCCTTGAAGTTGCCCCTATCCATCTTCCGTCTAGCCAGCACGAGCCCCAGCCACACGGCAAGGACGATGCAGTCCGGGAAGACGATCCCCAAGCCGAACGCCAAGGGGTCCCACAGCGTGCCTAGGATGAAAGCCGCCGCCATGCCGAAAAGATTAAACACGCATGCGAAGCCTAGGCATAGGGCCGTCCCTTCTAGATTTTTCTTCAGAATTCCCGGGTCCGTTTCGGAGAAGATGTGTATGCATTTTGGTACGTGAAGCTTGCGCTGAGCCTGGCGGCCGCATTGGACGATCGTGTCTCGGCGTTGGACGATATGTATATCAACGAAGGCCATATAAGCGGTGGTTGCGATGGAAACAACGACTGCTGCAACCCAATCCGTCGAAAGTCCCATAGTTTTGGTCGGTCTAGTATAAAAATGCGTGGTAGGCTAGTATATGAATTTGATATACAATAGTTTGGTGATAAAAACTCACAACGGAAGGATATGGAATGGAAAATTCCAGTGGTCGGTTGTAGGGAATATATATACCACAACATAAATTACTAGGTAAGGGCTCAAGCAATAGAGAAACATTGCTCTTTGGTAGAATTTGAACTCTAAAGCTGCAAGATTCCCTTGCCACAACTTACGCACGGTTGTTGGGCAATTTGAGCTTTATGTATACGTACTATGGACACGCACTGCTGTGTGCAGCTCAGTACCAATTTCCTAGACTAATTGTATCTTCATCCGGACTCTGCATTTTCTATTTGCGATATCTTCTCTGCCCATACCAACGCTTCTTTCTTCACGAGACGTATACAGGTGCCCCTCTATATCATTCCATCTCGATACCTATCCCGAGCTCTTCTTCTTCGTTCTTCTTCTCCGGTGCTAGATGATAGAACAAAGTTCGAATGGGCGCCTCAGCTTAAACGAGGGTCGTTTTCAAAACTGAAACATCAGTATTAGACTACGTAATTGCCTGCAACTTGGGGAGGAAATGGGCAACGTGTACCTTTCTCTTCGAAACTTCGATGTGACTGGTCTTGCTATAGTGTGATTTCTATGTAGTATGCGGACTATCGAAGCTCCTTGCCATCCAAGTATTAGAGACTACCTAGGGGAAGTGTGTTAGCCAAGGTCAGTACATAAGTGTATAGGGAGATACTCCTCTAATTGATTTGAAGGCTGGACAGCAGCGTACTGTGGCAGGTTAAATTGCAAGTGGATGACAAAATAATTTACATAAATTAGAGAAGTGGCTCAAGACCTTAGCGGGTAGTATCGACATGTTCAAGTAGAAATTACATTCCTATTTCGAAGTTCTGTAATGAGCTCTTTACAATCACAATATATACCAGTAAAGTCTAAAAATGTTAGATTTAATATAATAGAGGTACCTAACGTAGGTAATAGCCAGGTACCTGATATAAAATCAAGAAAGTCCTATTGATATTATCCCTAGGGCACCTACCAGACAATAGAAATATACATGTAGTTACCTTAGGTAGGCACTTGATTTATAAATGTAAAAACGTATAAAGCAAGAATTAACAGTGTACGAGAACATATCTCCTCAAGTGCGAGAAGGCTATAGTACACGTCCCGCTTATATCAAGTAATCAAAGCTGTAAAAAGCTCTAGAATATGCCACCTTCAGAATAGTATAAAAGGTTCGAGCAATTGAATTGTTACTGGAAGCTTACATGTACCTAATGGACTGCAGTTTTCTTACACTTGAGGATATACTAAAAGCATCGTGTACTTGCATAGAGTTGGAAATGGTTAGGTACCTATTACCTGGTATGCTGGTATGTTAGGTGCCTACCTATAGACGTATGTTATGCACAAAACAGGTAATTACTATATAAGGTACGCTGCGAATGGAAGAACGGTGGAAAATAAAAGCAGCAATAGCTTTAGACCGAATTCGTTTGCAAGAAGGGTGTCCTCGCAGCCTCGGCAAGAAGTTTTGGGATGAGCTTTGACCACTGTCAGGCCAGCATTGACGACATGCCACTTGCTTTCCGAGCTCTGCCGATGCCCCACCGAGGCTTCCGATCTAACCTGATCTAACCTTGGAAGGCTAGCAGCGCAGGCAGGGGCTTTGAAGTTTGTGCACGGACCAAACTTTAATCAGATTCAAGATCTGCAAGTCGACGAGTACACAGTGCCAATAGTATCCACAAATTTTATCGCACGGAATTATAAGTCATCATTACTAGCAAAAGTTCTATATCACACTTATCGTCGCTAAGTGAGCGCAGCATAGGTGGTAACCTACTACCTACCTGCCTAATATATACATTATACATTGCCCCAAAGTGACTTAACAAGTTTATGGTCTCCTACGGCAAGACAAGGTGTTCCCAAGATGCGCAACCTTCGCAACGTTCGATATAACGCTTGGAAGTCATCGACCGATTTAAACGAAGAGGTTGTCACATCAGCATGTTGGGACCCTGCCAAAGATGAGGTCCTGTGCACTTTCGGCCCGAGCGAGAAAGATGCACGTATCCGTCTGGTAAGAATCCTCGAACACGTGAGGGCCTCGTCTATAGACATGTGAGTTTGCACCACCTGGTACGGACACCTCCGATAGTCCAAGCGCTCACCATTTATGACTATAGCGAATGTCAAGATATTGCATCATGGGATGCGCCAAGTCCAAACCCAGATTTGGTTGTTGACAGGATCGTAAGCTCACATCACTTCAGTGATACTTTGACGACATGTCTGGTCCTTGAAGGAGGCGATATAGTCGTCGTCCAAGAATCAGACGGTCCGAACCCTCAAGATGGAGTTCATATCGAGATTGAAGGTTCCGTAGATGAGGGTATCGCAGCTGCGAGCTGGTCTCCGGACGAGGAGCTGTTAGCTATCGCGACCAAAGCAAATACGGTGATCTTTATGAGCCGTAGTTTCGATTGTATAGCGGATATGACTATGAGTGCCGATGATCTCAAAGCATCTAAGCACGTTTCTGTTGGCTGGGGTAAAAAGGAAACGCAGTTTCAAGGTAGAGGCGCCAAAGCTCTACGAGATCCCACGATACCGGAAAAGGTCGATCAAGGAGTACTAAGCCCCAACGATGACGGAAGTACAACCATCAGTTGGAGAGGCGATGGTGCATATGTCGCCATCAACTCGATAGAGATTGGTATCCGCCGAGTCATTCGGGTCTATTCCCGAGATGGTGTTCTTGACAGCGTAAGCGAGCCCGTTGACGGTATGGAGTCCGCCTTAAGCTGGAGGCCAGCTGGGAATTTGATGGCATCCACACAGCGATTCGAGGACCGCGTGGATGTTGTATTCTTTGAGAGAAATGGTCTTAGACATGGCCAATTTTCCCTAAGAGCCCCTGAAGGCAGGTCAATCTCAAATGACCGAATACAACTTGAGTGGAACTCGGATTCTACAGTACTCGCCGCTATGCTTGACGACCGAATTCAACTCTGGACCATGGGGAATTACCACTGGTATCTGAAGCAAGAAATCTTTACACAGAAGCGCCCACTTTCACTTGCGTGGCATCCTGAAAAATCGCTGCGTTTTGTGTTGGCCGTTCCAGGTAAGTTTGACTCTTTATGGACGTATTTTCAACGCTAATGTTCATCATAGATAAGCTATTGCTTGCTGAGTATATCTTCGAGGTTACTAAAGGGTCTCTGACACCGCCATATGATTATGGAGCTGTTGCTGTCATTGACGGAAAGACACTTAAGCTCACCCCCTTTCGGACAGCCAATGTTCCTCCTCCAATGGCACTATTTGAACTGGAAACATCATCGCCAATTATCGATGTGGCATTTTCTCCTGCAAATACGTTCATGGCTGTTCTACATCAACTTGGTGTAGACGTATATGAATGGAAAATAAAGGGGCAGCGTTCTCTACCACCATCTCTGGTGGGTAGCATTACCTTCGCAAGAGATGATTCGGCCAATGGCTGTCTGTCTCTACAAATAGCTGTTACCGAAAACAGCGTCGTCCATTGTCTAGGGTTTGAAAATGGGCCTGTGATCCAGTCGCATCCTTTTGATCGAATCACTGGTGAATTCTCATCTAACTCGAGCATCTATGCTGGTTCGATGTTTGGTTTTGTACGTCTCACCCAGGCAGGATCCACAGAGGTGCTCGTTCAAGATTGCCTAGGTAGATTTCATGGTGTTGTCAGCCAGCAAGATGAATTGTACTCAGTCCGCCTTCCAGCCCAACTTCCGTGGAGTGAAGTTATCGACCTCGCTGGAAACGTCATTGCCGTCGGATTATCGCGAAACGGACATCTATATGCAAATTCTCGCCTCTTAATGAAGAATTGCACGTCTTTTCTTGTTACCCCAGCTCACCTAATTGTCACAACCACTAGTCACTTTGTCAAATTCATCCATTTGGTTGATGTAGAGAGTGAGTTTTAAAGATACCTGGTTTGTTCTTACCTATAGCTAACCCTGCTGTGTAGGTTTGGAGGTGCCACCAGACGATCCTGAGAAGGATGAGAGGTGTCGAAGTATCGAAAGAGGCGCAAGGCTTGTAACGGCTATGCCTACTAATATGAGCCTGGTCCTCCAGATGCCGCGTGGAAATCTGGAAACGATCTACCCCCGAGCCATGGTTGTAGCGGGAATTAGGCAACTTATAGACGCCAAAGATTATGGAACAGCATACTCATACTGCCGAACTCAACGTGTGGACATGAACATTCTTTATGATCACAGACCCCAACAATTCCTTGATAACGTTGGGCTATTCCTCGACCAAGTTGGAGACGTCTCATATATTGATCTCTTCCTTTCTTCATTACGGTAGGTAAACTTTTATCCCACATAGAGATTCATGTCTGACGCGAAGCAGAAACGAAGATGTCACGCAGACTATGTATAGAGATACCAAGGGTGTGAGGAACCAAGAGTTACCAGAAGTTACCCCCAGCGAGGTTCCTACTGGAAACAGTCCAGACAATTCAAAAGTTAACACTATCTGTGATGCGGTGCTGTCTCATCTCCAGTCTCGCAAGACTAAGGATCACGACACCTTGCAGAACATTATCACGGCCAATGTCTGTAAAGTTCCACCAGCGTACGAGGATGGACTATTGGTCGTTGCTACTCTACTGCAAGAAGATGAGCAGCTAGCCGAAAAAGCTGTCGAGCACATCTGCTTCCTCGCCGATGTTAACACCTTGTACGATGAAGCTCTTGGCCTCTATAACCTGGACTTGGCGTTACTAGTTGCGCAACAGTCTCAAAGGGACCCTCGAGAATACCTCCCATTCCACCAAAACTTGCATCAATTACCTGGCACGAGGCGGAAGTTTGCTATTGACGACCATCTTGGACGCCACGACAAAGCCCTAGCTCACCTTCAAACCCTCCAGGCACATAAGGAAGCCCAAGACTATACAGTAAAGCACGCGCTATATGCTACGGCCTTGAAGCTCTACCGTTACGACCAACTCAATCTTACCATTCTTACCGGTCTATATGCAACGTATCTTGAGACTTCGTCTCGCTTCCGAGAGGCGGGTCTTACCTATGAATCTCTTCACGACTATACAGGAGCTACGAGGTGTTACCGCGCTGCTGGTGCTTCCTGTTGGCGCGAATGTCTCTTCACGGCACAACAACAATCGCCCCCGCTGACTTCGGACGCCCTTTCTGACCTCGCAGCAACACTTGCGGAAGCCCTCTATGAAGCCAAGGACTACGCGTCTGCAGCGGCAATTCATCTTGACCACCTTGACTCTCTCGAAAATGCTATCTCTTGTTTCTGCAAAGGGTATCTGTTTGCCGATGCTATGCGTCTGGTAGCACGGCGGGGACGTCCTGAACTACTGACTAGTGCTGTCGATCCTGGTATCGCCGACTCGCTCGGTAGCAGTACCGAGTTCTTCGCAGACTGCAAGGCGCAGCTCCGCGCACAGGTCCCTCGTATTATGGAACTTCGCCGGAAAGCAGCTGAGGACCCGCTTGGTTTCTACGAGGGCGAACGCGCGGGCGCAGGCGACATCCCGGATGACGTGTCGGTGGCTGCTAGTTCGCGTATCAGTACGAGCGCTAGCTTGTTCACGCGATATACGGGTAAGGGAGCAGGAAGCGTAGGTACGGCCGGAACCGGTGTCAGTCGCGCTACGAGCAAGAACCGCCGCCGCGAGGAGAAGAAGCGCGCCCGGGGTCGCAAGGGTACGGTCTACGAGGAGGAGTACCTTGTCAATAGCGTTCGTCGACTAGTCGAACGTGTTGAGAGTGCGAAACCAGACGCCGAGCGCCTCGTCTTCGCGCTTGTACGTCGCGGCATGCACGAGCGTGCTCGTGCTCTCGAGGCCCTCGCCGCAGAGGTAGCGGACGCGTGTAAGATCGCTGTTAAGGAGGTGTTCGCGGGTGCCGGGAATAAGCAAGCCGCCGAGGAGGGCAGAGGAGACGAGGATGAGGAGTGGAGACCTATGGGTGCGGATGCGGTTCTGTACGAGAATCTCGAGGCTAAGTGGAAGAAGCAGGAACCGCCTGTTGTTACGGCCTTCGAGAGGCTATCGTTACTAGGTTCGTAGCAGGTTCGGAGGTAGTTAGGAAGTTAGGAAAGGGAAGGGGAACCAGGGCGGGGCATAGATAAAAAAAAGAAGAAGTTTACTACGATGTAGGGAATCGATCACATAGCGGGTTTACGCCCGGAATGGAATAAGAACTTTGGTTTGGATGCTCCGCGCGCTCCTGAATGCAATATGTACATTTATGTTACAGGCCTAAGTAGCGTTGTATTCTACAACCCATTTTTTATAAATTTCTTTTTTACTTTCATGCCGACGGTGGTGGGGGTTGCGTCTCTTCGGCCGTAGCCGTAGCTGCAACCGTCGTCGTTTCTGTAGGCGGTGGCGTTTCCACCGTTCCCTCCGAGGCCAGAGCGCTACTGCTGCTGCTGCTGCTGCTTTCGCCGCTGTTTTCACTCCTGCTTTGGAGGGCGCGCTCGGCAGCTTCCAGCAGGGCCTGTCCGTTGCGCGTCCTCTCCAAGTTCCTGGCCATGACCTCGCCGATCTTCTCGAGCATCTCGCGGGTGAGGCGGGGTTTGCCCTTCTTCTTCTTGCCCTCGCGCTGGGCGCGGTGGAACTCCTGGAGCGGGGTGCGCATGGACTCCTCGGTGCGGAGCTTGTGCTCGCCGGCGGCCTTCTCCTGGGCCTCGAGGCGCGCGACGTACTCGGGGTCGTGGCGGGTGCGGAAGCGGCTGTACTTGTTGCGGAGCTCGTCGATGAGGGGCGCGGGCATGGGCGGGCGGAGCAGCGTCGGCACGAACGTCTTGTCCTCGACGTCGATGCGCAGCGTGTCCACCTTGTAGTCCTTGACATCCTCCTCCTGCTTCTTGGGCCACGGGATGGCGATGTTCAGGCCGGGCACGATGCGCGACCATCGCCGCTTCCCGGACACCCGGTCGTGGAGGAACCCGCTGTGCACCAGCTGGTTGATGATGACGTCGCGGGTGACGCCCGTCGAGGGGTCTTTGATCGGGTGGACGAGGCGGATGTCGGAGATGGGTATGGGCAGCTCGATGTTGACTACGGAGGGCGATTCGGAATTGCGGAATTCGGATTGTAATCGGACGTTGCTCTATATCGTGAATTCATATCGTATCAGCTAGGTATCCACTATCTAGACTCTTCCCACTTATGCTGCTCCTGTGCTGTCTTTCTTCTTCTTCTTCTTTTTCTTCTTCTGCCAACTTACCTTGTTCAAATCCTCGACTACAACCTCGGCGTTGTCGTAATTTATGCTCTTTATCTTGCCGATGCGTCCCTTATCCGGGCCGTCGATCAGCACGACTCTGTCGCCCTCGGCGAGGTTCAGGTGGTACGCGCCGCCGGCCCACTGGCAGCGGCGATTCCGCATGGCGAGGGAGATCTTGCCGTAGCCGGCGAACCGGGCCTCGTGGATGGCGCCCTTCGCACCGGCCCACTCGCCGACGTCTCTTCGGGGAGCGAGGGGCCCTAGTTCCCACTCGTCCTTCACGGCCTGCTTCGCGGCGTCTAACTCGCTCCGGACTATAGATAGCTGCTGCTGCTGCTCCTGGAACTGATCCTTCTTCTGCTTCTTGTACCACTTGAAGTCCTTGGTCTTGGTCCGCTTGGCGACCACCCGCTCGGCGGTCGCCACACGGCGGAGGATCTTCTGCATCTCTCTCTCTCTCTTTTTTTTTTTTTCTCCCTTCTCTAGAAGACCTTCCGCAGGGAATACGGGAGGGATTGAGGTTCACGGGGGAGGAAGGGGTTGTTTTTCTTGTTTCCTTACGACCTCATCGTGTGTATGTGTGTGTGCGTTCGAACTTCGAAGCAATTGCGACTCCGGGAAACCAAAATTTTGGGATTGTATCTAATTGGTCCAATTGGGGGGGATGTAGAGCCTTGCCAGTGGGCCGTAGCCCGTTGCCCGTTGCCAGTTTGGAGGGAAAACTTAACCTAAGGTGGGGGTGAATTAAAAAAGAAAAAAAAAGGGCGGAAAATCTAGACTCCGATTAAGTAAGACCTGTCATTGGAAGGTACCTTATCTTATCTATGTACATATTATACATAGGTACATTATCCCCTTTCGATGCCAAGACCCCATGGGACCCGTGGTCGTGACCATGTCGTGACTTAGTGACCTAGTCGCAAAAACATGTCGTCGGCCTATCGTGCAGATTTAGTGTCGTAGTTGAGCTTGAGCTTAAGCTTATCAGTAACATTTGTTCCTGTCCGACCTTCCTGTTCAAACTTTGACAGGATATCAATCCACTATAGCGAAGGATATTATTGTATTCGATGGTATTTTCCCAGAGCAGGATCCGTTATTCTACAAATAAATAGATTCCAAGTCCTGAGTGTGTTCCTTTCTTTGTATGGAGCAATCAGAAGGTAGGTATAATAATATAGGAAAATTATAAAATTGATCTAACTATTGGAAACCTTGGGACTTACCCAAATGAGATCCTATGACGTGAATCAACTTGACCTCTATGCGTTGTTGTACCCTTTTGCAACCTCCCCGCAAGTCCCTGATGTTCTAGGTCCATTATAGCAGACGGAAGGGCTATTATTGCATGTTATATAATAAGGTTTTAAAGATCCAACGAAACAGAAACCCCAAGGTTTCGGCCGACCCCAGCGGGTTCGAACCTGAGATAAACTAAAAGGCTTCAGGAAAAAAAAAAGGACGGAAAAGAACAAAATTTGATCTAAACTAACACCGACCCTTTTAATAACAAACTAATCTAGCAAAGTCTCATCTTCTTTAGTCAATTGTAAGTACGTTTCATATTCATCAACATGCGGATCTGCCATGTGTAATTCGATATGTTGGTTCTCTCGTTAAGAACCCCCATTGTCGATATCAAGAAGTCGGGACGCTATTGATTTTTTTTTTTTTGTTCATACGGTGTTAATGTGGTACGCGTACATACCTAGGTACTATTGTACATAAGTAGTAAATAGGGCCAGTTACTACCTAGGTAGTTCCAAGTCACAAGCGAAGCCAAGCCACAGAAACGACTGGGTTTTACAGCCTTGACCTAACCAGAAAAAATACTAACTAAAGAGAAAGGGAAAGGGGTATAGGAAGGAGATATGTTAGGTACCTAACCTACCTAGACATAGGTAGTAAAAAAGGAGAATTCCGAGATGGATTGGCCCGTATGAAACAAAGTGACGACTTCTTTTAACTACGCGAATACCGAAACCCCCACAAACCAACTCGTATTGACGAGCGGCGGAAACAAAGAAACAGATTGCGCGATAGGGAGTACACTTGGGAATTAGGAAACTTGGAATATGACAATACCGAGCCATATCTGCTCAGCTGAAGAGCCCGGATCAACCAAGGGCTACTGCGGTGTTAAGTCGGTGAAGAAAGACGCAAGCTCCTTTCCCAGCTTTGTCTAGCTCGACAACGTTCGCATGCTCTCTCTCGGTAGGGGGGAGAGTTTGACTCAAATGTGCCTAGGGGGGGGAGAGCCGATCTGCCGGCAACGTCCCCCGATCCTACATGGTACATTTTCGAAGCATGAAAAGGTGAACTGCATGCAGTGATACTTAAAAGGTGTCAAACTTCAACGAAATATTTGGATAGCAACACCTCTGAGTCAGCCTCTGTCCAACTGATGATAATACTCATGTTAATAATACTACGAATGTTAAATAATGGTAATAATCATAAGCGTTAGTAATTTGATTATTATTATTCTTTTGGTGATATTTTTATGAGATATGATCGTATGAGAATGGTCGTGCCCGTCTTGTTTCTCGTAGAGTGATATATGACTTTGCTGCTGCGCCTGAATGCTACATTCATTCGTCTTTCTACCAAAGCTTCGAAGGGCGAGCTCAATAAATTCTAGTACTAATAACACCTTACCAGGGCTTTTCCAATGCAAGTGTGAATAGTCTTTGCATTGGACTCTATGCTAGTGTATGAATATATTCTAGAAAACTGCTGACGTATGGGGGAGTCTTATATATTCAATATCAATAAATTAATGGTTTCCACTTCATCTCATATAATATGGCATGAGCTTCAAAATGCAGGACGCTGCGCACAGGCCCACTTGAGAATACCTACTATGAGGTTAGGTACTATGTAGTCAGCTAATCCACATGTATGGAATATCTTCCATGCTGTGAGACGGCAGGACGGTGTCGTGGCTTAGTACAAATACAAAAACCCAAGTACCTTTAAACTTACCTAAGGTAACTAGGGCTTTAATGATGCGTGTTTTGGTGGGTTGCCTCCTCAAGATCCGAGGCGCAAGGGCCAAGGACTAAGGACTAAGGACTTTTTTAGGGACGACGGGGACTGATACACTAGGTAAAGGACGACTCATAAGGCACATGATGTATTGTACAGATAAGTACATTCAATTAGGTACATTCGGATTGGGGGGGAATTTGGGGGGAATAGGACGGAGACTAGAAGGCAAAGGCCGGCCAGTGCGAGAGTAGAAACGGAGGGAAACGTATAACTGGTACAGTACGCGGTGATGTATTGTACCTATCTCATAGTACCACGTCATGTACCTACCTAACCTACCTCTATCCAAGGACTCATTGCCTGGTATTAGCAACGTTTTTTGGCTGGTTTGGTAGTGTAAGCCGCTAGGACGACCACCAAAAACTTGCCTACGGACCTGGTAGGCTTACCTGGTACCTATTGTATTGTATTGTACAATACAATCCCTTAACAAATCGCAGAAAAAAAAAGAGGGGCCCACTAAACCCTGCCCCCCCGTTAGGCCTAGTGTACGGTCTATCTTCTTGCCTTGTGCCTCTGTGCCTGTCTGGCCCTGTCCACTGTCCACTGTCCCTGTCCGCCAATTGTCCCTTATTTTGGGCGGTTGACCCGCTGCTTCCTGTTGCTTTGGCGCCGGTGCTGCTACTACCTGGTTACCTGGAGCAAAAGTTATGTTATGTATGTATTGTATTGTACTGTAGTGCCAGAGTGCCTGCCTGCCTTATCCTACCTTGCTGGTGCTACTACCTAAACCGTTCAATTGAGCAACGACTTTCCAACCTTCCAACCTTCCAACCTTTCCTCCTTCTCACATTCTCCATCTCTAATCTCCTCCATCTTTCTTCCATCATCCAAAAAAAACTCCAAAGGAGAACCTATAACAAACAATCGCGAGGATTCAATCCATCATCAAGGCTTTTGACCATCTTTTCTTTTTTTTCTTTTCTTGCATACTCTCTGAATACCCTTGAGCAAAAGGCCCTTCCTTTTTCTCTTAACCCCCCCCTAAATCCGACCATCTTCTTCCCCAAACATGGCTGAGCTCCGCCGAAAGCTGGTCATCGTCGGTGACGGTGCCTGTGGTAAAACTTGTTTATTGATGTACGTCGCTTATCAAAACAATCTCCTCTCCGCCACTATACTAACGCAAACTATAGCGTTTTCTCCAAGGGAACCTTCCCTGAGGTAAGAGAAGAACTGCCTCGTCATCATCATCACCATCCATCATCATCAATACTTTCCTCCCCCCTTGTATCCAACCAACGGTACACCCGCGTCATACCGAAACAAAGGGACATCGGTCCCATCAATCCATCCGTCTTTTCGAGCTGGTGCCTCGTCGCCCATTGATGCCATCATAAACACTTATCGCGTCTCAAACAAATAATTAATATGTCGCTGTGCACAATACTGACGAAACCTGCTTTTGCTTTTTTCAATAGGTCTATGTCCCGACCGTCTTCGAGAACTACGTCGCCGATGTCGAAGTTGATGGAAAGCATGTCGAATTAGCCTTATGGGATACGGCTGGTCAGGAAGATTATGACCGTCTCCGACCTTTGTCTTACCCTGACTCTCACGTCATCCTAATCTGCTTTGCTGTCGACTCGCCTGATTCTCTCGACAACGTTCAGGAGAAGGTTAGCATCCCTATTTCTTATCTCGGCTATATATTAGGCTTCCCTAGATAAGAAACGACTCACTGACACATGCTCTATTCAATAGTGGATTTCCGAAGTTCTTCACTTCTGCCAGGGCCTCCCTATTGTCCTGGTCGGCTGCAAGAAGGATCTGCGTTACGACGCGAAGACAATTGAGGAGCTCCGGAAGACTAGCCAAAAGCCCGTCTCCCCTGAGGAGGTAAGTTATATCATACCTGTTACAGTCGTATCTTGCCCCCCTCGGTGCTCAGATATCTTCTGATATCTTTATCTCCGAACTTGGTTCGACTCTTCCTATGGTATCCATCCAGTTGCTGATATCGCTTTAGGGTGAGGACGTCCGCAAGAAGATCGGTGCCCACAAGTACCTTGAGTGCTCAGCCAAGACGAACGAGGGTGTCCGAGAAGTTTTCGAGCACGCTACTCGTGCGGCTTTGCTGTCTCGTAAAAGCCAGAAGAAGCACTCCAAATGCTTAGTCCTCTAAATGTACAACATTCCTATGATACCTTCGACATACCGTCATGATCCATCATCGTCCTATGTTCGTCTCAAGGACGAGATACACAGATGAATAAGGGTTTTGGACGGACTGGAAGGGTTGGACCGCCTCTGCGTCCTGGTCTCGACTGGAGCTTGATTCGTCTTCCCATCTAAACTGCTTCGGTCGGTGTGCAACTCAGGTCAACTCTTGCGTGTCTCCCGCATTATAAAGGGAGTATATTGGTGACGGGGTAGCGGGTATCGTTGTATTTGAATTCCCATGGTTCGAGAAAGGGGGGATAGGCAATGTATTGCCGTTAGAGAGATGTGGGTGGTGTGTTGTGCGTGTGGTATGTGTGTCAAGATTGGCGAGACAACCCCAGAGAATACGGCTATATCATAAATCTTCTCCTTTTTACTGCTCTTGGTAATTCCCGCGTCAGGCCAACCGGGAGACGGACATTTGTTGCACAGGGGCTACTCTTTCTACCTGTCTTTTTTCCCAATCATACTCCTTACTAATCGTCATGTCCTGTCTGTTTTTTGTTTTTGTTTGTTCTTCTATATGCGTGTTGTAAACGTCGTGCTGTTTTTCGTAAGCTATTCATCCTAAGAGACTGATAATGTTCCATTAATGATGACGAAGTTAAGGGTTACGCCCATGAAGTTCCTATACGATTAGTCTGGACTGTAACTTATAATGATTCTAGTAGTGTATGATGCAATGCTAGTTTCCTGTAGTGTTTGAGACATTTATTAGTGTACGCACTTGTTGAGTCTTTGGGTCCGGAGGGTAAGTGCCTAAATATAACGACGCTGAATGTTATCTACTGGTGCTCTTCACAATAACACCACGGGGCATGTGATCGCTGCTTACTTCCACTACTACGTACCTAAGAATATTCATCCAATAAGGCGGGGTTGGGGGATGTGCGTTTTAACTTGGGTCATTATAAGTAAGTATATTACGTCCTGGCGTCATCTTGGGGGCTTGTTGGGGAATGGGGATATTAACTACGTAGGAAGTTGACTATGGGGACTCTGAAATCATGGTAGTTCATAGATAGATAAGATTTTGCAATAGTTGATTTCTTGTTTGGCCGTAGAGGCTAGACAGAGTAGAGGTAAAAATACTCGCCAACATTGTGTCTGTTTGGTCTGTCTCTTGCCCAGGTTAGGTTAGGTAGGTACCTATAGGTATTCAGAACGCACTCCTCTCGATTAGTTTAATAGGTTGATTCAGCCTGACTGACTGACTGGTTGGCTGGCTGACTGCATTAGAAGAAACCCCTTGATAATCTTTCCCCGGGTTTTAAACCATCATCATCAGAAGAAAATAGAAACGAAGAGTGAACGGGTTTTGAAAAAAAACCACACCGAAATCATCAAACTTTCTCGTTGTATGCAGCCCTAAACTCAACTCAACTCAACTCAACTAAAACTCCCTTTGCTTTCTCTCGTTCCCCCCTTTAACCGCCGCCCTGCCCTGCCCGTGCCCCCTGCCGCCTTATCTACGCCTGGGAAGAAAGAGAAAACAAACAGGGAAAAAAATATAGAAAAATAAAAATAAAGGAATGAATGGATCTAGTAATTCCTTGGGAAAGCTGGAGTCGGGTCGGACTGTGCGGTGGCGTGCCGGGTTTGTGGGTTCTTAACTAATTCCCTGGATCCCCTTCTCCCCCATTTAGGTGTACTCCCGCAAGTGTCCACCACTGAAGTTCTGGTGTTATGTGTGGTGTGCGGTGTGTGTTTACACGGGGCAGGTCTGGAGATTGTTGTCAGCTTTGGATATAATGGGGTCTGGAGAGCTGGAGAGGAAGGGAAGGGAGGTAGGATGAAATAGCGAGAGTGACACTGCGAGTGCGATGCTGTATGGTTATTTTGCATCGGTATATATATATATATATATATATATATATATGTGTGTGTGTGTGTAAGAAGAATGGCTAGCTAGCCTGGTATACGAGAGCAGCGAGACGAAGCGAAGCAAAGACTAGAGTAACGAGAACTTACAGCGCCGCAGGAATCGCACTTCTTAGTGTCGCCGTTGAAGCTGACACCGCACTTGGGGCAAGATGAGTTATGCATTTTGGCGTCGTGGAAAGAGCTATTAAGGAAGGTCCTTAGGTGGTGTGCTATTTTTTTTTTAACTTGTGTGTTGTATGTAGTATAGAAGTATAGATCTGGATCTAGATCTGATTGCTACCTTGTATGCTTGTTAGCTGGGGACTGACTAGGTAAGGGGGTAAGGTAAGAGATTTATATCCCGAGATGAAGAGGGACAAGAGATGGAGAGGCGGCTGGGTTGGAGATGTTGATATATATATAGATAGATATAAATATGTAAGACAGGCGGGTAGGTGAGATAGGTTGGTATCACGGCAGTTGATAGGGAGGTAGGTACCTAAGCGCTTGGTCGCGCTTAGGGCGAAAGGGGGGATGGCAGATGAGTGGTCACATAGCACGATAGGTAGTGTCATCGTACTCACGAGATGAAGAGCTGATCTTAGCTTAGCTTAGATAGGTTTTGCTTATTTGTTATGTTGGCCGTGGTGTGATGATGGTGATGATGATGACGACGATGGAACGGGCGACTCTTTCTGTAGGAGGAATAGTGATAACGAGATTTGGAAGAAGGAAGACTAATATGGGTTTTTCTTCGAAAGGGGGGGTCTCGTTCCTGTCTTGACCTTTTTATCATAGATTGGCAAGCGGGGTTCGGTGTGATCGGAGACAAGTAGGACCACGGGGTCGAGTAGGCAGCGAGGGATGGTGTATATAGTATGCCAGCCCTCTACGTATGCGTGTAAGTCTGCAATACTGTATCATTGTACAACAACTCGTTTTTGTTCTGAAATACCATACCATCCTGTCGTATCCTTTTCTCGGCCTTGCTGTTTTTTTTTTTCTTCTGCTCCGTCCCGTCTTTGCCTCACCCCGGCCCTGCCTAGCTACATACACGCATACGCAACAATGCTCTTTCGATCCACGCCGTCTTTGCCTGGGCATCTTACCTTACCTTTACACACCCTATTATATCGCAAGCTTAGATATATTACACATTGCATCCCCGGATACACACGCACACACGCACGCGCGCATATATTAGGTACATATGCCAACTGATCAGACCTAACCTAACCTAACCTAAACCTATCTAGAGACCGTGACTAGACCAACAAAGTCACGGGTCCCGCTAGGACGTGGGTTCAAGTCTCAGCGCGGGAGCCTTCCTAATGGGGAGCGGCATCGACAAGGTCAGCTGCACTTTTTGCCTCCTCCGCCTGCTGCTGCTGCTCCGCGTGGCGGGATACTAGACTTGGGGGGGTAGCGCGTATACGTACATACACGAAGGAAGCTATAGTCAGTAAATCTACCTAATACATTATAGGTAAGTAGGTAGGTATGTATGTGTGGTTATAGTGAGGGGAAAGTAAATAGAAACATCAAGTATATCGATCTGCTGCTGCTGTTGCTACACGGTGACGGAATTTGCCTTCGGTCTCCTACGGCTAGAATATATATGCGTCTATATAGGTGTATATGTATCTCTCTCTCTGTGTGTGTGGTGTAAGTCTCTCGCGTGGCGTTTCTTCGTCGATATTCACCGACGTATATCCTGGGAAGCATACCTACATGCTTACACATATGCAAATACATGTACGTCCTTGGCATAAAATAAGAATCCTGTACTTTTATACTGTGTAGATTAGGTATGTATGCATGTTATCGTAAATATGTGGTGTATAAGTGGTATAAGTGTAAGCGCGTATGTGTAAGTGGGTAACACGGCTTCTTCTCAAACTGGTTCTCTGCATCGACCCATTCCCCCCCTCCTACCAGCCGCCGACTCGCTATCTAATCAATCGTGCATGTGCTCTCTGCCTTGTCCTTGCTCCTTTCTCATCTGTAAGTGGCCTGGAATAAGAAGAATTACTGCACAATTCCGCTTACTTTAGGTTAGCTACGCTTAAAAACCACCACCCAGACACAACACTCACACATAGGTACACAGAGACGAACCAAACCAAACAACAATATCGGTCCCGCGATAAGCGATGCATACAACCCACCCCAATACATCACACCCACGCCCACTCCTACCCCCCCTTTATGTTTAGTTACCTTAGGTAGGCACTTATTCTACCCTACCACTTAGCTACCCTGGTTTAACCCTACTCTATATTCTACTACTACTACTACTACTTGCTACTCTACCACCAACTACCATCATCATCACCCTTGCTGCTGTGCGCACACATGCAGGGTAACTAAAAACTAAAGGTGGAGAGCTGCTGGCACTGCACTGCACGTAGGCGGATCCCCCCTCCGCCTGAAGAGTATATTGCTCAAATCACAGACACGCCTTTCCTTCATCTTCATTCTCGGAATTCGACGCCCTGCAGCTTTTCGCCGTGCTGCCGATGCCGCCATGCCGCTAATGGGGCTGCCATCGACCGGTGGGGTGTTGCCCGATGATGATTCAACCGTCGCGCGACCGTTTTATTTAATTTTTTCGATGGAGACTTGAGAAAGGAAGAGAGGGAGGAGACCGGGAGACTGGAGTCATTAAATAGCTGCTGCTTGCAGTATGCAGCCAGCATGCAGTTTGCCTCCCTGCCCCTTTTCTTACTTCCTCCCCCCCTCCCCTTTTCCTTTCTCTGCTTTCACCCCAAGGACCTAGATGGAGTAAAAAGCCTTCACAGTACGTGGTGTTGTGAATAATAAGCATAATAATAATACAACGGGACAAGGACAAGGGCAAGGAATACGGGAATAAGACTTCTAATAGCCTCTTAGACACACCGAGACGGCTCACCCCCGCCTGCATAAGAGAAAGAAACATATAAGTCAGCTCTTAAATAACGGAGAAGAGACGGGTAGCCACGTCGGCCAGTTGGACTAACCTCTGACCATCTTGCCAATAGCTTGGAACATACTAATCACCATGACGGCACACCCAAACGCCACGACACCCATAGCGACGTACGTCTTCCACGACCTGGAGCTCAGCTTGATATAGCACAGCGGCGGCAAGATATACGCCAACGCGCAGGCGCTCGTCGCACCAACGAGCTCGAATACGACTCCGAGATCGCACGTCAGCAGGCTCAGAGTCATGGCCGACACGACTAATGCGGAACTGAAGATTAGGTGCAGGTTCATATTGAAGGGCTCGTTGGGAAACCAATAATTCATCATGACTTCCCGACAGACGAACGCCTCTAGCGGCAACGTCGTGAGCATGTTCAAGCCGAAGCAAAGCCGCGCGATCGTCACCATCGTGTTATCGGCCGGGAAGTTGTTCAGCACGTTTCCGAGAGTCTTGTCCCCAAAGGTAAGGAAGCCCGCGAGGGCCATAATCATACATGCCAGCATGGAGATGCCCGTAGAGTAGTGCGTCACCTTTGCAAACCGGTCTATCGTTGGTGTCTTTAGGGAGCCGTAAATCAGGAGAGAATTATGCTGGCAAACAAATGCTAGCACTAGTTAGCCGCATTCATTTGCTCAATTTGAATATTATTTTAACACGCAGTTTCGACGTACCAAAAGAAATAACGCCGACAGCCTGAAATATTCCATCGTTTATTGTGAGTAGCCGTAAATTAAAAGAGCCGCGGTTTTCCACGGGTGTAAGAACGCTTTGGACGACGACAGTAACTAAAATGATGCCCATGCTGATCAAAGCAAAAGTACTTGCTTTGGCGAGCTGGTATCTTGAAATTTAGCCGGTCGATCGTTGCCGGGCCTGTAGCAACACAACACAACAAACAAAAACTTACCTTGGCAATATCTCTATATAACGTCAAGGGGTAGCTAATCCCTAGTATGAAGAAGCAAATAACGGCCCTGCGGTCGGCGAGCAGCCACAGGACGGGCAGGTCGGGCAGGCCGGGCCAGACGGTGCGCAGGACCTGGGGGATGGAGTCGCCGACGATGATGCCGAAGGCGACCATGCCGCCGAAGGCGAAGGCCCACTGGGCGACGCTGATGGCGACGAGCCCGGGGCGGCCGAAGCAGCGCTCGACGGTGCCCTGGAAGCTGCTGGCGCCGCTCAGCTTGCTGTTGATGACGATCAGGCGGATGGTCCAGTCGACGACGACCGTCAGCCCCACGAGGAGCACGACCCCCGCCGCCAGCCCCGCGTCCCGGAACGCGTACGGCTGCCCGATGATCCCCGCCCCGATGATGCTGTTCGCCATGTTCATGAACGCCGAGCGCAGCCCCGACTTGGGCCGCGTGCGCTCGCGCTCCGCCCACGCCTGCACGTCGTCCTCGAGGCTGTTGGCTAGCGCGACGGAGGGGGCTTCGATGTCGGTTAGCAGCGGGTGTCTGGACGTGGAGTTGTCGTCATAGTCGTTGTCGTCGTCGTAGCCGGGGCTGTCGGGCTCGGCGACGTCGAAGTAGTCGGTAGGCTCGCCCGCTGGACGGTGGTCGCGGCCGTGGGCCTCGCCATTCGCAGCAGCAGCAGGCGGGATGTTGGTAGGTCGTAGGTCGAAGCGGACTCGATTAGGGGTTCTAGGAGTGCCGGGTGCGCGGATGGAGCTGGCGGGAGGAGCTTCGAGCTCGCCGCTCGCCTGGTGCGCTATGATGCCATTCTCGCCCTTGCGTATGCCTGTGTCTGCGTCTCTGTCCGTGTCCTCGCCTTCCTCGTCGGAAGCAGTTCCCGCGAGCAGACCATGCTGCTCTTCGTTGGTGGTGATGGTAGTGGTAGTTGGATTTGTGTTGTTGTTGCGCGTCAGCTCTCTGTTAGAGCTATGATTCGTGGTGGCCTTGGCCATTGTGTTTATCAGGGCGGCATCCTTGCAAAGTTGAAGAAATTCCAAAAAGTCGCCGTTCCTTTTCGATAACGGGTCTGTTTTTTTTTTTTCCTTCTTTCTTCTTCTTTTTGGGTTAATTAACGTTAGGTATGGAGTGTCAATGCGAGATACGAGATACGTACGTATGTAATTTCCAATCCAAGGTAACGGATCTCAAGTTGAGCCGCGCCTCAATCGAGTTCGAGGCCAGTGCCCCCCTAACTTTAGTCTTCTTAGCCAAAGTCAGCCACTCAATGAATGAAACGATTACGAATTTCCTTTCTTATCGTCATGTGATGAAAGGTACGTACTGGAAACTAATGCAGGGGGATTTTCCAATTGGTTTGGAAGCTTGTGAATTTGCAGACCCTGTAACAAGGTTGGTAGGCCTTGTTCTAGCTGTTCTAGGACCCTGTTACCTGGGTCTTGTCGTTAGTCCTAAGCTTCAACTTTATTAACGTCGCGTCCGAAGTTGAGTGGTCAGGGGCTTTGGATTTATCTAAAGCACTATTACGTAGCCTTGGGAGTTAATTACCTGTTTTATTCTAACTAACTTTCTTGAGTTTTCAACCTACATAGTAATTACGTTCTCAAGAGACTTATCGCATATTATGGTTTCTTCATTTACGAACAAACACTAATAGGAATAATAATGCTCAACTTGATAAGACGATCTAATGAATGATAACAGCTCTAAGAATTAAATATTTCACTGTCTATTATAATGTATAATTCCAAATAGTTGTAATATATCTCCCTCTCTCTCCCCCTTCTTAAAACAGCTAGGCAAACACTCATGGCTGTTTATATCCCAAAGATGAAGTATCCCCTTTCTATTTAAATGATAAGCACACTGTGACAATGATGATGGTAATGATGGTAATGATGATAATAATGATGAAGAGATCGACGTCGGCCTTTGTAAAGTACCTAGTCAGTGGTATTGTATTATATCCATGTATGTACCTAGCCTAATGTATATTCAATGCAAAATGCAAGCCAATTAAAAACCCAAAACACCTTTTCCTTTCTCTAGGTACCTAACCTATCCTACATAACCATGCCGAGTACCAGGATACACATCAATGACGTGTAGATACCCATCGCGCTTAGCTTCACGCCCGCAGAGTCAGGGGTGTTAGTGCTACCCGGCGCGGATTCTGTCGGCGAAGTGCTGCTGCCGCTGCCGCTGCCAGCGGGGGATTCCTGGGGAGTGAGACCAACCCCGGCACCGCCCGTGGGAACTGCTGAGCTAGAGCCATCCGATGTGTCCGTTGCGGTAGCTGATCCGGACGTAGCCGACCCGCTTGGAGATGCGGTTGATGTTCCGCTGGGGCTCGTGCTGCTGCTGGAACCGTTGCTGGAATGTGCCCTGGCGGCGAATCCTGTATTTCACGTGTTAGTTGGTCTCGACCAATATGCCTCTTTACATATATAGAGAGAGAGAATGCGCTTTCGAAAACTTACCGATTTGTCGGTGATCCATATCGAACACGGTGTACACGTTCTTCATGAACATGTCTCCGAGAAGCCAAGCACCCTCCACGAATTCCATTCCGAAGACCCTGCCGTAGCAAGTCCCGGAGGAGTCGGGCGCGGTGATGAAGTCCTTGGAGGAGACCGCGTAAGTCTTTCCGGAGAACGAGAACGCGACTTCGCCGTCGGTGTCGCACGGGACGGTCCAGTGCTCTCTGTCGTCGATGGTCTTGGAGCCGGGGATCAGCTGGTATAGGTTCGCGACATCGTCGGGGGGGCCGAAGACGAAGGTGGTACCGGTGTCGATATAGGCGAGTCTGCCTTTCACACCCGCGGCTTTGCCACCGAACGACACGTCGTCCATCGGGATAGCCCAGCTGTTGTCGGACTTGAGGCCGGTATACGCGATGTCGCCTGTGTACTTGGCCTTGTTCGGCGCACCGAAAGCCACCTCGCCGTCGTTCACGCCGTCTGCCTTCCTGTTCAACGCAACACCAAACACGTTGGCGTCAATCAAGTTGGCCTTCTTGAGTTCGGTCAGCCACGTGCCGTCAACCAAAGACATTCCCAGGATACCCTCGAAGGGGAATTGGGAAAATTGGTCTGAGGTGGTATTGGCAACGCCGAAGGGCATGGTTAGCTCCAACCCCCCAATGTTGATTTTGTCGGTTATAACGTGGCCGGCCACTTCTCCGGAACCATATTGGACCGAGTAATCATCCCCAGTGTCCTTGTACGTCTTGGAATCGTTGGGTCCGTAGAGGTTGTGCCTGGTACACGCGTCGGTGGTGCAACCCGAGCCCATAACCCACGTTGTACCGGAACCCGTATCGAAAAGCATATATAGCTTCTTCCCCTCGGAACCAAAGTTAGCCTCGACGAAGTAGGAGTAGTCCGCTCCATCCTGGCTGATTCCAACAGCGTTTTTGATCGTGGGCTTATCGGCGGGATCCACGTTGTAGTTGTTGGCTCGGTTGCCAAGAGCTGATTTCTTAGAGCTCATCTTGAACGTCACAAATCTACGATTCGGGCTAGAAGCGCTAGACTCTTTTTGCTTGTCATAGTGATGGGTGTGGGCTTTCGACGTAAACGTGACAAATCCAATATCGTCGGGAGCCTCTCGCTTTTCAAACTTGTGGACATGGGCCTTCGATTTAAAAGTAACGAATCCGATATCGTGAGGGGCTTGTCGGGCCTCTAAGCCATCATGACCGCTGGAGCTCTGACCCGCAGGGAGACCCTGAACGAGGGCAGAACCCCATAATAGGAGCTGGAGTGATTTGCTTTGGTGCATGTTGAAGATTTCCGCAACCTTGCTTCCCGAGTCGAGGTTACCAAGTATCTCGATTTCCGGTCTGGATTGGTTGCCGTACTTGAAGGATAATAAATCACGCCTGTATACACATTCGGATAGGACACTGCGTAGCTTATTGAGGCGAAGAAAGCTTGTTGGGAGCGAAAGCGAAGTGTTACGAGGCCAATTGGGTCCACGAGATAGTAGGTCCTGGCGTTTTGAAGCTCAAGATCCCCAAGCCTATCCGGTGTAAATATTATGGTATTAGATATTAAGAGAGCGTCGTTAATGATAAACCAGAAAGTCGGGAATGGAGAAATTGGCCAAGGAAAAAAAAGAAAACCCAGAAAAGCTAGAAAAGAGGTTGTTCGTGGAGAGTAGATACAAGACACGGAGGGGTTTCGTAAGGGTGTTCGATATGTTGATATGGATTCCAAACCAAGTGCGCCGTGGGGAGAAACACGTTTGATAAATAAATAATAAGACAGATAGAGGAATTCCAAGTAGGCCGCCCCGGTCTATTTCAGTTAAGGAAAAAAGAGAGGAAACCAAAACCAAAACGATCGGAGATGTGGCAGTGAAACAAAGACGACAACTTCAACCAACAATAGAAAAAGCAGATATTAAATGGCTGTGGAGGAGGCAAGACTCAAGAGAGTGTGAGAATACCTAGTGGAGGCGGGCAAAGACGGAGGAGGAAGCAGTCATCAGGCCCAATATCTTGGCTCTTCCTGATGGTTGGCTTTCTAGGTACTATGAGGATAGCGTTAGAACTACGAGATACCATTACATACTAACCGGTTAGTAGTAGATACTAGGCCTATTCACTTCCCACTTCTCCCAAGGTTATGTCTCCCATTACTCTCCAATGTCGATGTATCTAAAAACGATCCATCGGATTAGCACTAGGGGGACACAAACGTTCAAGGGGCAAGGGGCTGGTCCCTGCAAGCCAGGGGCTAAGTAGAGATAGCGCCATTTGGGACCGCACGGCTTTCGATATACTTAAAGATAACCTCAAAAATGCCATGCGCTATGGGGTTATCCAGGTACCCGTAAAGTAGTTTCCTAATTATGGTGATCTGCTCGTAAAATTGGGTCTCCTTCTTAACTAGTCGATGATTGGCCAGTCCAAGATAGAGTCTCTTTTGTTCTACATGTACTAGGTATGTAACCCAAGCGGTTGTAAACACTTGGGAAGTTCTTTTCTTCGCAGCCTCGAGGCCTCTTTTCGATACTTTCTTACCAACTGTCTCCCTTCCGCGCCCTGCCACAATGAAATTAGAAATCTACCTCGTAAATTTGCGCCCGGATGCTTGAGCTGTTGGTAGTGCAATTCGCGCCACCTTGTCCCTTGGCTTGGGAACAATAATAAATAAATAATAATAATGACTGATAACACAGAATCTACAGTGCGCATAGTGTAAAATACGAACTCGGCGATACCAACACGTCAACCCCATACAACGCTTAGGACACACTTAGATTGCTTGCAGGGATCCACACCAATGGCTCCATGTGTGGAGTTCGGACTGAACGGGAACTGATTATCGGCTAAGAAGACGCTTGGGTCGGGAGATCCTTGACGTAGGAAATCACATCTATGAATCGTGTACTTCCCATCTTGGAGGTTAATCGAGACGACCAGGGCGCCTCGAGAAACCTAGACCTGAAGAAAGGGATGATTCTTTGACAAGGTAAGTCAAGATTACGTACGTCGGGATAGAAAATAGACCTGCAGTTGTATGGCATCAAAGTGAGACTAGTCTCGGTTGACACGAGGCGGCCGAGTCAAAATGGCCAACCGCATACCGTAGTAAAGCGGTTGAGGCCGGAAGCTTGGCGTTATTAGTACCAAGTCCCCGTCATTCCCAAATTTTTTATCAACCACTTGAAAAACCTCGGTTGGTTTAAGCGGCTTTCTGCCACTTCGTAGTATGACGGTTGGGAAGCTCAGATCTCTGTCAAACCTTACAACAGGATCGGATCTTGATCACAGCCAAGAGTCTCGGATTTCTGAGGTTAGCAGTTCAATACCCAAAACGTAAGGTGATGAGATAATTATAGGACAAAATCCGTCTTGTGCCATCCACGTTGTAGCAGAACTAAGCCCCCTGCATCAACCTAACACTAACTTTCGACCTATTAGCATCGTTGTTTGTCGATTGCCGGCACGAAGACTTTCCTCAGCCGCGAGGTATCTGGATAAGCTACCCAAGTATGCATGTGCAACTGATGAGCCTCAACTCGAAGCAAGACATCCCTCTTATTCTGACCATTACGAGAAGGAAGTGCGGAAGTAAGGGCAAGAAGGAACCAAATGGCATAATAACAACCAGATTGGCCGTTTTAGTCTTTTGTCTGTTAGAGGTACCTAACCTATTCTTGGGTTCTTGGTCGACCAAGTACCTGTTGTATTGCTGACAGCATTAATGCCTAGGCCTTTATTCCCGACGGTTGGTAGCTTCGCTGGACCAATTCGAACTCACGCCGCCATTTTGGACCCCGTTGGAGGGCGATATTTTTCGCACCAATGTCGTGCACTATCTAAAGTTTTCCACTGGTCACTGGTCTCTACTGTTATGGAGGCGAGCTTCTTATTTACCGCCACAAATGACTCGAATTGTTGGTCACTAATAAGTCCCACCGTCGCTATAGTTCGCAGAAATGTCCAGACTGACTCGCTTATCCAGCGCAACGAGTCAGTGATACCGAGGACTTCCGCAAAAATAGAAGAGCCGACTATGCGACGGTCTTGCTTATTTTCGATCTTGTTTATGGCGTAGACAAGGAAACTCCAGCTGGAGATATCGGTATGATTCTTCAAGCAAAACTCCTTAACATCAGCAACGATAGAGTGAGCTAGTTCTAGATCACGATCCACCAAGCATCGAGCATGGTGCCAGGCCGGATAGTTGCGAGGATGCCGAATTCCCGCTATCATGACAACGTTTTTGATATCGTGGTGTAGGTCCACTACCACGTCGTGAACAGTAAACAGGTGGAGCAACCAGCGACGGTGTGACCAGAGTGTGGGTGATTTGGCATGTCGGTACAACCTCGACGTGAGAAGGCTGTCCACAAACTGCTTCTCTCGCCTCAATGCCAGCTCACCTGTCTCGCTGTTTTCTAAGCATGATATGAGCAGTCGTTTCCGGGTATTAGCGGCAGTTAGATGCTCGGGGTCCATAAGCAATAGCACAGCTGTTGCAGCCATTACTTCGCTGCTGTTTAACCTGCTGTCCTTATGATATGCCTGCAGAAATTGGCGAGCAACGAAGAATGCCTGGACCAATCTCAGCTTAGGAATTGCTACAGCCGTGCCATCTCTAAGGTAGTTAACCCCTGGTTGTAGAGGATGACTTTTCCCAAGGAATTCGATCTCCAGCAATTCATTTTCTGGTAGATTCGTGAGGAGCGCGGAAATGTCTTTGCATATCTGATTATGGTCATCGGCTTCCAAGTGGGCTAGAAGATCACTATCCAACGAACGGGACATTGTAAATGTGAGCCACTGTATATACCTACCTACCTAGGTACCTAATATATAGAGAAAGCACCTAGTTTAGGTAGTTAGACGTAGAATCGCTTCGTAAGATGTGTATATGTATGGTAGCCATTTATGCAGTCTCAAGCATGTTATGGTATATTATCCATTGTTCTAGAAGCCATACATACCTGGGTAAGAGGCACAACGAATAAGATGAAAGTGGTCAAAAAGTGATGGGGACTTTGTGATCTAAAGAAGGTTCTTTGGTGGGGTTAAGACACTTTAAAAAGGTAATACGTATAAATGCATTCTCAATCGTCATAGCACATTACACATTACTCTAAACCTTCTATTATCCATTATCGGATAGGACACGAATTTAAAGCTTTCTACTTTCGGTAGCCTTCTCTTACTAAACCTATTTGTTGTGACGTATTCATCTAATTCCAACACAAGCAGTCGGCTCAAGACGAAAAATAATGATATCTCTACTGCTTCTGATTTTCCTAGTCGAGGTCGGCGTTCACCTAGTGAACACAGTTGGCGCTGCGACGATAAATGACCTGGTAGGATATACCTATTCTCCGCACATTGCCAGGATGGATTAGCATCTTAGGTATCTTAGGTGTATGTGTGTGTCTCATATGGCTGACCGCGCGCTCGCTTTTGCAGCTATGGAACATATATCTAGCTCTCCCGACCGAATTCTCGAAGCAGGTGGCGGAAAGGAAAAAGCTGCAAAAGGAATACCTTACGATCCGCCGCGACCTGAATGCTACGAGCAGCCAGGACCAGTTTGCGAAATGGGCGAAGCTTCGACGGCAGCACGATAAGGTGTTGGAACAGCTGGAGAAGATGAGTTCGTTCTCTCCCCCCCTAATATGAACACACGGGATATGGATTATATATATGTGTGATATATGTGTGTAGGAGAGAGATGAAGTTGACAGATTTGTGTTTTTCTAAAGAAACCTCCCACGAAGGCGCCAAATCGAAGTTCGACAGTACCGTTAATATCCTACGTTGGTTGGCGACGTCCGGATTGAAGTTCTTCCTCCCTTTCTGGTACGCGAAACAGCCCATGTTCTGGCTCCCGCACGGCTGGTTCCCATACTACGCCGAATGGGTTTTGTCCTTCCCACGAGCCCCCTTAGGCAGCGTTAGTATCGCATCGTGGCAGGCGGCCTGTGCTGGGGTGGTCTTGTTGGTGAGGAGTACTATCACCGCGATTCTAGGATTGGTACTGGGTGCGAAGATGGAGAAGAAACAACCAGTCAAAGTGGGCGCAGAGAAGGGTCCCATACCGAAGTCACAAGAAGCAAAGGCCAAGAAGGATTCATGATTATTTAGGGGGGATACGTAGAGGTTACGTTAGATTGCTTGTACTATGTAGGTCAAGGAATTACTTATAATCATGGACTGGTAGATACGGGAAAGATATCATATGTCTCTCATCTAATTTGACGCAGAGTTTTTCATCGCAGAATGCTTGGAACTCTGTAACACGATTGAGATGACTCTTGGCAGAGTACTTTGGGTCGCTCTAGGCAGCATATTGACTCTGACGACCATCGAGAAAAAGGATCGTTAAAGCTTCGAAAGTGCCAGATATAATAATAATACATCACGGTTTGTCTTACCTTAAATCAGTATATAGTATCGCAGCGGTGATATATATATAGCTTAGAGACGATATCGACTTCGAAATGGGTATAATAGAATAATATGTAGTATATATTCCATTTCATTCCCTGCTATAGGTTCAATTCTTAGATACAGCTTATATATGCGCACTTGTGACTCGCATATTGTGTATGAAGAAGATTTGTTGACGAAGTTGAAGAGAAATAAAATAATAAATTTTCTGAAAGATCTGCGAAATTTGAAGCAAGATAAAGAAGTGGGTATGAAAACAACTGACCTATCAAAAGCTCAGACTCACTAGCCTCCCCACCGCTGCAAATCATGTACATCGGTACATCGGAAGGTATTGTCTGTCCTGACCTCTGGACCTTAGGTAAATGCGTCATGTACAAATACAAACAGGCGGTTGTTAATGAAGACAACACTACTACCTAAGGTCGGTCTATGTGTTTGACTCCAGTCAAACTGGCCTTGGAAACTACGAAATAACATTCTTTATTTAAACTTATTTTCCGCATATACTGGCGGCATGGTCAAAATACTACTCTATCTTGCCAGATAACAAGAAAAGAAGAACACAATGGCGATCCCTTGGGGAACGTAAGTTTAATAAACATCATTAAGTCAAGAGGGAACAACCCTAATAGTATTATTTGCACTCAATGTATAGAAGCTAATATACACACCTCCTTTCATCTCTCTAGGATAAAGTCCCTCCTCATATTCTTCGGGCCCATGCTCCTGCCCAAAGCCATAAACTACTACCGCTCCGTGCGCAACGCGCCCCTCGCCGCCGGCGTCTCCGTGCAGCCCCTCCCCCCTCACGCTCTCCGCGGCATATCCGTGCTCGTCGCTACCGCTCTCGCCTTCTTCCTCCGCGCCCTCCCCCTCTTCTCCCCCGAGAACGTCTTCGCGCGCACCCAGTCCCGCCTGCAGATCCCCACCGACGTGCTCTTCAACCGCCTCTCGTCCCTGCGCCCCCTCGCCCCCGCCGACGACGCCCTCCGCGCCCGCTTCGTCAACCTCGAGTCCCGCCTCCTGTACCTCCAGTTCGGCCCCGACGTCCTCGCCGAGTGCCCCTTCTGCTCCGCCGACGACCCCCGCTCCTACTTCTACTACGCCTTGCCCGCCATCCTCGCCCCGCACCTCGTCAACCTCGTCCTCGCCTCCCTCGCGACCTCCGAGATCCTGTCCGGCCCCTACGGCCCTAAGTGGCGCCCCACGGCCGCCGTGTCCGCGGGCCTCGCCGCCGCCCTCGACGTCTACCTCGCGCAGTCGTACAACTACCAGGCGAACGCGCGCGCGACGCGGCTCGCCGACCTCGACCCGTTCTTCTGGACGTCGCGGGCGGCGCGGCTCGCCGGGCTGGCTTCGCTGGACCTGGCGCTCGCGTACCTGGTGTACCTGTCGAGCACGAACCGGGCGTTCGTGGCGCCGCCGCACCCGGCGCAGCGCGTGGACGCCGTGGCCCGGCAGCTGCAGGCGACGAAGGGGCGGCTGAACGCCGTGGGCATCGTGAAGAACACGGCGACGCGCGACGAGGAGCTGCGCGCCCGCAGCCAGGCGTACTGGCGGCAGGAGGGCGCCATCATGCGCGAGGTCATGGAGGAGAGGGACGTGGTCGAGGGGGTCAACGACGCGCTGCAGAATAGGATCGACATCGCGGATATTACGAGGGACGCGGATGCGTATGCGCTGAACGTGCTGCCGAGGATGGAGGAGATGGTTACCACTACTACTACTACCACCACGCCGCCCGAAACGACGACGGTCGGATAGCGAGGGGTGGTGCTTTGTTGTTATTAGATGGTGCCGTGTGTGCAGATAGCGTCGTGTTTAGATATCATATGGAGTTGAGCTTGTTTTTACCGAAGACTTGAACCTTCAGTTTAGTAGTATTGTTACGTGAATGTCTAGACATGTGTATCTCGATTCAAGTCGAACTCTCCTAGACTAGGACGTCTCTTCAGAATTACTTAGAAAACCTGCAAGTAAGCGGAAGGTAAACCTACAATAAGGAGGCATCACTCGTTTAGTAGAAGAAAAACCAAAAGTTGGCCGTAACTATACAAAGGTGTGTAGCTGATGGCTAATAAGATCCAGATTATTCATTTGAATAGTCTATCCTATCCGTCCTCCTAGGAACTAATAACACTGAGGGTTGTCTTGTCCCCTTGAACCGTATCCCGACAAACGCCATCAGATGCTGCATAGTATGCTATCATGTCTTTTATCAAAAGCTAGCCGCAGTCGAAACAGAAAGAAAAGAAAAATGCATTATAACGCAGATACACGGGTAGCAAAGTAGTATTTACTACCTAATTAAGTACCTCGGGCGTCTGTTCTCGGCGTGCCGGCTGCGCTCGACATGCTGCCCTTCCTCGATCCCGTCTGCGAAGCCTCTTCCACGCTCCGTTCTAAGAACCCGGCCCATAAATCGGCAAGGGACTCTTTGCTGGCCGAGGTTGGCGTTGTATCTGAGAAAAATTCCGCGCTTAGAGACGGCGTACTAGGTGTTCTGTGGAACGGAGAGCTGGGGAGGCGGAGACTGTTAGTAGAAGTTCCCGGCCGCGCGAGCCCCGCCTGTTCCCTCTGTTCGTCTGTCCAATTCAAGAGCCCGGCGATGATCTGGAGGATCTGGAACTTCTTGGGATCAGAACGATCAAGGGCAAGGAACTGAAGGAAGTGGTTCGTGACAATTTGCCTATATGAAGTTAATAATCATATTATAGGGGGTGTTAGGATAGCGAAACTGGACATACCTATCGATGCTATCCTCAGGTTTGGTCTTCTTGAGGTATCGAAGAGCTTTCGTTAGGTGATCGTTAAGGACGATGGCTTCATGTCTTAGCTTGCCGATGAGGAGGTTTTTCTCCTTAACCTCTTTCTCGAAGGGCGCAGTTCGCTCCAGTTCCTTCTGTAACGATTCCTTAACTTTTTCGGCTTCGGTTGCTCTTGTGTCCGCCTCTTGAACGATCTTCTTGAGCGCCTGGAGCTGCTCTTCTGATGTCTCAACCATTTCACGCAGCTCCTTTTTGCGGGCCTCCTGAATCTCTTGGAGTGCCCTCTGGAGACTGTCAACAGCTTGAGACTGGGTATCTCTCTCGGCTATGATTCGCTCATAGCTTTCTCTCATGGTAGATAGTTGTTCTTCTAGAGCAGCTGCTTTTTCGGATAAGCTCTCCCTAATTGATCGTTCTTCCATAGCCAACACTTCCCAGTCGCCCATCGCATCCTTAGCCGCTTCTGCTTCTTCCCTTAAGTGTTGTATCTGTCGCGTCAGATCTTCCTTCTCCTTCAATGAGTTATGTTGGGAGAGGTTGTTTCTGCTTCGAAGACTAGACAGTTCTCTCGTCGCATCTTGCAGTTCGGTCTTGAGCTTTTCGATCTCATCTTGGTAACCTTGTGCGCCGTTTTGAAGCTCCTCATTTTGCGCTTCTAACTCTTCGATGCGTTGATTTGCTTCTTCCAATTCTTCCTTTCCTCTCGCTAGTCTGTTGCCGACGTTTTCTTTAATCTTCTCGACCCTGTCTACGAGGGTTTGATATTGCTCCTCAACCTGCTCCTTGGCGGCTTCAGATTCTTCTAAATCTGATTTGAGTTGAGCGGTCTCTTGGGCATGCGTTTCTTGTATGTTTTCGAGCTGTTTTCGAAGTTGTTCTACTTCTGCTCTTAGAGCTTCACGCTCTTGCGTTATGGCGTCTAGCCTGGCGCTTGTGTCTGTGGATTCGGTTGTATCATTCGTGGCTGATTCGCGAGCAGGATGTCCATTGGTTGTAGGTGATGTGGCATGGCCATTTGTAGATTGTTTTGGTGTAATCTAGCAACTGGGTTAGCACTCAACTGACTATATAATCTACATTGGAAGTAAACCATGCTCACTTCTGCTGCGGGTGTGTCTGGCTCGTCGGATTCGTTACCGTCTTCTTCGGGACGCTCTCCATCCTGATTTATATCTATGGCTTTAACTCCGTCCTCGAGCGGTTTGGGCTTTGCTGCATTCTTCTTCTTTTTGTTATTCTTTTTCTTCGCACCTATTCAACACCACGTTTTGGTTAATATGATCACACTGCAAGACAACAACGAGAATATTTAGTAACTAGGTACCTACCAGCATTTAACTGCTGCGAAGGCTCTGTGGGAGTCATTATGAAATCATTCGTGAAGATTGAATATCTGACACGGTGACAACATCAATCGCCGACAGACCCGAAAAAAAAAAGGTGATTGGAGAGACGTTTAAAGACGTTTAGAAGTTGCGACGTTCTACTGCAAATCTCCAAAGTCCACAGTCCACAATCCAAACGTAAGCCGTTGCTGTTTATCGTAGTTCCAGCCTAGGACCTAGGTTAGTACCTGTACATGCCCTGGGTATTGTACCTTGCAGTGTACCTAAAGTGGTTATTTTAGGTACCTAGCGAATCAAATTACCGTTCGTTAATTGGCAAGTGCTTAGGCACTTAGACTTAGGTAGGGCAACTAGCGACTTAGCGTCTCAGATACAGGGCACGTTCCAACTATCCAACCAACTATCCAACCGCTATAACAGCAGAGACTTATCAACAGGTATCTTAGGTACCTATCAACTGATCGTCTTTCAAGTGTCTAGACCATCTTAATGTCACCATCTAATAGGCCGAGAATTTGTAGAAGAAGAATAGCCTGTTACACCTCGTATGAGTTTGTCTTTGAATACGAGATTGATTTAGCGAACGGTCTTAATACAACTTTTAGTATTACTTATTCTTTAGAAAAGCCCCCACCACCAGTGGCTGACGTGAAGATGTGGCTTGCATTGGGCCACAGACCACCTAAATCAATCCCTATAATACATCTGATTGGTCAATTAATTTCTACTACAAAGAAATCTCCAGTGTTCGAGTTGTGTCCAAATTTTCTTTTCTTCTACACATATTTTACCATCTTCACTGGAACCTTTTGAAATCGAAGCTACCTTGCTCAACTTTTGAGCATTAATGGCTGGTTCATCCTTTCCGGTCGAAGTAGAACGAAAATTGCCCTTTATAATCCCGCTGTCCGCCCGATCTCATCCACGGGTACAATGGGTTCGCTATGCGCAAATATATCCATCATTCTACTAAATAAGGCATAGTTATGTGAAACGTAAGAATCGGAGAGGATAACAATAGACGCATATTTTCCACATAATAATACGTACATAACGCAAAATGCAATTATTTGAAGTGATCAAGTTTCTTCCCACGGGAAGGCATCATAACATTGCTGTAAACTAAGTAGGTATAAAAAACGCCTCGAAAACATTACGCAGCTACCTTCTTTGTTTTCGCCTTTGAAGACTTCTTCCCTTTCTTAGTAGATTTAACAACATCCTGCTTGCTTGTCTTACCAGTCTCCTCGGGAGAATTATCATTATCATCCTTCGCCGCTCTCTCGACCGGTTCCGCTTCTACAGCCTCAGTTGTAGGTGCTGACTCAATGGCTTTCGGTTTCTCGCTATCGCCACCTTCAATCGCGAGAGGTTCACTAGCCGCTTCATCAATCGACTTGATCTTAGGGGCTTCGAAATCGTAACCCATGTCCTGTAGTTTCTTTGCCCGTTGGCTACGCTTCTGTTCTTCTTTCGTAATCTTCTCGGTCCACTTCGACTCGGATAAAGGTTTCTTTAGTTGGTTACCGGCCATCTTGTTTAACGGCACTTTCTTGAAGCGCTTGTTTGAACCCTTCCAGAGGTCATCATGAATTTGTGACTTGGGAACAACCTTAACTTTCAGGATCCGACCAAATAGGAGATAGTTGTCCATCGTTTTAGCAACAACGGCTGCAACGGCTGCAGACGCGAATTCGATGAAGGCGAAATGTCTGCTGGCACCTGTCTTTTTGTTCCTAGACATCCTCAACTTCTCGATTTTACCGAACTGAGAAAAGTAGGAGCGCATCTCATGTTCGTAGAAACCATCTTATCACCATTGTTAGCATTGTTATAAACTGATTGAAGACTTAACCTACGAGGTAGACGGCCAACATATACAACGCCGCGTTCTCCATCCTCGGAATTGGATGATTTAAGCAATTCCTTAGATGCTTTAGGAATCTCGCCTACATCTTGCCCCTCGTGAAATTGGACACTGGTATCGGCTACAGCATCTTCGTCGTCGCTGTCAACGACCTTCGCAAGAGCTTGGGCGTCATCGTCCTCGTCCTCCGAAGACTGCAGGGTCTCTTCTTCATTTTTAGCCTCACTCTTAGCTTCAGTCTTATCCTTCTTGCTCTCTTTCGCGGATTTGGAGATCTTCGTCTTTACTGCACGGTCTGCTTTGGTATTCTTCAATTGACTCTCATCTTTGGTTGATTTAGATTTCTTTACCGCAACAGGGCTCGCATCGTCGGCCGCTATGGAATTTCTTCCTGTCAGTTTGCGGAGGATAAGACATGATGATTTTCGTACGGACCTTTTCGCTTGCTAGCTAGAGCGTCGACCTTGGCTTGAGATGCGGGCTTCGCGGCCGAAATGCCGGCTTCTATCAATATTTATTAGTTTAGTTTTGAATCGTAGCTGAAATTAATTAATAATATACCTTTTGATTTTCTTTTTCTGAGCTCTGGTGCCATTTTTCTTGTATTGTTGACAGTTGACCGTACAGCTTTAATCCGATCGGCTCTTCCACGCTGCTATGTTGAGTTCGAACTTTTTTTTTCTTTTGCGCCAGGATTCTGCCGTTTGAGCTTTGGCGGTGAGATGGATAAACCCCACTTTCCCCAGATAAGAGAGATACGTACCCGTACCGAGATACATCGGTACGGTGTGTTACCTTTACAGTGGCTGTAGCTGCAAGTTGCTTTTGGCATTAACTTTTGACATCTGTGACTGGGAAAAGTGAATATTACATCTTAGGGGATGCATTTTATAGAGTCATTCTTTTAAGTACTTAAATGAGCGGTTAATGGATCTGTTATAAAGTCACACGAGACTTTTCTATATAAAATCAGATTCAAAAACTCGGTCAACCAAATTAATGTTAACCCCCCTGACAAGTAACCACCTACAAAGAAACGCTCTTCTGAAATCGGTTTCGCATGCACATCATACAGCAACATACATCTCACGCCTAAAGTCCTGTGGATGATTTTCATTCTTCCCGAGTTAGTCAGATATATCAATCGATCAAGAGGCCTCCCCGCTCTCAACATGGCTCCCCCCAAAAAGCCATTGTCCCATACAGAGATTTGGGATGACTCGGCTCTTATAGACTCGTGGAACGACGCGCTGAAGGAATATGAAGTATGTACCCAAGTTTTTTATAACTTCGTAGTAACTGATAAGAACCGATGTCTAACCAACAAAATCTAGAAATATCATAGCATCCACAAGAATGGAGGCAATGTGGAAGACCTTCTAAAGTCCGACGAGTAAGTTTTCACCCCTCTCTCACCTGAGCCCGACTCCCTAGATGTTTCGTACAGTCGCAGTACTGGAGCCGCATATACGCATGGCATGCTTACACGGGGATCATTCAAGAACTACGGATGCCAAGGATGAAACTCAAGAGACGCATCCCCTCGAAGCAGATTCCGAAATGGGAACTGAAGCTAATATCGTAAGCCATAAACCCCAACCCTATGGTAAAGGCCTACCCTTGAGAAGATCCTAGAAGATCAAGAAAGCTTGGCCCAGATCTCCCAAGATTTCTAACCAAACACAGAACGGAAGACAAGAGGACGGAAAGTCGACTTCCCAGCACAGCCACCCGCTTGGTGGAGGTCCCGGTCCTGGTCCTGGAGGGCTTCTAGGTTCAGGTGAGCTTCAGACTAAACCCTAGTCCCCGTCAAGGTTCTAGAAAGAGGATATCTCTAGACGCGACGAAGTTGGTTGTGCTAACGATTATGTATCAACAGTACGTGATGAAGGTCTGAAGAGACTGTTGATGTCGTGGTACTACGCTGGCTACTACACAGGCCTTTACGAAGGCCAACAAAACCAATCGCAGGAACAAAATTCCGAATCGAGGTAAATGGGGGAATTCGGAGATATCATAACTCTAATCCTGAATCTGGTTAGAAATCGTTGGGTGGGATATTTCGTGAGATCGACCTGACAGGCAGGAATCTGTAACGTTGGCTGTTACAAGCTGTTGTGACAACGATAACGTCACATAATAGTAGTTACCTTAGGTACCAACGTAGATTAAATTCTACGAGCCAGCAAGCATGCGACAAGTTATGCGCCGGCCCTTATCTAAAAGAAACAGTACAACATAATACTAGTTACTAGTAATTATACTAGTAATTATGAGATGTCGGTTGGGGGGAGCGAAGCGAAGAAACAAATTCGAGGTTATCATTACGTTCTTCATGGAAATCATGGCCTGATTCCTCCGTGTCTTGGGTCGCGGTTATGAGTGCATAGCCAAATACCCGGGGTTTTCAGCTTCCTCGAGAGGAAACAATTTATTGATAGCACTTCAATTTGAGGCCATGACGAAATAACTGCTAATCAGAATAATATCGTCTCTTTTTATTACTTATTCGTATAGTTATTCTGATATAGTGTTGTAGTTTGGTATTACCAATAATCGGTAGTCCATAGATACCTCCTAATGCTTCTATACCAGCCTAATAGTTCCAATATTTCATAGGCTACCTACAATTAAGATAACTGACAGCAGCTACAAACTAAATTACAGCTCTTCCTGATTCCAAAGTCCGAGCCAGCCGTTGCTATGAGGTCCCCGCTAGCATTGCCTTATTAGGATCCTTTTTTTTCTCTTCCAATACGACGCTATGGTGTCCACGAGCTCGGAGCGTTTAAGATGAACTTGAGAATGAAGCTAGTCGAGAAACGGTGCATGGTGCGGAGGACTAATAAGAAACAGGGATTGCATCGAAGACAAGCATTGGCATATTCGGCTTAGACTAGGCCAGACCCGGATCTTTTCCCACTCGAGTAAAGGTTGAGAACTAGGATATGGGTTGCGATAAGGTCAACCCTTAAGCAGGAACAATCTTAACGGTCAAGTTCGGATGGCGGAGCAAGGAGGATCTCGGCACGGGTCCTTTCGCCCATATAAACAACGTGCAGATTTCTTGGTAAGCATGGGTTTTTCTCCATGGGAAAGGTTTGAAACTGGCTTACTAGTATGTACAGAGATCAGTTTATTAAAGGGCTACAGAGAAAGATTCCGGCTCCGGCATAAAACAAATATGTTTGTAAAACGTGGTTCCCTTGAGAGTTCGATATGTGCTAAGAACAGATCGTAATACATAGTACAGGCCCTGAAGAGGTTATAATGGAAGTGCTTCTCTTGGTTTAGCCGTAGTAATCACAGGCTCCGGGCCTAGACCAATAGCTGCTGTGTTATATACTAGGTGGTAAACAATTCAACGAAGTGATAGCTTTACAACGGGAGAGTAGACTTTGAAATACATCTATTTGGCATGATTGTCTATAACTTAGGTACATACTATTGAACTCACTGTAAATCCTAGTACTACATAGCGAGGAACTATTGTTCATGACGTTTACTACAATAACCTTCCGAAGGAATAAACGATAGGTAGAATAACGATACCTTATTCAAAAGGAAAAAAAAAAGGTCAACCTCGGATTGGCTGTCCGCAACCTTGGCATCCCAATAGGGGCTCGAGCTATGACCGTATTCCCCTGGTCTCTTAGTCTTATAAGCGAGGGGTCCAAACGCCATCCGAGACAATTCTGTCACATCCACCTCCTACCCCCAAGCCTTGGAGCCGCGAAACCCGTCTTCTTCATGGGCTCGCCCTAGTCCTTACTGGACTGTGCTCCGTCGTCGCGAACAATTAAGTGGCATACTTCCGGTTGCCGTGCGTCTCTAGTCGTGATCGGGCGCCCTTGGCCCCGGCAAGGTTCATCCCCAGCTGCAGCTGCTATGCTGCACGGAAGTTTTTTGCCCTCCCTGTTTCGAGCGCAACTCCTGGTCAAGGAGGTATCCTCTCAGGGTCCAGCGCCAGGCCGACTACAGGTTCAGGAAATCGTCATGCTCGATTTAAGTGAGGATGTCCCCCCTTCTGGGCCCAGGCCTGGATTGTTTCTTTTCACTCTCTTCTTCAGACGACTTGTCCTGTGTAATACGCTCTTTTGCCTTTTTCCATCGTCTCGGTGTGATTTTACGTCCTTGTTCATTCTCTTAATCACGAGCAGGCCCTCGCCTTTTTTGAAAGCATCTCTATTGCCAGGCTCGCCACGGTCATTCAGGAATACCGATAATATATCGAAAAGCTCCCGTAAAAAAGGATCATCTAACGTTTAATTCCCCAAATCCTTCGAAAGAAAAACAAAAAACCAGTCAATATGAAGTACGCCACAGCTCTTTCGGTTGCCGTTGCGCCTCTGGCCATCGCTAAAGCCGTCAATAACGTCTACCCCCAAAAGAGGTCCAACCACAAGCAGGAATTAGAAAACCTCGCGGGCCTCGCGGGCCTCGGTGGAGGGATCAACCTTGGTGTTTCGTTAGGACAGTCGACTCAGGTCATCGTCATCTGGGCGAACCCTGGAAACGACGCTAAGACGACGACGCTGCACGAGCAAGTCACCGTAACCCAGACCGTCACCGCTGGCGCGGAAGCAACAGCGATCGGAACCGGAACCCTCGCCGCCGGAGCTACCACCACAGCTGCTGCTGGCGCGGTAGCGACCCACACCGTCCAGGTCGGTGGCTCCGCCGGCTTGGTCTTCGTCCCCGATCAAGTCAAGGCCAACGTCGGCGACATGGTCATCTTCGAATTCATGAACGCAAACCACACCGCTACCCAGTCCACCTTCGCCGAGCCCTGCAAGGCCATGGAGGGCGGCATGGACTCCGGCTTCCAGCCCAACCCCAACAACACCGTCAACCCGCCTCCCAAGGTCGCCATGCAAGTCATGACGAGCGAACCTCTATGTAAGTCCATCTATCCATCCATCCATCCATCTTTCGCGTGATCATTTCAGCTAACGGAAGAAAACCCTAGGGTTCTACTGCAAGCAGAAGGGCCACTGCGGCAAGGGCATGACCTTCTCGATCAACCCCACGGCCGAGAAGTCGCAAGCCCTGTTCCAGGCCAAGGCGATCCAGCAGAACGGTTCCGGCGCCGGCAGCGCCATCACGGGCAACGCGACGGAGCCCGCCGTCGCCGCGCCCGCCGCCTCCTCGGGCAGCGAGACCGCCCCCGCCGCTCCGGGCGTCACCCAGGGCACGGGCACCATCCAGAACGGCGCCTGCGTGTGCGCCGTCCAGTGCAGCACCGGCAGCTTCCCTGTCAACGCGGCCCAGGGCGTCGGCGCTTTCGGCGGCTTCGCGGGCGGTCTGCCCGCGAGCATGATGGAGGCTATTTAAACAGAAGTAGTGGTAGCGGGGAAAGGGAGACAAACAAACAAGCAAACAAACGGCGTCTGGGGAATTACGACTGATACCAATGGCTAGCTAGTAATTGTCGCCGAGGATCTGAGATGATTCTGATATATCTGAGGCGGAGGAGGGGGGTTTTCTTTTATTATTGACACACCTGAATGATTAGACTTCTTCTTTTTTTTACTATTATTCACCTGGCAATTAGGGATTCTTTTTATTTTTATTTTTTTTGTTCAAGAGATATGACTGGATCGTACACTAGGTATATATATAGGTGCACTTAATAAGGTCATCAGATCAAGTATAAAAATATACCAATACTTAATTCAAGATGATGTTTGCGCCTTACCTAGCAAGATATAGAAAACTGCATAGCGTGACGCTTGAGTGAACCGAGCAAGCAAGTAAGCAGACAGACAGGCAGACAGGCAGGCAGATATTAGTAATTACCCGAGGTACCTTAGACAGTCACGTCGAGAGGGGGGACGACTACGGATTAATGATGGATCGCATTAATCAAAAAGAACGAGATGCGTGTATGAGAAAGAAAGTCCAGACGCCGTTCAACACGCCCTAGAACCCCCGCCGTTCGTCGGTTGAATAAATAAAAAAGACGATTCGCCCCGAATCTCATATATCGTTGAAATCAATCATGTGTGTGGTCCCTCGCTATACCCCCCTATGCTACGGGATATATATGTCTATGTCCTAATACGCCTCTCGCTATGCTGCATTGGTGTGTGGTGCTTCCCCTTTCCTCCCCGAATAATTTTACTTTCCGCCAGCAGCGGCGGCAGCAGCTTTCTTCGCGTCGGCTAGGAGACAAAAAGGATTTAGGTCAGTTTTACGAACATCAGGCGCATAGTGATAATAATATACGGGAGAGAAGAAGTCCAGATAGCACACATATTCTTCTTCTTCTTTGTCGTTTGAAAGGGGATGGGGATGGGGATGGACTATATATCTTACCGGCAGCTTGCTTCTTGCGCATCATCTCGGCGACGGCTTCCTTGTCGCGCTGCATCTCCGTGCCGCTCTTGTTGTTCTTGGATTTCTGCGCGGGGGGGAGCGGGTTAGCATATCAGGAGCACACTTATGTTGTACGGTCTTAATCTTCCGCCGCTTTTGGATCCCGATATACAACGCTGAGCACGATTGCAACCAAGCGATGACAGGTTGTGGTGGTGGTGGTAGTGATGCGCAGGCGGATGGGAAGGGGGAAAACTCACCTGGGCAGCCTGGGCCTTGAGGTTCTTCTCACGCGCCTTTTCGCGCTGGTTACCGCGGGCCATGATTTCGGAAATAGAAATAGAAAAAAAGAAACGAATAAGATGTGGAGATAGAGAGTACCTTAGGTACGGTAGGGAGGTAGAATCAGAGCGATAATGTTATGCGAAAAGGCGAAAGGGTTTTAGCGGAAGCGCAGCGCTTAATAAAACGCGAGCGGGTGGTTTATGGCTCTGATTCGGTCTGAGAGATTGTTCTGAGGATTTGAAATTTAGAAAAAGAGATCGAAAAGTTGTCCAAATTGTTTCTTTTTTAGCCGCCCAGCTGGCTTAAAATAAAGGGCGCCCACAGCAGTGCAAGCAGCGCCGCCAGCGCCGCAAGGGTTGTTTCCCGCCTAGAGCCGCGCTGTTGGCCTGTTCGTGTGGTCTGTGCGGGCAGGCTTACCGCTTAAAACTTCGATTGCAGCCAATCAGATCACTTGCTCATCACTGATCTAAAGATTCTCGATCCTTCCTTTTATCGAGAAATCGGCTTAGCGTGTTGGACTTTGATAGATCCCCTGGATTCCCTGGATCCCCCACATGGTTTTACTGATAGGTTTAGGTACAAGCATGTCAAGTGGTTACATGGTAGAACAAGCTGATAGATGCGGTGTTCCTGATTCATTTCAACGTTGTTAATTACGATGGCATATGTAAATGATATTGTTTTTTATCTTCGTAGGTACTTGCACACATCTACAAACCTTCAAGGTACAATATATGAACCCTAGAGGTACAAGAACACGCTGTCAGGTATGTATCAGGTAAATAAGGGTAAGCTGATTTGAAGGGAATCAAAGATGACAAACAATAGCTTAGAGAACAATAAAGATCAATACGGATTATTATCCAAGATAAGGAAAAGAAAAAACAAAGGAATAGTTGGATGTCTCATTATTTCCTACAAGATTCAATCGTTTTAACTGAGGTTATTTTCAAATTGTTGCTCCATGTATGATTCCGGAGCATATCGAAATCATCACTTATAAGAGGCATGGTGTAGGTATAATACTAATGTATAAGAGCTTTGGTGGGGGTCTGGCTAACGGGCCAAAAATCGATGTGAAACCAAAATCGTTAACTGACAGCCAATCGAATTAATGTCGTAACCCAATTCTCACGATGTATTCGCTCAAACGGAAAATAGACCACATTTAAATCATTGGATATGATGATCTCGTGCTGCAGGCCCATGCCATTTTCCTAGCTACCGGTTTCTTGCTATCATAGTATCTGTATTGTTAAGAGCAATGATTCGTGTCAAGCGCCGGGACAGTTGCAGATCTAACCCGTCTGAGGGAACGGAGATTCACCAAAAGATGCAAGCAATAATATTCAGAATAGAACATTCAGATCGTAACCATGTCTTCCGTACTCCGCGGCCTGCGGTTGAACCTCTTGGCAGTTGTAAAAAAGGATCTAGTTAAACAGCTTCCTACCTGGGTCATGAACACGCGTTGACCAGTCCCTTCAACTTGTTCAGTACTGACGAGGGACAATCCGATGGGCAATCCGAGGGGTAACTCAGGCTTCGATCCAGCTTGAGACCATTCGCGCCCGACAAAATCTATTGGTTTAAGATACCTAAGGTACCTACCTAATGCAAACCGACTCGTAGATAATCTCATGAACTGATTAGTCCTTAAGGTCACTTCTTGATTGTCCCTAAATACATCCTCTTTCCTCGCCCTGCATCACTTCTTTCAACGTCTTTCTTTTTTCTCATTACTATTTAAAACTTCTAGAACCAACCGGTTCTTCACCACTTTCCTTGTCCCGTCACCTTTGATTCACGTGGATTCTTATTGTCCTTGAAGGACGTACATAATAGCAATATCTTTTCGCCTAATCCATTGTGGTGAATTTTTATAAAACTTAACAATACCATTCGGTATTCGGTACTTTATTATTCTTTTCCTTCGACCACAACTTTTTCGTTCGACTTCTTTCCTTCAATCACCTTCGTTCCATCGACTTCGATTAGATCTGCGAGCCAGATCCCCGGTATACCAAAGGAAAAAAAAACGTAGATACGCAACAAGCTGCTGGCAGTTTCAACAGTTGGTCTTCCGAGTTCTTATAATTTCCAACTATGCTGCCTAAGTTGCGCAACGCTAATGCTTATACACCCAGGGACACGACCCTAGGTCTTGCAAAGTTCACCGACAAGATGGGTATCAAGTCTAGTTCCGGATTCCAAGGCTCCGCCTTTATTATCCTTCAGGTTATCCGTGCTTGTAATCTTGCTGTCCTGCTGGCCGTTATCTTCGTCTCGGGGGTCATGATGTACTTCGCCAAGATGCCCAACGGCTTCCAGTTCTTCAACGACGTCTCCCTCGCCTTCGTTATCGCCGTCGCCGGCCTCCTGTTCTGGAGCGAACTACCAATCAAGACGGGTAAGGCGATGATTACCCGAAACTGGCCGGCAATCGGTGAAGACCGCGGCTTTACCTGGCTCGGCATCGCTATGATTGTCATTGGATGCCATCATCTCGGCGCGCTCAGCAACAGGACTTACGACAACGAGGAAGTGCCTTTCCAGGTCTGGCAGGCTATCATGGCGTCCGGCATCATCGCAATCGCATTTGGCGTTACTAACGTCATTGCCTCGTTCGTCTTCAGCAACCGGGCGAGCGGCGTGCATGCCCGAGAGGTCCGCAACAACGGCGCCATCACCCGAGACGTCAACTTCACCGAGGAGTACGAGAGCTACCGAAGCAACTCGATCCGCAAGGAGAAGAAGAAGAGCCGATTCTCCCTCTTCGCTAGGGGCAACTCCAAGCCTAAGATCAGCCACCCGATGCCCCATGACGTCGAGTTCGGACACGGCGATGATCACCTCCCCATCGACGACCGCAGCAGTCCCATCATCCCGGACGTGAAGCGTCCCCCCACCGCCCTGCACCCCGCCTACAACGCCGGATCAAGGTCAAGCCGGTACAGCGAAGCAAGTCATCTCAACCGTTTTGATGACAATAGGTTTTGAAACTAATCGGTTTTGTGATGTTTTTTAGTCCGCGTATTCCTAAGCGTTTAAGGCATTGATAGGTGTTTCAGTGAGATGATGATGAAGGCGGCGTTTGGGTATGGGTATGGATTTGGCTTTGGCTTTAGCGATTTCGGATATACCCAAGATTCTGGACAGCGGACATGATTTTTTTGCTTTTTTTTTAAAAAAAAACCTCCTACTGTACGAAGTAGTAGCATACATTAGTAACTGCCATAATTAAGTAGGACAGCGATGACGATGATTATTCAATTTGAGTTTTTTTTTTTCCATTATAAACGTATTTGGGTAGCTAATGTAATGTGTAAACCTGTCACAATGGAATTATACCAACTGTGCACTTGTACGTACGTGATTCCGTACCTTTTATCTACATATGTACGGATCCATAGCACGTGACTGGGTCAAGGTTAGGTAGCCGCGATATTTGATAATCAGGCAAGTGCCTAACATATGTACCTCTAGTAGTACCTAAATGAGAATGTACTGCGTACCTTTCAATCGTTACATTTCGTCAACAAGCTAAGCGTTCTCATTAGCCTACGTCCTTCTTCAACCTTTTATTTCTTTCAATTCCCCCCAACTTCAACATGACAGTTCAATTTCCATAAATTATTGCACTCTTCGCACCATTTTCTCGCGGCGGATTGACGGGATTACTTGCGACAGCTTTTTTCCCTCGAATAATCATCGAGCTGTGAGAATCTTTAACTGGTCCACCACAAATCAAATTTCCCCATCTACCGATGAGGCATCAACCACCTTACGATTCGGTTCATTCGCGATCGCGCGCGTCCATCTCGCTCGTCAGTCATCTACAAGATTAAGTATCGTTTGACGGAAACACGGTATTGCATACTGCTTAATCCCGTAGCCCTTTGGCGTAGAAGGATCTTGGGAAAGACAATGCTTTGAGCTCTGATAATCTCTTAATACCTACTACTACCAGGCAATTTCTTGTGCCCTCTTCGGGAAACTGGTGAAGCCAGGCAGGAGTGGTCCTATCTTACAATTCTCGTGCCTTTTGTTTTCCTTTTTTTCTTCTCTTCTGGTGGGAAATATTGAGGAGGGGCATTTGTCTGCATATTGCCTTTGTGACATCTATACAATCTTAGATTGGGTCATTGTTCTTCCACACGTGCAGGTGGCAGAAAAAGCGGCGATTTCAGAGTTCTCTCCTCACTTTATTACATCGCGAGGCTACCCTCGTTAGTACATCAATTCAATCCTCGCGTGCTTGCATATATTAAGCAATCATGTCCAACGAATCCGAGTCTGAGGCGGTAGCCCAGGACTTTCGAGATGCTCTTGAAGATCTTCAAAGTTTCGATAGAACGGAAATTAGCACCTTGACCGTAATCGCAAGAGAGAACACCGAACACGCGCATGCCATCTCTGGCGCCCTTCAGGATCATATCAAACGAGTGGGTTAACTTTCTTCTCTCTGCGCCGACTACATAGTAGACGGTATCAGCATTCTCCCGTCGTCACATCGCCTACTAGTTCGTTTCAAGTATATTCCAAGAGCATACTAATAGTAATCTAGGTGATCCCCCAAAAGAAACTACCTGCCCTGTATGTTCTCGACTCTATCGTAAAGAATGTGGGTACACCATATACGCTGTACTTCGGCCGAAAGCTCTATCAGACCTTTATGGATGCCTACGCATCCGTTGATATGCCTACCCGACGCAAGATGGATGAAATGCTTAGGACCTGGAAGGGACCCATCGCTGGTTCGCTTGATACCCGACCTGTTTTCCCTCCGGATGTCACGCGTCCTATCGAAAACGCACTTATTAAGGCGAGGACAGCACATCTCCAAGCGCAGCAGAAACATCAACAAGGTCAGCAACAGTTGCTTGGACGTGGTAGGCCGGCAAACCAGGGGGTACCATATCGAGAGACGCCTACTCCGCCAGGCTACCATCCGCCTCCTCAGGCTAACGGCTATCCCGCTCAGCCTCCCATAGCTAATTCTAACGGTCCATCTTATGGTAGCTCGAGCCAACTGCCTCCGGCGACTTACCCGCCTCACCCCGTAAGTTCCCAAGCCTACCTATATAATATAGTTTGACCATTCCTAATATCCTGCTCAGAGTCAACCACAGCCTACGAGGTCAACACCTCAACCTACGCCGGGATTAATGGCCTTCCAACGCCCCCAGCTAGGAGGCTATGGCGCACCACAGGCTGGAATCAGCATAGATGCTTTGAATAATGACATCCAGGGACTGATTACGGCCTCCAAGGCCCAAATCGCACTGAACCCGCATGACCCTAGTATACAGACAAGGTTGAAGGCGCTCGTGGATTTGCAAACTATACTACAAACGCAGAACCTGCCACAAGATCAGTTAGTGCTTGTTAAGAATCAAATTGCTGATCTTGCCGTGACTATAAAAGCACCCCAATCACAAACACCTACTCCCACGCCTATCCCTCAACCTCAATTACAACCACAACCAGCACCCGTAGCAGTAGCTCCCCCGCCGGCAGCGGCGCCAAAGGTTTCTCTAGATTCGTTGTTTGGTGCAGGTACCCTAGCCGCTTTAATGGCACGAAACTCTGTCACGCCTCAAGCGTCTTCACCTTACCACCCTCCTGCACCTGTCGCTATTCATACTCCGCCTCCACTATCACAACCAAAACCAGTTGAACCTAAGAAACCAGTCACCGCACATCAACCACCACCTCCTTCTGACCCTATGGCACTCATGAATATGCTGAGACAAGCTGGCTTGCTCCCGAGCACGGTACCGGCTAGTAGTTCGACACCTGTCTCTCATCCAACACCTTCAAATTCATTTCCAATTGCCTTTAACACCCCGGCTACGGTCCCGGTCATTCAACACGTTCGCCCTTCTACTATCGAAGGTCTTACAAGTGATATCATTCTGAGAGCATCGTCTCTTAAGCAGTACGTTTCTTTCGGAATATATGTGTATAAGTTTAAACTAACGGGCTTGTAGATTTCGCCCCCAACTGTTGCCCTTTCTGTTTGAATCTCTAGGACCTCAATGCACACAGTGCGGGCGACGATTTCCGAAGGACGAAGAGGGAAAGAAGAAGAAGACGGCCCATATGGACTGGCATTTCCGGGTGAACCAGCGTACCGCCGAAGCTGAGAAGCGAGGACAACACCGAAGCTGGTTAGTCGATGAAGTGGTAAGTATTCTACCCGAACTGTGCCTCGCAACTACGGTACTAATTCGATCAGGATTGGATCAAAACGAGGGAGATCGTCGACAAGGATTACGTGGCCCCATCAGGGGATTCTAATTCGGCCTCAGGCGGCTTCGCCCCTAAAGAGCCCCAGTTGCAGTATATTCCGGTGCCTGATGATCCTAGCTTAGCAAATAGCGTTTGTAGCATTTGCCAGGAGAAGTTTGAGACGAGGTGGCTAGATAAGCAACAGGAGTTTGTGTGGCCCGATGCTATGAAAGTAGGCGAGAAGATATATCATGCTAGCTGTTATAAAGAAGCGTTTAAGGACGGCGGAAACACGCCGGTGTATTCCAGAGGCACTCCTGAGCCAGTAACAGGGAAAAGGAAAGCCGAGGTAAGTTTTGACATATTGCAGCACTAAATCGTAGAGCATCTGTTTTTGGTACTAATGCATAACAAGCAGGATGACTTGGTTTCTACACGAAGTAAGATAAAGGTGGAAGCTACGTAGGACGTACGCTCTGGTCCTGAAACCCTTAATCCATCGTGTTCTGTATCGAAACGCGTACGTGTGATCCGCTCCGGCGTCGTCCGTTTGAGTACTCACTCCAGCCCAAAGAGCTATAAACCGGCACAATCCAGCCCGTTGAAGAACTGTACCTAATAAGGAATTGACTGTCTACGCCTTAGACACTATGGATAGATTAGGTAGCTCTGGTTTTCACGGGTTTTGCTCGCGGCCTCATTGGGTTGCGGCTACGGCTGCGGACAGCAGGATAGACATTCGGTTGTGTGCCCTACTCGTCTCCTGGAAGGGACTCTATTGGCAGGTAGAACGATAATAAATACAGAACAGCGATCATAGTTCGTTTGTATCCATTTCTCTTGGTGACTTTATGTCTGCCTTTTCTGTCGCCATGGTAACCCTACCGCGTGTGCTATGAGGTTGGAGCGTAGCGGAAGCTAATGCGGACTGCAAGAGACTGGTTTTAGATGTAATGATATATACCTACCTACCTAGGTACCTAGGTAGGCATGCTCACGTTCCAAGTAGCTTTGGGGTTAGTTCGCTATGCTTCGGGAATTAAACACTCAGTTGCCTAAGATATGCGCAAGTTGGCCCAACAGAACTATAACCCAAGAAGGAAAATACTCGACTGACAAGCGTACCTGGCCGAAAGAGAATTGGATTAATTGGATGATGAACGATACCGTCGTAGCGATGCGTATGCGATGTAAGTTCTTTTAGTGAAAGTAAGGAGCCAACGGCTGGCTTGTAGTCTATCTTTGTATTTCTTTTTTCCCCCTAATGTGGTGTGAAAATGGGCAGCGGGTCTCGACTTATCTGCGCCCTTAGCCCATCCATGCAGGCAACTATCATGGGAGAGGAGTATCAAGTGCGAGTCTATCCGTTCAAGGCGATAATGTTATAACGATTTTATTAAGTACCTAGATAAGAAATAGGAGACATATACGATCGTAAAGAAGCGGAACTTCTCATGGGGACTCCTATCGAGGTGGGATGGGAATGGTTCAATGGGCTGGGGGATGGGCATGCGAATATATAAGGGCAATAACCCACGCGAGATATAAGGGAATATGACAGGTACCTACCTAGAGTGTAGACCCCGCGAACACTCGCTATTTAAGTGGGAGCTACTGGAACTACCTATCAATATGGCAAATTCAACCCGCGACGGGGTTCCATTGAACTAAGGGGGCAGGCCTAACAGCAGGTGTTCCCTCAACCGGCGTCGTCCAACCACCTTCGAACTTGACCTCCACCGATAAAGCAGACCCTTACGATGTTGCGATTATAGAGACAGGCTACGCAAGTTTATCTGCCGCCCGCGACCTTTCAGCAGCCGGCTTCGAAAGTCCTGGTTCTAAAAGCACGAAATCGTATCGGCGGTCGCACGTTTTCAACTGATATCCGGGGGTGCCCGTTCGGATTAGGCGGGACCTGGGGGCATTGGTATCGGCCGTTCGTCTGGAGGGAATCATCGCGATATAACCTCGCGAACGGGGACTGGGCCGGCGGGTGGAGAGGATGCATTGACGGGGCGAATGAGGAAGGGAGCAGGGCTAGTAAGGAAGTGTCGGACGAGTTCAAGCGCGAAGAAGCGTGGAGAGAGCAATAGCATTAGCAGCATCACCATTACCGAGATGCACTCCCGGTAATGACATCGGTGTTTTGTGCTGATGCCAGCAGTCTCATATGGCTTTTGGGTTAGGCATGCTATATTATTATTAGGAGGAGGACGGACAATGGGCTACTTTTACGACTACCTAGCCTAATAGTGATACTATACGTAAAAAGTCTATCTGTTCGATATTCATAATGTCATAACGGAGATTTAGGTAGGTAAGGAGTTATCTCCAGACATCTCGATCCTCAACGGCTTACACAGATTTGTCGATGGTGTGTATTAGCTATAACGTCTATTTCAAACTACTTTGAAGATCATGATGACTATCTACTCAACGCGTTACACGAGGTAGAATATGTCTAAAATAGGATTACATACCTGTCTTCGTGTTGGTTTGTTTCTGTCTTTCTTGATATCGGGGATAGGTCGTAAGTGATAGGTACCTAAATTTATTCACGATATAGTTAATGCTATGCTTATGAAAAGGAGCGGGACCGAACGGTGGTACCCGGGACCGGCCGTAAGCATTAGCCAGCCTTATTTGATGGGGAACCTTTAAATTTCCATCCCACATGCAAGGGACCACAACCACGATCCATCATCCAGGTGTCTGATGATGTCATAGCCCAAACAGGGGCTAACAAACAAAGGCACCCCTCAGATCACAATCAGGTACCTACTATGTGAGGTACCTACCTCATAATGCAACCTCAATTTACATCCCGTCGTTACCCCTATGACCTATTTATTAATACCTACCAAAAACTACCTAAATTAATACCTAAACGCGAATGGCAGTAATGTCGTTTCGCTTAGAGCCGGTATGGCTATTAACGCTACTCTCAACCAGGACTGTCCTGGCAGCCCTTGCGGTACCGGCTGTGCATCCTATGATCACACCAGCTCCCGACCTAAGTAACCGAGCCATAGACCGCCGCTTGGACGTCGGCAGTTATGTCAACAGCTTAATAGATAGCCTCGGGAGCGACGTCTCGAGCTATGTAGCGTCAGGCGTGCCTCAATTCTTCCAGGACTTCCCTAGTGGCGAGGCCGTCGCGAGCTCCCTTGGAATTCACAACTCGGACCTGGATGCTAAGCCTACCCAGGTTCTAAATATCCCGTAAGGATACCTAGAATATCTCCCAGTGTAATACTTCACCGCAATAGAGATAACTTCACTGCTAACGAGGGGTGTGCTTCAGAGCATATGCAAACTGGACTGAAGATGGATGGAATGTTCGTGTACATGGCAATGTATATAAGCAGCCCGATATTTCGGAGGAGAAACTCAACGACCTAACCGATGTGTTTCTCGTCGATACCGATATTGATGAGTTGTCTATTCCAGAGCAGAGGCAAGCTCGGAATTTAACAGCCTCCATATTCGTCGTTCAGCAGGGAGATATGAATGTCACTATCGACTTTGTGAATGACGTTGATGTTCGTCCGGATGCGAGCGGTGGTGTGATCAATGCCGTGAGTTGACTAAGTCTCAGCAGACTAAAGATACCTATTGCCGGTCTACTAACAAATAAAACCAGGAAGGCGGGGTCCAATCCATTGGCCTTCCCTATAAAACAACAGCCGAAGGTGATTTTGACGCCTTCGTCATTCTTCAGAACACGACTGGCCCCAACAATGGACACCTAATGGCCGGCAATGCGACTTCATCCATCCAGGCCCTCAACATGTACGCTAGAGGTACGGACACGGGGAACGCGACGGCCTACCTGGTGCCTCCCGAAGGCTTCACGATCATCTCCGATATCGACGACATTCTCCGCGTCACCAAGATCTACGATCCGAAGGAAGGCCTTTTGAACTCGTTTGCGAGAGAGTTCACTCCCTGGATGAATATGCCCGAGATCTACGCCAATTGGTCTGCTACGATCCCCAATTTCCACTTCCACTACCTTACTACGACGCCGGAACAGGCGACCAGGAATTACATGGAGTAAGTACCTACTTAACCTCCCTTTTACACTCTTACTCCATTGTTGGGGGTCAGGGGCGACCGATAAGGGGAAACGGTTTACCTTAGGTTGGGTAGGTACCAGACTAACGACATCAGGTTCATCTACAAGACGTACCCGCTCGGCTCCTTCGACACGCGGCCGCTCAACTTCTCGGACGTGTCGGCGACGCTGTCGATCCGGCAGGCGCTGCTGGACAAGATCTTCCAGACGTTCCCACGGCGGCGGTTCGTGCTGGTGGCGGACACGTCCAACTCGGACGTGATGCGGGACTACCCGCGGCTCGCGCGCGACTACCCGGGCCAGGTCCAGTGCATCTTCCTGCGCAACACGAGCGCGACCGACGGCTCGGACCTGTTCCCGTACGACACCTCCGGGTTCGAGGGCCTCGACCAGAGCCGGTACATGTTCTTCGTGACGCCGGACGACTTGAAGGGCGTGGATATCGTCGGCGGGGACTGCCACAATCGGGCTGTCGTGCAGAATGTTACGTTTGGGTACCAGTGGCGAGGTGGTGGGGAAGAGGAGGACGACAGCGACAATAACAACAAGGAATCGGGGTCGTCGACGTTGTTGGGGTCGTGGAAGGGCGCGTGGGGTTGGGCGTTGGTGGTAACCGCGCTGTTTGTGGCTCTTGGATTTGGGATGGGTTAGCATGGGTGCGCTGTGTTATTGGGGGGGTAGAACGAAGTATGCTGCTTGTTTATGACTTACGTTAAAAAAGACTGAATATAATCTGGATAGCTTCTTACTTGGTATCCCCTGGTGATTCCTACTTGGTACCCATCTATTGAGGGTTGGATGTAAGAAGGAAATCTCTGTACATACAAGTCCGTTCAATAAGTTGATTCGAGCCGTAGGTAGCGGCACCGGCCAACTCACGAAGGAAACACTCCATCGCGACATTGGCGTATTGTATTGGTTTGATGTGTATGTGTTCCGGTTCTAGTCCCTGTTGTACACCGTCCATTTCGGTTTCCGGCATCTTTGAATATGTCTCTTAGTAGATAGCGCATCACCACTCGCAGCGATCTCGCCCCCAGGTCAGAATACCTATTAGACTAGCTTAAAGGTATACAGTTGCGTCTAGATTCCCACGTCTTCTTGGCGCGTCATGTGTCGACTACCATGGGATTAGGGACGGAATCCGAGAAAGCGGCGGGATTTGTCCGTCTCATGTCCATAGCGGAGGAAACACGTTGTGATAGCTCGAGATAGTAACGTATACCGTATACCGAAGGCTTGCGAGCAGAACTAACGTCAAATTTGTCGAGTAGATGCCTGGGCTTGTAGTAATGGCCTCATCTCCATCCATTCCGTTGGATTCTCAGCATCCTAAGTATCTCGAGCTCGACCTACCTAGTGATATGCTGACACGAACTTTGGGATCATTGGTTCTTGGCGGTATCGATTCGATATTATGAGCATGCTCCGCGCCATTCCGGTTGTCGCCACGTCACGGAAGTAGGCTTATTCGCAAAATCGAGTGTTCGGGTTCCACTACCTAATAGTGGTATCGACGAGCATAGGGGTATTATATGAAGTTAGGGGCGACGTGGTTACTAGTTAGACCTCCTCTATAACCGGTAGTGTTAGCGGCTAGTTAATTACTCCTCATTCTAAGCTTGGGCTAGGCTGTACTGTACATACGAGGAAGAGAAGAATCAGTCGTGAATATTCCCCACGCTGTCGAGCTTTTGTGATGAAGTCGGCAAATTTTGCTGATGGAAGGGGTATGTGTTGACTGTTGCGATTCGTAGTTTTCACGCCTGAAAGGGGGTATCGGATCGTTATAGCCCTAGTAAGACCTGTTCTACTAGTGATGTAATTCTAATAGGTACAACCGCTACCAAATTAAGCAGAGAGGCAGATATCGCTTCCAGCAGCACTTTGCAATCTCTAGCTAGGATTATGTAAAGCACCATGTTTTAGTAATTAATTTTTTGCATACTCCTTTTGCGCCAATTTTGCGTAGTTGTGTCAATCATCTTGCCACATTCGGCGTTACATGACAATTTCGGGAATAGGGGAAGCCTCTCTACCCAGTTGGTAGGTAATCAATTTTTCCCCATCGTACTCTCAACGAGTAGGAATTAGGGATCCCCGTAAGTTGTGCCAATCATGGGCTCGTAGTCTTCAGCATAGTTATATCTGGCTTCCCGCTTACAGGCAAGTTTCTGCTAGGTGATAAGGAATTGAAGATCGTTTAGAGCATAGGTAAACCGAGGGCCCCCCCCCGTGTGGTGGACCACAAGAGCCCGACTTTAGGAATATCCTGTACCAATGTACTCTTCTATTTCAGCCAAAACATTTCCTATCCAAGTAATCCTTATGTTAGCTAATCCGACACAATATCCCTCCTAAAGTCGGGCACATAGCGGTTTAGAGTCCTATTGCCAAGTAAGGGAGACCTTATACATCATAGTTAAGCCACCAATCTGACTGCTACCCGGATCTCTGTGACGCAGCTATGCGGAAGTCTTCTTACATTTGACCTATCAGTAGTCATTTTATCGGTAATTCTCGATCGTCGATCATTGCCTGCTCGAAAATTGCTTCGGCGGTAGGAAACATACAACCATTGGGCCTTTCAACTCCCGAGTCTCGCTAATCCGGAAGGCTAGAACTTTCGTGTAATCCAGGTGACAATGGACATATATGGCAGCACGTCTTTCTCACAAACATTGCACAAACTAAACCTAAGGTACAGCTGTATCTGATCATTGGATCAACCTTTGAAGCGGCAGAACTCGTGTGGTTACATTCGTCTCAATCCTTCGACCAACACCAGGCTATCCAAACGAATCTGATATCAAGGGATAGGCCGGAGTGTCCAACTGACACCCCTATTTTGAGATAACCGGAAAGTACGTGTAGGATCCCGTCGCTGGCAGCTTACAATGAGCAGCCAATGCCAAAACCCCCAATGCATCCCTACTTAGAACTAGTCGGACATTGCTTGAATGACTCTTAGCAAACCTACAGATTAAGACCTAGTTGAGCCGAGGGGTTATAATAGGATACAATATGAAATAAAAACGTGTTGAAGAGCTTCGCGAAGTGTATACATTCAAGTAGCATCAAGGCTTCTGACCAATCATATACTCCTAAGCAACTCGCCCTAGGTGTGGCTTAAAAGGTACAGCCTGATACAGAGCGAATGGAAATCCGACTTTCGGGCCAAGAAGATTAGGCACACTCCTATCAAGGAGTCCCAGTTAATTTCCAATATATTCTACACAGTACAATGGGTAGTACCGATTATGTATACCTTACAATCCCGTATCATCCCTTTTTCTGAAAGGTTTTCTTAGACCATCTAGCGGAAGCTTTGCTCCTGTCGACCATCTACATGCCTATTTTACTAGACCGCTAATCAAAACCCTATTGATACCGTAGCACCTAGAACACCCACTATGCTATGGTACGGCGAATCAACATGATCTCGTCGTTCGGTGGAAACTCCGAGTTCCTTCGTTTAATGAGGAAAACGAAGTTGACGCCACATTCTTGGATAAGTGGCTTCTCGCCTTTTACCTAGGAGTTCTAGTTTAGAACCAGTAAGGACAACAGGGATGAAAGAACCCCGTATATGCTAGTAGCCCGTCCCGACGTTATTCATAGCCCTTCTAAATGGCGTGACTGCCTCTTTCCCAATTTACTCGTCTTGTGATATCGCGATTGATCGGTCTCATTAGCGTTGAATATGGGGCGTTGGCATACTAGCTAGTAGGAGATATCACCCAATAATCAAAACTACCTGCCAAATAGAATTAGAATTTGTAACGCGCTTTGTACTCTCTGATTATTGATTGGTTTATTTAACCTAACAGATAATATGTCAGGTATCCACGATAATAATTAGTAGCGTTGCCCATCCCTTCGCGATATGATCTATGATCTACCGTATGCCAATCATATCGGAGCATCTTCGTCCATGGCTTCATGTAAATATACGTATATTTCCAGGAAGTATTACCGAAACATAGAATGTGACATCGATTTGCAAAATGCAAATATCTTATTAAGCCACCTGGTTTGGAGTGGCCCCTATCGGCCCCTTTCCGTGATGCGAAGTAGGTAAAGGTAGGATGGCATAGAAAAAAAAAAGTTCTTACTAGCCATCACATCACAGGCTTATCTTTTCTAGCACTACTCTATGCAGCTTATTTGCTTCAAGTAAGTGTTTGTTTACATTTGTAAAATTCTGGTTTTAACCCCATATATGACGTGGGTATTTAGCCTCTGTTACGGTGTTATCATATTATCATAGTTCTTAGGCCAGTTATATAAAGAAACTGGCGGGGAACACTGCTAGGTATACTTCATAATTGAGTTGCTATCCATTCACTTAAATTTGCTGGTTCATGTTTCTATAGACAGTCGCGTAGTAACGCGTAAAGTGTTGAATGATAACTGTACGTACTATGTATGTATTTCTGTTAGGTAGACCTACATCATGATGATGCTATCGAAGGTTGTATCGTCATCGACTCTGTGGCGGCAGTTAGTAGGCTGATAGTACCTAATGCGGTAGGTAGCTATTATATAATAATGTAAGGGGCGTAGTACCCGATCGGCTGGTACCGGAAGTTAACAGTAACACAGCGTTGAAATGGTCCGTTCGTTCACCGAACGAATGTGTCCGTATTCTATAAATGGACATAAAAATACTAGGTGCAGAATTGAAATTTCGGCCCGGTGCGATGCTTATCGTACAATACCCAAGGAGGTACCCAGAAAGAAATCCAGAGATTTCAGCTCAGCAGGAACATAAGGGTTAGCGTAGATCATTAGCCCCGAAAGGTTGACGCGCGTGGCAGGGGGTGGGAACATCTACGGGGGTGAATGGGAATCCTACGACATGGTAGATACCTACCTACGCTGATACGATACTTACCCGCAAGTGTGATGAAATATGTTATGTCCCATAGGATGTCCCATGGGGTGTCCTATAGATATACCTAACCTGATGCAGCTGGGAATCCGACGCACCCAGGAAGGTAAAAGATAGTAGTAGTACAGCATATGAGACATCAATATATCGGAAAGATGTCGTACGAGATTTGCAGCTGCGAGATACTACATATTATTTTAGATCTTGTTCGTGACGTTACGATTGCGTCTAACTACCTGGATCTAGGTAATGCTACCTAAGTAACATCGGTTGCTTGTTTCACACTTTTTTGGTTGCTTTAAAGGTCTTGTGCAACTGTTGAGGCTGAAGACTTATATAAGTTATGGCTAAAAGGTAAAGGTAAAGGTAAAGGTGAAGGTGAAGATGAAGATGAAGATGAAGATGAAGGTGAGGGTAAAGGAGGTACTTAGAAAAAGGGGTAAAATTAATGGAAAATAATAAAACTTTAAAGAGACCAGCGGTTGAAAGGTGTGGAGACGCATGGAAGTGGAGGGAGCCCTGTGGAGCAGAAAGCGGCCCGGTACAAACATTAGGAAAGCCAAGCACGTGGCCGAACAGGGCCTTGACGCCCCATGCCAAGCGGGCCCCCACTGTTATCATCCCTGGTATGTACGAAGTAACGGTCACGGATAGATACATCCTTAGTGCCTGCCGTTAGCGCCTGCCGAATTCCTAGTCACCTTAACCGGGCAATGCCTAGGTGACGCCGGCTGGTTCGGCTAGATTGGGACCCGCTCTACCCAAAGGTTACTACTATTTACTGGCTGACTTATAAGATCTCTCTCTATGACACTATAGGAGTGTAGATGTAAGTATTCTTTCTGGGTAGATAGGCTAACAGGTACCTGAATAAAGGTGATTTTCTGATTTTTTTTCCCCCAAAAGAGAAAAAAAGGAAAAAGAAAAGAAAATCATCACGAAATAGGCAGTCGAACCACTATCCTCGCGTCATGCTTCATTACCTTTCCGGACAATGCTGACATGAAAAATATTATAATACATCCTGATGTCATTTTGGCCGTAGCATTCTTGCAACATAAATCGGACATAACTCACGACTCCGCGTCTTGGTTCGCCTACTGAAGCGATGCATATAAGCTTCGCAGACCATTGCCTTCTTTGTAGCTTTACCTATCTCTACGTGGGAGATTAAGATATATAAAGTTGCAATGCGCAAGCATATGCATAAGATGCGCATAGATGCTGTTGTATTGGCCCTTCTTCAAGAGTCTTTAGGTTAATGAGGTAGTGAGCAACCCTGGGTATCAAAAGTCAGCAAGCTGGTAGACTCCATCTCAAGGTTAGGATAAGTTAGATTACTATATACTGGGGAAAGGCGATCTATCATCACGAGGTCCGTAGTGAACGCGATGGCTAATGCAACAAGCCCGATTAAGAATCCTAGGATCTATACTGCAACATTGTTCTGTTCTAGAGTTACATGCCGCCTCCATTCCAATTTATCCGCTAAACTCCATTATCGTAATTTGAAGCTCTTACGGTAGAAAATTAATCCTAAGTCGAGGTTCTTTTTTAGTAGGCGGATTCCTCTCACAAAAATGCGCTCAAACTCCGTGTCTTGACATTTATAGTTACTATTAATGTTTTGTAGAGTCTAGACATTAGGTGAGATGGCCTTGCGTAGATGATTCAAACTAATACCATATTAATCATTAACCCTCGCCCGTGCTAAACCTCAAAAGTAACACCATTACTGCCCAAATACGTGCTCTTTCGCTGTAAGGACCGAACTCGGCGCAATCTTTGGTCACCTAGAATGTTTTCTATCATCTGTCGAAACCGTCACAATTCGCCATCTGTCCCAGTGAAGCTAACCATAGTCGGATTTTGTAGTAGCCGCCGCCGCCGCTTCCGCCATGCGATCGTCAGTTCATTATTAGAATCTGGGGCTGCTGGGTAGCTGCGCCCCACAATCCCGGCTTTGGATATTCATCCCCCAGTGCCATTAATCCACTATCCTCAATGATCCCTGGAAATTACTAGAAAGGTCCCATACGATTAGGTATTACTAGCATTCGGTCATGTGTATGACTTTGCCGTCATCGATTATATAGACGTCTTCCTCTTTTAATAGCTTGTTGCTGGAATCGGGGCGCCAGGAGTGGCACTGGTGGTCATCACTGTAGGAACCTGAGTTTGATTGACTTTGTATCTCAGAATCCATTGGCTTGGGGACTCGTTCGTGTTGACAAGCTCCATCAAAGTGTAGTGGACGACGCCGTCTTCAAACCGTGGAACGCAAATATCATGCGAGGGCCTCGGGAGACTCATTTCTGAGGCTACTCCGTCGACGTCTCGTCCCTCCGCCTACAGGAAGTATTAGCCAAACTTGTGTTGAAAATGGAGAGTTCAGCATGTCCGGGCGAGCGACTCACGCAACAGTTTGCACAGGGGGAATTATTCACATATACCCAATTAGGGCAGTTGTGAGTATAGAAGTACTTGCACCGGTACTTGTAGAAACCACCGCTTCCGCTCATTGTCAAAGATGCCGCTACTGAAGGAAGAATAGAGAGAGAATTGTCGGCTTTAAAGAGCGAGTCGTAGTGACTTAGTCGCGAGTAATGAGTTGTTACCGAATGGCAATGGGTAACGGTAAGAGGTTACTGCCCGCTGGCAGCCAAGCGATAGGGTTTCACTGACGGACTGCAAAGTCCAGATCGAGTGGGTGAGAGTCTAATAATATAGGATACTTAAGAACCTCGAAGTGGTTCTCGTTGCAAGGGTGCTCGAAAAGGCAGAGCGGATCTACCAAACTAGATGTGTGCGGAAACATGGTTATTTATCTCTCCAAGGGTACGTCAATGTCGTATCTGATGTACGTAAATACGTATCCTATTTGAGTACGTAGGTTTATTGAATACTTTCCCTTTCTCACTCTTATTAGTTGCTCTTGCAGCTTACCTCAGGTACTTCTGCCTAGACCGTGTCGATGTTTTTGGAGCACAACAGAAGCCGTCCGCCATACTGCCGTATTAGAGACAGGCGACAACCACCTTTCCAACGGGAGCGCCCCTGTAATGCAACAATGGAGACCCTGCGGCAACAAAGGTCCATAAAGTGGATCCACTGGTATTCTGGAAACATGCCTTCATTTACGATACAGTCCTGTAAGAGCAGCTGGGATGTTGTCCGACATGTCATATGTATGAGGGGTCGTATTATAATAGATGAAAGATGCGCCCCTTTGGAACCAGCTTGTGGAACGACGACCTAGGCCTTTGGAGAGTGCGAATAGAGAATCATCCGACCGTTATTACCAAGCCGTGGTCTTCTGATTATTGGCATATCAGAGGTGTATGATATGCGATATAATATTAAATATAGCCTCCTTGCCTCATTGGCCGGATTTGGGTAGAATGAAGTGGTAAGTATAAACTAAATAGGGACTCGAGAACTTGGAGTTTATGAGTTATGACCAAAAGAATCAGTTGGATGGCGAACATTACAAGCTACGTTCCAACGCAACCAAAGATTTATTTTTCACTTAGTTTCGTTTATGACTTTATTGTCATACCCTGCATTCGACCTGTTGCATCAACCCCCAAAAATAAATATAAAAAAAATTGAGAATGATCTAGGTAGATGATGGTGGGAGACTGCCGGGAATCGAAGCTCGGGGTTCCAGCGGTAACGCGGTTACACTGCGGCCAAAGAATCGAATGATACAGCGTAAAGGCTTGAAGCTTCTTAACAAGTAACATCAGACCCTCCCCAACTATAACCACGCTCGCCGCCATCTTCTGCGCTTCCACTCCCCTTCGATAGCGGCCCTACACACATTGACATAAAGCCATCGTCCAATGCAGAACAGATATGCCCCAGATGAGGCTGAAAACTGACAAGAAAAATGGAAAGGTTATCCTATTATTGGCCGGAAGGTTTTCCACGGTGGATAACGGCTTAAATTAATTAATAAATTTCTCAACATCGTTTAACCTGCATCACGCCCAAAGCTTTATACTTATACCTACCTCCTATACTTACCTGGTATTATATGTGTAGTATGTAGGAAGACATTTATGTACGTACGTATATGCAAGCATTGAGTGCCTTGTGTAACACCTAATCTAGGTACATAATGTAAGATTTCCCGCTTACGTGTATTAAGAGCTCTTAATAGGTACCTAGTACCTAACAGGAGGTAGTCTGCTAAATGGACTCTTGCGTCCTAGGTCGTGATGGGAAACAAGGAAGCACCTGCCGGAGCAATGCCAAAAAGAAAACCAGGCAAGTCCCAGGGCAGCACTGACTCCCGCTGTGCTATGAGTAAGATCCTAGGAAGGCCCTCCGCTCCACTTAACTCAAATGTCTCTAAACTTAAATCCTCCCCTCAAAATCTCCGGTACCCAGGGTCAGGGACCAAAAAAAAACCTGGACTAGGACAAGGTCGAAACAATCTGACCCTTGACGTCAAATCTTTAAATTTCCCACACCATCCAAGACCTACTACAACAATACATAACAGTAAAATGTCAGCCATCAAGAAATTTCAGAAGCACAAAAACCCACAAAGGCTTTACTACCTACCTGGTATGGAAACGATAGAATCCATCGCGCCACGATGCCCGCTCACGCACATTACATAGCACATTACGTCTACTAAGCACATCGACCTATCATATGGTTATGCCTAATCGAATGCATGCAATCTTTCTTTCATCTACCCGTGTCATGATCTGCCTTCATCTGCAGACTTATCCTGTCGTCCACATCCACCCTCATCAAATTTCTTTTTCTTTTTTTTCTTTTACATCCGTCTCCAGCATACCTACCATGGAAGCCGACCGTGCCTATCAACAGACCACAAGCTTCAAGATTATCAAGATATACCATTATAGGAATAGTAGAAGAGGGCTAAGCCAATCAAATTGAGGCGAACAATATTATGCTTAGCTCGCCCTTGAGGACATACTTCAGCCACCCACTTATACGGATGCATGGCTTACAGTAGTGGCCTCGCGTGTTTGTGCTCTGGTCGCCGAGCCCAAAATCAAACACAATTTCCTTTTACCGTACGCACGTATGTATGGTTTCGTAGCTATGGTCAATCATTTACTACCTGCATCAAGCCTTGCTTTCGATAGGCTTTTTTTTCTTTTTTTCTTTTCATTAGACCCGGGTAATAGGCTTCCAATGTATGATGCTACTCTCTTCGATCTCATGGCACTTATGGTGTTCAGAAATTGTCGATCTAAGCTTGCCATTGGCCGGACCTTTCATCTAATCGACTGACTATGAGTATTCGAAATTAACCAGGTTACCCTCTACCCCATTAGGTACATATCCTGATTTGGGAAGGAGACTCGTCGTATGTTTAGGTCATATGTCCACGAAGACATCATTCAGTGTCCCGTAAAATGCAGGAACATATCTAACGGCGAATATTATAAGTCGGCCGGACTCTCAACGCATTATGCATGCATGGTATCACAATGGACGACGTATACTCTGTTATCATATCCTTAAACGAAAATTGACGGATCAAAAGGGGCGTATCTCTCATCGGGCAGCATGCCGGTTGGCTAATCTAGGACCGACATATCTTAGTAATGGGTGCTACTTTGTCTATGGCATGTCGAGCCATGACATTTTCAGATCTACCGCGCACGTAGAAGTGTATGCCGCGATACAGATGCACAGATGCCTCTCAAGCCCACGGCTTGATTAGGTGGCTGTCTGCGACATGGTGCGGCTTGACGGTCTACTACTGCTTGATTACTTCTCCACTGCGGACCACTGGTGTCATCTGCAAGGCTATTGTTGGCCAGATACGTATTTGGAGGGCAAAGCGGCTTTGAACGGGTTTAAAGAACGGGCTGAGGTACAGATTGGCGTTAATATCGCTGTCTTTTGTATTGGGCGCTTGCCTATCCTTTTCGCCCTCTAAGCCGCGGGCAGGGTAAGCTTTAGATCATTTCTAACTCTAGAACTAGGGTGTTTACAGTCAACTTTGAGCAAGTTGACGGTGGCGGGCTCACACCCTTAACCCGTTCTTACTACCTCGGTATTAGGGAGAGTTCCATGTTCATGACGAATGCTTTACTGGGCCACGGCTTGGGGTCGGCGCCTACACATGTCATGGTTTTCGACTTGGAGACTACCCATAAGCGACATCAAGATAAGCTTCGCCATGATTGGCAACCGGGGTATCCTGATGGTATTATTAATAGTGTCGATCCAGCTAGTCACCCAGGTTGTTGGCTCCAACCCTTATACTCGCTACCCGGAAGGCAGTCTTGGCCACTTGGATTTTATTACTACCCCATTGGCGGCATGCAATGTGACGCTCCGCGGTGGTCTGCGTCGTATGGTATTACAACTTAAGGAGGCCACTATTGATTGCTAAAGCAAACTTTTGGCTCAGTAATGGGTTTATAGGGAATATTGGTCGTGATCCAACGAGAGAAATTTCTGGTTACGGAGGGGTTATGCCGAATATTGCACTGCACCTATGTTGTTCTGGGCTCGAGTGGGAAGATAACATGACCAGCACTTATGCTAAACGCAGATACACCGATACCTCGTCTTGGGAGACGTCGGAGTTCGAAGAACATGAGAGGAATTTACTAATACGGTATCATCACATTGCAAGGGAGATACATATTAATGCGTCACAGTTTAGATGGCGCTCGGTACCTACCTAACTTATTAAACTTTCCGGGCAAGATACCAGACCCCCCTAATGGAGGATGCTCTACTTGGCCGCTTAAAATCGGATTTCAAGACACGTTACCAAGGAACAATATGTCGCAAAGGATCGTCTACATGTGTAGCATATAGAAGAGAGCTATGAAAAGCTACTATAGGGCCTCGGTGTCCGATGCCCTCAAGCTGCTGTGCAACAACGGGATCAAGGAAATCCGCATGAGGATTTTATCACAAGCCTTTCGAAATCCAGGCAGCTATAGGCAGCTAGCTACTACATTTCATGCTAAGAGGTCCCTGCAGGAGTTGCATGGAGGTGTTGTTACAACTTGTACAACTACGTCTCCTCAGTTGACTCACAACTCTGTTACAGGTTCACTCAGTTGCCATTTGCGAATCAGCACCACCACCCCCCCTAATTTATGAATCTCTAGGTAATTTACAGGACCAATAGTCACATTCGCGCTCCATGCGACTAGTTAAAACCGAAACTCGTGTCGGCATTTCACACAGGGTGCAAGCTTCCTGTTGTTTCACTAGCAGGAGAATGGAGACATCTTACTATACTTATGGTTGTGCATGTCTTATCCTTGTTGGAAGCTATACCTGATGCTGCTGCCATCGGTGGTACCCTCGGTACATCATGGGAGGGTAGCTCTCAACGGTTGATCAACATGCTTCCATCATGTGCTGGATCACCCTCTGCGAATGACTTGTCACTTAGACAATAGCAAGGCAATATGTGAGCTATTCTGTGACTAATTAATTATGCTAACGTGGGATGGAAGATGTTTGAGCTTTTACTCTTCTCAGGACCCTGCCTGGCGTTCTTTCAAATTAGTCAAACAGGCGTAATCCATCATAGGCATATGGGGCCTGAGATGACGTCCAACTTAGTAATTGTTGGCCTCATCTAGGGACATGTGAATATATCCTTATTCTATTGTCCTTAATTCCTTGAGAATGCCTTCAGTTGTGGCGAGGTTGGAGAGACGTGGAAGCCTTCTAGCACAATACGATGCTACTGGAGCACCAGGGCAGAATTTGCGGCCCACAAAGAGGGCCGTATGTCGAATTCGTAGCAACATTGTTATCACGGTGCCGATGCGAAGAAACCGAACACGCCAACTCCTCTGGAGCTACATCCTATTTGAGTCCTATTTTAGGAGGGGCTATATGAAATCATTCTCAGCCCGAGGCATATCATATGAGATCTTCGAAGGTGCAGCTATTTCAATTCAAGATTGCTTCGAGAAGTATTCCGAATGGGATGGTGATGTCAACGAAAACTTCCCCGCAATGATCTCAAGATGATCCATATCTGTAGCCTAATCGGCTTGGCTTTTGTCAAAAGGCTTCGCTTAGTTAACTACCACCATGCTTGGGCTTTTTCTCTAACCCCACGACCTGGTTGTCTCCTCCATGTACGGCTTCCTTCGGACTTGACGATCATCAAAGAGAGTCGAATTGACAGAAATACGTATCTCCGCAACTTGGACTTCTCCTGGATAAGCCTGAAGAAGATATACATCGTCACATGAACGCGGGGGTTGAACGTTCTCGCCGGTAAGCGTGCGTTGGTTCAATAATGGGGCTGGCTTGTCTAGAAACCATCCAGGCTGTTCCAGAACCTAGATCTCTCGGCTTCTAAGGCATCGTGACGGGCTCCCCGGGAAATATCGTGGACCAATACCATGTACGGAGATCAATGCTTTGTGTTTTGAGACGGGAGATGCGGCCGGTATTTGATCGTTGCCTACAACCTCTCGTGCTCGCACTGTTGGTATCTAGGCCTCATTACATGCGTGATAGTTTAATCCCCTTTGCGTCTTGTGCTAGACGTTTACGCAAAAGGCGGTTATACGCCCAACTGGCTCTATCCACTTTTCTGGGCAACCGAGGCCGCATCACGTCTTAAGGACTACCAGGTACGTCTCGACCGAGGTCCCTCAGCAGCTAGGTAGTATCCTCTTAAGCGCAGTTACAGCTATTGGCATTCCCAGGGATAGGAAATTAAAGCAGATATGCTTTAGTTCCCAGCTGAACCACCTTTCACATAGCCCAATCGGTCTCATTCAACTGCATGAGACTAGCTAGCTAGCATCTCGTTTGAATACTTCCGAAATAACATCTAGACTCGCTTCGAGAGCAGCCCGAGAATTGATTATACGACATCCCTGGAGTTATTGAAGAGAACACTTTGGTTGGTTGATGGTTGATGTACCAGACATCTTTCAAGTCCCCTCAATCGGTCGGTCAGGGGTAGTAGTCTTGTCCGAAGGTGATTCCTTTTTCTTTTTTTGCCCCTTTTCCCTCCAATAGGTTAGGTACCTGTACCAGTCTATCTCCGCAGGTCCCAGAAAGGAACCTTATCAAGTTTCTATTCGACATCTAATTCTAACATCAATATTCATTCTCGTAGCTATTTATCTACCTACCTGTACCTAGGTAAGGAATGGCAACTACCGAAGTCCTATCCTGTGCCGCTATATAGCACGGGAAGACCTGTGGCGAATAAATCGCGTCTCTGCAGGTGGTCTTTGGTGCGTGAAAATTTTCAACTCAAGGCTTTTTACGCCCCCTCGCCTCCCCCCTTTTCTTTATTACATCCACCGCCCTCTTGCCTGTCTATCATAAAGCGCCGATCAGGGCGCCACGGCTTGGACGTGGAATACTGTCTTTTGTTCGCGTGTATATCCAATTATTTGACGGAATGATTTCCGAATCCATTATTAGACCAGTTATTCGCTCGCCTAGTTTCTAATTCTCTCTACCCAGGGCAATTACCGCTGGTGCTGATACACCGCTCTGCCGTCTGCTTCTATGGGCACCTGAGGCTCGGCGCTCATCTCTTTGTAGCCGTGCTCATTAGCCAATTCGGAGGGCTGCCAGTTGGCTTGTATCATGGGCTGCTGGGTATTAGGTGGTGTGCCCCATGTAGTTGAGCTCCAGCTGCTAGGACTTACTATATTCGTTGGGGCTTGCAACCCGGCCGCCTCCTGCCGCCTCCTCTGCCGCCGCGACCAAAATACCCATGCTACAGCCGCGCCCAAGGCTAAGACAGCGAACGCAGCCCCTACACCGATACCGGCGCCGGCGCCGGCACTAAGTTTGGTGTCCCCGCTACTATCAGACTGGTCTTCTCCTGTAGGAGGCGACGTTTCGGATGCGGGAGGGGAATCGCCTGGCGATGATCCGGGAGTTGCGGTTGCCGTCCCCCCCGCCGTCGTGGTCGTCGGACCGCTCTGGATCACAACGCCGTACGCCATGACAGTAAAGGGGGCGAACAGACTGGTTAGCGGCCCGGCTTCTTCGTCTCCCCTTATCGTACCGTTGATCGTCGTGAAAGTCATCTCCGTGTTCGCTCTGTACACGGACATGCAGCCGAGTGTCGGCCCCCACGGGTAGCTGTAGCTACTCGAAGTAGGGGCGCATTGGTAATTCCCTTGCCTAACGAGGTACGTCTTATTAGATTTGTACATTTCAGTATATCTCCTTGTTCATTTCCGTTTCTCTCTCTCTCTCTCAACGTGGACCCTAGCAAGCGCTACGAACGCGTGGTGACTCCTACGGAGATTTTCAAGAATAAGGAGAAAAGAAAAGAAAAATGCGTATGCGTTAATAACACTTACGGGCAACATATCCCCCGTGTAACGACGACCGTCTCTCCTTCGATGGCCCTAGACTCGCACGCACGCGTGTACCCGGAGGGGCATATGCCGGGGCTGTAGTACTGGTTCTGGTAGGGAGAGTAGTCGTCAGGGAAGCACGACGACTGTCCCGGCCGGCCCTGTAGCCAGTAGAAGGTCGAAGCGGTGTTGACCCAGTACAGCGCCGACGACGCGATGCAGTCCGCCGGCGGCGTGAAGGTCGTTGTAAGAGGACCGAGCGACATGCCCCGCGCGAGGCCTCGACCGAGTCGTCGAGGAGACAGGGGCAAGTATGTTATCTTGGAGATCCCGTGTTTTACGTCCTTCTCCGCTACCTCTCTATCCCGTGCCTTTTTCTTCGTTCACAGACCCGCCGGCAATAATAGTCTTCGCTATGCGCCGCAACCTGCCGTGCTCGGTTACATTCGTTCCGTCCCGGTCCTTCTCTGATCTTCTTACTTGATTCACCAAAGAAATGAGAAACAAGGCGATTCGTTTTCGTGGTTTTTTTTCTCGACCTTCTCTTCGTGTTGCGCGCGAGGCTGGATGGATGCTAGCTAGCGAGAAAAAGAAAAGAGGAATTGGTGGCCCACGACATACATACCTCTGCACGCTATGGATTGGCAACATGGCTAGTATATTAGAATTCGTTAAGTGATCGTCTTAGGACCCAAAGAGACCCGATCGTCCACACCTAAGAGGACGCCAGAAGGATCGGCATCCCGGACCGGCCATGATCCCATGTCGTACGCGATAATCTTTTTCAACTTCTACGCTGCTTCGCTGTCCCCGCTAGTACCCGGCTGAGCAAAAAGCCAAAGGGGGCTCACGTTATACCGCTGCTATTGGTGAGGCTTATGTCCTACCCCGCCACTTTCGTAGCAAGGACCCGGTTGTTCTATCGTTTTCTTACCACGCGGAAATGCATATATTGGCAGCTGGGGTAGCATCAACGCGCCTTTGTGTCAGCCGAAGCTTGCTACTTTTAGTAGGGGATCGACGAGGCAGACCATTCTTTTTGAACTCGCCTTCGAAAAAGCCGAGCTGCAATGTTTATTGTTTTATACACATATATCTGCGAATGATTTGGAATACCTTAGGTGGTTCTTACAGCACAATGTTCAAGAAAGGCGGCGGTTTTGAGAACTATCTAAGGTAAGGCTTATTAAATTCCTACCTATTTACAGGCGGTCGTTCGTCTGAATGCTGCGGAATACTTATTGTATCCAGCATTCAATAGCCCAGAGTCCAGACAGCCTGCTTCTCTAGCGCGTTATGCGGAGTATAGGTAGGTAGAGGTAGGTAATAAATAAGCCGACTTGAATGATCGACTGCGTATCCGCCTCTCATCATCTCTCTTCCCCCTATCAGGTACCTAGCTAGTATCGGCTCATTGACTCATGGCAACTACTTGCGATTTGTTGTATGTACTTACCTAAGCTAAACTACTTGAATCACACGTTGTCTCACTTTCTTACGACTTGTGGATTCTCAGCTGAATCGTCAGAAACATGTGTGTGTGTGTGTGTGTGTTGTGTTTTCGCCTCTTACCTTTATGTCAGCCCGCCCGGTATGACCGTCCGGCCAAGCTTTCGAGGCGAAACGTTGGCCGGAACCGAATAACATAAGTTAGGTAACAATTAGGTACATGCTATAGTCATCTATTGTCCTTGTCCCCCCTTAACTTCCGCCTCTCAGATTCTCGTCAGTCATCCTCGGTGAACGCGGCTGATACATACCTGCTAGGTAGGTTCCTACATGTAGTCTGTTGATTCATTCATTTACTTGTAGCTCATCGAGAAGCTTGAATACGATTTTGTGTCTAACATGACTCATGATTGTCACTCAGGGGTAAAAAAAAAAAAAAAAAAAAAAAAGAAATCAAAAAACTAAAGCTTTTCGCGCAACTCCGTCAACTTGAGTAATTTTTCGACGGATACCAGATACTATTAGAGCCAATATATTTCTCATTTGTTTGTTTTAAGACTTTATCTAACTACCTAGATACCTTATATTAGAACGTCTTCTGTGCCATTGCTCTCTATCGCGGCCACGGTCTCTGATCTAAAATGCTTCTTCCTGCCTTGCTTTAGCCTTACAGCTCTTTGCCTAGTAAGTTTCTTTTCATCAATTATTAACATGACACGCATCATACATCTCCCGCGAATGCTAGGATAGCGATAAGGTAGTATAAGATACACCTTATAAGATGTTCCGGACTTCCTGTCTCTGAGCAATCCTCATCTTAGACATGCTTTGTTAGCCTTCGGATTGTCAGTTCCAAAAGTTCCATATTCCCCAGTATATCAACTCGACTCTGCATGGAAAGGAATCTCGGGACCTCGATCGTCCTAATTCGTAGGGCATTATCGTTTTATCGCGGTAATTATGATAGCCTGGTTCAGCGACCACCCTTCATAGCAGCCCGGCGTCTCATCTTGTCAGCCACGGCCTTCAGTGCTAACTTGACTTCTTTCTGCCCGTCCCAAGAATCGATATCGTAATATGCGGGGGCAAGTTCCTACAATCATTTAGTTAGCCATATTATCCATACTCGATTGAAAAATATGTGAACATAAAATAGTATCGACTTACCAAAAGCCACTCTGGTTTAATTCCAGTGACTGTTCGGATGTAATGCTTAGACGTCATGACGAATTCGTTGTAGAGGACCCAGTCGTATTCTGTCTGGAGCACCGTGCTTGGGTGCAGCATAACTTGCTGGCTGTTGTCTTTGAGGGTGCGGTATACCCTGTCCTTCTCCTTCTTAGCTACTTGCATGAAGAAGCCGGTGATGAGCGCGCGACGAATATTGGTGTAATAGTTCTTATCGTTGAAGTCTGTGCTGACGAGGTCCAAGCCCTGCGTTTCCATGATGCGCTTGAGTTGAGCACGGACGTTATCCGCACTGGAAAGGTGGCGGAACGACAGATAGTGCTTGTGACACCAATTCCTTGCGTCTTCACCGCGGTTCAAGACTCCCTTGAAAGCGTGGTACACGTTCAGCATCGTCAAATGGTCTCCGTCGTTATGTTTAAACAAATTCTTCATTTCGTCAGCTTCCCGCCTCTTTTGGGCTGGGCGCACGAAGATTTGAGGCACCGAAAGGAGGGCCGTGATTGATAGAATTTCGTTGGAGCAGTAGAACTCGGGGCTTGAAATCAACATGACGGCTAGGCTGGGATCCAAGGGAAACTCAGATGCTAGGCCGCCGAGGGCTGTTAGTTCTCCCTCGTCGTCGAGGCACCTGAGATAATTTAGTTCTTCGAGGGCTCGCATCATCGTCTCGGGCGCAGGAGGATCCATGAGATCAAAATGCACCAAATCCACAACACCAAGCTTCTTGAGCTCGAGGACGGTGTTGGCAAGATTAGATCGGAGAATTTCGGGGTACGTCTGCTCAATCAGTTCCTCTTTGAATGCCTTTTCCGTATAGAGGCGGAAACACTTTCCAGGTTTCGTTCGACCAGCACGACCAGCTCGCTGCTGAGCGGAAGCCTTGGAGATGGGAGATACCAAAAGCGACTCCACGCGTAGCCGAGGGTTATAGATCTTCTGCTTGCTGAAACCGGGATCGACAACGTAGACGATACCGTCAATTGTCAAACTTGTCTCGGCAATATTGGTTGATACTATGCACTTGCGACCAGGCCTGCCGCCTTTCCTTAACGGCGGTGGTGCGGGGTCGAAGATTTTCTGTTGCTGATGCGGAGGAAGGGTACCATAAAGGGGGTAGACGCTCATTGGTCCACAATCGGTTTCCCTCACAAGCTCATCGACCTCAAGAGAAATCTTCCTACACGTGTCCTCAATCTCTTCTTCACCAGTGAGGAAGAGGAGAATGTCACCCTCGTCCTCACCAGCATGGATTTGAAGCACAGTACGTATCGCGCCCTCCACATAATCCTTCTCGGGCTCAGGTGTATAGAAAATCTCGACAGGAAATGTTCGACCTGGAACAGCGAGCAAGGGCGCGTCGTAAAAATATCTTTGGAATTTCTGGGCATCTAGCGTGGCAGACATGACAATAAGCTTGAGGTCGGGCCTACGTCTGGTGACCTGCTTCAGAAGTGCCATCAGAATGTCGGTAGCAAGGGTACGCTCGTGCGCTTCATCCAGAATAATACAGCTATATCGCGACATATCGTGGTCATGCATTGCTTCTCTCAACAGCATACCATCGGTCATGTACTTAAGCATCGTCTTGGAACTCGTCTTGTCCTCGAAACGAATGCTATAACCGACCTCCTCTCCTAGGGTGACGTCGAGCTCGTCGGCAACACGCTGTGCAACGGACATGGCAGCGACTCGTCGGGGTTGAGTACATGCAACCATCTTTCGGTTCAGATGCGGCAGTTCGTCGTAGACAACGTATTGTGGAATTTGCGTCGTTTTACCGGAACCAGTCTCACCGACGAAAACCAGGATCTGCGACTTGTGATATAGATCGAGAAACTCTTGTCTACAGCAGGCGCATTGTTAGCATACCTAGGTAGGATTCATCATAAAAAGAGACAGTACAGGATGAAAGATGTGAAAGATGAGGATTAACCAATTCGGAGAAAGCTTACCTTTGCTTATATACGGGAAGGTTGCGTCTTGCCTTCAAAATATTAAAATACTGCTGGGAGTGCGGTTCTCCCGTGAAGGGGTTATTGTCGCCATTCTCAGCTTCGAATGCTTGTTTGGCAGTTGTCTTTCGTCGTTCGAAATGCGCCAACGGGGAGCCTTTCGGTAATCTATCGCTAAATCCGGAGCCATTCCCCTTGTATTTGCTATCAGAATCACCGTTGCCGTCGTCCCAATGCGCAAGGTATTTGTTGTATTCGGTCAGTGTCGAGTCGTCGCCGTCTTCTGTTTTAACGCGCTTTGTAGGCGTCTCAACATCCGGACTACTTAGCCGCTTTTTATCATTTTGCGAAACATTCCCGCTTGATTTATCAGCCATCTCTCCTGATTTGTCCTTTTTTTCTTCTTCTGCTGATAAACCCAAAGATACGTCGTTGCCTTTCCGAAAATTTGGGTGTTGTCGCAGTAAGATGGTTGGTGAGGACAAGGCTGAAAAAAAGGCAGAAAGCTTAAGTGGTCAATGATTTTTATTTTTATTATTATTATTATTATTTTTTTTTTTTGGTTAAACATTTTGGGCCCCACTTCTCCGAATCTGTTACGTAGATATGATAATAGCTAAGGGCACATAAATTCATTTAGGCATAATGCTAATCCTTCCTATTAGTTTTTACATGCATCTAAAAGAACTTAGGAGGATGCTTAAAATTAATTAGGCAATACAAATACTACATAGTAAAGCAGGTACTATAGTTCATAATGCACTACCTAGGTACGCATACACTAAGCTTTAGATACCTACCTAGGTAGGTTAGGTTAGGTACCTATACAGTCGTCCGAAAATCAATCATTGCAATAGAATTTCTTGCAGAAGAACCCCCAAGATTCCAGGAAATAACACCTCGCCTAGCCATACCTACCTAGGTACATAAGTATACACCCGTCCAACTCCTCAAATCCCGCCCACCTAACCGCCTTATCACCTATAAATCCCCATCGTATACACTAATTGAGGGGCACGAAATGAAAACACCCCGTTTTTCGTCAATCCTTTGCCCGAAAAACACACAAGCCCATGCAGGCACTAGGTCTAACTGCGAGACGATCATCTGCCCGAGGCTAAGTAGGATGTCGTTTAATCAACGCCAAACTCCGCAGGACAGTGCATGCTATCTTCCGTAACCATCTCCTTTTTTCATGGTTTCGTTATGCTTGTATCCTGTCTGCACATCCCATATATTCCTCCCGAAAAACGGAAACCATGGCATCCTAATCTATGGTGTTACAGTGTGCGTTGCTGATCCTCCGAGCATCTCTAATAATGCTCTCAATCAATTCCATGGAATCGTCTGGTACTTCTGGAAGATCACTTGTGTCCGCTTTTATCAAAGGTACAGGTACCGGGGCTAAAGGGGTCGTGGTATATCTCCCTGGTGATGATACTGGTTCTGCTGCGCTTGGTCGTTGTGCAACTGTGGTGCTTGATAATTGTTGTACATCTGTTGATTGTACATCATGTACGGGAACTGCCCGTAATTCGTCTGCTGGCTGAGGCTGCTGCTGTTAGGCACTGTCTGCGGGAACTTCTGCCAAAAAGGTCCGCTTACATTGCTGGGCTGGGGCCCTGGACTTTCTATGTGCCTTGGAGTTCCGGATCCGCCGTTAATCAACGGGACCGACGTATTCGGAGTAATAGTAAGATTTGCTATAGTTGGCGTTGCGGTACGAGATGTGTGTTCCATCGAGGAATTCTGGGGTTGAACCGGGACTTGCGACTTACGTAGTGTCTCCCACGGTCGAGGAGGAGGTATATAAGTCTGTCTGGGCGGCTGAATCGGTGTTCTCGGAGAACCATTCGAGTTCGTTGATGAGGGCTGCTTCTGGACCGTAGCGGCTGCGACTGGCGGTAAGGGACTATCTACCTTAAGCTGTGAGGAGTCAGGGTTTTGAGAAGAGATGGTTGTTGGTGATGGGGCGGAGGGAGCATGGGAAGACAACAATGGTGCTGATGGCAACTGCTGCTTCGGCATAGCTTGGTACGTTTGAACGGCTGTTTGGTCGTTGCAGGTTTCGAAGTTTCTTGACTGCAACAATGCAGCATATTGAGCTCGGATTGCAGGGTGCAGTTGTGTTATAGGCCCCTCACTGAAATACGAGGAATCCGCGACACGTGATGGTGTTTGTTGGGCTTCTGACTGTCTATTTGATGCTATATGTGTCGGTGGTAGCGTCGCTTTCTGCGTTGCGAATGGAGTAGGGGAATCACTAGTTGGTACAACTGCCGATGAGCCAATTGAACTGGAGTTGCCTGCAAATGGCACGGGGCTGGGCGTGCCGTTGCTCGGGTTACCATTACTGGGAGGAATCTGACAAGCGTTAGATAGACCAGGAGTACCGCTGCTGAAGCCAGATGATCGCCTTCTAATTCCAAATAGCGCCTCGGGCGATCTCAGTAAATGAGCCCGAAGGTTACCCTCATAACCATTAGTAAAGCCACCCCAATTAGCGTAAGGCGTCCTATACTTGGTAGAATCCCTAAAAGACTGTTAGCTAAGAAATGAACAGGGAAATTTTTGACTCTCATACCTGTTATGATGGACCTGGAAAAAAGCATATTTCTGAATAATACTTGGCCGCACTTGCTTAGGGGTAACTGGCTGCGAGGGGGCCTTAGCTTCTGCCATAGCGCCTTGGGCCGACGCGGAAGGTGGCCGAATAGCAGACGAAGTCATTGGCATATCGAATGAACGATTAGATGCCAGTGATCCAGATCTAGCTCTAGCTTGAGCTTGGAAAAGCTGGCCGTTTTGTGGTGACGGCGACGGCCCAAGACCAGGAGGTTGTGTAAATCCATGGCTGAAGGGTGACTTAGCAGCAGAATCAATTCTGTTACTCCCGTATGAAAACGGCGGTGTTCCAAATCGACGATCCGAGCCGAATGCCAAAGACTGGCTACTAAGTGATGACCGGTTCCGAGCATGTCCTGCCCTTGGAGGCGTTAGTTTAGGGACAGGAGCTGCTGGTTTTGATACGGGGTATTGAGCGGTGGCTTGTCCGTTGGGCTGCGGCGTCGAAATCAGCTTAGGCGTAGTTGGCTGAGGGACGAATTGTCCACTTTGCTGATTCGTACAAGTCTGTTGACGAACAGGCGGCTGTGGAGGATAATGGTTGATGAATCGGGCTGTAAAAATGGGTTTCTGAGTATTCTGTTGCGGTGTAGACGCCCCATTTTGTTGTAGAATGGGTGGCGTAGGCGCTGGTTTCGTTACAGGCTGCTGGAGAGTATGCTGTAGGGCCTGTTGAGGAACAGGAACAAATCCCGAACCCGTGGGTTGTGGATAAAAAGGTGGTCTTGGCATATATTGCCGTTCCATGAAAGGAGAAGGCTTCGGAAGGAACTGTTGGGTCGTAAAGGGAGAATGAACATAGGAAGGTGTAACGGGATCCCTTGGTTTATATTGGTATGGCTTCTCAGGCTTGGCTCCTGTTGTAGCCGGGGTCTGCACCGAAAACGTCGATCCGTACGATTTTCGGGGCTGGGCTATAGGTTGAACTGGCCGAGGGACAGTTTCTAAGAAATTGCTCTTGATATTGTGTTTGGGATTCTTTGGATCTTCTGTATACTGAGCGCGCGCTTCCGTTGACGTTTTACCAAGGTAATGCCAGATCTGGTTATCCTTAGAGAAATCCACTTTAGTTTGAGCCTTATTCGAGCATTCGTATGAATTAAATTCGGCCCAGGTAAATCCTTCAACGAAAGGTGCATCTGGACGTGGAAGTTCCTCTGTAGCTCGCTTCGTAGCGTTAATTTGATCCTTAGCTTTACGTGACGTTGGCATGGGTATAGCATTCGCAGACGCCCTTGGTAATCGGAAGTCGGCAGGATCTGGAAGGAGAAGCCATTTCCATTCAATTTCGATACGGTCCCTGGAGAAAGTTAGCGGCTGGATTTCGCGAGTGTAATTATAGGTTTTGTACCCGTTAGGAATGATATCCACAAGCAGTGTCTGCTCATCGGCCCGGTTCTCAACGACAACACCTGCGAAGATATCACCGCGGTAGTACTGTAGTTGGCATATATCTCCTTTCTTGAGAGCAGCTGCCGCCTGGCGAGTCTTTTGACACTCTTCCAATCCATCACCATCCAACTTCTTATCCCTCTTAGTCCTATGAAAACGGCAGCTGAACTCAAAACCTTTTTCCTTGTATTCGGTCCCATCCTCGCCGAATATGGGGACGTCTGCCTCTTCTACCAGGACCCCAGCCGCTGCAGCGCAAGTAGCGTGGTAAGAGCGAGCACATTTCTTTTGAGAACACTGGAAACAAGCGCCCCTCTTGGACCGGCAATACAAGCACTTAAGTTCCAGGCGAGCTTTGCCGACGTTTTCAACGTTCGCAACAACTTCTTTTCCATCAACTGTCTCAATCCAGGTTTCTGATCCGTAAAGTGCGCAAATTCTATGAGCTTTGCGGCCATCGCTTGTCGGTAGGACATCTTGTCCTGGTATATCATGAGGACACAGGCAGCACGGCGGTTCAATGTGGTTCTTAACGCGGAGTCGTATCTTCTTGGTTTTCTTCTCCCCTTTATCAGCTGCTAGACGTTTGCGTTTACGCCCAGGCTCCTTGAATCTCACTGCATGAGACGAAGCCGGTGTCGGTGCGCCATTGTCAAGGTCATCGTCTTCTTCCTCCTCCTCGTCATCTTCTTCATCTTCCGTTTCCTCGTAATCCGTTTCTTCGCCTCTTAACTTACGTTCAATCTCGTACACATCAACCCAGACGCTGTCCTGTGCCTGGGCACATTCACATCTCTTGGCGATCTTTCCCATCGGTAACCATGAGTCCAAGGCAAAGTTCACGGCTTCAGCGCAGTTATATCCTAGGTTGTATCCCGAATGGTAACCATATGGATAAGTGACAACAAATTCCCCTGGATAGGAGACACACTTATTGACTTTGATATTGAAGAAGTTTGCCAGGTGGTTTGGTGAGATGAGGAAAGCTTTGTGTCTCAAGAATTGGTCGCACGCCTTCGCGTCTGTAGGCCAGATACTCTTCATCGCGGCTTCAAACCGACGTGCATCACCCTGAGAAATACTATACCACTGTTTTGGAGCACCAAAATGCAGGTAGTTGATACTGTATAGGTCGACGTCTTCAAGATGCCACGCAAAGGTCGCCTTCCACATGCCTAGGTATAGATATGCCGTGTTGACACCGGGAACCTTGGTGCCTAGGACGTCGAGGAGGTTGGGAAGCTTGTTAAGATTCCAAGTATCACATTCGTCGTCAAAAAGCGTCCCAGGGAGATCAGCACCATACAGCGGCTGCGCATAAGTAAGAGTTTTCCAGTATATGCGCTCAAGTTCCTCACACCTCTCAGGCGTGTATTCCGAGATGTCCATACGGTAGTCGAAGTCCTTGAAAGCTTCTTCATCGATCCTGGCCGACGCTTCTCGTTTCGAGTATTTCCTCCTAGCCGATGTCGATTGCAACTTGGGTTTGGCTTGCCTGGCACCACCCATCCGACCAACGACAGGGGTACTGTCGTCATCATCATCTACTTCAGCACCTGGATCCTGCTCTACGGATTGGATAATCTCTTCGCTCGGCTTGGGTGAAACAGGTGTCATCGGTCGATCTTCTTGGTCGGCCTTATCTTTTGCTGCAGCCCGCCTACCTCTTCCTCTAGTTGGTCGGCCCCGTCTCTTAGAATCGGTGGCACTTGAGGACGGAGCTGGTTTTGGCTTGGGCGGCGCCTGGGCGCGCCTCTCGCCGCGTTTAGCAGGAGGCTGGTGTTCACTTTGATCGCAGAGCTGTCGCCACTGTGGGATATTGTAGGATCTCTGATGAAGAATGTTGACCTGTCGATATGTGCCATTGGATCCCATGATATCCTGTTTGATGGGCTCCCTAACTCTGATTTGCTTAATCATATCATCAAGCGGAGGGCGTTTGTCTGTCCATTCCTTCGGGGGGATGACCTTAATGATTCCAGACTTCATACCATAACAATCGACTTTTGTCATCTAATAATTATACGAGTTAGCGATATCAGGATCAGATGACGAATGAAGAGACGGGAGTAAAATGTAGCCATACGAATTTCTTAAAATCCTTGAATTGGTGCATGTTTGGTTTGAAGACGGGAACAGTACCAGACCAATGGTCGGGAACAACCTCTCCGATATCTTCATCTTCCTTTTGTTTAACATCTTGATCATCATTCGCAGGTTCAGGTTGCGGAGCATCGGAAGACGGCTTGATATCCAAATGCATGTCCATATCCATGTCCATGTCCAGGAACGAAGGGTCGTCGAGATCACTCAATTCGGAATCATCGCTACCGTCCAACTTCATAGCGCTGTTACTATCGGGCGGTGAGTGAAGGCCGGTGGCTTTATTAGTGAGTGCGTCGTTGCTAGGTTGGTCATTTGCGACTTTGATCTCAACCGTCTCCTTCTCGGGCGCAGACGCCATTGCGGCGGTCGCTTCGGCGGACATGACGATTGGTGACTACATGCGACCGGTGGATTTAACGTAATGCTTTCCCAATCGGCCTTTTGTTAATTCTTCTCTTCTAAGTTGAAATTTATTTTTAGTCGACTGGTGGAGAACGTCGAGGGTGGAAGTCGGAAAAAAAAAAAAAGAGAATTGTCGACCGAGTTGTAAAGCTACAAGTTGACTCCTTGTTAGATGAATGGTCGAAATGAAGTCGGTAGGTGTCGGTAGGTGTCGGTCGTAGCACTGTGGAGGTGGTGTGGGATGTAACTGCCAAGTGGTGTATCAAAGCTTTTCCCTTCCAGGCTCTAACAAACGCCCCGGTTAATCTTCGGCGGTCGTAATGGTACGTTGATGGTACGTTTTTGCGTTCTTTAGGTAGGTAGTTGTAGCCTGTAGGTTACCTACCTAGGTACCTTACGGGGGTTGTTTTGGGGTGGATATTTGGGGTGCGGAGGCCTTGGACAGATGGAGGCTGGGGGAGCAAGCAAGGAAAGAACGGTTCTTATCATGTATTGTACTTATCGTAGGTAGGTACCTAACCTTAGGTATATGTAAACAGTCGCAGGTGTTAGTTGTATTTAGGTACCTAATTCATACACTTCGCAAATAAAATGCGGATGACAAAAATAATTCAGTCAGACTGGGATAAAATGGAGCAGGTAGGTTAAGCAATTGCTAAAACTTTCGAAAAAGGGATCTCAAGAAGGATAAAAATCCGATAGCTACTACTTAGAAACTGTTAGAACTACCTAAGGTACCCTAGGATGCTCTATTGCGGATTGATACTGCGGACATATTCACTGGAAGCACGTACCTATCTGCATGTACCTTGGTATTCTGTATCAGGTACCTATTCCCAGGCAGATCTTTCCGTTATCTGATGCTGCAGCTCGGACCTATCAGAATTCTTTTTGGAGAACGGAAGTCGGGATCTAAAAAGTACGGCATCTACAAGATCATCTTGATGAAGAGCCTCTTCCTTACTTTAATTGGTAACTACCTTAGGTACCTACCTAACCTAGTAGGTATCGATCTACCTACTAGGTTACCTCAGAGAGATCAAGCCCCCGCAGCTCCTATTCCCAATGGCCAGTTTAATTTTTTCTAAAGTTACCTACATTAGGTACATATTTCGCCTCTTTTATTAGCCTTCCACCTCGCATTTACACCCGTCGCCACAACATTTACCTATGGAATGTACTATGTAGGTATGTAAGAAAGAACGCTCGCGTAGACTTTAGTGCACGTCACGGCTATGTCATCATTAGCCCAGATTTAATTAGAACGAACTCTCTATCTGCCTCGAAAATTAAGTTTAATTCTAATAGAATCGGGGGAAAAAAGAAGAAAAAAGAAAAAAAAGAAATCATATTCAAGTAAAACACAATTTTGCAAATTATATCATACCTTATATATAATCCTTAGTATAAATACCTATTGATATCAAAGTGCCGAGACTGCGCATTTAACTTTCGAGCCTGACGGACTCTCGAGCTCTAAAGAGTAATGGAAGCCTCATATAGTTAAGGTTAAAACAATAGTTACTCTGCTTAGAGGATAATACAGTATGTACACTCACAACCGATTTTTACTTCATTGCCAGCTTACCTTAAGTACCGAAGGCACCTAACCTATAATAATATCACAACACTCTTGATTGAAGATCATATCTTTCTAGTGTATCAGATTGAGTCTTTCACCAATTTCTACACGTTTCATGGGAAGAATATGGTTGATCCTGTCGTGTGGAATATCAGGCATACAGCCTTGAAGATATTATTTCTTCTTTTACGCTGGTAGGGTTTCCCCTTAAGTGGTTATCTACACCTGCCATAATCATTTAGTTATCCCGTGAAGGTATAAAATTCCCATTAGAAGTTCTAATGAGCAGCAACACCGCACAACTACGCCGCGGCCAGGATGGTAAAAACAAGCAAATTATGTATGTTATTATTATTTTTTTCAGTAAATCCCTTCGTTAAATATGAACGTATGCTATCTCTTGACCATGATTAGCTGCTAGTATAATACGAAAATCAACTTTATTGAAACTCTGTCCCGTTCGCATCTACGTCATAGACGACGGTATGATTCAAGGAAATACTTGTTTCATCTATTCTCGAATTCATTTACTACCTCCCTAAACGCTTCACGCAAATGACGCATAGCAGTTCTAAATCCATACAAACGTGAATAACTCTCATAGTAGATCGTTTCACCTGCTAGAACCAGAAGGACATTGATATCGAACACATAACAACCCTACAGACGCATGAACCACACGACAGGAATGCCCGTTTTAGAAATCTGTTTTTTTTTGTTTCCACTGCGCAACGCTAATAGTAACACGTTCATCAATACAAGCCCCTCCCCAGGGAGTAATTCGACAAAGTCAACATGTAACTCCTAGAGAAAACAAGAATGCCACCCTCAAACTCCTTCTGGGAATAGGTATCGGATTTTTTTTTATCCACGAGGTGCTTATCCAGTGCTCTAGAAACCAGATGCTATGAACCCATTGCTCGCGCGCGATGCTTGAAAAATAGAAAACGAGGTATCATAATGTCATCGATAGTCCCAATCATGGTCGTGAAGAAAGGCGCGCGTCTTCTATATTCCATCCAGGGAGCATAAATAAAATAGAAAAAATTATCTTTCTGAGCCTTCAGTTTTCCCCTTTTTTTTACTCGAAGGGAGCACATGTGAAGGCACCGCGGACTTTGCCCTTTTCGTATCCGTCCATCTGTAAAGGGTGTGTTAGTTAATGACCTGATAATGAAAAGTTGGACGGGCGACAAGCCGAGAAAATGGAAACTTACGATGTCGACGATACTAGCATACGTGCCACCAACTAGCACAACCGCTCCGATAATGAATACCAAGGCGTTAAGAAGACTCTTCAGAATGTTCTCCTTGGCGTACCACTTGCCCTGCTTGATGAGCATGAACCAGAAGATGGCAGGGAAGTAGAACGTGAATCCGGAGATGAACAGCGCCGAGGAGATGGCGAGAAGATCGGAGAAGAAGGGAATAGCCTCAGCGATAACCCACGCGATGATGGTGATGACCGTGATGAGTGCCAACCACGTGACCCAGCCCTTAGTGGTGTTGATGAATCGGGTGACCGAGTCCCGGTAAATGCGGCCGTGGATGTATCGGCCTACGACGGTACCGTTGATGGATCCGGAGATGAAGATGACGGGCAGAGCAATGCCGAAGGCGACCTTGGAAACCAGATCTCCGGCCGACAGTAGGGACGGAGACTTGACGCCCTGGCCCACGAAGCAGTAGATCAAGGCTCCGGTGAGGGTGTAGATTACGATCTCGATCAAACCTAGTGCCCAGATGGACTTGACGAAGTGCTTGGGAGTGTGCATTTCATCCATGAACGAGAACTGGCAGATGGCGAAGCTGTAGGCGAAAACGATGTTCGTGATGGCAATGAAAGCCTCGGTGAAGGTGAGGTTGTCCTTAGGCCAAGCGGACCAGTCAGATGGAATTCCGGAATCTGTTCGTTGCACACCAGTCGCAATGATCGTGATGAAGATAGCGCCCATGATAGAAACGAAGTCGATGTAACCTAGGATGGCCACCTCGGCAAAAGAGGGCGGAATAGCGAGGAGCAGGAGGATGATAGCCGAGACGACACCGAAGACTAACGAGCAGGTGCCATTGTTGGTGATGTTGAGGAAGGCGATAGTACCAGTCAGACAGTGAGATCCGACGAGGAACACCAGTTGCAATACGAACATTCCACCGACCAGCTCATATCCGAATTTACCCATGATCAAACGACCGGCATCCGCGTAGTGCTGCACGTCCGGGAATTTCAGCTTAACCTGGCCGACGACATAACTCGTGTAGATGGCAAGAAGGCCCAAGCCAACGCTGAGGATGACACCCGCCACCATTCCCAAGGTGGCAAACGCCGCAGGCATACTCAGACTACCGAGAGCGATAGCCTCGACGATGAGAACCACTGTTAGTCGCTTCCATCCTAACCTTTTGAAGTGAGCGTGGCCCATGGCTACTTTTTGCGCCTCAGATGCCGAGATATCGCTGACTTGGCCAACTACCTCGGTGCTGGACCCCAGCTCTTGCCCCGAGGGGGTGTCCGAATCGAACATCTTCTCGTGCTTCGTATCCGCCATCCTTTCTGCCATCGTGTCCGCGAGGATTGTTAGTGGAGCGTCGTTTCCTCGTTCCTAGATGTACAGTTGATGTTGTCGTCGTTGTTTTGGCGTAGACGACAACGATAGGGTAGAGGGGCTAGAGGATGGGGGATGGGGGATGGGGGAAGGCAAGGCAGAAAAAAAGGGCAAGGTTGATGGCGGGAGGGATTCGATTCCAGAGAAGCAAAGCGCCCGGGTGAAGAATCAAGACCAAACTCTAAAGACGCGCGGGCACCCCAAGGGTTTATTATAAAAGACCGAGGGACGAACTGCACTAGGCAAGTAGTCAGGTGGATTAATATTGACTTCCACCGAGAATCATCCATGGGCATGGGCAGATGGGGTTGCCCCATTGTGGGTATTATACAGAGAGGCCAATCACGCCGGCGTTTCCGACTATCTCTGGTGACGAAAGCCCTAACGATCGACGCGATTACGTTACGTTTCACAGTCGAGATGGTGGCTCAGTCTCCAGAGTTCCCCCCAAACAGCGGTCGACATCCTAGGATACCGAGAAGTGGTCCTTAGTGATCTGATCCTAGGGATCTCGCGTGGTTGAGTTGTGATGACGGCCCCCGTAATAAAATCAAAGCAACTCTTTGACCAATATCGGTCTTCTCTCATTCGCCCACAAGGACAAAATAAAAATAAAATCATTGGCTAAGCTCTGCGTCGGTCACAGCTACCGACGCTAGTACCTTGAGCCATAGACGTCACTACATACGGTCCCTGCCCAGCGTGCCCAGCTTACCCAGCATATCCATGGACCTTCTAGAAAAAGAAGAGATTTCTTAGCTTTGCCGATCTAGGCACGACGAGTTGTTTATTGGGTGGCCAGATCCGCTTGCGGCGACTCCTTCACCGCCGATACAGACTCCGAACTCTTTTGAAAAAGACGGCCTAGAAATGTCTAAGACACCTGGGATTTCATTTTTTTTTTCATTTCGCCCTCGTATCCCATTGTTGGCAGTTCGTTCCGAATCGGACTTCGAACATCATCCACATCAAGAGGCTCACGGTTGTGGCTTACGGCCGCATTCCTCACCCTCCCCCCCTCCCCCTCTTCCCACCCTTCATACTGCTTTCACACCACACTATTTCCATTTTAAGCTATCTCTGAGTGGTAGAGTTGTATGCGTTATGTCATCATCTAATTCTGCACTTCGGAACCCAGGGACAAGCTGTGGGGGGTTACACTGCGTATGGAGCCGCTCAATCCGGTTGTCTTATGAGATTGGGGAGTTTCTCTTCTACTAACTACCTACTAGCTTACAAAAAGTACTACTAGTATGTATAATATCGGAAACGGTCGGGTAGAATTATGGGAATGCAAGTCAGATTTTCATTCCATCATATAATACAATAAAGACACAGAGAGGTAAGTCGACGATAGCCGTATAAAGAAACAATACTCCTCGGACCGATGACACGCAGAATTCAGGTAAGACACATATGCAATGTCATTGTCCAGATGATTATGTTGTCGTAGGCAGCGAGCGGCGACGTAAGAAAATAACCATGACAAGTAGTATCCGTAAAAAAAGACGAAAAGGAGTCCGTCCGCTCATACTCCGGTAGGCTATCTTTCAAATCTCATTCTATAATACGGAGTAACTGGGGTCATCCTCGTGGTCCCGCACTGCATATCATACGGGTGGCTGGCCAGTGGCCAGAAAAGAACCCATTTGTCCGTTTTACCCTGTTTACCTAGGGCCTGTTTCCCCCAACCACATCTACATTATTCATGCGTTATCACATTTAAAGCCAGATCTATGTAGATATATACGGGGAATTATGTGGGTGTCTAATCTAAAATGAATAGCAATGTCCTTTTGGAAATCCGTGCTTGTTCTCCTTGGCGAGAATTGCCTCCGATAATATCTACATTAAGAACCCCACAAATGCCCCCATCGTCGGTCGCTACGACTTGGTTGGCGTGGTCTCATAGGAGGATCTCCTCAAAATTACTATGTATCAAAGCGAACTTGTTGTACGCTAATATCACTTATTCACTGTGCAAATACTACACGGCAGATTTTAACAATCATTTCGGAAATAAACCTTCTTATTCGCCCTGTCTATCAGCTCTCACAGGGCTTGCAACCTCAATGCGGATGTAACCCAGTTACCTAGTTTTCAGGGTAGTCGTTGTGGGGAAATAACGGCGCAGGCACAGGGTTGCACTCCCTCGCGAGGGACATATACGCGGTAAATATGGAGAGAGGATTCGGTTCCGTGCAGAGTTGTCATAGGTAAATAACGTGCTGACGCCGTTTCACGATTCCTGTGGCGCTGCCGAGGTCTTGTCAAAGCTTATCTTTACGATGAATTTGAATTCAAGACCCTGGTTCTCGCACAGTACTTTTTTTTTAAACGCAGCATTAAGGTATCAGGAATAGTTTAGTTATAAAAATGCTCTTCTCGCTGAGCTTTTTAGATTTGAACTTGAGCTTAGTTTGCTTGGCCTCAACTGCCAAGTCGTTACTATGTAGAATGACTAAATTTCATACCACAAACCATTGTTTAGCAAATAGAAATCAATTCCTTAGAAAAACAAGCATTGGCACTCGGTGTTCAAATCTAGCAGAAGCAAGTCTTCACATCACGTTGAATAGAGACAGTCCCATCGCTAAACGCGCAAGTCGCTCGGAATATGGTTCACCCCCACGGTTGAGTGACAGAAGGTTTTACCAAATCTGATAAATTTGAACCCTGGGTTTTAAGTCTTAAGAGCATTCTGTCCGGACATGAACGAGATGAACTTGAAATTCAACATTGCCACCGGGGTTAACGCGTCTAGTGGTCCGATAATCGTGAGGTTTTATTAACTATGGGAGAGCTAGAGAACACGCCTCGGTGTCGCATAGAGCTATTTGCATTGTGGTTCCGGGTGGAGAGGTGAGAAATTGGTTACATCGTTGTATGAATGCACAGTCATATTTTTCCGTAAGAGAATTTGGTCTTGGTATCTTGGTATAGGCACTAATTTTTGATTTCTTTTTTTAAAAATAAAATAAATAAAACCAAAATAAAAATAAATAAATAGAAAGAAAGAAAGAAGGAAAGCGAGGGAAGAAGATAATAAAAATCTAATAAGCTCATTCGAATTTCTTACTTAGAATCGTGACATTACTTTCCGGCTTACAATTACTCGTCTTCTGCTTCGGTAATCAGATTCATTGGTGTTTGCTGTAAATGGTATAAACGATAGGCTGGCCGGTCTTGCTTGAATATCGGGCCTTCTTGGTACGGATTCGGGTGAGCCAAGGATTGTTTTTCCGCCGCTAGTTTAGACGTGCACGGTCGTGATGAATCCTGCCGACTTCACTTCCCATCAAGAGAAATGCTCCTGTTAGTGTGAGTTTGGTGGGTATCCTATGCGGAGCCTACCTAATATACTGAGCGGGTAAAGGCTTACTTTTGTTTACCTAGTCGTTGGAACTGAGTAAAGTAGGGCGATAATGAAAAGGGGGCGAGTTATCAATTATCAATTATCAATTTTATCATCTAATTAAATGCTTGCCAATCTTGAAGACGATATCTAGATTGTACCAGCATTTTTAGCAAGTAAGCATTGTATATCCTCTTTACTTTGTTGTTACTTTGTTGTCTTTCCCATTGCCCGCGGCGGCTCTTGTCTACCGGATAATAATGCAATGCACCGCCAATGTTCCTAAATCTAATATCCCATGAGTCCCTAAGGCATTTCTCCAACTATCCATTTAGCCAAAGTTGATCGTAGTTATCATCACAATGCGTCGGATTGCCCTTTTCGCATGTCAATCTGTCCCATTGGGTATATGGTTATTAACTTCTCCGCACTGGAGGTGACGAGAGACGTGGATTTCGAGCTTTCTCCAAGAAGCGACGGTTACATTAGGGATAATTCAAATCGTTGGTATCTATAAAAGATGGCTTTCACGCCCATACCTACGTTTTTGGAGGTCGTGGGGTATGTCGGAGGCATAGTTCTAGGCTTAAATCCAAAAATTCGAAATGGCGGGCCAACTCTTCGCGTTAGGCCTCTTCGCCGTTACGGGAGCCGTCGCGCAATCGGTCGCTACTTACGACTACATCGTCGTGGGATCGGGCCCTGGTGGAGCACCCCTCGCGGCCAATTTAGCACGAGCCGGCTATCCGACGTTGCTCCTAGAGGCGGGTGATGACTTAGGGAACAATAAGAATTATTCGGAGATGGCCAACTTCAACCTCGCGGCGAACGACGAGAAATCGAGGTGGGACTTTTTCGTCAAGCACTCTTCAGACGAGGAGCGCGAGGCCAAGTACGAGCATACAACGTGGCGTAAGCCTGATGGGTCATTCTACGTTGGCCTCGATCCTCCAGAGGGTTCTGAAAGGCTAGGAATTTGGTATCCTCGCTCGGCTACCCTTGGAGGTTGTGCCAGTACGTAACACCACAAGTCCTTTTACCCCTTTTTCTCCTTGCGGTGAATATCATAGTCAAAATATTCGAAACCCCTCCACGAAAAAGATTGCTGACACGATCAAAAGTGCATAATGGTGGTGTGTGTGCGCTCCCCTCTGACGACGATTGGAATGCGATTGCCGAGAGCACTGGAGACGACACATGGTTGGCGAAGAACATGCGACAGTACTTCGAGAGGATAGAGACGGCTCAATACGTACCTCCGGAAACTTCTGGGCATGGATATACCGGATACCTCAATCTCACAATTAGCGACCCTGCTTTCATGCAGCAGTCTTCTGACGTGCGGAACATCGCACGCAGTATCATTAAGGTCACCGGTGGCGATGTGGCCCGGGATATCAATGCGGCAGATCCGGACCGAGACCAATCCACTGGCGTCTTCGGTCTCGCTAGTCACGCCGATCCTACGGGTCACCGTGTCGGTACCAATACCTACATTCGAGCGACTTTGGATGACCCGGCCAAGTACCCCTTAACCGTCCAGCTCCAGAGTCTCGTTACCAAAGTGCTATTTGCGGAGGATACCGAGGAGCCAACAGCAATCGGTGTCGAGGTCCTCCGGGGCCCATCTCTGTACAAAGCCGATCCGCGCTATAACGGTACTAAAGGAGACGTCGTCCAGATATTTGCCAAGAGAGAAGTTATCGTGTCCGGTGGAGCGTTCAACACGCCGCAGATCCTCAAGCTCAGCGGTATAGGACCAGCCGAAGAGCTCAAAAAGTTCAATATTCCCGTCGTGAAAGACCTCCCCGGCGTTGGAGAGAAGCTGGCGGACAACTACGAGGGAGGCGTGCTGGCTTTGGCTAGCAAGCCGCTGAACGGATCGTCGGGCCCGATCGCAGTGCTCCTTAAGACACCCACGGCGCGAAAGAATCGCAACATCTACGGCTGGTGCAAGTCCTTTTCCTTCGAAGGGTTTTGGCCTGGTTACCCTACTGAGTACGGCCCGGCGCAGTATGAGTGTGCGTTCGTGCATATGAACCCCCGGTCGCAGGCTGGGTACGTCCACCTGCGCTCGAGTGACCCTCAGGAGCCTCCGGAGATCAACTTGAACTTCTTCAAGCATGGCGGGGACGAGGACCTGACTGAGATGTTGGATGCGGCAAAGATCTTCCGGAAGGCTAGTAAGTACCATTTATAATTATCTCCCTATCTCGCCCAACCCCTTTCTTTTTGGCATACCTCTGTATCTGGAACTTCCTTGTCAAATCCACGAGGAGACAGCTACTCCGCTCCCTTTTCTCGTGACCTATCATACCCTATACTTGCTATTGGAAGTAGCTACTAATTAATCGCAAAAGTCACGTCAGTCGGGGAGCCTATTGCGCCCTTCAACGAAAAGCACCCGTGCCCCGGCATCAACCAGAACTGCACAGACGAAGCGCAAAAGGAGTTCCTGAAACTTCAGACCTACTCTCACCACGCCTCGAGCTCGTGTGGAATCGGCCCCGTGGATGACAAGCTGGCGGTGCTCGACTCGAAGTTCAGGGTCCACGGCGTAAAGAACCTTCGTGTCGTTGACGCGTCCGCTTTCCCGGCCGTCCCAGGCGCGTTTCCCGTCTGCCCAGTTTTCAGTAAGTCAACGTACCTGACAACCTCCTTGCTACCAGGCACAGCCGGTCCAGCTTTTTCGTGGAGCTATTTCTTCCTAATAATGCGCTCCGGCTATGAGATTACTTTAGATACCTAACCTAGCAGTTGCTGACGTTTGATTTTATAGTGCTTGCGGAAAAAGCTACCGACGATATTTTAGGAGATATTCGAAACTAATTCTCACCTTGCACGGATAGGCACGTAAGATGGAAAGGGGGGATTTAGTGAATAGAGAATAAAACCGGGCAAATAGACAAGGTGGACAATGAATCACACAATGGGCATTAAGTTAACACTGCAACGGCAGTTACAATTTGAAGAGGCTCTACGTCGGAGTTCTTGCTTGAGATTCTAAATATGCTATACCTATTGCATGCTTCACACCTTCCCCTTAGCTATCTTCCATCTTTAATATACCTAATACTGCACATCTACATACATATGCCTAGGGATGTTTTATTCTAAGGAATGCCCAGCCTGAGCGCCTAATGCTCATTTCTAACAATACCTTATATCATAGGTACCACCCCGATTAATGATCTAGCCCCTCTTGCTTACGATTTAGGGGTCGCTTAAATTATTCAGCCGAGCATCTAGATGTCGTGGTGTCGAAGTCTAGTACATAGCTTGTCTGCCTAATACTGCGATTGAAAGGAAGCAAAAACAACGTATAAGGGCACACTGCTTTATTGGCTGCCAAAGTTAAAGCTAGAGTGCCCCTTTTTTTTTTCTTTTTTTTTTCTTTTTTCCTTTTTTTCTTTGCTTTTATAAATTTAGTTCAACCTCTTAACAATTTCCTCGCGTTTGCTTTCTAACAACTCTAAGTAATTGCCAACAACTCCCCGTCCACGAAACTTTCTTCGTCAGTTCCTCGAACAACATCACTCCCCTGCGGTCTCCCTGATGAAGTTGTGGTAGCAATCAGAGGGACGACGTCCTGGGCATCCGCGTACATGCTGATAATGCAAAATCTTGCAATCAGTCACTCTTCCGCATTTGGAGACAAATATATCACCAAGACTTTGTTTTTTGCAGCTGTTTAAGTGGCGGAGGTAGTTATATTTTCGAGGAGACTCGTGCCTGCAGCTACATCGGTATATTGGATCAGTCTCTTTCCGATGAACATTCTAGTCGTGTCTGTTCAAGTTGGCCTTGGCGCTCAAACGCTGTCCGCAGACTTTGCATTGATAGCGCAGAGATAGAGACTGGTCGTTCTATAGTACTGGTACAGACGCTATTTGGGGAGCGCCGGCGTCTGCATTTTGGTGCCAGTCAATCGTCCAATGACATGGACGTGGTTGATCCCCGTGCCATGCTTGGTTCTGTGGGGGACAGACTGGGCAACTACATGAAACCATGCTGTATCCCGGAAGAATGTTCCCAATATGACTTAGTTGCTGGTGAGAACTGAGTAATAGGATAGCTGTAATCGGACAATGGAGTCGGCTCCTTTTAGGGCGCGACTCGCTAAACGAAATGCCAACAGTTAGTACTTGACCCAGGCTTGCCATAGGGGACAGGATAACTAGTACTGGAAACGTGGGTTTTGATGCTCTGTTTACTTGAAAGCGACAAGTACTAAAGCCGTACATATTAGCGTTCGATATAAAGATTTTGTTTTTCGCTACCACTCATATAGAGTCCCCAGGAAGAGAGGAAGACTAACCACAAAGTTCATTTGCCGAAATGGTAGCAATAGCACAGGCTTGAAGCCAGATTTGTCATATAGTAGGTACCAGACGTGAACAGTCTCGTTGTTGTTAAAACAACAAGGGTTGAGGCCAGGTTTATCTGTCGAGTGAAGGCGTATGGTAGACCCTATCGTAAGTCGAAGAGAAATAAGAGACAGATGCAAAACAAGAAAGAGAAAGACAGGATGACATGATATGTGTTTAAATAGCAAAATAGCAAATTAGTGCTGCCTCATGATAAGGTTCACATAGTTGGCAGAAGAGTATGCAAGGCATCGTGGGCATGGATGTCGAGGGTATAGACGTAAAGAGGCGCAGGTTTTTGGATGAAGTGACCTAAAATGCATCGTTCTAGAAGTTGAAGTTATGGGCCCCTGAGATCAGCGTTACCTAGTAATTGATCGAAAGCTGTTCATTATAGTTATGGCTTAGACGAAGAAAAGGAAAAAAGCTCTATGTAGTTAGGAAAAGAAGATGCATCTCTTTAAGTTGTCAAAATATTACTTGTAAGATGTCTGGACGAGGTTAGTGAAACTTGGGAATTTTCTCTCTTCTGAACATATAAAAAATAATAATAATAATAATAAAAGAGAGAGATAGAGAGATAGAAACAACGCCTAAGGATTGTCGTCATGTAGGACCGGAGACAGCTGAAATCATAACGGGCAGACTACTAGACTGCTTACAGTACCTACGTACCTATATCGCAGAAGGTATCGTAAAGCTACCACGACTTAAGGCACCTCTAATAGAGGTACCTAATCTAGGTCGATCGCGGGGTCTTTTTGACATCGTGTTACAGCGGTTGTAGAAATGGCTTGGCGAGGTGGCATATATGAGATGTATTATGTACTGCTACGTGAGGGTGTCCAATGTATGGTCAGCGATCGGTCCAAACGCCGGTATGAACCATGCCAAGGGTACAAACGTGCCTTATGGTGAGGCTGAATATGCGAATTCCCAATCATGATTAGTCTCACCGTATTGTTCCATTGGCAGTATGTGGCATTGAATTGAATTGAATTGAATTGAATTGTGTTGTGTAGGTACCTAACCTAACCTATGACGGGCCTCTTTATGAGGTATGGATAAAAGAATTGTTGACCCCTCAATCCCCTCATTATGATATCTGCCGCTTAAAGACGCACAGCTTGTCCGACACAAGTTCTGTAGAATGGAGTTTCTTCTCTGACCCTATTTTCGTACCTCCTATCTACTTTGTACCTTACTCACATGCCAAGGAGACGTACTATCAAGCTGCGCAAATTGTGGAGTGCATACTGGTATGGAAGTCCTTTTCCCTTCTTTTTTGATCTGGCTGTGAACTGCACCCCCATTCCAGAGGTAGGTAATCTGGTGTCTCCGTCGGCTGGTTCTTCCGATGCCTTTCAATGCCATCCGCCGGTATTCGTGAAACTATTATTTTCCCTCCGCAAATCTCATATTCACTCATAAAATTGTTGGATCTTCTCAATCTCTGGATTCTTCTTTTTCGAGAGAGGTACAGCTTCTGGGGCAGATGACATTTTGCAAATAAGTGTGCCTCAAAGCGTTCCCTGTTCTGCTGCACTAACCAGATAGAGAAATCCCCATCGTTAAAGTATCGTCTTATTGGCTCGTAGGCCCATTCTTGCTGGTAGTCGGGCATATTTGAATCAGTGAAGGTCGAACGAGTATAACTGTCTGCTAACTTGTTTGTGTGTTAGTCAACGATCTTAAACCAGCAGTACTTATCCCGCTTATATCAACAAGTCAAAGCTTCAGAAAGCCTCAAAACATGCTATCCCAGGAATAACACAGGAGGCCCGATTAGTGAAGTCCATAAGCCTATGTATTGTAGTAAGTTCACACTTGAGGATATGGAAATAGTAAAGAGTAATGAGGTAAAACTGGGGAACGACTAACATCTCCAGGTGAATGATCAAATAATTGATTTAGCTTGGGTGAAAAACAATAAACCATATTAAGTGAGTTCATCAATCAATCAACCATTTCTCTATGCCCTCGAAGCTGGGATAACTTCCACCTTTATACAACTATCGTTGATGTAGACGGCAACCGTCTCAATGTACCTCATCTACCTCATTCATCTCATCTGCCTCCTGCACCTCCTGCACCTTATACACATCATCTACCTCATCTACCTCATCTACCTCGCCTGCCTCGCCTGCCTCATATAAACGCCTTTTTACTCCCTAGGCCTCACAGATTAGTGTCATTTTTGAATCGCGATATCCGGTTCGATAGATTCATGATTACCTAGTACCCCGACCTGGCCCCAACCCCCACAAGAATGGCTGAGGGATTTGGCTCCAAGCTGTGACATGCCCCTTAGGAATCTGTCGTAAACCCCCCCTTCCCCCCTCTCTCCCGATTTGTGAAAAAAAAAGCAGTTAGTCGATGTGTAGACGCCACGCATTTTATTCGTTTCATGTTTAATTTGTGTAGATAATATCAATCATCCGAAGGTACACAATAGTGCAAGCTGTAAGGCGTGGCAAAATACGGTGCTGTCTTTTAGCTTTATGTTGCAGAGTACCAAAAAAATGGCACGAGGTATAGATATCGAAAGACGGGGGAGTGGCTGGAGGTTAGGCTTATATCACAAGTGGCAAGAAACGTGGCTTACACAATATCGTGCCTCTCATCCTGTATAAATCAACCCCATGAGTTGCAAATTTAACGTTATGAGATATAGGTCGTGATATCCAAGTGTTATGATGGAAAAGGAGTGGTATGGTTACAGAGAGAGGAAAGGGGCCAACATATGTGTATAGGTAATAATATAGTGTCATATGCAACACTTTCCAGTATACCCCGGAATATGGATTTCTTAAGGGTGCCTGGTAAGTTTCAATAGCGCCTCGCAGATCTGCATGTAAAGAAAATCTTAATTGATAACCCCAAACGCCTTGACTGCCCAAGTCCTTGTGCATATATAAACATAGGTAGATAAACCAATATGACAGCTACCTCTTAATGTCGTTACGGGAACCAAGTGAAGATTGAGTACTCAACCAATTTCGATCCGGTACCCGTTGGATAGATACCCCCAAGTCGTCGACTTGAAACTCCCGAACCAAAGGGAAGCCAACAATGTCGTGCGCCTTATGCCTTAACTTGTCGCGATTGGGATTCTATGCTGAGCCATTCTCTTGGTTCTCGAACTCATTTCTTGAGCCACTTCTATAACTTAAGGCCCTCGACCAGCTCCGAACCCTCATATATGATGCAATGTCAGAGACATCTCGAATTTTGGGTAAAGTCTTGAAAAATATCCTTGCCACTAGTAGGCATGCTACAGCAATGCCAGCTGTTATCTCTAGCAGATACCACATACTGAAATGCCATATGTTATATGTATCATCGGATTGAGAACGGAATCTAACAGTGTAGAACAAGCTGATGCCTGAGAAGGCACATGCACTAAGATATCTCAGTGATTAGCGCAAATGTCATGTGAGATCGAACATCCATAGACTTACAGAATAGCTACCAAGAATATAGCCGATACTCCAGCCTTTTCCTTTCGAGACAGGTTAAGCCGCCAAATTATAGGCTGTGGCAAGGCAAAAATCAGTAAATTTGATGCTGTGTTTATGGTAGCCGTCGCGTTAACAAGCGCTTTTATATCTATGCAACAGCCCTCTGTAATCAATGGATCCCACGCTTTGGCTAGCGGTCTGCAGGAGAAGATTTTGAGGAATCTGCCGGTGAAATAGTAGAGAAAGTTCGTCACGATTAGGGTTCTTGTGGCCCAATATAATGCCCTTGGCTTTTTGATAGGCATAAAGATCTGTATGTACTGCATCAAAATTGAAAGCTTGATGAAGAACACGGATATGCCGTATAATATAGCCGCAATATGGAAATACTAGACATATGAGCGTTAGTTTCCATTTATTCAAGAGGGAATGTTTCTCTCCTGGACACTAACGTAAAGAAAGGGACGTAGGTCTTTTAGTCGTACGTTCCATTGGTGTACACCCGGTGCAAATTTGATAGCATGGAACACACATGTCATTTCCCCTATGTAGACTCCCTAGCACAAATTATAAGTAAGGGAACATATAGAAAAACAAGTTGGCAATACCCAGCCAAAAAGTATAGAGTCTATCAGAGTTAGTTAGTCAACGCTTAACATTTCGGGGAGGGTACTGACAGTCCGCAATATTTACTTGGCGGATAATGATAGCTTTTGTATATAAACGCATTGCTACCAAGACTGTAGACGCCACAACACAAAATATTGATATAGCCATTGACGCGGTCCAATGATCGGGAGGATTATCTAATTGAGGGATGACCCCGACGGGGGAGGCTAGTGCCGGCTCATTGAGTAGAGCCTCGAGCTCATTAGGACTAAGATTGTTCATGGCGACTTGATGATATGCTACCTCCGACCTGGAATTAAGTTCGATCATCACATTGATATCTTGAATATTTAGGCATATTATAAGTAAAGTGAGATTGAAAGAACGGTTTCTTCACCTAACATATTGATTCCTGACTACTCGAAGCGCTGTCTTCCTGCATCAAGCAAACCACAGCCCGCAAATTCTCATTGCTTAGCTGGTTTATGCTGGCATACAGCCTACTTCTTGATGTTACTTTAGGGCTAGTATAGAAAGTCGCTCGAAATTATATTCGAGTTGCTCTCGATGACCGCATATATTGAATGTCTTTTACCTATACATGCGTCAGATCAACCAGAAAAAAGTTTGTCTGTCCAGGGAATTATACCAACCTCGTGAGAAATGCTACATAGTTAGGTGACAGCATAGGTAACGCTAAAAGTCTTTGCCTCAATAATAGTGGCTGGAAGCAAAATGGGAGATAAAACTCTCAGTTCTCGTAGCAATCGTAATTTATGCAATGCAATACACAAATAATTACGTTGATGGGTGGCATATACTTAGGGGCTATAGTAGATATTTTGGGGATTTCTTTAGTAGGAACGGGCGGTTGTTCGCTCAACAATGCCACTCTACAGGCAGGCTCCTCCAAATCTCGGCAAGAATTGCCTAAAAATATCGGACGAATAGTGGCTTATTGTTTGGTAGCATCTACTCTGTTGCAATTGGAGTCCCTACTAGAAGTATAGATGATGATGGTTACCTACTTAGGTGCTTAGAGTAGGCACTTGCTACCTTGTATACCAGGTAGGTAGAGTGCCCGTAAAAAGTGATATCACTACCGCTATACTCAGGCAAACCGGAAACACTCCTTTAAAACTTCATAAGTTCTCACACATAGACAAGGCCCATTCAACATTCTACTCTCCGGGGAAGGTTCACCATATCCTCAGGCCGAAGTCGAAACAGTTACCTGTTCAAACCAGCCTTCTTGAGCAGACGATTAGAGGAAAACTAAAAATAGCTGATAGTCTTGCGACAAGAAAATCAAGGGCCTAACCTCTTGTCAAGGGTAACGACGTCGGGAAGAAGCATATCAAGGTACCTAGGTACCTATTCTACCCGAATAGGAAAGTCGGGCTAATCAGGTACGTACCCAGGTCCAGTAGCTAAGTACCTAGGTACCTATTAGTAACGATCCACCCTTCTCCACTTAGCCTTTGGATAAGACAGACAAAAGTTAAACAGATAGGTGATTAGCGATAACGATAACGATAACGATAACGTTTGCTTAGAGGTACATTATTATTTTTTTAATCTGCACTTCTCATCCATCGCCTTTCCACTCGGTCTCTTACGGGCGCATCACATAACTTGCTTCAAAATGGGCAAAAGAAAGGTCGCGGCGCTCGAGAAAATAGAGGCTGACCTTGCCGGTCTTCAGTATAAAATTAGGAAAGATCCAGAGTATGTATGCCCGACTTTATGCATTATGCTTCTTTTCTAACCTATTGGTGGTTTGTAGAGCATACGAGAAAGAGTTCATTGAGAATTGGCAACAATTCGATGCTGCGCACGAGAAATTCCTAGCGGCCCCGGTGGGCGCTGATTCTAACTCACTCATAACTTTCCGAGAGCAAATAGATCTAAGTAAGCTGTCCTGATCCTAGTATATATATATATATATATCGTTAGACTTACAACGTCGATAGTTGCCCATTGTGCCGAGCTGTATCCTCAGATAACTGCGACGTTCCCGGACGCGCTCAAAGATGTACTTACCAAGCATCATGCCGTGTTGGAACCTACCCTGCGAGAAAAAATAGTATCTAGCCTTACTCTACTGCGCCGGAAAGATGTTATCGACAGCAACTATCTCCTCACTACCCTGTTTCCTATTCTCATCAGCACTCCCTCGAAGTCCTTAAGAATGATCCTCTATCAGAAAATACTGAGCGACATAAGGAACACAAATACAAAGACGACAAATCACCGAGTAAATCGGACTATGCAAACCGTCCTCTATAACCTCGTCACTTCAGATCGCTCCTCTCCGAAAGCTTTATGGGCCGTCAAGCTGGTACGCGAATTATGGCGGCGCCAAGTATGGAGCGACGCTAAAACTGTTGATATTATGCGCCAAGCTTGCCTGGCAGATAATGAGAAGGTGATTGTAGGGGGTGTGAGATTTTTCCTTGGGGGGGATAAGGAACGTGAAGAATTTGAGGATGAAAGTAGCGACGAAGAAACAATCGATATTAAGAAGGTTAAACATTCGATCGGGATTAATAAGAAGACGAAGAAGTCAAAAAAGATTCTTGACAAGGCCGTCGACAAGATTAAGAGGCAGGAGCGCAAGAAGAATGCGCCGCATCCGCTCAACTTTTCCGCATTACATTTGCTACAGGATCCTCAAGGTTTCAGCGAGCACTTGTTTGAGAAGCACCTTCAAAATTCCAAGGCTAAGCTCGCTCTTGAAAGCAAGCTTCTTGTCTTACAGCTTGTCACCCGTTTAGTCGGTTTGCACAAGTTGACGGTTATATCGCTCTACTCCTGGTTCATAAAATACCTTTCTCCTAGGCAGCAATCAGCCTCGTCTTTTCTAGCGTCACTCGCTCAAGGTACTCACAACTTAGTACCTCCAGACGCAATCGAGCCGTTAATACAAAAGATCGCGAACGAGTTCGTATCTGAAGCATCGGCATCCGAGGTCTGTTCTGCTGGTCTCAACGCAATCCGCGAGATATGTGTCCGGCAACCGCTGGCGATGAATGAAACGTTGTTACAGGATTTAGTCGAATACAGGAAGAGCAAGGATAAGGGAGTCATGATGGCTGCAAAGGGTCTTCTCTCATTGTACCGCGAAAAGGGCGCCGAGATGTTGAGGAAGAAAGATCGTGGCAAGGATGCGACCATAGGTCTCAAGAGCGGCGATCTGAAGCAACCGAAATTCGGCGAAGAGCAAGTTGGCGAAATTGAAGGCCTCGAGCTCCTTGCCAAGTGGAAAGAGGAGCAGAGGAAACAGAAACGAGCCGAACGTGGGTTACCAGAAGGAGACGAAAAGGGAGAGGACGAAGAAGATGGTTGGAATTCGGACGATTGGGAAGTTGCATCAACTGATAGCAGCGACTCCGGGGAATGGATTAGGGTAAGCGATTCAGAAGATGAAGCAGAGCCCGAACCAGATGCGAAGAGACAAAAAGTCAATCCTGATGATCCCGAAGAGGACAGCAAAGAAAGTGCGCAGAACGAAGCTGTTGATTTCATAAAATTGGCCACGACCCAGATCCTTACCCCGGCAGACTTGGCTAAACTTCGAGAATTGCGAATGGAGGCGAGCATAGATAAAGCTATGGGCAGCAAACGCAAGAAGGAGCTGGAAAGCCGACATGTTGACGAAGGATTGACGGCAGAGCAAATTGAGGCGCCATCCAGGTTGCGTAAGACTACAAAGGAAGAGCGAATAGCACTGGCGAAGGAGGGCAAACCGGATCGTGAAGAGCACAAGTCTACACAAGCCATACGAAAGTCCAAGAAGGAGGCCGAGGGCAAGTCATCAACTAATAAGGAAAAGGCACGCAAGAAGAATTTCCTGATGACACTAGGCAAGGCGAAGTCGAAACAGAAACGAAGTCTCGTTGCCACGAGGAATATCTTGAAGAATCATATTGACAGAAGTAAATCCGGTGGCAGGAGGAGAAATGGCGTATCGCGATAGTACCTAACCTAAACGAAATAGGTCGCAAGAGGGTCTAAGGAACTCGAAGTTCTTCTTCGCACCAAGTAGCGTCGTCAGCAGCATGACCGATACTGGCTCAGGATGCTATACAGGTTCATCAGCCAGTACCATGCTGCATCATGCGTTTAGATAGCAACCCAAACTTATGAGCGAAAGCTCTATCGCCATGAGCGCCACTTCTAAAAATTACGGATACCCATGAATTTAGGTCCAGATTCTCATGATTTATATCCAAGCGAGCTAACCCATTTCAACACAACCGCTTCATTTGCGTATGAGGGGGAAACCTTGCAATTATCATTTATGGCACTCTTACTTAATTCACATTGCATCATAACTACCTGCCTTAGAGGGACGTTTTAAGATTACGCGCATCGGATATTCAAGCCAGTATAAGTTCACCAGTCAGTTTTCTAAATTGGTACTGGCAGAAATATTACGTACCAGGTAGGTAAGCAACGAACGTATGACTGAGGAACCGGTCAGATCTTCCCATTGTGGCGAGCTTCCAAGACCGTTAATACCGTTAATATTCGAGCTAAGCTATCATTGGCATTAACGACTTGCGTGTTTAACACGAAATCATATAATATGAAGCATTCATGCTATAGGACTCGGAAAGTCTTCCATAAATAGGGGTTAGAGCTAACGGTCTTGGCGCCCCCCTTTTCAAGAACATCACTATTAGTTTAGGCAAAGATCATGTTTTACCATCACCTTGAAATGAAGTTTGCTAACCCACGACTTCGAGATAAACAGGAAAACAGCTACTTTCACATCCATATCCAATTTCCATAGTATTTCTCAACTACGTGCCAGGTAGATAACTAAGATACCAAGGTAAGTACCTAAAGATATCATCGCAGGAAATTTAATACTCGCATATATCATCGTCATAAAAGTCATCTATAAGATATTTAATAGTATATCTACGAAGAGCTCTATATACTAATTTAACCTACCCAAGTTTTTCTTATACCAACCAGCCTTATTTTTTTAATAATCATGATTCTACTAAAACCTAGAAATATAAGGCACTCTACTTCCCCTATACACCGACTAGATTAGTACTAGCAGATCGAATGCGTCTTGCCGTGCTTGCCCTGGATCGAATGCTTTTCTTTCTGTTTGTCGCAGAGGTTAGTTCAGTTCAGTTCGTATGGCACTACGAGAAGATAAGATGGTACTTACGCGGAAACGCGGGTGGTTGTGCGTGGCCTGCTCGCTGTTCATGGAGTGCTTCCGGATAAACTCCTCCTGCTTGGCGATCGACTCCTTGTCCAGCTGCTCGAGCAGCTGTTGGCAGTACCGGATGTCGGTGATGAGCGAGTCGCAGCGGTTCTTGGTGAAGTCCTCGCGCACGACCACGCGCAGCATCTTCAGGTCGTTGGTGTGCGGCGCCATCGTGTACGCCGGCACCACCCACCCTCGGGCGCGCAGCTTGTGCGCCAGCGCGAACTCGTCGTAGTTGCGCCCCGTCGCGCTGTCCGGCAGCCGGAAGGCCACCAGCGGCAGGCCCTCGCCCGACTTCTTGCTCATGATGACGAAGCCGAGCGCCTTCAGCGCCTCGGACAGGTAGTCGGCCGTCCGCGTCAGGTTCGACATGATGGCCCGGTACCCCTTCTTCCCCAGCCGGATCAGCTGGTAGTACTGCCCGATCACCTGGCTGGCGCCCTTGGAGAAGTTCAGCGTGAAGGACGATTGGTCCGCCCCCAGGTAGTTGATGTTGAAGACGAGCTCCTGCGGCAGGTACTTGGCGTCCCGCCACACGACCCAGCCGACGCCCGGGTACACGAGGCCGTACTTGTGGCCCGACACGTTGATGGAGACCACCTTCTCGAGCCTGAAGTCCCACTCCAGGTCGGGAACGACGAAGGGGGCGACGAACCCGCCGCTAGCGGCATCCACGTGGATGGGGACGTCGAGGCCGCGCTGCACCAGCAGGTCGTTGACGCCCTTGACGTCCTCGTACTCGCCGGTGTAGGTGGTGCCGAGGATGGCGCAGATGCCGATGGTGTTCTCGTCGACGAGGTCGACGGTCTGGACGGGGTCGATGACGTAGCGGTCGGGGGTGCAGTAGACGAGCTTCTCCTCGACCTCGAAGTAGCGCGTCGCCTTCTCCCAGCACACCTGGACGGCGGAGGACATGACGAGGTTGGGCCGGTCCGTGGGCTTGCCCTCGGCCGCGCGCCGGTTCTTCCAGCGCTTCTTCATCGCCAGCACCGCCAGCATGATGGCCTCCGACGACCCTACGCACGAGGTCCCCACCGCGCCGCCGCCCTCCTCGTGCTCCGTCGGCGCGTGAAAGAGCCGCCCGATCATGGACACGCATCTGTTCTGGATGTCGGCCGACTGGGGGTACTCCTCGTAATCGATGAAGTTCTTGGAGAAGCTCTCGGCCATGAGCTTTTCAGCCTCCTCCTCCTATGGTAGTAATAGTAGTTAGTAAGTTACGTGGGTAGTTAGTTAGTCACTGGGGTCTGCAGTCTCCTTTTTTCCCCATGCGATGTGACCTCGCCACAAGTGCCGAGAGCCCAAATTGGACTCTTAACAGGAACACACGCACGTACCATGTAAGTGGTAACGAATGAGGCAAGACTATATTAGAAATTGTCAGCTCGTCTAGCCCAACGCTTGCCTCGTTTCCCAGAATATTCCAGGGACACCACCAGCACCATATCGGCTCACGATCAGGAGATTTTATATATGTGTGTGGGTGTATACGTCTAGGTGCCTAAGGACCAAGGTGTGTGTACGTCTCGGTACCTGGGGTACTCACTTTAGCATTGGGTTGCCGTCCAGGCTCAGCTCGTCTTTGATCATGCGGTAAGCAATCTCTTTGGGCATCTCCCCCTCGGGCATCTCGTGCTTGGGCAGGTCTTCCGCGGCGAACTTGGAGCCATAGACGCTAGTCGTGTAGCTATCGTCGTCGTTGCTTAGCTGCAGGTTGATCTTCTTGACAGCCTCTGGTAGAGTGCTGATTTCCCCGTTGGCGGGCACCTTAGCAAGATGCACCATTTTGTTTTGTTTTGTTTTATCTTTATTTTATTTTTATTTTTTTCACGCCAGGGGACGAGGGGTTTTTTTGGCACTTAAAGAAAGTGTGAAAGCTTGCGTTACGCAAGTAAGGGAGAACTGATGGGATAGACTCAAAACAAAGCCGAAGGATCAAGGAGGAGGTAAGAGTCTTATATTTTATATGCCTCCTTGATATGTATATTCAGGCCCGTGGGAGCTCTCCAATTGTACAACCCCACGTTCCAGCGCAGCGTATCTCTACATGTTACATACCTGTGTGTATTCACGCGGCAGGGATGAGGTGAAATAAGACGTATGGTGCGGGGTAGCTTATGATAGTGAAGCATCTCATAACCGCGCGGATTAGCTAGGACAGTCAGTCACTACTTCGTATTTACTATATAGCATTAGCAAGCACCTATTATATAGCAAATATATAGTATGTTCTATGTCGTATGTCTCAAAGCTGATAGATCTCTACCTGGGGATTTAGACTCAAGTCTGTTCTCTAGCAAACCATGCATAAATGACGTGCGTAGCTAGCTAGGAGGTTAGTTAATGGGGATGTGGCGGTGAATACGATCGATTCGACGGGTCTTTCGGCGTCCCCCTTTTTTTTATTCCCTTCCCACTTACGTAATAGGCAGGCGGTGAGAATGAGCAGATAGGTGATGGATGAGAGGTACCTAAACGAAGCGTAAGATTTAAAATAAGACAAGTTTTTTTTTTTTCTACCGTCTACTTTCTCAACAGCCCATTCAATGCTAGTACATATGACTTTGTGTTGTCGTGGCATGGTCATCTCAGGGGAAGATTCAAGGACCCGAGCGACTGAGGGAACAAGAGAATGAAAGAGGGACGAACAGGGAACAGGGGACGATGGGATCTTCGGATATTATGCACATTACATTACTACCTAGTTCAAACCAAGCCCCAACTTCAGGCCGCCAAGAATTGGCAAGAAAGCTTGGTTCAAAATATGTATTACAGCAAACCAGCGCCGATTCGTCGTCCACGAATTGTCCACTCAACGAGTAGTACCTACCAATATCTCCAATACGTAGATCCTGTGCATTTACCACCACAGCCCGACTGTGGCACGGAGTCCTGAAAAACTTGAGCTATCAGCTGTCACATCAGGTGCTGTCCTACGCTGACCTGACACGTCCGCGTCATCTACTATGTAAAAGTCCTGAAAGATTTCCTGCTCGAAACGTTCTTGAACTTTCCACGGCATTTCCGGCGTGTCGTCTTACCCATACATCATAGTTGATGTTGTTCACCGTAGGTGTGTTTACTAATTTAATGTTTAGGTACCTAAGGCAGTTAACATTGTCGCCTGACAGACCTTTTTGGATAGAATATGGCTGCGTTAATAGCGCTCAGCTTACTGCGTAGTGCGATTTGATCCTGTTATATGTTACCTTTAGGTACCTGGTATTTTATCTTCGATTCGCACACCGAGCCTGTGCCTCTCCTATCAAGGCTTTTTTCTAGGGGGGTAATATCAACCCATCGTGTGTCATGGAACAGGTAAAGCCAATAAACTAAGCTCCCGACTTTTAGTTGTTGAGAATAAGTAGGAAAATCTCCCAACATCAATGTTATTATCTTAATAATACCAGTCACCTTGACAATCGAACCAAGCTTTCGGGATACATGTGATGATTTTCTTAGGCATGTTTTAACTTTAAAATGTGAGTTTTTCTGAAACTAAGGAGCAATTGCGACTGTATGTATCATACTGATAACCAGGAGGAGCTCTGATATATGTCACTACTTAGGTTTTAAGTAGGTATCTGATAATGTTGTTAAGTTTATTTACTCAACAATCAATGTTAGAGGTATCTAGCTGATCTGCACGGCTTGCCTATCTTTGTCTTATTTGGATAAAGCACTAGGCGACTGTAAGTATGAATACCTCTTAGCATTGAATAAGGCCAAACGTGGCTCTCGGATTCAGGTGCTCTCAACCAAGTGCCTATAGGCTACCTGGTAGCAGTGAGAGGATAGGGCTGCTACTTATAGAGTTCCACCATAACAAACTTTTAGGTTTAACCGTAAGGAACAGGTATAATTTGCTTCTTTCTCGTAAGTCGTTAGAAGCAAGTAGTCAAGGCGTCCTTCCACCTTGTCTAGGTACCTAACCTAAACTATTTAAGTGGACAACCTGCCTGCTTAAACCTGTTGCCTTTTCCTCCTGCTTTTCCAACACAGCCGTTTCTCACAGTTTCCATACATGCCAACCTTCTATCCACGTATTCTCTTTGCTAACAACGACCGCTTTTCTTGTTGTTGATAAAATTTCAATCTACACCCAGGTACCAGCGAATAGGGGTAAGCATAAGTTTGCAATATATTCCATAGCGTTAGTATTGGTTACCCATGGCGAATCCCGTTCGTAATAGCCAAAGACGATCAGTTGCAACGCTCCCAACCCTTAACCACTCGGACACGATCATCCATAATATTCTGACAAAACCGTCACACCGGCTTTATATACCTTTAGCCACATCCGCGCTACTACAGCTTTCTCAATCAAAACCTATAACCCGAACACACATCTCTGAAAGTGGAGAGGAATTACAAATAAATCACCTTCAGCAACCAAACCCCGAGAACTCCATAAAGCCCAAGAAACGAAAGAAGAAACGAAAGGCAGATAGAGCCAAATATACAAGTAACTCAGGTGCTTCTGATGAAGATACGAAAAATGTAAATCTTGACAATCACTGCCAGGTATCCAATGTAGAGGGGGAGGAGAAGCAATCATCTAGCTCTGCACAAAAGCACGTCGAATCCGTGGTTGCCGACAATACGTCTGGTCTTAAGAGCTCATCTGAAGCAACTAGCCTCGACGGGCCGATATCAGCGCTCAAGGATATTTCATTGGATGGTATTACGTCAGAATCTTCAGAAAATGACGGATATAAGAGCACCGCACAGGAATCGAAGCAGAATGAAGGGCCGGCCTTGTCCATCAAAACAGATTTGATAATTCCTAGCAAATGTAAGAAGAGCGGGGGCGCCAAGGTCCTGATGCAAGAAGAGAAAGAAGCCATTGCAGCTAAAGAGAGTAAAGTAAGGGAAATCCTCGCTAAGAAGAAAGAGAGGGCAAAGATAAAGGCCCAAAGACAATGGGAGAAAAAGAAAAGAGCGGAAGAAGCTAAGCAAGAGCTCAAGGAAGCCAGGAGGAGAACGCAGGAAAAGTATGAGCAGAAGAAGTTGGAGCGTGTCAAGAACATGCAAGCATCCAAACCAAAGCCGAGCGAGGACAAACCGGAGCTTGGGCAGTCAAGAAGTGGCGAGACGCTTGGAGGCGAGATCCAGGTGGCCGAGCAGTTCGGAGGTAGTACTAAAGTTCAAGTGGAGGGCGAAGAAGTTGAGGAACATCATAGCCCTGCGATCAAAGGAGAGCAAAAACATGGTAGCAATGGCGAGGTTCAAGTCGGAGAGGAAGATGAGAAATCTGGAGGCGAACGGCAACAGGCACGAGAACTTATGGAGGCCCAAGAGGACGAACCCGAAGCAAGCCATCAAAGTGACGTCGAAATACGTCTGCCTCCTAATCAAGAAGTTGCCTACGAGGCCAATATACTGAACCCAGAAGAGGTAGTAGAGCCCGCCGAGAATCGCGTCGAACCTTCGTTTGGCGACTTATATGACCAACAGGTACAGATGCCCGACTGTCGACTTCGCACGTACTATCGATTCAAGCCGCCCAGGACCCTAAATTCGCCGACAAGATCTGAACCTTGGAAGCTGCCGTCGCTGCAATTTCCACAGCAACTTGATCAACAACCAGACTTACCGCTTCCATATTCTACTGGGCTCCAGTACATGAACCAACGGCGACGGGAACGAAATGTAACGAACTTATTCCAATATCGATCTTTTCCGTCATCGCCAATCTGCGAGCCAGTGAACCTTTTTTCAGCGGAGCAAACAGGACATGCTATCACTCTAGAGCAATATGGCGAGTCACCGAAGCCGGAGCCTCGGCGGCTCTGGTACTACACCGAGGCAGTACTTAACATACCGAATGATCCCTATCCGTTGACACTTCCGTTGCCTCAATCAGAACTAGCTCCACAGGCTCACACAGAAGACGATTCGTCAGACCCAGGAGCGACACCAGCGCAACAAGGGAGACTAGAGACGCCGCAAATGGCCACCTACCCTCAATCAAACGTAGCTAGTGAGGATACCCGGCATACGCCAGTTGATAATAGACAGCGGGCATGGTTACCGGATCCGCACTATTTGCCATTGACATCTGCCCATCAAGGATCGAGACAGCCCCGGCGATCGATGACTGTTGTAATTAGACACACATCAGTTCAACGACCGATACGACGCTATTTTCCCATTGATCACGACGCCGCAACACAAGTAGATGAACTGGTGGACGGACGAACGAACGGGACACCGCCTGAACTAACTAGGTGGCTAGATGAACAGTCGATTGAGCAGCCGAATGGACAAGGAGACGAGCAAGCCAACGAGCACCTACAATGGCAAGGAGGTCCTTTACCAAACGGTCTACCAAACGGTCTACCAAATGGTCTACCGAGACCAAATGGGTTGCCAAATGGACAACTATATGCACAACGGGATAGACAACGGGATATATTCACACAAGAGCAACCAGCTAGATTAGTAAATGGCCAACTATACAGCCAAGTAAATGGGCTCGCAAATGGGCTACCAAATGGGCTACAAAATGGATCACCAAATGGATCACCGAATAGTCTTCGGAATAGTCCACCGCCTAGTCGACCGAACAGATCACCAAATTTACGGTGGAATGAGTGGAGTTATGTGAACAGGCAAGGGAACGGACGGACACAGCAACACCAACACAGGGACAACACACCAAGGGACGATCCTGCCGAACTAAATAGCCTGTCTGATAGTTAGGAAGATAGGGGCAGAGCTCCATGTAGGTGTACTTGCTCGGGCAATCAAGGTCATCATGGCAGGCGACATCGAGCCAGGCCCAGGTTCAGCGATGAGGACGTAGATGAAATAGTTTGGGAGCTGCGAGTCATCAGTCGACGAGTAAATGCGATTGTGACTCGGTTGCGGCGCCGAGGGGAAATAAGTCATTGAGAATATAAATAATAGCGTGGTGTATAAGTAGCGGGTGTAAGTTTCATTGGGACCTACGATTATATCAGGGTAGAAAATAACATTAATATTGCGGTTCAGGAGTTGGAATTTGGATATGTGATATTAAAAAGAAAAATATACGAGGTATGATAGGAAAGAAGAGAAAAGGAAAAGGGGGTAAGAGGTATGTTACCTAAGGCATTTAAGCATTTAGGTACCTCTAAATAGTTATGCAGGTATAGGAAGATTATATCGTCGTCACTGCCCACTCAGTACGAAGTAAAAGGGTTAAGAATGAACGATAAGGGACGTGCTGCAAGTAGTTACAAGGAAATATGGGGACGCATAAGTAGAATGACAGAAGGCGCCAATAACCCGTCAGATACCTAGCGGGCAGCAGCAGGATCAATCTGGAATCCGCAATAATAGGTAACGTTGGGGTACCTTCAATTATGTACCTTAAAATAATACGTTAAAAGTACATGTCATATGCCGTCCATGCCGTACATGCCACTTGCATTATTCTCCATAAATCCCCCATTAATGCTCCATAAATTTTACAGTCACATACCTTAACTGCTTAAACTTGCATAAACCATAACCCATCCAGCCCATAAAATCACATTCCCTATCATCATCACCAATACATCATCACCTCACCATTTCCAATTTCTACCTAACTCTTGCCCACTTACAACTCCATGTCTGCCACTTAACTGGTCCCCCCCCCATCTTGGCTTCCCAAGATTAAGCGCTAATACCTAACAAGATACAATAGGGAAACACAAAGAGAGAAACGATAAAGGCCGACAGAACAAGTCAGAGCTCGACCATGATTCCTAGGAAGTCAACATGGATCCCGAGTCAAATGCGCCCCTGGAGCGATCGACGTCACAGCTCTCTGCAGCCTCATCCTCGGCAAGGGTGTCCCGAAGCCACTCGACGCGCGCAAAGTCTAAGCCAAGGAAGCTGATCTCACAGCCCTCAAGTTCGGCCTCATCCATTGCCGCGTCTGACAAGTCTCTCACCTCCTTCCCCTCATTCTCACCTCAGTCACCCTGCGACGAACCGTCCTTCACCACCGCCGAATCCAATCCTTCCGCTGTAAATGTCGACGCGACGCCCTCCGTAGCTCCGATTAAGACATCCATCGTTGAAAGTTTAACCTCATCCGCGGTTCAGAAGACTGCACGGGATGCGCTGTTTGACGATGCTCCCATAACAACATATAAGATACCCGGTGCTCTTCATCATGCCAGCGACGACCATATAAAACATCTAATTGCGAAACATGGAGCTATCAACCTTGTGCGCCAGGTCGCCGAGGACCTTGCACACCGCGACATGGAAATCTCTCGGTTGAGGAGGAGAGCGGATGAAAGAGAACGAGCGCTTAAAAGAATAATACGTGGGTGTGGCTTGTCAAGCTTAGACCTCGAAACGAAGCTCCGGTCTGTGGAGGCGGAGCTTCAGGCACAGGACAAGATCAAATACGCCACCAATGGGGATGTTTCTGGCATGATGAGCGATGCGATGCGCGACTCAATGTCCCACAAGGCAATGGGTATAAACGACATAGACGACAGCACGGTCAGAGCCAGCACCCTATCTGCTTCTAGGGACACCAATACGGTTGGCAAAGGCACGATGAAAGCATGGAAGGAATATCTATGGGGTGTCGGAAGTAGAAAGGCTAGTAGGGCAGCTAGTATTAACGAAGAGGGCGCAAAGACCGCCATTCGTGCCTCAACCCCAGGAGATCGTCGCCCCCCTATCCAAGAAGACCTCTTCACTCCGCCAGATGCCGAGTCTGCGCAAAGCTCAAGCCGTGCCTCCAGCATCTACTCTGCGCAGACGAACAGAAAACCTTCGTCATCTTTCACTAGTATGGCCTTACAACTAGTAGCTGGGAAAGGCTCTTCGATCCGCGATTCTGAATCTACTCGAGGAAGATCAAATTCGGCGGGCCAAGGCGGTTCGATGAGATCATTATCCAATGCTAGCACGAGGACAGGTGCCTCTGGTAGAGCCGTGTCTACACAAGGGGGGCCTAAAGCGCTAATGTCAATGCGACGGGCTACTCCTAAACCCGTGAATATACAGTTTTCACGGCCACGCGAAAGGTGGGATAGCGTAGGCGCAAACACTGAAAGTCCAACTACAGCGAGATCGGATAATTTTGGCCCTGTCGAGATGGATACTATATTCTCTCCCGAAGGCCAGCCGCCGGCTTTATCGCAGCTGTATAATAATTACAACGACGGCGAGTATTTAATTGACCGCTTCGGCTTTATTTACGACCAACGCCGGAAGAAGAGACAGCGAGAAGCCACCAAAGTTGCTTCGCAAATGAAGAATGGACATGAAATGCTTTCTAGCGGACGATCTAATCTCTCACCGAACTTGTTTGATGACGACACAAGTTCTAGCTGTGATACCAGGAGTGATGATCGTCCGGAAAGTCCTACTTCCATTGAGGGCCCCGTTGACCAGGGCAAGGGGAAAAGATGGCAAGATTATCTCAAGATTGCTACTTTTCCTACGGAACTGCTGTCACATACTCCATCTATAACAGCTCCAAACATAGAGGTGCTTGAAGGAAATGGCTCGAAATCCCCAGCACTAATCAGCTCAGATGACCGCGGGTTTGTCCCGCCTGCAACCACCACTACTGCGGCTCTAGATAGAGAAGCAAGCCCGGCAAAATCAGAGGAAGGATCGCCTACAGCTACATTGGTCCATGAAGACGTTGAGCCGGTTAAGCTTTTATTAAAACAACTAAGTGATGTGCATGATACCCTGCAGAGAGAAAAGTCGGTGCGTTGGAACGAGTTTCTGAGAAAAGTACGCGCTGAGCGCCGACGCGAGGATGAGGCTGCGGCTGCTACTGCTGCCGCAGCAGCTGAAGCCCGTTTCCAGACAGCTCCTGTCATAATTCCTGAAGCCAAACTTAACGACGGCGAGACTATTGGTATCGCGGATCTTGGAATGAAGGGAAAGGTCGGCCGGGCTAAATGGAATGAGTTCAGGAATCTAGTGCTTAGCGGCATCCCCGTAGCAAACCGCCCTAAGATCTGGGCAGAATGTTCTGGTGCCCTTTCTAGACGAACCCCTGGGTACTATGGAGATCTGATCTCCCGAACCAGCGAGCTTGATGATGCTGTTGTTATCTCACAAATCGAAATGGACATCAACCGTACGCTTACGGACAACATATTCTTCCGCAAGGGACCCGGTGTCGCTAAACTCAACGAAGTTCTCCGAGCGTATGCCAGACATAACCCAGAAGTCGGGTACTGTCAAGGCATGAATCTGATTGCTGCGAACTTACTGCTCATCATGCCATCGGCTGAGGATGCTTTCTGGGTCTTCGTATCGATCATTGAGCGTATCTTGCCGCAGGGATACTATGACCATAGTTTAATGGCTTCCCGCGCAGATCAACACGTTCTACGCCAATATGTGAGCCAAATCTTGCCAAAACTATCGCAACACCTCGACGCGCTAAGCATCGAGCTAGAGGCCTTGACTTTCCAGTGGTTCCTCAGCGTCTTCACTGATTGTCTATCAGCCGAAGCGCTATTCCGCGTGTGGGACGTGGTATTATGTATCAATGATGGCAGCACGTTTCTGTTTCAAGTCGCGCTGGCGCTATTAAAACTAAACGAGCGGCAATTGCTACAATGCGACACGCCGGCTGCGATCTACACATATATCAACCACCAGATGACCAACCATGCCATCAGCATCGACGGCCTAATCCAGGCCTCCGAGGGCTTGCGTCGCGTTGTCCGCCGTGAGGATGTTGAGGAACGACGTAATAAGGCTATCGAAGCTGATAAGCAAATGGCCCGGGAACGCGAGGAGCGCAATGCGAAACGTCGCGCCGAGCAGAATTCGCAAAAAAGCATGTCGGTACCTGCACTCATCACCGAGGCCAGCGTTTCCGCAGTCCCGAGTCCCGCTTTGCGAGCCGAGAGCGAAAGTAATAATGTTACTGGACTGAATATCTTGGACGCAGCTGTGGAAGACGCAGAAAGAGGTACCGGTTTAGCTCGGACACCGGCGGAGGAAGAAACATCATTCGGACTCGGATGAAGAAGGATGTGAATGACGACACTAAAAGATAACTAGCTACTGAAGAAGGCACAAATCCAAACTTGTAAAGAAAACTCGGCCAAGAAGAAGAGGGCAGAGAGAAGATAGGTTTCTCAACTAAAGCACTATCATCTCTCCTTTTCCTTTTGGCGCACATTAGGTGAGCAGTTGGCTGGCGGACATAGGAGCATTACTATTACATTACCTCGAATGGTTGGCGTCTTCTTGCATTGGTATCGCGTGCGGGAGTTTGCGTTCTTGTTTCTTTTCCCTTTTAATTTTTATTTGCTTGTTTCTGTTTTCTTTCCCATCTTTATCACCGTTTTTAGAGAGATTGGACCATGCTTGCATGCCATGATACCCCCTTCCCGGTCGCACGAGATTTTTTCTCTTTCTCTTTTTCCTGATGTATATGGTTTGAGCTGGAGGGTCGAGGAGCAGCCGGGCAGACGTTACATGTTAGGCGGATGTGGAGAGGAGATGGAGAAGTTGGCCTTTCGATGGACTGGGCCGAGCAGAGGCAGATAGATAGACAGACAGAATAGGAGTTGATACCGAGCGCATGGGACGGGGATGCCCTACATACAATACAGTCCCTGCTACCATGCGGCGAGACAAGATAAAGCTAAGCTGAATAAAGCGAAGATGCGTATGTGTATCTAATGCAGAAGCCTGCTGCTAAAGACTATAATAGAAAGCCGCAACTATCAGTGCCAAGCTAGAATTCAAGAACAATTTGTCTTTGCACGTTGGCCGGTTTCCCACTCATGTGCTTGTATCTTTTGTAGTTGCGAAAATTCATAAGAATGTGCTAGATTACCTCCTAGCGTAATACATGATCTCGATATTAGGAAACTAAAGAGTCCTGCAAGTGGAATGAATCATTCGTACTTATGTATAACCGCGATAGAGGAAGGAAACTCGTGTTTAAATAGTAGTAGTATATTACTTACCTTGTACTCTGCTAACCGGAGGTCTGAATTTACTTCTTTATTAACGTTAAATGCGAATACCGTCAAGCTAGAGAAGAAATACGGTACTGCAATTTGACGATGAAAGGAAGGGTTGTTAGTTATTATTCTGAACAAAAAAGGAAGCAAGAAAAATTAGAAAAAAACAAAAACTAAACTCCGAATCGGGGAATCGAACCCCGGGCTTGACGGTTCCTACGATGGTTTGAATCATGAGAGCGTCAAATGTTAGCCACTACACCAATTCGGATTTGTGGAGTTCCTATTGGATGATGATCGGAGTTGTTACAGTCCTTTATGTATTGTAGGTTGGTAGTGCGGTTTTAGCGCTATGTGCTATTGTCGCTTCTACTACGAAGTAGTAGTGACGCAGTTAGGAGCTAAGTACCTAGGTACTGGTAACGCGAATTCGAGGAGTACATACCTCCTCGATACTGTCGTTCCGATTCTATTTAAATCAAGATAGGACTTTATTATACCAACGTTGCCCTTATAGAAAGGGATTATACGTACTGCGGCCTAGTATGTAAGAGATATCAATCGAGCTCACATAAATCAAAATGAGGTGAGAAATAAGGGATAAACTCCCATAGATGGTTATCTCCGCCACTAGAATGCAACTCGATTTCCTCTTAATGTCTTTTTTTCGTGTGTGTTACAAAATGCTCGTGGTAATAGCAAGCGATGCTCATATCTACAACGTTAACAACTCATTAACAATCCCGCCATCCCTCTCCCACCCTTCCCTGCGTCAATCATAGACTTCGCTACGTTCGACTCATTAATCACGTCTCAACCGGACTGCTTACTATCCTAGGCATATTTGCTGGGTGGAATAGGTCTGGAATAATCGTGATTTGTTAGGCACAAACGTCGCGCGCCTCCATTACTCTGAAGTTTCGTAAATTTTTCTTTTTTATACAAGAGTCTTGTTTAACCGTAGACTCGGACGTAACCCCTTGCTATGCATGCATTAACCAGCCTCTTCAATATTGTTGATGCGTCTTGGGTAATAGTCGATAGCGTAACATAGCGTAACGATGCATTAATCCACCTGGCGTGAGATCATCATTTCTACTCAATAGTTCCACTAACTCCTTGACTGAGTCGCACGTCGTTACCAAAGTTCCTCCTCATATGTTCTCTGTGAGCGCCTTTAAAATTGTATGCGTTACCGCGCGAAGACCTTGACGACTCCATCTCCTCCGCCGCTAACAACCCATCGACCGTCTTGGCTCCAGACTACGGCGCATACGCCCTCTCCTCTCATGATCCTGTGGCTGGTGATCTCTTGGGTACATGTTCGTTTTTCAAGAGACCAGAATCGAAGGCTCGCATCATGGCCAGCAGATACCAGCTCGCGGCCATCAGGGCTGAGGGACAAGGACGATATTGACGCTGGGTGGGCGAGCATATTATATGTGCATTGACCTAAAAGTAATTAGTGGCGTGCATAATCTGAACATTCTTGCTAGAGACTCACCGCTATTAGCATCAAAGAACCTTATAAAGCGATCTTCATGTCCTGATATAATAACACCCTCAATTCCACTACCAGCTGTGCCCGTGCTACCAGTTGGACCACTTGTATCCTCCTCGTTCAGGCCTAGCCCAGAGCTTTGATCAAGACCGGCTGTCGTCGCGACTACGGCATTGACACTGGTGTTAATGGTATTATCGTACGTTTCGAGGCTAGCCATAGAGCCAACCTCCTCGCCAGTTCTCGTATTGAACACGATAATAGCAGCGTCCGAGTAGCTGACTACGAAGGCCTCCCCACTAGCTGATAATGGCGTAATACACGTCGGTGATGCCCGGGATCCGTCAGAGCGGCGAATGTCATGGATTAGTGTGTAATGGAACGGCGAATTTGAAGCCATATTTGGTTGAGGTGAGCTTGGGAACTGAGATCCCGAACTCATCGAGTTACCTCTGACTCGGCCACTTCCAGTGCTACGTCTTGGCGGCCCCGGTTGAGGCGAGGTAAGTTGTGGTGGAGCACTCACGGCCCAAATCTTCACAGCGCCGTCGGCCGCTCCGGAGGCGACTAGGATGCGGTCTGGGGTACCGTAAGAGCTGGATTGGCCGAAGACCGCACCAAGGGTCGCAGGAAGTACACATATAGCCCAAACCGCATCACTATGGCCGTCCAGCGTCGCCTTGGGATCTACTCTGCCCCGTTCCCACACTCTAATTGTTGCATCTTGGCCGCCAGAGAATATCCACCCATCACCTTGGGCACGGCCGCCCGTCGAAAAATTAGGAGAAGGCGACCAGGACGTTAACGATAACACAGCACCGGTATGCCCGCGATGAGTAAAATCAGCCGGCACGTCCAGATCAGATGATATAGTTCCAATATGGCTTGGATTCTCACGCGGGATGTGGAATCGCTTGATCAGTCCATCATCGCCGGCCGTGCAGATCTCTGGCTCTCCAGGACTTCCGCCTCCGGAAAAGATTACGGTTCGGACGGTATTAAGATGACCTCGCAGTCCGTATCGCAACTTGAAACTACCACTTTCCGGTTTCTGCACAGCACCGTTGAGAGAAAGTTCCTGTTCCGCACTCTTTCGTCGAGATATGGATGTCTTCCGCCTGTGGGAATTAGGACCGCGATTAGGCGACTGGGGTAAGCTTTCAGCGTTAGGAAATGCGTCTGTGTCCGGACGGTGCGTAAGAGGTTGTAATTGCTGCGCTGTAGCTGAGTCGGAGAAAGTTCCTTCGCCAAAGTCCCAACCATCCCCATCAACTGAGGCTCGCTTCTCCAGTGAAGCTTCGCCGAACTCCGAACGAGGAGGTTCATTAATGTGATTCGACTTCGCGTTTATATCTTCTTGTATACGCGCGCCCGGTTGGTTGGAGGCTGGCCACTCACCGGGATGTGAGAACATCGAAGCGTTTCCCTCTCCTGACCGAACCATAGGAGCAGATTGTAAGCTTGCGTTCTCCGACGCCGACAAATTCATATTGTGGGGCATTCTCTGTCCATGAAGATTGTTCGCGTTTACGGCACCCTGGCGAGGAACCGGGTCCCTCAGATGGTTTTGGTTGAGTCTCAACGCTTGGAAAGCTGTATCCAGCGGTTGCTGGGAGATAGGTAATCCAAAGTCTCCTTCTCTCAAGTCGTCCATCATAGGTAAGGGAGGAGATTCCCGAGGAGGCATGGGATTAGCGGGCGAAACCATTAGGTATGTAAATTCAGCTTGACACTGATCCAAGAAGACCCTAAGGTTGTCACGCTCCTCGTCTTCCTGTACACGTTCGCCTACAAGACCCTCCAATCCAGGCACCGATTCTTTTAGTCTCTCGTCCGATGCTATAATTGAAGTTAGTATCCCACACTCGTCCAGTCTTTCTTCTTTATACGTACATTTGAGCTTCTCCTGTATTAAGGCAGCTCTATCAATCTTCTGAGGTTGCTTCACGGAATGATCCGTGGCAGAAGAAGCAGAAGAATCCTTCAGCTTGGCAGCCTGGTCTTTAACTTTCTTCTCCAAGATAGCGACATATCTCTTTAACGCCTTCTGCGTAGCATCCGCTCTTCTAGCCGACCCTTCGAGAGCGGCTATTCTACTCTTCATCTCCTGACGTTCGATCTCCCAGGCGTTCCTATCTCGCTCGTGTCGATGCCACTCGGTTTGAAGGAAGCGCATAACACCTATTTGTCGAGCGCATGCAGGTTAGCCGAGAGGGATCTAAAATACAGGTCAAACATGAGTAAGGCATACCTTGTAATGTGTACTCGGTAGCATGCGGTTGGTTTGACGGATTCCCAGGCATTCCTCCGCCGGATAGGTCCTGGCCGCCGCCGAGACCACCGGCGCCCGGCATACCAGATCCATTCCCGCCGTTTCCCATAGCGGAGATCTGTTGCCAACTCATGAAGAGTTGAGTTTCCGGCTTCAACAGATTGACGGTGTTTAGCCCTTGCAACCGTCTTCACCGTTTAGTTTGAGGCCGACTTTTGAACATGCACATTTGCGTTGCAAAGTGCCCTCCACGAGATACGACTTTTATGTCGGAGAGGGAGAAAGATGCGACGGTGGGGAAATCAATTGGCCCAACGTCTCGTTGTGCGGAATGGAGCGGATTTTTAGCGTAATAGACACGTTTCTTGTTTGCGAAACGCCAAATATTCGAATCAAGTTGCGATTGTCGAATGAAGGAGCTCTTATTCGAAGAGAATTAGAAGAAGAGAAGAGGAAAAAAAAATAACAGGAATTAAAACAGGGCCAGTAATGAGCGAAGAGAATCGAGATGGTACAAATTGATTAGCCCAAAATAGATAGGTCGCAATACAATAGAAAAAATTATTCGGCGATGCGATTTCATTTCGTGCCGTAACGGGTGGTGGGAATATCCCAAGGTTATAGTATCGTCAGTCTAGATGGTAGGAGTTGAGAATTTCGAGACGTGATGGATTTGGAAAGCTGTTAGGTCTAAGGTCGGCTTCCAGGTGGCCTGCAAAGAATAGTGCAGTACGTACCTCTTAAACTTAACCTAAATCAATTTTTGGTACCTTTAGGTAAGGTAGGTACGTACTACCTTCAATGTGAGGTATGCATTTGCATTTCCCCAAACAAGGTTGTGCCAACTTGTGCCAGATTACATAGTAGTCATTGTCACCCCTAACTACTTGTAACCTGACCAATCAAAAGCATAGCTTTCACACAAGGCTAGGTCAAAACTTCCCCTGAATGTGCGAGCAACTGTGTTATCTGTGATGTTCCAAGCTTGGACCACTAGCTATGCGCCAAGCTCCCTGCTGGATGGAATGGCTTATAGGTACATAGGTACCTAAACCCGTAAAGCAGCCATGATCTCCGATGCCGACGATGCGAACAAGCTCAACTAGCCGCATTACTTGTCAGCCATCCGGGCCATCCTGCATGATGTATTACACCAATTAGTGCAGATACTACGAACGTTGTAAGAATTCCCCCCCTGTAACTTGGCTCTTTCTTCATAAGTTTTCCTGGTTTTCTTTCTAGGTTTATCCAGAATCCAGATCTAACCACAGCGTTGGTATCACCTTGGGGTTGAAGTCCCCTGGAGTCCCCGTATGTCGTTGTGCGGCGCGGGTTAAGTGAGGGGTTATCTCAGTGTCTCCACGACTCTTAAAAGAGAATGGAGATGACATGGGATCCATATTATACTATACGCTGTTTCCTTTTCTCACTACCAAAGGCACCAAAGACATTCTTTAGATGTCTTTTCTTCCCCATCTACTTTAAATCCTTTCGTGTGCTATTCAGTGTATATTCAACTTATGACCGTCGTTTGCCGCCATGCCCGCTAGTAAGACCCAAGAGGTAAGCATGCGTAGCTGCTGGCTGTCGAAATGGGGTGAGGGAAGCACCGAAATTGTATTGAAAAAAAAAAGGATATCGTAGAGATAATAAAAGACTCATTTTATTATGATTATTTACCTTTTAGATATTACACCTATTTGTGTATATAAGCAGGGTTAAAGAAAGATGATGTAATTGAATATTTGAGAGTAGAAATGATGGAAAACTATTAACCTTTCCGGTTGACATATACCTATGAGCTTTCATAATCATTTAAGTAAGCGATATAAGTAACGTGTTTGTATAATAGAAGTTTGTTTGCTAGCTCTTGCGATGTTGTTGAATTAGACATTTTGGTTCAGCTATTGATATTAGTTGCTTTAGGTATTGTACCGTAGTTACCGTACTTCTACTTTGGTTAGTGGCAGTCTTACATTTACATTTACCGAGGCGATACAAGTAAGCAACCTTCCCCTTTTATTAGAGGTAGCTCATAATAAGTGAACGCTACTCAGCGGACAACTCACATTAAAAACCCACCTTCTATTCCATCTTAAAACAATGCCTACGTCTTCAAGAGATAAAGCTACGCCTTCGGGTTTGGTCACGTTAGAGGCCTTAAAATCGCTTTCTGGTATCGAGAAAGTTGAAGCATATTTGAAATTAGCCTCAGTATCCCAGGATCCAAAGGACAATGTAAGCCCACTTCTCCCGCAATTCTCATCCTTAGCATCGACAATGTGCACCTATCTACTAGGTTCGTGAGATTATTGACGCCTACCATATCGCGCTTCATGTCGCCAACATCTCATTGCAATATTCCTACTCGACATAGAGGGTAAACTTGAGTGGCGCGCTATACAGGGCAATGAGAATTTGAGGAGTTAATGACTAAAGCCCAATACCCAGCTTGGGATCTTATTTAGACGAGGTCCTTTTAATTGAGGCTTAGAAGGAAGGCGGGTCATAAAATCATTCACTAACCGTACGTATTCAGGGGTGGATGACAGCTATAACGCCTTATTTATCTATCGTTTCGTACTCCTCTTCTCCCCCGCATCCCAGCATCACCTTCCGGTTCACCGTGCAACCGATCCATAGCAACGGGCTCGGTAACCTGCATGGCGGATGCGCGTCCACTATTTTTGACGCATGCACCACGCTGCCACTCCATCTTATCTCGAAACCTGGCTTTTGGCAGTATACGGGCGTCAGCCGCACGCTCAATGTTACATATCTACGGCCAGTTCCGGTTGGCACTAGCGTCGATATCAAATGTGACATTTTACATGCCGGTCGTAAGCTATGCGCGTTGAGAGGGGAGATGAGAGCGGTGACTGAAGATGGCCGAGAGGGACCTCTATTGGTTGTCTGCGAGCACGGAAAAGCCAGTACGGATCCGCCGGTTGGGAAGTTATAGGCGCCCTCTAGTGCGTCGGATGTTGTCGTTGTCGTTGCCCTCTGATCTAGGATGCATGATGCCATCGCAGTGGGGATAGGTGTTAAACCTGAATAAGCAACCAACTTACTGAATATTTTGTTAAACTCTAAATATACTTCATGATATATCAGGTATCTATAAAGACCAGGCAAAAACACCTTGTACATGCTATATCTCTAGCCATATCTGGAGTTTGGGTGCGAAGTTTGGCGTTCTATAAAATAATAATAATAGTAAGCTACCTAGCTTAAGGTAGGTACTGTAAGAGGCTCAAATCTATCAACGTATCCATGTTTTGACGATTCATTAGTTAAATAGTATCCCTGCCGTAGGTCTTATATTTGCAAGACTTATACTTATTAGAGCTGCTGTCACAGGCACGCGCGCAACGTAATAACGTAAACCTTTCGAGGTAGGTATTGGTTTATTTGAAAAGTACCAGTAGCTTACTTAACCAATTGAGTTAATGTAATCCTGTAGCTTGTGTAGTGTGACATTCAAGTTAAAAAAATGACATGTAAAAAAAGGATTGTATAGTTACGGTAAGATTAATATTAAGGAGGTGATGCTTCAGTGTTATAGGCGGCAACATGTTACGAACCAACGGCCCGAAGAGGCCATATCAAGTAGGGAAGCGGGGGACAACCAACAACGTTTTTCGGTTGAACCTCGGATAATTGGATCTTATGGATCTTATGGATCTTATGGATCTTATGGATCTTATGGATCTTATGGATCTTATAAGATCCCTAAGATCCTTAAGAACCACAAGAACCGTAAAAACACTAAGCGAAATAATACATAAGTAAGGAAGTTTATAGGATATTTAAAATATTATATATTTAGTTATTTATTTACGTTTTTTTAACTATTAATTTAAATTTTATATTTAACTTATATAAAAAGAAAAACTTTAAACCTTTTTAATAAATACTTATAACATTTAATTAATATTTAATTTATATTATTATTATTTATTTAAAATTAAAACTTTAATTATTATATTTTAACAAGTTTAAATATAAATTCGTTACATTTTAATAATTTTTTAATTAATATTATTACCAGTTAAATATAATATAAATATTAACTTTAATAATAATATTTTTTTATTTATGTAAATTAATTATAACTTATTTATTTTAAAATATTTATTAAATAAATCCCTTAAAACTTAACTTTTAATAAAAGCTAATTAAATAAAATAACATAACGAACCTAATATATTACCTCTTAATTATATCTTAAGATTAATTAACAATATAGCTCTCACAGAAACTAAGTCCTAAGCAGGATCATTTAAAGTAAAAGTAAGGGAAACCATCGAAACTACTAACAAAGGAAAGAAGGTACCAGCTACTAGAGCCGACCTAAAAACAGCAGAAACTAACATCCCAAGGATAGTATACTTTTTACGAAAAGCCATTAGGATTAAACAATCCTTAAATATAAATGGATAAATTCTTATTTTAAACATTAAGAAGCTTAATCCAAGACCGGAAGCATATATACATAATTTGTAATAAAATCTAAGATATAAGAAATATTACGAAATATCTTAAATTTCATGCCTTTATAACCGTTACTAAATATATAATTTAATTAAAAAAACATAAGTTTTTAGCTTAAATTAGTAAAAGGATATTTATTTATATATAAATATAAAAACATTAATAAAATTTAAATTAAATTCGAGTTAATTCCTTTAAAAAATATATAAGTAAATAATATAATTTTTAATATTACACTTTTTATAAATAATAAACCTTATAAATAAATATATTATAAAAAAATATAAAAAAATTATAATTAATATAAATGTTAAATATATATAATTTATAAATTTATTATTTTAAAAAGAATATATAAAAAAATATAAAAATATAAAAGTATTTAATAAAATTTTATTAAAATTTATTAAAAAGTAATAAAACTAATTTAAAAAAAAATTTAAATAAAAAAAATATTTTAAAAAACTTTAATGTAATTTAAATTATTAATAATTATTTATATATTATAATAAAATAAAAAGATTAAAAATTTTAAATATTAATTAATTATAAATATTTAATAAATATTATATACTTTAATATAATTAATAAATATTAAATTAATTATTAAAAAAAATTACTATATTAAAGGTTAATAATTAACGAATAATTAATTAAATATAATAAAAGATAAATGTGACGAACTTATACTCAGGTCCGTTAGAGTGTAATAACTGGGGGCTTGATTTTAGGTAAACAGTAACGATACGGGTCAAGTGTCAATAAACGTGGTAAGTGTCCGTCAGGAAGGCTTAGAGTCCTTCCTCTTATATGGGTTAGATATAAAACTTAGATTGATAGCTAAGGAAACGTAAATGAATGACTAGATACATGATGGTTTAAATATACTCGTGGGCCTCCCTTATCCTTTTCCTGAGGTTATCGTGATCTTGTTGATCTTGGTGATCTCGCCAAGATTACCGAGATCACTGAGATCAACGAGATCACTACCCTCCATCAGGTTATCCGAGGTTTAGCCGCTTGATCGTACGTTTCAAGAACCCCGCTTCCATACAAGGTATGGTTCCCGTGTTATTGGTTCGTGACAATAAATTAAATGAGAAATTATAAATTTTGTAATTTAGATTTAATAAAAAGATTAATTAATTTCTTTTAATATTATAAATATTTAATATAATATAGTTTTAGAAAAACCGTAATTAAAAATTAATAACTTAAAAATAAATTAATAAAAGAACATTATTAAATAATTATTATTAAAATTAAATATAAAAAATTATAAACTTAAATATTAAAAAAGGCTAATTTAAATAAATTTAATATAATAATAAATAAGCACGTATTTACAGCTTTTAAAAAAACTTATAAAATAATATTTTTATATATATTATAACTTATAAAATTAAATAAATAAATAAAATAATAAAAAATAATAAAAAGAAAAATTAAAATAATATATAATAAATTAACTAACGTATTTAAGAAATATTAAAAGAAATACTTAAAATTATTTACCGAAAAACTTAATATAAATATAAAAATATTAAATTATAAACTTTATAATTATAAAATAAATCTTAAAGAAAAATAATTACCGAAATTAAATAAGATATATTTATTAAATATAAATAAATAAAAAACATTAATTAAAATTATAAAACGAAAATTCGAGAAAAAATATATATGAAAATTAAACTCATTAATAAAAAGCCTAATTTTTTTAATACTTGAAAAAAATAAAAACAGGACATTAAAATTAAATAAAAATAAAAATATAATATATTAAAATATATATAACTATTAATAGTGGTTGTGTAACATCGACACGTAAGCACCTTATCGAGGATAAAGTGCCTTATTGCTAATATTGAAAAGAGGAACAATATACCCACTATTATTGTATAAAAGGACATTATACTGCTAGTTAACTTTAAATAAATTTTTCCTTCCTTAAACATTATCAATATACCAGTTTTACCCATTATTATTGTTTTACTTGTTTATTTTTTTACCATACGTACGTACTTACCAACAATTAATATCTTAATTTTATCATCAAATAAAATAAATATTTCTTATTTAATATTAATAACTTAATAAAACTGATAAAAAACGTAAAATAATTTATAATATTAGATTTTAAAAAGGCATTTCACTTAATTTAAATAATTAAAGAAAATAAATAAAAAATAATAATATAAATCCCTTTTAACTATTATAAATATTTGGTTATATTATTTAAATTTATAAATACATTAATAATAGTTTAAAGGATAACTAAAATTATATTATAAAAGTTTTTAAAAAAATAATTTTCATTTATTTAAATAATATTTTCATCTTTTTCAAAATCTTTAATTAATATAAAAAATTAATAAATGAAATATTAAAAGTTTTAAATAAAGTTAATTTACTAATAAACCCAGAAAAAAGCAAATTTTATACGTAAAAAATTAATTATTTAAAATATAAAACTTAAAAATTATAACAATACAAAATTAATTAATACTAAATAATATCACTATTATATAACAATTTTACAGCTTTATTAATTATAATAAATAATTAATAAAAAACTTTAATAAAATTATAAACCTTATTATAATTATTATATAAAAAAAGGAAAGAACTTTTTAATAAATATTAAAAATAAATTAAACTTTTAAAAAAATATAAAAAATTATTATTAATAATTTAATAATAAAATTATTTAAGTTAAATCAGCTAAAACAAATCCATACAAATAAATTTAACGTAGTTATAAGCGTAATCCTAAAATAACTTAAAGATAATAAAATATAACATTTAATAGCATATTTATTTAAAACTTTTAAAAAAAACTTAAATAAAATATTAAACCTATAATAGAAAACTACTTATTATTATAATAACATTTGAAAAATAGAGATATTAACTTAATAAAATAAAAGAATTAATTATAATCCTTTTTAATTATAATAATTTCAAAACATTAATAATTATTTAAAAATTAAAACTTAAAGTTTAAAAATAGGCAAAATATTTTAATAATTTTAACTTTAAAATAATTTATATCGTAAAAAAAGTAAATATATAAATAAATATACTTAATAAATCTAACAGAATTAATATAAAAAATATAATTAAAGAAAAAGTAATATTTATGTTAAATAAATAAAAAGCATTTATCTTATTAACATTATATTTTATAAAAAAAGATAATATATAAATAACATATATTAAAATAACTATACTTAATAAAAAATTATTTATAAAAACCAAAACAAAAGACGGCATAATTACTTACTTAAGAAAAGTATATATACTAAAGATTTTATAATATAAGTTCGTTAAAAAATATTATAAACACTTATTACACAAACATTAAAGAATCTTTTAAACTATATAACAAATTATAAAAAACTATAACTTTCTTAGCTTATTAAAAGTAATTAAAAAGGTAATTAGCAATTATAATATATATAATAAGATAAAAATAGTTAAATATAAGTTATATAAGCTTATATAATTTACAGAAATTCCAAATAGAGCTTGAAAAACCATTACATAGGATTTTATTACTAAGTTACCATTATTAAAAAAACTTATAATTAACGTACCATATAATAATATATAAGTAATAGTTAATAAATTAATTAAATATAAATATTTTATATAATATAAAAAATTTAATATAATTGAAGACTTAATATATGCTTTTTTTTAAATATATAATTAATAAATATAAATTATTAAAACATATTATTTTAAATAAGGATAAGTTATTTATATTTAAATTTTAGATAAATTTAATGATAAAAATAAGTATAAAATAGAAATTATTTATAATATATTATTTATAATTAAATGGATAAATAAAGCATTTAAATTAAATATTAAAATAATATTTTTGCATCTACGTTAATAAAATATAAAATAATTAGGTAAAACTATTATTATAAGCAGAAATTATATATAATAACTTTATAAATGAAGATATAAAAATATTCTTATTTAAAGCAAATATTAGTTATAATTTTATTTTTATAAAGTTAATTAATATAAAAGAAATTTATACTTAAAGTAAAAGTTATAATAGAATAAATTATTATTATATAAAGATATTTAGTAAATAAGTTTAGATTTTTATAAGTAAAAATGAAAAGATATAGTAATTAATATAAGATTAAAGGA